AATATAAATAATAATTACCACCGGTAAAACTTATCCCTAATAGGTAATTAGGTCTTTAATTAATAGTAATATTATATTTTATAGCTATATTATTAAAGTTTAAAAATAAACTATAATATAAATATATTAATAATACCTTATAGAAAAAGATATTAAATATAATAATAATAAATAATAAGTTCCCTAATTAATAATATTATTAATAATATTATATATTATATTATATAGATATAGTAGGATTTTAATAAGGGCTATATAATCTAATTTAATTCCTTAGCCTAAAGCTACCTTTAATTTTAGGCTACTTTAACTTTAACTTTAACTCTAAATATATATTCCTTTAATATATTTTAACCTTTTACCTTTTTACCCTAGCCCCTTAGTGCCTTATATATAACTTCTCTTTACGGATTATTCTTAAAGACCTTAATTGCCTTTATAACCTATCTCTTTAAGTTATTATATTAAGCTATATATTCTAACTTAAATACTTTAATAAAGAAGCTATTAATCTTAAGGACTAGCCTTTTATAAACCTATTTTTTAGGCTTTTTAGGTATTTAAGCTATTTCTTTACTTTTTATATTTAACTTAATATATACTTTTAAATATAATTGCCTTTATTAAGCCTTAAACTATAAGGTATTAAAAGCTTATAGCTAAAGATAATTAATTTAATTAAGTTATAATTATCTTACTTATTATAAAGAGGTAATATAAAATAGCTATTAAAATCTTATTTTAAATTAAATTAAAGATCTCTAGCCTTATCTTTAAGAGGGTTAAGTTTTTACCTATTATAGTAATTATTAATAGTTTTTTAAATAATCTTATAAATTAAAGTAAGACTTATATTATAGTAAATATCTATTACTTAAATAATACTTATTATAATAATAATTATAAAAAAGGTTAGTAATATAGACTAAAAGGTAGGGAACTAGGGGTTAATTAACTAACTCTATAAGGGTTAATTAACTAGCTTATAATATAGATTAAATTAAGGATATAAAAAAAGCTAGCTTTTATATATATAGCTATATAAGTTATATATATATTTATTTAATTAAAGTTTAGTTACTATATATAACTTTTATTATACTAATTATATTAAGTTTTTAACCTTAAAAGAGGTTATTTTATTATTAATATTATTAAAAGATTTAAAAAGCCTAGGCTTAATAAAGTTAAAGGTTAAAAAACAAAAATATATAAATAATAGATTACTACTAGAAAATAAAGCTAACCTACCTTTTATATTATATAATAGATTTTTATAAAGAACTTTAGGTAATATACCTAATAGGCTTTATATTCTATCTTTATATAAATAAAATATATTTATCTTACTTTATAATTAAAATTATCTTAACTATAATAAACTTTTAATATTTATTATTAAATACTATATTAATTATAGATATATAAAACTTTAGGAATACCTTAAGATATACCTAATATATAAAGTATATAAAACCTTAATATATAGCCTTTCTAAAAACCTTTAACCGATTTTATTATTATTATATCTATATTATATAGTTATATTAAACTTTATAATAATATTACCTACCTTTAAAAATAAAAATAACTTAACAATAGTTATTATTAATAAGTTTTTAAAAAAACTTTAATTAAATTAATAACTAAGAATATTATAATAAAAAATATAGCTTAATTACTATAAAATATATTATTTATATATATATTTTCTTTATTTTAACCTTTAACTTTATTAAACCTAGGCTTTTTAAAACTCTTAATAATATTAATAATAAAAATAACTTTTTTTAAGGTTAAAACTTAATAATTAAGATAATAAATATTATATATAGTAACTAAACTTTAATTAAATAAATATTTATATTATATAATTATATATATAAAAGCTAGCTTCCTTTTTATACCCTTTAAACTAATCTATATTATAAATATATTAATTAATTAACCTTTATAATTATAGTTAATTAATTAACCTTTAATTCCCTTTTAGTTTATATTATTAACCTTTTTTATAATTATTATAATAAGTATTTAAATAATAAATACTTACTATAATATAAATCTTAGCCTAATCTATAATAAGATCTATAAGGTAATTAATAACTATAATAAAAAAATATATAAATAACTTATCTATATAATTAAAAACCTTAAAATTAAAATAAAATAAGATTTTTAAAGCTAGTTAATATTTCTTTATAATAAATAAAATAATTATAACTTAATTAAATTAATTATCTTTAGTTATAAATTTTTAATATTTTTATATATATAATTAAATTAAAAATCTTATTAAATAAAAATATTAAGTTTAAGATATATAAAAAATTAACTTAAAAACCTAAAAAGCCTAAAAAAAAGGCTTTTAAAAAGGTTAGTCTTTAAGATTAAAACCTTTTTTATTAAGGTATTTAAATTAAAGCTTAACTATATAGTTTAATATAATTACTTAAAAAAGTAAATTAAATAAATAATTAAGGCTAGTAAAGAAATAAAATAAAGTAATAGAAATTATATATAAGGTATTAAAGGGCTAGGGTAAAAAGGTAAAAGGTTAATATATTAAAGAAATATATATTTAGAGTTAAAGTTAAAGTTAAGGTAGCCTAAAGTTAAAGATAGCTTTAGGCTAAGGAATTAAATTAGATTATATAACCCTTATTAAAATCCTATTATACTTACTTCCGTAATATAATATATAATATTATTAATAATATTATTAATTAAGGCTAAAACTAGTATAATATTTAAGTATTTAATATACTTTTATATAATAATATCTATATTTTAACTAAATAAAAATTACTTATAAAAATAAATATTACCTTTAAAAAGACTATAATATTAAATATCATATTACTATAAAATAGCTTATTTTAAATAATAATAATAAAAAGTAATAAAAAGAAAATTAAATTAAATTAAATAAACTTTATTAAAAAAAAGGAAATAAAAGATATATATTTTAAAGTTATTAAAAATAAAATAAAAATATAAAAAGTATCTATTTATATATATTAAGGAAATTTAGTTTTTTTTTTTTCTTTTCTTTTTTTAACCTTTAATTTTATTAAGCCTAGGCTTTTTAAAACTCTTAATAATATTAATAATAAAAATAACCTCTTTTAAGGTTAAAACTTAATAATTAAGATAATAAATATTATATATAATAACTAAACTTTAATTAAATAAATATCTATATTATAATTTATATAGCTATATATATAAAAACTAGCTTTCTTTTTATACCTTTTAAATTAATCTATACTATAAATATACTAATTAATTAACCTTTATAGTTATAATTAGTTAATTAACCTTTAATTCCCTTTCGGTCTATATTACTAATCTTTTTTATAATTACTATAATAAGTATTTAAATAATTAATACTTACTATAATATAAATCTTAACCTAATCTATAATAAAATTTATAAAGTAATTAATAACTATAATAAAGAAAAATATAAATAACTTATCTATATAGTTAAAGACCTTAAGATTAAAATAAAATACAATTTTTAAGGCTAGTTAATACCTTTTTATAATAAATAAAATAATTATAATTTAATTAAGTTAATTACCTTTAATTATAAACTTTTAATATTTTTTTATATATAATTAAGTTAAAAATCTTATTAAATAAAAATATTAAGTTTAAGGTATATAAAAAATTAACTTAAAAACCTAAAAAGCCTAAAAAAAAGGCTTTTAAAAAGGTTAATTTTTAAGATTAAAACCTTTTTTATTAAGGTATTTAAGTTAAAGCTTAACTATATAGTTTAATATAATTACTTAAAAAAGTAAATTAAATAGGTAATTAAGGCTAATAAAGAAATAAAATAAAAAGACTATCCTAATCTTAACCTAAAATTAAAAGTATATAATTATTAAGGATAGTAATAGAAATTATATATAAGGTATTAAGGGGTAGTAAAAAAATAAAAGGTTAATATATTAAAAAAATATATATTTTATTAATTAGAATTAAAGTTAAAGTTAAGGTAGCTTAAAGTTAAAGGTAACTTTAGGCCGAGGAATTAAATTAGATTATATAACCCTTATTAAAATCCTACTATGCCGTAATATAACACGTAATATTATTAATAATATTATTAACTAGGGATATATTAAGTATAATAATAAGGATATTATTTATAATTAATAGTAAATATTAAGTACCGAAGGTATTTAATAATATATAATATATATTATAATATATTATCGGTCTGATATAGTTTTAACTTAATTAACTAAACTTCTATATCTATACTTAATATGGCATCTTATAACGTGGATGTGATTACTACCGTAACCACTTAGGTTATATATAGATATTTATGCATAATAGATGTTCTTTGATTTGGTATACCCATCGTTGCCTCCAAAACTTCATCATCAAGAGACGCTCGACAGATGGAACAGTCCTAACTAAACCCCAATTCCGCAACGCACACCCTCCCCACGCTGCGGGGGATAACCACCTCCACTCATGCAGTTCCAGTGTCATTGGTGCACTGTTTGCAGCTTTGTCTGCGTGAGCTAGGTAGGTACCTACAAAATTATCATCCATCCATTGGTATTCACCAACATAAGGCCTGGTAACGTTCGAATAGCAACCCATCACGTGGTCAGGTGTATTCGGCTACAGCTACATCAAACTTAAGACGAACAAGTCCATTTTGGCATAGATAAAACGCTGCTGTTTCAACGGTTTTATCCAAGAAAATTTAACCACAATTTTATCTTGATCAATGAGGTGCTTCGTATCATCAACCTCGGGGCTCTCTCATGGTTGACCGTGAGTGGAAACCACACTAAAGTCCAACCCCCCCTGTCAACCATCGATAGCTGACATCATTACCTTGCTTTCTGCAAGCGAAAACACTCACACTACGGGATACTCTTTTGGCGTAGCCATCTTTTCTTCTCTCCTTGGCTTTGCTGTCTACCTTGGCCTTTCAATCAACACTGGCTCATCAATTGACCACCACCGAAATGTCAAGCAATCGTTATCTCGACCTGGAAAGCCACCAATCCACTTCGGCTACCCGTCCAACCTTGAACACCAGCCAGCCCCAGGCTCCCGAGTCGTCAAATAACTCCAACGCATCCAAGGCCAGGAAGAGGAAGGGCCATCGCGGTGGCAGAAAGAAGCGAACGCGCAGAAAGAGCTTCGCCGCCTTGGACGATGATGACCATGATGAGGCTCGCGAAGCATCTGGGGAGGGTTTCTTCAACCTCCCTAGAGCCAATCTGAGCAATACCAGCATCGACAGTGAAACACTCTTAGATCATCGGTAAGTTTGTTCCAGCTGTGAAAACTCATAAGTCATATATCTAACACGATTTTAGAGATCATCAACCCTTGCGACCCAGGCGAACTTCAACCGCACCAACCTCTACAGGTGTCCCAGCCTCACCTTTTTCAGGCTCGGCTGTCAATCGCCTGCGATCAATACCAGCGGCATCTATCGAGGAAGAAAACCCGCAATGGGACGAAAACGCACCTTTACTCGGTGAATCGGTGACTTCTGGTTACGGCGCAAGCGATGCAAGGTCAAACATGACGAGAAGCCGTCGCGCATCCAATAAATCTTCGACAACGCGCCTGGGAACCTCGTCTGGCCACAGGGACGGTTACGATATCAACGCCCCTCCTTCAATGCCAGGCTCCCCCACCTTCGGCACTGCCGACCGTATAGAACTGAGCTTGGGGGATGTTATGATACGAGATGGTCTTGGGGCAGCTCGCGACGATTCCCCGCACCGCTTAATGGGCGAAATTGACGGGCTCTCTGACGTTGATGGCATGAATGACAATCGCCCTGATATGGGACGACGATTACCAACCGGGGCTGAGCAGGATGTTTGCTTTCCTGCTCCTGGAATGTCCGAGCTCGGCGATGATGACATGCACTCGCAGGCTCATGACAACCGCCAGTATCGAACGCGTCGCCGTCGCGGTCAATGGCCCGACTTGTCTGTATTGGAAGAATGGAGTCATATGGAGAAAGAGGACCGGACAGAAGAACGTCGCGTAAAGAGGATAACTGAACCACAGCTTATCAATGGCCGATTGCGTCCAGTACGCAAGGGATGGTACCAGACAGACGAAGAGACCCCTTACCGATTCACATACTTCAACGAAGAGTTCCAAAGCACAATTCATAGCCAGACTATTTCTGAGCTGGTGCAACCTGGAGGTGGATTCCGGGAGCTCTTTCTTCCAGACCCTCCGATACTTTCAGACGATGAGTCTGACGAAGACGACATGGATCCTATGTCCCTGCCTACCAGGTTCCGAAATCAGAGTGGCGGAACAGAGACCAACTCCAAGGTCCACACACGTCAGCCGTCACTATCGACAATGCATGATCACCCTGAGTTGCGTGAAGGCACTACGTCTCCGTTTAAGGATCATCTGGCGCATGCAGCCTCAATAGATGAATCGGGTCAAGCGACGCCTACTGGCCGGAAATCTGCAGATGAGAACGCCAACAACTCTCAAAATACCAGCGGGGATTCGAGAGAGAAAACCATCAGATACGGTGACAGGCCGGTCTGGTGGCTCGATGTCCTCTGTCCAACCGAGCCTGAGATGAAAGTTATATCCAAGGCTTTCGGTATTCACCCACTTACTGCAGAGGACATCATGCTCCAGGAGGCTCGTGAGAAGGTTGAGCTTTTCCGGCATTATTACTTTGTTAATTATCGATCATTCGACCAAGACAACAACAGCGATAACTTCCTCGAGCCCGTGGATATGTATGTTGTTGTCTTCCGCGAAGGTGTATTGAGCTTCCATTTTTCAAAGACACCTCATCCCGCGAACGTCCGTCGCCGAATTCGCCAACTGAAGGATTACCTCATCCTTTCTTCTGACTGGATTTCATACGCTCTTATTGACGATATCACGGATGTCTTCGCTCCGCTGATACAAAATATCGAGGACGAAGTAGACGAGATCGACGACGCCATTCTGAAATTGCATTCATCTTCCGATAAGAGAATTAGCGAGGACTCTGCTAAGAATGATGATGCACTCACGGCCTCAGACCCGAGCACGGATATGCTTAGGCGAGTGGGAGACTGCAGAAAGCGAGTTATGAGTCTATACCGATTGCTAGGTAACAAGGCAGATGTTATAAAGGGGTTTGCCAAGCGCTGCAACGAACGCTGGGAGGTTGCACCGCGATCTGAGATTGGTCTATATCTTGGTGACATTCAGGATCACATCGTCACCATGACTGCTAATCTGGGCCACTATGAAAAGTGAGTTGACTTTCCCTTTTCGATTAGGATTCTGCTAACATGTATAGGATTCTGGCGCGCTCTCACGGTAACTATCTTGCGCAGATCAACATACGAATGAACGAGCGCCAAGAGCAAACGGCTGATGTCCTTGGTAAACTTACTGTTCTCGGTACAATTGTGCTACCCATGAACATAATCACTGGTCTGTGGGGTATGAACGTTTGGGTTCCAGGCCAGGAGTACGAAGGAGATCTTACGTGGTTCTTCTGGATCACCGCCGGTCTCCTGTTCTTTGGCTTGGCGTGCTTCATGATTGCAAAGAGAGTATATAACATTGTTTAAGGCAGTGCAGCTTGGTTGAGGAAGCTGGGATACCACAGCAGGGACAAAATTTGATGTTTCGCCGCATTATCTAATTCAATAACAGTGGTCAAGGCTCACAGCAAACTTGCCACGCTTCCTTCCTTTTGTTTTGGTGTTGGAAGGATTTTGATTAGGAAACGGTTTGGGTTATTTGGGCTCTATCACTTACAGAATACGTATACCCCGCGCTGATAGACGGATTCTGGCTGTCGGGGGTTTTGTTTCTTACTGGTGTTTTATGGTTAGAATTGCAAAATTGCTGATACATGCGAGTATACACTGGCTGTGAGGTCACTACGAGGAGCTTTCATGAAAACAATTGATATTTATACATGGCTATAGGGCAGTTCTTACTGTTTAATATATAAATACGACATACTCCTAAGTTTTATTTCCGTGCCGGATGTGAGTTCGTTTCAAGACATTTGGTAAAACACCTGTCATCACAAAACATTGATCCTAGTCACACCACCACAGTATCGCTTGACAAACTCCAAGGTTCCGTTACCAATGATCGTTTTTCACCATAAGGTTCAGTTTATCACTGACCTACGAAATTCGAAGACAAAGCAAGGAAGTATAGCCTGTAACTCCATACTGAACCCCTCCAAGTTCACTACTCTACATCACGGATTTGCTCGAGCAAAACAACATGCATTATTTCACAGTAGACTTGTAGTTATTCTAAGCTTTACGCGGGAAAGAACCTTCCATGCTAGATTACTAGTGACTTCCGTCTCGCCGATTTGATGTTGTTATGTATTGTGTCATTCCCAACCAGCCTCCCTTGATTAAACTCAAGTATCCCACGAACTGTGGGAAGGATAAGTCGCCATCTCTTCATGCTGTAATCGCAAGAGTTTTCGCTCATGGCCGATTACAGCAGGCCATAGTAGTTTACCCGTCTGGTCCGTACCCCCAGGTATGGCTTCTTCCCGAACAGCAAATCCGTGGCAAATTCTACGCCATAACGCCTGATACAATGAAGTGCCGACCTTAGCCAGGATATGAAGCGCCCCTGATATTTTTGCTAATTCGTAATATTCCACAATTTCGCTAGTACGTCGGTTTACCTTCGCTGACCAGCAAACGTAGCTCGAAGAGCCAAGATCTGCTGCCTCTCTGCCTCGGGAAGCATGTCAATCTGAGCCTGGGGAAGCCTCATAACTGCGCGCATCAAGGCTTCAGGGTCCTGTGCGGGTGGTGCAGCAGCCGCAATCGGAGGAGCAGCGAAGGGTTGAGGAGGCGCTTGATATGGCATGGCAGCCACGGGCGGAGTGTTACTCACACCAGGGAAGCCGGGCATAGGCGCGGGAGGGAAAGCAGCGGGAGGAGGAGCTCCGGGCTCAACGACGGATTGAATCGCTTCGGGGGAGACAAGTCCCATGAGGAGCAGAGCCTGGAATACAGCGTATGCTAGCTGAGGTGCTTGCTGGAGAAGCTCAGTCGCGCGCTGCGGTTCGGTAGTCGCGAGTGTCTTCATCTGGGAGAGAATATCGAGAAGCTGAGGGGGAGGGAGGGTCTCGAGCGTTCGTGAAATAGCGTCGGTGCACGTTACGCCATGTGGAAGCTCCTTTCCAGCTGGCAGAGGAGGAAGGTTACTGGGCTGGGAATTGTAGCTGGGAACTGCGCCGTTGGAGACGTGTTGATTGTAGCCAGATGTGCCTGGGTCCTTGTCGTCATCGCTACTCTTTTGTTCATTGCTGAAGTCGACGCGAAGCTTTCGGCCCATGATCTCATAATCGTTCAAGTTGCGCACAGCGGAAGAAGCAGAATCTACACTAGGTGGTCAGAAATAAGTAAAACGTGGGGTTTCGCGATACATAGGAATCGTACCGGTGTCGGGGTAGTCTGCGAATCCGAATCCCTTGGGTCGTCCAGTCTCAGAATCGTACACAAGACGGAATCGCTCGACTTTGCCGGCGCTGCTGAAAATATCGGTGATTTGCTCCTCAGTGAGTCCTTGAGAAACGGTTAGATGAGATGCGCCCAAGAGGGCGAGTAGTGACGGTGAAACATACCATAGGGAATGTTGCCTACAAAGACGACGCGAGAGGGCGGTCTTGTCGACATGTTGACTTGAAGTTGTGTACCGGTAATGGAAATTGATCGCAGGTTCTAGACGCGAAAGAGTCCGATCAAAAGAAAGAAGACCGGTAATAGCGACGAGTATTGAGTCTTGGAAGCAAAAAGTGAGGATGGAGTCGCACTGAATCGTCCAAGTCTGAGAGAAAGCTAGAATTTCTCAGCCTTGCCAATAAACCAAGGTTAGGCTGATGTACAAAGAGCTTCAGTGGAGACTCAGTTTATCGACCACTCAAAACGCAGAAACTACTTTACAGGGGGTCTCAGGTCTGTCTCGAACTTACAGGCTCAGGTCCACACGTCGATTAAGTACTTGAAGCAGGTACTGAGAAGACCAGAACCAATATGATAACGTGACTAACAAGCCTGTAACTCGTGCATTTCAAATAGGGACAGCTTGGTGTGAAAGTCTTCCTCCACGCGTATTTAATTATTGGTGCACTGTCTCCGAAATGGCTGAATGTTTGATCCCAGTCGGACTTTTAGTGTACAGAACTTACTGTACATGTCTAGACGGGGTACTTCCCTCAACCCACATGGCACCGAGTCAAACCCGCCCTGGCCTAGTGCAGAACGACAGAGGGGACGGGACCCTGCAAAGCGCCCCCGGAGCTATGTTTTAGAAGAGGACGTCAGCCGCAGTTGGAAAAAGGTGGCCTTTAGACTAGACCTGGGCTTGGGGAAACGACAACTCAACTTGTGCCGTAATTCTATTCTCGCAATTGCTTGACTTTTTCCTTCTTTTTCTTCGATTGACCGGATTCTCGAGTGCCAGGTGCAGATCCGCAATCAAAAGAAGGGACGCCTGACAGATGCTGCCTCTCTTTTTCCATAGCTGATACCGTCGTTTTATTGCTTTCCCGTACCTGCTCGTCGCAGCCAAAACCCTCTCCTTTTTGATTGGCGCCGCGACTACGGATATCGCCAACTATACATTAACTGTCCAGACTTCGTTGTCGCAGTTATATCACCATGCCTCCTAAATCGAGATTTACAAGGCTTGACGCCTTTACCAAGACGGTTGATGAGGCGAGAATTCGAACCACAAGTGGTGGCATTGTCACCATTGTGTCACTTCTCGTGGTCCTGTTCCTATCATGGGGCGAATGGGCAGAATACCGTCGCATCGACATACATCCCGAATTGATTGTGGACAAGGGAAGAGGTACGCGACAGTCAATCCTCATTCATAGCAGCGAAGCACATCTTCAGACCAAATACTGATATATCTTGCTTAACAGGCGAGCGCATGGAAATCCACCTCAACATCACATTCCCCAATATGCCCTGCGAGCTGTTGAGTCTCGACGTTATGGATGTCTCTGGCGAGCAGCAGCACGGCGTTATGCACGGTATCAACAAAGTCCGTCTCCAGCCCGCGAACAAAGGCGGCGCCGTTATCGATACAAAGTCCCTCCAGCTCCATGACGATGCCGCCCACCACCTCGATCCCACATACTGCGGTGGCTGCTACGGCGCTCAGCCTCCCGCCAATGGAGAGAAGGCTGGCTGCTGTCAGACTTGCGACGAAGTTCGTGAAGCTTATGCTCAGGCCTCATGGGCCTTTGGTCGTGGCGAGGGAGTTGAGCAGTGTGAGCGCGAACATTATGGCGAGAAGCTGGATGCGCAGCGCGATGAGGGCTGCCGTATTGAAGGAGGCCTGCGCGTGAACAAGGTTATTGGTAACTTCCATTTCGCACCCGGCCGAAGTTTCAGCAGTGGCAACATGCACGTTCACGATCTTAAGAACTACTGGGACGTGCCCAAGGGCCACTCGCACGACTTTACACACACTGTCCACTCTCTTCGTTTCGGTCCTCAGCTTCCCGAGAGTGTTGCTCGCAAGGTCGGTGCCAAGGGTTCGCTCTGGACCAACCACCACCAGAACCCCCTTGACAACACTCACCAGGAGACTCACGACCCCAACTTCAACTTTATGTACTTTGTCAAGATCGTGCCCACTTCTTACCTTCCTCTAGGCTGGGACAGCAAGGGCATTAAGATCGCCGGCCTCCTGCAGGACGACAACGCTGGCCTGGGAGCTTACGGTTATGCCGAGGATGGCAGCGTCGAGACTCACCAGTATTCTGTCACCAGCCACAAGAGAAGTCTTGCTGGCGGTAACGATGCCGCCGAGGGCCACGCAGAGCGCCAACACACTAGCGGTGGTATCCCTGGTGTCTTCTTCTCATACGTAAGTACACACCCGTATGGACACCCCCTGATATGGTCTTGTAGCTAACCCTTATTCCAGGATATCTCGCCCATGAAGGTTGTCAACCGTGAGGAGAAGGCGAAGAGCTTCAGCGGATTTTTGGCTGGACTTTGCGCCATTGTTGGTGGAACCCTTACTGTTGCTGCTGCTGTTGACCGAGGTCTGTTTGAGGGAGCGTCACGTATCAAGAAGATGCGAACTAAGGACATGTAAGCATGGAGTTAGAAGTCGTCTATATCTTCATGAAGTGGGAAGGTTGGTTCTATAGATAGGCTTAACCATGGTGCCTATTGATGGGAAGCAATGTATGTAGATATTGTAAAAGTCCACGGCAATATGCGTTGGCGGGTAGGCGTTCTGGATTAGTCGGGATTTAGCAGCATTGCAAATGATAAACCTTGAACTGCAAGCGCAGGGAAAGTCTTGAAGTCGAATAAAAGAACAATTTCAACATGGGTCTTCGTCTTTGTCTTTGTCTCATGAGGCGGCTAAAAACAACAACCACAAACTCGCTTACTGTTTTTCCAACGGTCGCTACAAGGAATACTTTATTGAGATCTGCAGTCTCCCGCATGGGGAGGGGAGGCTCTTAGGGTCTTGAGGATTGCTTCTGCTGGGGGATGGCGGATTTTATACCCATGGAGTCGATCATCACCGAGCCTGACCGCGGTAGAAAGAATAAGCAAGGAGATTAATGACAACATTCAGAGATGACTGCGTAACGAAGGATGCCCAGGTCCCCGATGATGAGGTAATTAATACTTTATGTGAAGCATGGACATGCAAGGGACTCATGATATTAGTGTGGACCGAGGGACGGCAGTTTGATATACCCGATATATTTTGAATTAGATGCTCAAGAGGCATGACAAACAAGGATTTGACAATTGGCAGGTAATCATCAAGGGAAACAAAGAAGCACAGAGTTTGATGAATTGCGGAAATAGTCCTGACCAGTCGTATCTGTAGATGGACAAGACATACTACGTACAATGGTGGCATGAAAGTCTAAAAAGGTTATTTGGCTAGTTGAAGGAGGATAAATAGAGATGGAATACATGATTGGCTGACTGATACAGCTGATCAACTTCAAAACTAGGCCTCGGACTGGTCATAAGGAAGTTTAGTATGATGGACTATAATTCTCATTTACAGAATTAGTTTAACATGTTTCTGGAGGCGAGAATGACATTGGCTAATGCACAATGCGACCAGTTATGACAGCCGTGAAACCATAGCCACATGCAAGCAGCGAGGTTTGAGTTGTGATACGACAGACAGACTGTTGGCCTCGTGCGTCGTTGCAATTGTCCCTTGCATTGGATGTTTCTTACAGATTTACGCCGTACATCACGTACTAATAAACTCGACTGCTTAGTCAAGTCTCGGCTGTGATGGACGTCTCATCTTAGTATATACGTACGCGTCTGTTGTTTAGTGAGTCTTGATTTCATTCAACACACGCGTACGGAACGGAACGCAATTTGCCTTTTTTGCTGGCCCTGGCCCTGGTCCTGGCCTAGGTACCGTTCCTGAGCCCGGTTCATTAGCGCGGCACATGGTTACTTAAAAAAGAACCCATGGTCGGAGGAGAAATAGTCGTGCTTAGGTGGAGTTGGTATGAGATTCTGGAACTTGACACTGGATTTAGATCCATATTGGATGGACGGCAATCGTTGTCTAGACTGTATAGACTGGCAGATAAGAGACATCAGCAATTATTACCTGAGAGGAAACCCCTGGTTGACAACATGGCATTGCAAAGGGGCGATGAAAGAGGCGAGGTCAGACCCAGCTCAGACTTGACTTGTTGTGCCGGTTAGGCCAGTCACGCTAAAAAGGGTCTTTGACTTATTTATGTTCGAGGCTGAGGACCTACCAGTGTTTAGTGCATCACGAGGTGCGAGGTACTCCGTACAGAGAGTGGATGATGTTGTTTAATGAGGACTCTGAAAGTGTGTATCCGTATGGACAAGACTAAGAAACGACCACAAAGTAATATTAAAGGCCGACTAAAGAGAAGCACATGCACAAGTATCCGTACCCCAGACCTTGTAATTGTATGCGTTTGTGGCTGCAACAGAATTGGTCCCTTACGGGCTCTAGATTCCAGAACCCGGAAGCGGCTTGGGAGTTGGTGGGGTCCTTTAGACAAGCCCCTGGCTGGTGTCTCATTGCATTGTGCCGTGTTTGGTTGGTTATTGAATTGTGTTAGCCAGCCAGGTTTTGAACTTTCGACATTGACGAGAGAAGACACGAGAATAATGCTGAGTATTGTAGTTAATACTAAGTATCAGTGTTTAAAAAGTTGGCTTCTTTGTGATATATACACACATATATATATATATATCCATAATGCTTCAGGTATTGCCGCGGTTGTATAGTTCTGATCCCCGACCCGACTGCAGTGTGACTTCCACTCTACTCTCTATTCAAGCATGGGCGAAATTATAGGGCAAGCCAGAGATATAATAGCCGCCTGTTGAGCAGGGTAAATTACCTACCGATAACCTTTGTCGATACAAGTGCTTTATTACCTGCCTGGAAGAGGTTGTGTCTCCGTCTTGAGTTGTGGATTCATCTCTCATCTAAGATAGGCTTGGTTTTAAACTTTCCGAGTCAATAGTGAACGCCCCTTTTGGTCATGAGGAGAGTCCTATCTTGGAACAGTTGATTACCTTAGTTAGATAGGCTCGGGAGGAATTGAGTTAAACTTACGGATAAACGTTATGTATTCTTAAGTGGGGTGGCGGATATCACATCACATCACTGCAATAGTCCAGGTGAATGAACGGTTCGTATTCGAAGGTTTGAATATCCGTAATCTTATACGATACTGCGGCCGATTCCATGGCTGACTTACAAGCTAACAAGTTACTGCAGACTGCAGAGTAGAAGATCCTCCACTTCATAGGCACAGACTTCCCGCTATCAGATGCCAGAGAGGGGCGCTTCGGGCTTTACGAGATCATTCGGATAGATGGGATTCCATCATATCAGATTGGATCATTTACATGAAAGCATGGGTGTGGCAGTAAAGGGGGGGCCACCCATCTCATGAGGCTTGTACAACGGCTGTACGTTGTGCAACTTTGATACCCTTTGTCGTCAGACCAAACAAACAAACATCACATCCATCGCTATCTACGGAATATTATTGTCGTCGTCCTCTGCTCATAACATAGCACAGTAGTAACATGCAGGACGTCTCTAGCGGCGTCGCGCCACTCAACAGCGCCTTCTGGCTTCCCACTCTTCGATGGATGTTTTGAATGTATCCGTAAAAAAGGGACATGGATCACTCCCTCTCTCCACTCTGCCACTGCATTCATCAGTCTTGTGCATCTTTGCACTTTGCACTTGAATGGATTTGTATTAGCCAATGCTGCCAGGGACAGACAAATTACCTACTAGTTTCCCCGCTGGGTGCTTGTGCTTGGGGGCCAGTAGACTACCTAACCTAAGATACCTACGGACCCATAGGCTCCCTTTGCTTCATTTGGGCCTTGCTGATACTGCTGTTGCACTGTACTTTAATGAGCCAGGCTGGTATCGGTATCCGTAGTTTGACCCTTAAACATCCACCACCTCCCACCCGACTTTGCTCCCACTGTACATACCTCTAGGTCTCATCCCAAGACAAGCCCTGTGACGCCGCCATTGTTCGTTACATACGTATTGTTTGAATTGCCAATTCACATACTCGCCGCTCTTTCTAGAACTTGCTGATTTACACTGAAATTCCTTCGTCTTGCTCTTTCGAATCTCGAATCCTTCAACGTCATTTAGCATCCTTCGCCCCACGGCCATTGTCAACAACAGCATCCATCGTCTATCGAGGAACAAATAATAGAGCACACCAAGTACACGCATCCCACGACATCGTACTGCACCGCATCGCATCACCTTGTCTTTAATCCTACATCGCCTCTCTTTCTTCCGCAAACACTAATATTGGCCTCCTGGCTCTCTGCCTGTTTCAACCTTGTTCCATCGACCATTTTCGTACCATAAATCGCATAGCGCGGCCCATGCAAGATCCCTCTCCGCCGCCGATCACACCTTGGCTGTTGTCTGTCGCCCTCGACTCGCTGTCATTCTAAATATCTGTTCGCCATCCTACAATTCATGTTCGCGCCCAGGTCATTTATTTAGATACTCTTTTCTTCGCCCTCCATAGAATATTTCCGCCAGCTTGATCGATCCGACATAACGTCAAAGCAGCAACCCAACGAGCTTAAACCTGACCGAGCAAGATTTGGGCGCCGTTGTCGAAAGGAAATATCCAGAAAGGATTGCCCATCTTAGTTCTGCATTTGCCGTGCGCTTTTGTTGTTCAACTCACCTGTCTGCATGGAAACAGGCCTCCATAGCTAGACTTGTACTACAGAGCGACCACCATGTCGTCACGTCCGTCTTTGCTGGACTTGCGATCCGATACGGCACAGTCGAATCTTTCTACAGTTTCTAAACCTCTACGCTCACCTCGCCTACATGTCGCCGGTGAAATCCCTCCCGAGCTGTCGCCCCTCGATGCTTTTGCCATGCAGAGCCGTTTGCTTGCAAGACAATTACAAGAAAGCGCCAAGGAGGGCAATCGAATAAGCCGCCTGCCTCCTCTAACCGTTGAGAGCCCTTTAATAGTTCAAGGACGTTCCGATTACTTTCGTTCCTTATCGCAAGATTCAGGCTCAGAAGCCGGCGACCATCCCCCTCTGCGCCCTCCTTCCGGCCTTGGATTAAGGACAGAATTGGAAGATGCCTTCAGCGATGAGGCTGAGCGCCCTGTATCGATGCATCCACGAATGAGTCGAATACCACCAACACCCGATGAAGAAGTACCTGCAGTACCTCCTCGAGCTGCGTCTAGAGGACAAATCTTGGATCACATCGATGAGACGGGCTCATTCTATGGCGCTAGGAGAGAACGATCACCCTCATCATTACATAGTGATACACTCTCCCAGTCTGATAGGCGAATTGAGTCGTCACCAACTCGGAAGGATGATAACGCTTCTTTGCTCTCCGCCCGACGACCCAGCGGCTCGATTAGTGGTTCTATAGCCGGCTCACCAGAGAAGCCCAAGGTGCACTCGTTCGACGAGCTTGGGCTCGCACCACCTCAGAACTTCTTCCCCCAAAGAAGACGTACGCCCAGCAATGTTTCCTCTCCGGCTGTAGTCACCGACGAGGATGGCTCCGGCAACATGGCTGGTTCATTTCATTCACTGCCTCCACGGAAACTATCCTCTGCAAGTGCAATGGCATCGCCAGGCATGGGCTCATATCGACGATCACCATCCATTGGCTCCGAATCCTCTGCGCTCCCTCGACCTTCCTTCAATTTCTCAAGACCGATGAGCAGGTCAGGAACACCCGGTATGGAGCCACCCTTAAGACAAGCTTCCTCTGATAGCCAACCCTCGTTCATATTGGCTGATGACTCGGCTCATACACCAGTGAGCATGCACAGTGAAGCATTCCTTGAGCAGCAGGCCGAAGATCGCGACAAGGGTGCACCATCATACATCTATTCCAAATTCACACTTCCGAGAGGCAAGTCTATTCAACGAGGGGACGGAGATGAACATACCCAAGGACCTTTCGACTGGGAGCACCCCATCGTCCCTCCGAGCGATCACCAATTTGAGAATGCTCCTCCTCCGTCACCTCCAACACGACCGGCGAGTTCTTCAGCCAATACCGCTCCGGATGATTCGATAGCATCAGGAAGCCCAATGCCGAAGGCTTCCGTAGAACTGAGAAAGGTCCAATCAGCGACAACGCCACCACCCATGCCAGAGCTATCTTCAACTCAAGGCGAACCCTCAGTTGAAGAATCGCGACATTCTGAAGATGTACCAAGAGGTCGAGGTCGAGGCCGCACACCTGTCTCAATTGATACAAGCGACAGTGCAAGCACCATTAGACCGCCACCCACTGCTCGCTCGACTGCCCTGACCGTTTCAGAGATGAGTGCGGAGGAACACTTGGCCAAGGGCATCGAATGCCACGAGAACGGAGACCTGAAGGAATCTACATATCACCTCAGACATGCAGCTCGCTTGAATGACCCGACCGCCATGCTCCTATACGCGCTTGCCTGCCGGCATGGATGGGGTATGCGTGCAAACCAAAAGGAGGGTGTGGAATGGCTAAGAAAAGCTGCGGAATACGCTAGTGTCGAAATCGCGGATGACGAGAGCCATGCGAAGGAAGGCAAGCATGTCGATGTTGTAGAGCGGAGGACCAGAAAGGCTCAATTCGCCTTGAGTATTTACGAACTGGGAGTGAGCCACATGAATGGCTGGGGCATTGAGCAGGACAAATCATTGGCTCTGCGGTGCTTCGAGATCGCCGGTAGTAAGTCTCACTCAAGAAGCACTTCATTTCTAGCCATTTGCTAACCAAAGTACAGACTGGGGCGATGTTGACGCGCTGGCAGAAGCTGGTTTCTGCTATGCGCAGGGTATCGGCTGCAAAAAGAATCTCAGAAAGAGTGCCAAATTTTATCGAATGGCTGAAGCCAAGGGCATGAGCATGGTTGGAAACAGCTGGTAAGTCTTACATCTGCAACATGTCTCTCCACGTCAAGCTCTTGTTTACTGACATGAACCAGGATTCATAAGGCCAAGTACGATGATGACGATGGCGAATCAGCCACGCCCAAGAAGGATAAAAAGAAGGCCCGGAGCAAGTCCCGAACCAGAACCATGTTTGGATTGAAGTAATCCAAGAAGCCTCTTCAGTGGCATGCCCACTACGATATCATGACATCCTTGACATACCCATTTAATCGGAGTTTTGACTGGTTTTCTGCATCGCACAGGGGGGTTTCATGGGGTTTGGGGGAAGTTATATTTTACTCCTTGCAGTGACTGCTCGGTTGAGCATTGAGCCTCCACTGGTAAAAGAACTCGATGCAGTTCTATACTCAGCATCAGCTCCCAAGACATGATTTTCTTTTGTATAGCGCATATTTACCCTAGATAGAGGGATCATTATGGATTATTATACTCAGATTAAGCAAAAGAACGCCGCTGCTTGATGTACAGCATACCGGCTGTCTATCCTATTCTTGGGATTCTTGTATAGCGTTCCAGATAGGAACCGACAAAAAGCTAAAACGCTACCCTATATTACGCAAACACTGCTTCTCTGTAATTTCATTGTAAATAATATATTGGTATCACTAGCATCGTCAGTCGCAACTCTGCCCTCTTGTAGGGTAGTTTGAAAACCCCAGTTTGCATTGTACTCGGTTTGCGTATTGTTACATCTCATGCTCTACCTTATCTAACGTTCCAACCGGCTTTAGACTCTTTAGGTGTCGACGTCCATCTTCTCCTCAACATGTACCTCTTCCACGCTGATGTACCTCTTAATCTCGTCCTTCTTGATGATCTTCTCGTTCAACACCGCTGTCGTACCCTTCGCGAAGCGGTAGCTCTGCAGCTTAGGTTCCTTCTGGTTAGGAGTGATGTAGTTTCTCTTGAGTGTTGTCTTGTCCTTGGTGATGATGGCAACGTCCACGTTGGAACCGGATCCCAGATCGTTCCAGATACCAGCCAGGATGGCATCGCTTGCCAGCTTGATGGCATCCTCTTCGGTAAGATCGGGCTTCCACTGCGTCTCGAAGACACTCATGGCTGCCAAGCTACCACTACCCATGGTGACGTAGGGGAGCTTGTCCGTGCTGCCGTGAGCGTGGACAGTGAAGAGGTGGGTGCCGGTGGGGTCGACGCCAGCAACAACGAGGTAGGCACCGATGTGGCCCTGGTAGCGGAAGAGGTGCTGCTTCAGAAGGGTCATGCAGGTGACAACGCGGGGCTTACGGCCTGTGGATAGGGAGTGCAGCTCGAGCTGGGAGGAGATAAGGGCGGTGGTGAACTCGGTATCGGCGGCTGTACCGGCACCAGCGCACCAAATTTGAGGCGAGATATAATGAAGCTTCTCGCAGTTCTTGTCGGCGACGATGGGGCCGGATGTAGCTCGAGTATCGGCAGCAATCTAGTGACAAGAGTGTTAGTACCGAGCTCTTGTTCGAATAGAGATAACTTCATCTAGCTAGGTGCGACGGGCTTCGGCTAGAGGGAGGAAAGCGGTCACTTACCACAACGCCACCATCGAATATGCATCCCACGATAGTTGTTCCGGTGCTGGTGGCCTTGGGAAGAGGCACTCCTCGAGCATGGAGGGCCGCATTGCGGTTGTAGTTTGAGAAATCGAAACCAGGCATTTTGAAAGTTCTATGAGCCCCCAATCCGATGTATACAGCTGGTAGAAGTACGTTATAATGACACGGCGTCGCAAGAAGTGTTGAAATCGCTCGGGGTATCTCTTGCGGTGGGGATATCGGTGGTAGTTGACTGAGGCGAGTAGAAGTGAGGTTAACAAGGCAGAGCTGATGACGAGGCTAAAAGCTGCCTTCAGCGGTTGAGCTTCAGTGTAGCACCTAGAACACCTCCAGAGGCGCGCTCTAATTGGATGGGGACACGCAGACATGGCACCTCACCTAGGCTCTCTACTAAACTACAGGCTGCAGCAGGAAGCACTCCAGCAGTAGCTCCAAGCCAAACACGTGACGCCAGAGCTCCCAGAAAGTTACTTGCGTTACTGAACTAAGGCATCAGGGTAATTGAAGAAGTTGCTATTATATGTGAATTCTCATCAGGTTATGACAATAAGCAATCATCAGAAGTTTTTCCATAATCTTCATATCCTCAGACACAATCGATATCCTGAATTCAGAACATACCGCCTGTTGTCATCGACTAGACGCACCTATCAGCCAATCACAGGGTTTCAAAGCACGGTCTCCCAGCCTACCGCGACTAGACGTTACCTGAGAACAAGCTCCCCGGTCGCCCCAACCCACTCCTATGCTGAGGGCAAATTTATGAACTTCAGGTCCTTTCTCCAAGGCCGGATACTTTGCTACAGTTATGGCCTTTGGTTTCAGTAATTCAGGAAACGCCATGCTTGGGAGCGCCGTAGGAGCAGGAGGATTGACGACAGGCCCTGACCTGGAGACTATCCAGACAGAGGTGAGTGCGCTTGTCTTTTTGTCGCTGTCGCTGTCTGTGCATTGGCTTGTTTTGTTGACTGCACCGACGTGATACTAATCTTTCGCAATTCGAATAGGACCTTGGTTTTCTTTCTATCGCCGGCGACGCCAAGGTTCGCCTGACGTCTGCATGGCCGTCTCTTCCATCATCTACCGCGTCGCTCCTCAGCGTCGCTTCGCGCAAAGGTCTTGTTGCTGCAGCTGGACCCGACCAAGTCGTTATCGCCACAACTGAATCCGTCAGAAAAGCCTTCGAAACACCAAAAGATGGCGACTCGGATATACGAAGTTTCGAGCCTCAGCTCAAGATCCCCATGCCGATGCGAGTTTCGCAGTTATCCTTTACCGCGGATGAGAACTACTTGATCCTTTCGGCGGAATCTGGCGGTGGATTGGCCGTGTACGAGGTTCAGAGCCTGCTTTCAGGATCAACAAACTCGGCTTTCGAATTGTCGACTAATGGTGAAACCTTGCGAGCCATGATCCCGAACCCTACATCCGAAAAGGCAGAGCTTTGCGCCATCGTGACAAACAATGGCAATTTACACATGGCGAATCTCAAAGAGCGACAGATTAGCAACCCTCTCAAGAACCAAGTCAGCTGTGTTAGCTGGAGCTCCAAGGGCAAGCAACTATGCGCTGGTATGGGCGATGGCACAATCTTCCAGATGACACCGGAAGGAGAGGGTAAAGGAGAGATTCCTGCGCCGCCCAATATGGGCGACGTTCACGGTAAGTCAATTAAGAGCAGGTGGATGGATGGTATGTAAAACTAACAACATCTAGTATCGTCTCTTACCTGGCTAGAGAATAACCTCTTCTTGTCCATTCACACTTCAAACAACCAATCGCCACCGACATCTATCTATCACATTATTACGCGCCAACCGCCATCCTCTTACAACTTCCAGAAACTTACTGACCCCGTCGAGCCTTTTGGTTCAGATAAGACACCACATCACTCAATCTTGCGGATTCGGGATTTCGCCCCAGCTCTTCAAGACATGCTCATTGTTGCTTCCACTGCAGCCTCAGAAATGGGTGTCTTGAGTCGATCAAAGACTCCGTTAGCAACAGACAGGCCCGCGGACTCTATTACCGGAGTGTTTACAACAACAGAATTCCTGGACGATACCAAGAGACCGACACTGCCCATGACTGATTCTATGGATGACTCGACCCCGATTGGTGTTGCGCTTGATCTTTCTGGCAAGGAAAAGGTATACAAGCCCATACCTTCAGATGTTGAGTTGGAAGAGTCGCCAGGTCCACTTCCTGGATTTTGGGCACTCACACATGAGGGTGTGCTTTGCGCCTGGTGGGTAGTCTACAATGAATCTATCAGACAGGGTACATCGTATCTTCATTTGACTGCTATTGAAGGCACTTCAGCTTCAGCAATAACGCCAGCGCCTCAAACTGCTGCTCCTGCCGCCTCGGCCTCACCTTTCGCCAACCCCGGGCCATCTGCGTTTGGTTCAGCTGCTCAGCTTGGACAGAAATCATCCCCATGGGGAAGTGCCAACACTGGCGCTGCGGCCCCCAGTACCGGGGGTGCCGTCTTCGGGTCAACCGGCTTTAGCAACACCGCGGCTACCTCGGCTCCAGCATTTGGCAAGCCCAGTGCGATCGGCTTTGGACAATCATCTCAACTTGGCGCAAAGAGCTCCCCTTGGGCAGCTGGATCGGCATCAGGCGGAGCAGCCCCCGGGTCGGCTCCTGCTTTTGGCCAGTCTGGATTCTCGAGCTTTGCCAGCAACAACAACACAAGTCCTTTCGGAAAGGCAGCGACCAGCACATCGTCCGGAGCCCCAGCATCTGGAGGGTTTGCTGGGTTCGCTGGCAAAAGTGGCTTTGCTTCTGTGAACAACGAAGGCAGTGGTAGTGTGTTCGGCAGCGGAAACAAGCCAACAGGTGGTGCTTTCGGGTCTCCCTCGACTACCGACACTGCGTTCTCGGCTAAACCACAGGAGTCCTCCAGCAGCCCATTTGGATCAACACCTTTCAAGCTCCAAAGCTCATTCAAACCTGATGGATCTGCTGCCAACGATAACAATGCCAAGCCCACTGGTTCCTTGTTTGGTAGTAACTTTGGATCGGCTCTTACTGATGTTAATAACAAACCTGCCGTTACAACACCTACTCCCAGGGACGAGGATATGGGTTCCGCCGCGCGGACAGAAGAGACCCCCCGAGCGAAGAAGGATTCCTTGTTCCCTGCGCAACAAAGTCCAGAATCCACTACTCCAACCACTACTCCTGCGCCATCGAAGTTTGGTTTTGCTCCGTCTCCTGCCCCGGCCTCGTCGAGCTTTGGACAGCCATCCAAGTTCGGCTCTAGCGGCGGGCTCTTTGGAAACAAATCAGAGACACCTAAACCCAGCGGCGGTCTGTTCAGCTCTACCTCAAGTATCCCTAGGCCAACTGGTGGTCTCTTCAGTTCAACTTCAGAGACACCCAAGACAGGGGGGCTATTTGGATCACAACAAAACACGCCCCGAGCCAGCATCTTTGGAGGGCAACCGAAGCCGAGTGGTTACACAGGAATTTTCGGACAGAAGTCGGAGTCACCTAAGGCCAAGAGTCCTGGGAGTGAATCTCCCAAGGTCAAGCTGGAGGAGGAGGATGACGCCCCGCTACCCCCTGATAGCGACTCGTCTTCCGCATCCAAGCCTGAGGATGCTCCTTTGCCCCCAGACTTCACATCCACCCCTAAGCCCGCAGCCGACTCTGCTGACTCTGCCGATGCTCCATTGCCACCTGATTTTGTTAACGTCTCCAAACCCACAAGTAATCAGTCGCTAGGCTCTGATGCTCCCTTACCACCTGACCCGGTTATTCCAGCCAAGGCTAGATCTGTTTTTGACAAGCCAGATGGTACTCCTAAGGCACCTTCCAACCTTTTCCCTGCCGTCAACGGACCTCCTTCAGACGATAGTGACGAGGATGACGAAGACGAGGAAGAGGATGAGGAGGAAGAAGAAGAGGAGGAAGAGGAAGAAGACAATGGGTCCGAAGGAAGTGGTGTTGATGTGGCTAAGGACTTGAGTCCTACTATCAGCAATATTACGCCAGGTTATACACCTCAGAGTTCGTTCGGTGGTCCTGGCGGAAATGCTCTCGTAAGTCCTCGGGCAAACCAAGATAGTTCACGGCCACTGTTTGGGGAGCTGAGTCGCAATGCTCCTGTATTCCCACGTCCCAACGCCACCAGCCCCCGTTCTCCCAGCCCGGTCCGAGGCGCAGTACCAAACAGAGTCCTCAGGTCAGATAACATGAGATCAGTGAGCGCGCCAGGTGTAGCATCAAACCTCCTCGGCGCCAGGCAGTCTCAGATGGGTGCGTCTATTACCAGCAGAGATGGTCGCTCAACAGAAGACCCGTTTGTGGCTCAGCATCGCAAGTTGAAGGCTAAGCAGGAAGCTGCAGAGACTCAGCCGTTGGTTGACGAGGATGACGACGAGGTTCAGAGGCTTTTGGCGTCACAGGCGGAAGGAAGCCTGACCATGGACGAGTTCATTGCCCATTCGAACGTCGCTCCTCCTGCCAAGGAAAGCATCCCAAGCCAAGTTGAAGCAGTCTACCGAGATATCAACTCCATGATTGACACCCTTGGCCTGAATGCGCGAACCGTCAAATCGTTCATCAAGGGCCATACCGACAATCGCAAGCAAGGTGGACGCAGCAAAGAACATCTTGATGCCCCCGAAGACTGGGTTCTTTGCGAAATCGATGAGCTGGGAGATGTTTTGGACAGTGAGCTTTACGCTGATCTTGAGGATGGGCGTGTTCGTGATTTGGACGATAAGCTCGATGCATGCCACGAACTCGCCAGAGATATGCACCGCCTCCGAGCTAAGCAGGAAGACCTGAAGCAGATCCTCATGATCAGAACCGACCCAGACCAGGCTGAAGTGACGCGATCGATGCCCCTGAGTGCGGAGCAAGCAACACAACAAAATGAACTGAGACGGGAGTTTGCCAAGTTCTCGAAGCTATTGGCCGAGGCAGAAGAAGCGCTGACGCTACTGAAGACCAGAATCGCATCTGTATCTAGCGGCTATGGCAAAGGCAAAGCAAACGTCCCCACGGTCGACGCGGTGATCCGTACTATTAGCAAGATGACGGCCATGGTGGAAAAGCGCAGCGGAGACATCGACGTTCTTGAGAATCAGCTACGCAAGGTCACTCTAAACCCCACGAGCCGAGAAGGTTCCCCAATGGTGACGCCTCAGGGACGAAGAAGTGTTATGTTTTCTCCTGAAGGGACGCCTGTACGCAATCTGCGTCATAGTTTCGCAGGTAGCATGTCTCTGGGTGCATCTATGCGAGCGACCCCCCCGCGCAAGAAGCTTAGTGGCTTCAGCCGGGAGGAAAAGGGTGATTTGATGGAAAAGAGAGCGCGTCGACAGGCTGTTCTGGGCAAGCTGAAGAGCAGCGTTGAGAAGAGAGGCGTCAATGTTTGGAACATGGAGGATATCGAATAATCAAGAAAGAGGAGAATGGGATTGACACTCCAAAGGCAACTAAGAATTTGAGTATGAATAGGACATGAGACAAACAAGCAACTGTAGTTTAGAGATTAAATAGTGTATCAATTGGCCAGGTAAGCTGCTTAGCTAGCTATGTATTTTTTGCCCATGGATATTCCCTATCTGCTTTTTATCATTACATAGCCTGATGTTATTAAAAGGTCAACTGAAAGTAAGGTAACTGGACTCCATTATTCATTCATATTATAACCATATTATTATCCAACCCAAACACCTTTTTTGTTCCTCGGGTATTGTCGAATGTCGATTCTGTTGAGACAAGCGCTGCGTCAGAGATGAATTCTTCTCTGGTCTGTTTAAGTTCCAGGCGTAGGTGGAGCAGCAGATCGTGGAACTGCAGCCTTGGGGTCTACGGTAGAAGTGTTTTTGGAGACATCGCGAGGAATATTGGATGGGTTAGAGTGAACCCGGCAGTGCTCCTTGTTCTTGTGCTCAGGGTGAGTACGAGGAGTGTAGCTGAAGAGTTGGTATTAGCTCAGTAATTCTTGAGCAAGGACTGGGTTAATTACTTGACGAAGGAGAGCATTTTGGAGATATGAAGTTGCTGTGGCTAATACTTTATAGGATAGAAGTTGTTGGTGAGGTTCGATATTATTCTAGAAGCCAATTGGTTGCTGGATGATGATGATGATACTAATGGTGAACTTGGCAGACTCGAAGGGATGTCAAGGAGCATTATATACTTCATATTAACCAAAAACAACTTGACTACATTATATTACAAACATTGACATGGCCGGACCGGCTATGCTCTGGTGATTGCCTGGCAGCACCTTTACTTGCACGTGTGACCGGCATCGACTTACAGGTAGAGCAGGGATCCGTTGAAGGTTCTGAGTCTTACTGGGCGGTTCTGACGTCGCACGGATTGCTCGGACAGGGAGGTGATGGCATATCTTAGCGGGGGAACAGAATGCGCGTGACCCTTGAAGCGAGGAGGAGGAAGTGCGTTGCAACTACAATGGGAGAAACCTTGTATAGGAACAGGGCATCTGGCGATGCACGCTGAGTGATTGGGTGTGCTGATCTGTCTCTCCAGAGGCCGGCCCGGTGGGTGAGTCTATCTGTTCTACAAAGGCCTACCGAGTACGGAGCAGCAGGGGGCCAATCTCGGTATCCTAGACAAAGATTTACTGGGAATAGGAAGCCTGGATAAGAGACTCTGGGGTGTAAGCGAGATCCCAAGGACCTCTATCTTGTTAATTAGGTGACGACAAGCCGAAGTCGCTCGGAAAGAGGCGAAAATCAAGATGTGACACGAAAACGGCACAGTCAGTCGCAATCGAAGTTAATAACATCATTTACCTCACATGTAAATTCAATTGATACTGCGCTCATGCAAAGCAGCCTCGACTGATGTTGCTTCTCCCATCAGACCATGTTCTCACTCTGGGTACGTACCTAATATTGGGTTCAGCCCAGACTCCGGGTCCTCATGAGTGGAGCCCGCCTGAAGCCGACAGCCACCGAAGCATGAGGCCCCGCAATCGGTGGTTTCGGAGATGAGTGGGGCCACGCGCCGTCCTTCGCGACTGCATCTTTTTTCAATTCAGGTCCACTTCTTCTTTCACCGTTGTAGGCCCACTTTCTTCACCTGCGACTCACCGAGCCTTCACCTTAGAGGGGCATCAAAAAATTATTGTTTGCTTCGCTCATTACCACTGATACCATCACCACCGGTATTCATTCTTTTTACTTGCTTGGATACACATAACAACCACCACAATGGCTCCCACACAGCAGGCTGCGTGGAGAAAAGCTCCCACCGAGGAGGACATTGCGCGCCGCCAGGTAAAATACCAATTAATTCGTTCGGAGACCTGTCTGAATCTAACTTTTGCGCGCGCAGACCGTCGGCATCAACAAGGAAACCGTCACGGACATCTCATCCACCGATTACCCTGGCCATTACCCCGGCGAGGACCTTGCCTTCACGCTCGATCGCTTCCGTGACGCCTTCTCGGTGAATTTCCACCAGAACGACCAGTTTCTCTCATCCTTCTCCCTCGTCGGAATCGACGCCTCGCTCGCAAACGCTTTCCGTCGTATCCTTCTTTCCGAGATCCCCACCCTCGCTATTGAGAACGTCTATATCGAGAACAATACCTCTGTCATCCAGGACGAGGTGCTTGCCCACCGTCTTGGTCTCATTCCCTTCAAGGGCGGTCGCGAAGGTCTGCACAACTTCCTCAAGTGGCATAAGAAGCCAGAGGCTGGCGAGGACCCTTATGCCGGCTGCTTTGACTGGAACACGGTCCGTCTCGAGCTCAACGTCACTTGTACCGTTAACGAGGATGCTTCGCCTGCCGAGAACGACCCTCTCAAGGCCTACCACAATGCGCACGTCTATGCGCGCGACATTGTCTTCGTCCCTACTGGCAAGCAGATCGAGTACTTTAGCGGCGAGGACGCCATTGCGCCCACAAACCCAGATATCTTGATCGCTAAGCTGCGACCCCGACAGACTATCAACCTCGCTATGCATATGCACAAGGGTGTCGGCTCTGACCACGCCAAGTTTTCTCCCGTTGCGACTGCCTCTTACCGCCTTCTACCTACGATCACGATCACGAAGCCCATCTTGGGAGCCGATGCCGAAAAGTTCGCCAAGTGTTTCCCCAAGGGCGTTATTGGTGTTGAAAAGGTCACACCCGAGGAAGCCGCTCGATCTGGCAGCGGCTATGAGGGCCAGGAGGGCGAGACCAAGGCTGTGGTTGTGGATGCTATGAAGGATACCGTCAGTCGTGAGGCTCTACGACACGCAGAGTTCGAGGGCAAAGTGAAGCTGGGCCGAAGACGGGACCACTTCATCTTCTCTATCGAAAGCACAGGGCAGTGGGATAGCGACGAGCTCTTCCTCGAATCAGTTAAGCATCTGAAGCTAAAGTGCAAGAAGCTCGAGCAGCAGGTTATCAACATGGCGAGGTAATTTATCTAGCGCATCAAAGGGGGATTTTGGTTCTTTCTCGGCGCTGTATCGTAATTTGGTTGATTTGTTTTCTGCGGTCTCTACGGTTAGATAAAAAGAAATGATACCATGACCACATCATAATATTTGTCACCCGTTCTCTACCCCATGACAATGTTGAATGCTCTATTCTTTCTCATCCGTCCCCACCGCAGATCTCTCATTGACATGTCCAACGCCGAAATATGCCCAAAAGCCTGAACGCCATTCACTGATTGACCTGTTGGCCAAGAATCAGGAAGCTGTCTTGAACTTGAGGTAAAAGTTGAACTCGAGGGGGAATGCCGGGTCAGTGACCACAACCTGCTGCCCATTTTCAAGTCCAAGCTCCTTAAGCGTCTTGCTCAAGTTCGGACGTGTCTGTTCCTCCAAGCCAGGAGGGAACTGCATATACAACGTCTTCCCCTCTGCACGAATCGATGGTTTCTTTAGTTGGGCTTCGGGACGAATGGCAAATGAGTCGATCAACTCCTGCAGTGCTGCCTTAGGGTCGACCTCTAGCGGGCGAGCCTGGCGTCCACAGACAGGGCAGTCATCCTTCTTCTCGTGCTTGAAGGTATATGTGTAGATGCTATCGTTGCCCGAGTACATCATGTAGTTTGTTTCGAACCCAAGACATGGCGCTGACGTCGTGGCAATCTTGAAGGCTTCATTGCAGCATGCAGCGGCGATGATGGCATTGGTAGATGCAATGGCTGGAATGATGTTTTTGATGGTTCCTTGTGTTAGGGAATAAGTGACACCTGATATGCCAAACTCCTGTGCCCGAGTAAGTGCCTTCTGGTACAGCCAGGTAACGTGCTCAGGGTCATCCTTGTCCAGCTTTGGGAACGGCTTCTCCTGCTCCCATGCAATAACTTGAGCCCACTCGACACAATGCTCGGGCTGTCGAGGAATCGAGGCGATAGTGCATAGAGGAACAGCGGCGCGGGGGGCGTGCATGTCCAACTGGCACTCAATACAGGAGGTTATGGATGGCAGTACGACTCGTGCCTGGCCCTTGAAGCCTTCAGTACCACCGTCGATAAGTGGCTTTATCGCATCGGGATCCTCAGCTTCTTCGGCAATAGAAACCAGCATGGCATTGATCCAACGACGGGCCTCGATGCTGTCCAGCCCGCAGATGACAAGCTGAAATTGCTTGTAAAACTCCTCGTCAAAGTCCTGGATACGATTGTTGTGGGCTGTGATGGAGACGCCCTTGACTCTCTTTTCAACGAACGCGGCGGCGACTTCAGCTTTGTATTTACCGACATCATCCTTTCGGAATAGGAACTGGCGGTTGAGGTTTGATATGTCAATAGTATCTGAGGCAAGGTGAGCTAAGAGTTCATAGTAGCTTGCGAGTCATCAACAAACCCATATCTATCACGTGAATATTCTTGAATCTCGACATTGCGAGGTTCTTGAGAATCTCGCATCCTAAACCACCCGCACCGCTGTTCGCTAAATCAGTAAGTCTGCCATTGAAGCTCGAGGGAACGCAACTGACATGACGCTGTGGGAGGTTAGCTTGATATCTGACATGATGCAGGACAGGCACTGCAATGCTTACAGAATCTTGAACTTTTCGAATTGTGCAAGAAACTCAGGTGCAGTGGCATCGGGATCGGTATAAGGCCCTGCATTGCGGCGGATCTGGTCGAGATATTTCCTATCCTCATGGTCAGCGGTTGGCGGTTCTAAGAGCTACAGTAGCTTCAAGGTAATTGGTCTTTACCATCGCGTATCCTCGTAGCCACCAGCGGCGGAATCAATTTCAGAACTCATATTCTGGTATGTGAATGGATCTCCAAAGTGAAGGTAAAATAAGTTGGAATGTATATGTAGAGGTTGTAAGGTGAAAGATACAGCTTTGTCTGTTTGAGAAGGATCCGTGCATGGGGGAGGATCGTCATTGCCTACCTAGGTAGACTACCTACCTGTCTGAGGTGGCTCGGTGAGTCTCGGTGAAGGTGGGGTCACCTTGTGTCAACTTCAGTACCAGGCAGTAAGTATTCTATGGAATTCCTAACTTGACTTTAACCTTCAACTTGACAAGTTTTCTTATGAAAGGGTCATAAAATACTGCTTTTTGGAAAGAAAATTCTCCCTTAATTCAATGGTCAACGACTTGACCCATCAATAGTCAAAATGGATGATCTTCTTACACCCGTGAGCACTACATATCTCAAGCCTCGAAACGAGCCTGAGCCGCTTTTTAGAGAGGTCAAGACAGCTTCTTCGCAGGGGGAACCAAGAACGCCCAGTGTCATCTCTACGGCTGATGACGCTGTAGATGCTCTCAAAAATCAACCGGACTACGACAGTCTCATCTCAGTCCTGCAATTTCTTAGTAGCCACAGAACTGCCTCTGATGGCTTTTCATTCTCAGCGCCCAGTCCTAAGAATGCATCGATCATACACTTGCTCGTCACCGAAATTGCACCAAACTACTGGACTCTTCTACTTGAAGGAGCTGTAGACGAAGCTACACATTATAATACAGCACTTCCATCAGATGCAGATCTCTTTATTTGCTGCCTTCGCAGTCTGACTGGTCTCAACGCAGTGATCACGCAAATCAGAGCCCTCATCCAAGAAGCACGCCTAGGAGGAAAGGAAGAAAGAAGAACTGACCTGTCTCTGAATCTTGGGATTCTTTTGAGCGTGCTCTCTTCTATTCTTGTTACCGATGGATCAATTCCTGCCATATGGTCTGGATCAACCAGGTCAATAGCCAACGCCAGTCTGCAGAGAGTACAGTCCCAAAAGCTGAGCTCTATCCTCACCAATGGCCAAATTGTATCAACTTCTGCAGAAGCTATGGAGATCATCGGGCGCGATAAAGTTCGTGATGACACACAGTGGGTTGGCGACGGACTGCCATACAGCACATGGATGGGAAACGCTATTGTCGCATGGGTCACTTCATCTCCTGAAGCAGACGCCATGTCATTCTCATCTGAGCTATTTCAGAGGGCACTATCTCTGCAACATTCAGGTACGTTATCAGATCATCAGTGTTATTAACAACTTCTTACCATCATACTACAGAAAATCTTATCAAAATTGTGATTGATCGACTTATTCTTTCCCCCGAGAGTTCGGTTTCAACATTTACACAGCTTGCTCTTAGCCAGCCCCGGACATCTAAAAAGATCATCCATCTTCTACTTCGTCATCTTTCACAGAAACACCTGCAAGGTCTAAGCCTAGATGATACATCCCCAAACGACAAGGTCTCTGCAGTGGCCCGGCTTCTCAAGGAACTAGCCTTGAACGATGCAACGAGAAGAGAAGTACTTATAAACTGGTGTGCATCTTCATCTGGTGCCGGACTTGGCGACGGCATTGGAATTCGGCGGGCTGTTGTGGCTGCACTCGCACAAGATCGAGACGCCATCATCGCCGTGCTGGAAAAGAGTCTCGCGCAGTTTGGGGACGAGCTGTACATCAAGCATTCTGCGATACTTCAACAGAATGGTAAGAATTTACTGATACATTACCGTCCTAGATAGCTAACATTTTCTAGTGCATACCCAGATTTTGCTTCTTGCCGCTGGCTACGTGCACCGAATATCTCCTATCAAACTAACGTTACTCATGCGAGTTGGTACCTATATGACCACTATCTCCAATCGAATTGGATCAACGCAGTCTACGGCTCAGTTTCTTGGACTTGTTGTGGGTGAGACCCTCTCTGCCCTTGTCGACGACAAGAAGAAGAGACTTGACTTCAAGATGGAGCAGACAGAAACAGAGGAAGCAAAGCATTTGAAGGATTTGACCAATGTCTACGACCCTATTGGATCGATCGATCCTATTCTATCGAATCTCAAAACCGAGACGATACCTCAAAAGCGGAAAGTGGTAGCACCGAACAAGACTATACAAAAGAAGACAAAGCAGAGAAAGAAGCCAATTGTCACAGAATCCAAACCCAAGGCCATTATCGAGGAAGTCGATTCGTCAGATGACGATGAAGATCTTGCCCCTTATTCGAAGGACTCTGACCCCGAAGACTCAGATGACGACGCGACACTTGTCCAGCGCAACAAACCCAAACCGCCTGTCTATATCAGAGACCTCGTCTCATATCTTAGGGACTCCGAATCGTACGACAAGCAGGTACTCGCCCTCCAGACCGCACCAGTTCTCATTAGACGCAAGACAAACTATGGTACTGAAGTCAGCTTCCATGCCGATGAGTTGGCTGGGCTTTTGGTGGGAATCCAAGACAAGTTTGAGATTGAAAACTTCCAGGACTTGCGCCTGCAAGGTATGGTTGCTTTGGTAGTCTCCCAGCCAAAGACCATGGCCCCTTGGTTCGCCCGCACCTTTTTTGAAGGCGATTATTCGCTTCATCAACGGACATCGGTCCTTATCACTCTAGGTCTCTCAGCCCGGGAACTGGCAGGGTTCGAAGCATCCGAGTATCAGTCGGCTGCTGCCTTTCCTTCGAAGCGACTGCCCGAAAAGATGGAGCAACTTTACCTCAATTCGACAAATGACAACAGAGCTCTGCCATCTTCTCAGCTGAAAACACTTCCATCAAATGCTCTCGATACTATCTCACAGTCCCTAACATCTTCGTTCCTCGCTCCACTCGCCGCAGAAGCAGCCGATTCTAATACAGGACCTGACGTCTTGAAACTTCAGACTTTCACGGCACGCTACAAGTCAAAGACGAAGTCCAAACCTCGAGTGCGCGCCATTCCCAACACCACTGCAGCTCTCCTCGCCACGTCCTTCTTCTCCCCACTTACTGCCCATTTTCAAGTCGCTCTTTATTCTGCAAAGCCGATTATTCTTAATCACGCACTTCTAGCGCTTTACCTGCAAACCTTGGGCATCGTGATTCATTCGGCAGGACCTTCAACGCTTTCCCTGCCGCAATTGACTGCCGAACTATGGAATCTGCTTCTCGGCGTGCGTGTACACGTTTTGGGGGATCTCGGCGCCATGAAGGGCTGGCTAGTCGCCATGGCATCGCTCCTGGAAGTGAACGGTGGTGACATGCGTCGACTCTGTGAAAATCAAGGCAGAGAAGTTATGGAAACAAGAGAGTGGGTTGCGATGGTGTTTGAGAAGACAAGAGGAGAAGACGGCGGGGAGGAGAACGAGGTCAAGATGCTGTCAGCGGGCGTGTTGATCAGGATAGGAGAAGCCATTGAAAAATATCAAGCTTTACTAATGGGAGACATGATTGGATTCTAATAGGGTCAAGTTAGAAGCAAGAGTAAACTACAGTTTAATTTCACATTTTATTCGTAATTAACCTATGATCGGTTATGCATCATGTTGAACACCATCCATTTCAACTAGCTTTCGTCATTGAACCCAAGTAACTCCCTCGCTCAAATGTCAGATTATTATCTTGTCCACGCTCAGATGCATAAGAGAAGCCACATTAAGGTGTTTCGACAGACTCAACCCTAGTCGTACTTGCTCTCCTGAGTGGTAGGCCCGACAGGTAAGTATTTGCCTGACTGAGATGGTCGCTCAGGCTCATGGCCATACGTCGGAGCTCCTCCTTAACGTGTTCTGACGAGGCCTGGCCTTCCATGACCTGAGGCGAGGGCGCAGTGGGCGCAGGCGGGAGGAATGGCTGCTGCTGGTAAGAACGGGGGTAGTCGTCCCGCACAGGTGAGCGATCCATTTGAGGCTGAAGTGGAGGCTGAAGCGGAAGCTCAGGGGCAGCTAGCGTATGAGGGGTGAACGATTCAGGATCGGTATCAGCAAACTCGCTCAGGGAGTACGGTCTCTCGGTCATGGCGTTCCCATTCGTCTGGGGAGTTTGAGGCTGGGCCAATCGCTGCTGGAATAGAGGAACTTGAGTCTGCTGGTAGCTCATTTGAGGATCATGACGTTGAGTATTGTTGAGAGAAAGGTCCGCAACAGCATTTGCAAAATCAGAATCATCGGAAACATAGATAGAAGGCTCCCGTATACCGTTGGGCATAATATAAAGAGAGGCGTGCTTTTCCAGTTGGAATGGGTCTGCGCCACCAAGCTCTGAGCCGGCCAAGGATCCCACATCAGAGTGTGATGTGGAAGGCCTGGTATAATCGCCCATGGGAATGGGATCAGCTAGACTCATGTCCAAGTCAATAAGACTGCCTGTTGATACTCGGTTGTTTCCTGGAGAGGGCACAGCAAGATCGTCGAAATGAGCTGAAGGTTGAATCGGTTCCGTAGGAGGGTGAATAAGACGACTGGTGCTTGGCCCCTGTTCATCATTGAAGGGAAACCTGAACATTTCTGGGTTTGCGGACGCAGGCGGGGGCGGATCCATGGAGGGAAACTTCCAGTCTCGTGTTCTGCGATTGTTGCTCATATCTGCTGGGTCACTGAGTGGTGGCTTGTTATAAGAAACGTCACCAAAATCGTAATCGGTAGATGCTCTTGGGTCTCCTGCCCTGATAGTATTCAGATCGACAAATTCAGAGAGGTTGCTACCATCTAAAGACATGTCGAGGTCAATCAGAGATTCTCTTACACCAGGAGATTGCGACGAGTCGTCCCGCAAGGGCAGATCGGAAGCTGGAGGAGCAGGAAGTGGAGGGGGAGGGGTGAAATCGACTGTTGGAAGAAAAGGGCGTCCATAGTATGCTCGCGAATTGTCTTCGTAATTCGATATCGTGTTCGGGTCAAAGAGCTTCTCCAGGGGAGCCTTGACAGAAGGGAGATGAGGCGGCGGACGTCGACGTGCTTTTGGCTTCTGAGTTCGAGAAGCATCGTCAAACCCGTCCTGCTTGAAATCGACATTGGAGCCGTAAACATCAAAAACTGCCTGGACATCACCGTTCTGAAGAACTTGTTGGTCGAACGCAGCAGTTGTACTGAAGTTCCACTCGTCGTTGCCGAAGGCCTGGAAGCCGAGATCAGAAGGACCTTGAGCTCCCCCTGCAGAGAAGAGGGACTTGCGAACACCACCCTGTGCCTCCCAGACTTTGTAGCCTCTAACCAAATGTCCCAGGTCCGATGAAGGATACAAATCCTGTGTGTTGTGCAAGTACCTGTGTTGCTGGATTTCTTCCACTGCAGGTCGTTTCTTGGGGTCGTTTACCAAGCAAAACGCCACAAGGTCCTTCAAGCCTTGAGAATATTGATCACCCTCAAGACGAGGAATATTGTGTTTGAGGTAGGACCCTAGCCTGGCGACGTCCAGCATGCCTGCTGCCACACTTGGGGGCAGGCCTGAGGCGATCTCATAAACCATAGCGCCAAAAGCCCAGATATCTACCTCTGTTCCATAGGAAGCAGAAGAAACGAAAAGCTCGGGGGCCATCCAATGGGGCGTGCCAATAACAGTAGACCGTTTGTCGAATTTGGTTTCGATGACCCCAGCAACTCCAAAGTCACAGAGTTGAACGTTTCCTTCTTCTGTGACTAGGATGTTTGCACACTTGATATCTCGGTGTATTATACCTTGACCGTGAACCCAATAAATAGCCTCGGCCACTTCACGAAGAATGGGAATAATCCATTTCTCCTGCAGGCCACCAGGCGCGGTCGGTTTCATAAGTGTAGCCACACTGCCTCCAGCGCAATACTCTGTGATCATCCACATAGACTGTCCAACAGGGAGAGCGTCGAGGACATGGTTGATATTCTTGGCGCCACTTGCACTGAGAAGTTGTAGGGCACCAATCTCTTTGAGCAAATCGTTGTAAGTATCGGCAAGTCGAGGGTTGACAGTATCACTCTCCTCGATGTCGATAATCTTGACAGCAACAAGTTTGTTCGTTGTTAGAGAAGTGGCTTTGTATACTCGCCCAAAACTACCCTTGCCGATAAGCTCCGAAAGGCGATACGGGGGAGGGTCTTTTCCTTCCTTGGAGCTCTGCTCAGTGACGAGCTTTTGCATTTTCTTTGCATCGTCGATTGCTTTTTGCTTTGAGACTGAGGAGTCTGGTCCCCTAACCTGGAGCGACGCCATGATGATCACTTTGGCAGGCCTGTCGTGGGTTGCTTGCTTAGCAGGGGATAGAATGCAACTGAGCTAACGCAGGTAGAGGTTGAATCTAGAGCCGATGTGCCTGGCTGATTTACTTCATGATAGACTGATCGCGTGGCGTAAACAAGGGAAAAGAAGGTGAAGGAAATGGGCCGGCCAGAATCCTCCAAGATTAAGGCAAGTGTTGATGAGTTTTGAGGAGATGCTCTGGTGATGTTGAAATAAAAAGACTTGAGCTTGTTATTGTAACATGCAATGTTGCACAGTTGGAAAGGGGGCCCTTGAGCTTTCCCCCATGTTGCAGGTGCAGGTTATGGTGGTAGGTACGAACCTAGCCAATGAACGAGGATCACAAGACGTGTGGCGCAGCAGTGGAGGTAGACGGTGGCTTGTGAATCATGCTTGTATTGAGGACGTCTAAACTCCAACGACTTTATGATTTATAATTTAACTATTTTCAATGGCATTTATTAAAATAAGAAAAAATTGGACCTGTCCGTATGCTTTCGTTCGTTCCCTATGCCGTTGGTGCGAACTTAAGAAACTTGGTAACCATGTCTCTCCTCCCTTCCCAGTCGATTATCAGATGTAAAGATGCTGAGTGATCATTTGACTTCAGTTCCCTTCTTCACACCGCTGGTTCAACCAACGAAAAATGCAATGAAAGGTCTTCGATAGGCACTAAAAACAGAGCCCGAGGCGTCGCTTGGAGACAGTGTAATACCAAGGACACCATGGAAATGGTTCAACAACGCAGGCGCAGTCAACACAGTCCCAACAAACCAAAAATTTGGGTAATATCCAAAGGCCAGAAGTTTGACCTATGTCAGGGGATTAACCAAGACAAGAACATATACTACACATGTATCTGAGCCATAAGGCAAAAGAAGTTGGAGAGAAAGGGAAAAAAAGCCACGAGAAGTTGGGAGGACATGTTCCTTTTATACCCAAATTGCACGGCAACTTGAACCTTAAAAATGAGGATAAAGGTGACTCATCGGCGTCCATTCTTGAACTTCATGAGAGAGTTACAGGGAAAGTATGTGCAAGCCCTCTAGGCTGCCACGGCTGCCTAGAAACTTTGCCCGCTGACAGCCAGACACTGGAGTTTGTGGTTGCTGCCTAGACCTCATTCTGATAATGATTGCAAGATCATCAATATGTATACTGCTTCGGAAATAGCAGAAATTGGAAAAGAGAGAGAGTGGTACGAGTTACTGTGAGCTGTAGTTGAGAAGTGGAAAGCGGCTTGTTGATGAGAGTGTGAGAAAAAATGATGATTAGGTAGTTAGGGCCTGAGATCAAACAGTCGGTGGGCACTCTCTCAAGACGTAGTGAACTACAGCGGCCGACAAGCGGTATGAATTCCAAATCATCTGCATAATCCTCGTAAAGCCTTTAACTGAAGTTTCCGACTGTCGTTTAAAGAGCTATTTGTAACAGTTTCACCCACGTGGTTTGGTTGCCTATGAGGACTCGCTCAGTCTGTCGAGCATCTTTCCATGGACCCCTTTCCATCCAGACTCGCATGAGCTTTTGATCATACCGATCATCAACCTGGAGCATGAGATTTCGACGTTCTCCGCAATCTCCAAGCTTCCATCAGCAGCTTCTTCAATCTGCCACAAAGTCTCGAGCACTAGCCCCATTGGCCCCCGTGTCCTCACAAAGACACCCCTTTCAATGTCTAAGAACTCATAGGTGCTGATCACGTCAGAGTCCCAGATTCCGGCGGGCAAAGCGTGTATTCTATCTGTGACAGTATAACAGTCTGGTGGTGCAATGGGCTTGTCTTTGAGCGTGTCGGGGCATGAGGGAGCGGGCTTATGAACTGGCAAGGCTTCATGCTTGACCATGTATGGATTGGATTGTAAGAAAAAGACATGATCGTGTAGCATCTCAATTGCTTTGGAAGCTGTTGTACCTGACGGGATGGGTGATTTGTGCTGTATTTGGGCGGTTGTTCGGAACATGGCTGCGGATATAAGGTATGTGAATATAACTGAAATCAAGAGAAAACAAGCTACGTTCTCGTGGATACGTCAAAGTTGGTGTACTTGGCCCGCCGTTAAAGGATAAACAAGTATATCAGCTCAAATATTGCAAATCGAGGAGCTAGGTGATATTTCGCGATTGAGACGGAATGAGTAATTGAGTAATTGGCGTCTTTCACCACCGATTGTCGTCTGTGGCATGCGACAGGTCTTGTTTCACAGCTGTATCATTGAGGTTAGGCGCTAAAACTGGACTGAACTCCTACTCAAGATCATGAACATATTGCGCATAACAACCACACTGATTTGTCAGTACAAATGATTGAGAAATAGAGCATAAATATCATGTACTATTTTATACGCAATTACGACTTCGGGATGATTCATGAGTACCTACTGGGTATAGTTATGGCGGATGTCTCAACTCTACTAATATCACGTGATAGCGCGATGTCCCTCTCGCCACCCTCGCGTTTTCGCGTAAAGTACAAACTCATCCCACTTCAGGTCAACAACCCCTTGCCATTTTTCCAGGGCATCACCCGCCAATACATATTGTAACTCAACTTAGGCCAGCTACCTACCTTTTTTTTCTATACTACTGCTGGGAACTCAGTATTGGTTCATCTTTTGATGGCCTAGAGTGGCTATCTTTCTCCTTTTTCGACTTTACGTACTTCTCATAATGGTCGCCCCAAAGAAATCGAATCGATCCCATACACCAAAGAAGGCACCTGCTGCCTCACAAGTTTCAAAGAAACCGGTCAAGGCCAATCAAAGTATTCTTAGCTTTTTCAAGAAAGCTGAGAAGCATGAAGCCTCTCTTTTTCTAGGAGCTGCCCCGGACGCCATCGAGACCGAGGATCTCTATACCGCCGATGACGCTGACAACTTGGTTCGATATAATGAAGCCGAATCGCCGGTCAAGAGGCGTAAACTCAGCCAAGAACCTGAGCCAATAACTAAGACAGAGGCATCAATCAAAAGTGAAGAGGTGGTGATATCAGAAGACCGCTCATCCCCAGTCAAGGATGATGGCGAGCCTCGCCGGAAGCCAACAAAACCCAAAATTAAGACGCCCTTCGTGATGGATTCGGACAGCGAGGATGAACCTGAAGACGAGGCCAAAACCGCAATCAACAAGCCTGAAAAGACTGGCCAATGTACGGAGTTTACCCCACCTCGCAAGGTCCGGACGGACGGTTTTACTAAGGACGATAAAAAGAAAGAGACAGATAACAGGACCCCAACCTTGAAACAGGAAGATTCGATATATCAGCAATTTAGCGATCTCGGAGAAATAGCGGACGAAGAATTGAACGACTTGAACAACCTTGAGGGAGAAGAAATGCGGGTGATGCGCTTAATGAAGGAGCAAGCCCGAGCGGAGGCGGAGGAAGCAGGAATCTCGAGTGAGGACCTGGCTGACGATCCCCTCGACGATGATTCTATGACCGAGAGCTGCCCTATTTGTAATGGTAGTCTGGCAGGGATCTCGGTAGATGAGGCAACGCGGCATGTTAATTCATGTCTTGACGGACACCCAATTCCCTTGCCCAAGAAGGAGAAATCAACGCCAGAGAAAAGCATAGCACCGAAGCAGGATGCTACACCCGAAATTGAATCAGCCAGCTTAAGTACAAGATTTGCACGAGCTGCCGTTCCCAGACCCGGTCAAGCCAACCCCATCGAGATAAAAAGTTCTGGTCCTGCATCAAAATCGGCCTTTTCTAAACTCATGTCCAACAATGCTGAAGATTCAGCTTGGCAGGAGGCTGCCGCCGCCGAAAATGCATCTCGAGGAAAGCAAGCTTATGAGCGGACATGTCCTTTTTATAAGATCATGCCTGGATTCTCTATTTGTGTGGATGCGTTCCGTTACGGTGCTGTGCAGGGCTGCAAAGCATACTTCTTAAGTCATTTTCACAGTGATCACTACATTGGCCTAACGGCAAAATGGTGTCATGGGCCTATATATTGCAGCAAGGTTACTGGCAGTCTTGTCAGGAATCAACTTCGTACTGCAGCAAAGTGGGTTGTGGAGCTTGAGTTTGACAAGTCCTACGATATTCCAGGGACTGAAGGTGCAACAGTCACTATGATACCAGCCAACCATTGTCCAGGAAGTTCCCTCTTTCTTTTTGAGAAGACGATGAAGCAAGGGGCCAACAGCCGTGTGCAACGTATATTACATTGCGGAGACTTTCGAGCTTGTTCTGCCCATGTCACGCACCCTCTCCTCAAACCAGAGATTGTCGATTCCATCTCTGGAAGTACCAAACAACAAAAGATTGACATATGCTACCTGGATACCACATATCTCAACCCACGATACTCTTTTCCACCCCAGGATGACGTTATCAAGGCATGCGCTGACCTTTGTGGTTCCATGTCTCCTGATCCCAACTGCAAGGATGACATCTGGGAAAAGGCAGGAGGGACACCGACTGTCAATAAGTTTTTTGCACGCACAAAACCCGACGAGTCAGGGGATGTCAACGGCACCAAGAAGCCTCCTCAACGGCTGCTCGTGATTTGCGGCACTTATTCGATTGGCAAAGAACGCATATGTATATCTATTGCTAAGGCACTCAAGTCCAAAATATTCGCATCACCGAACAAGATCAAGATCTGCAAACAACTTGACGATCCTGAACTCTCAGCGCTTCTCACAGCTAATCCGCTTGAGGCACAAGTGCACATGCAAATGTTAATGGAGATTCGTGCAGAGACACTCCAAGAATATCTCAACAGCTACAAACCGTACTTTAGTCGCATTGTTGGAATGCGCCCTAGCGGATGGAATTTCCGGCCAGCAGGCAAATCAATCGGCGCCAACACTCCACCTGGCAGTATCCCAACCCAGCAGATTCTTCACGATAAAAACTGGCGAACACGGTTTGGATATAAAGATTTTATTCCGCAGAGGGGCAGCACTAAGGAAGCCATGTGCTTCGGGGTTCCATATTCAGAACACAGTAGTTTCAGAGAGCTAGCCATGTTTGTTATGAGTCTGAGGATTGAAAAGGTTGTGCCAACGGTCAACGTGGGGAGTGACCAGTCACGAAAACGGATGAAGGGTTGGATAGACCGTTGGCTGTCAGAAAGAAGGCGAGCAGGGTTGGTGAGGCCGCTTATTGAAGGCGAAGACAATAAGATCTCTGAGGAGGAACTGTGGGATGGTAAATCCGGCAACGCAGGAGGAGCATATTGGTAATGAGGACTGTTATGACAAAACAAATAGCATGAGCGAGTTCTATAATTAGAGCAAGGTGGTCTTTGAGCCAAGTTCACATATACTGTTTGAATAATCTTTGTAGATTGTATCATGATGTCTCGTTCAACTTGGTCCATTATTTCGTACTCACAGTACTGAACGACTGAAAATCGGAAACGGGAAACAGCAGTTTCATTATCCATATTAGGAGCTAACGCCTCATGAATTCTTCCTTTTTGGCCATTCTGGTCTTGATCCATTTGGCATCCTCTTCAGCAAAAGTTAACCTTGACATGTTTCATTCTCCTTCTCATCCACTAACTCGGACCGCTCATTTGGCCTTAGCTTGCTGAGCTGCCGCTTCTATAACATCGCATATGTCAGCTCACTGCAGAAGTCTAAGAATTCTCTTCTGAAGATATAGATGGCTTACCTCTTCGGGTGGCGTCCTCCAACAGCTGTGTGTCAACCGACGCACCGGGGAGGTGGACGTATCTCACGACTGAGCCTCGAATAAACACGTTCTTGACAGAACTCTAAAGCGCCGGTTAGTTACAAGTTTCCAAAGCTTCATACAGCTAGAAATCAGGAGCCAGGGCCACGCACGAGGTGAGGGTACTTGAGCTCCTCAACGACTTGGATATCATCAAGCTTGATATTGAGGTACTGATCCACGCTCTTGAGAATACCCTTGAGCTGGATGTCGTTCTTAAGCTCTACGGTGACCTCATGGTCGATAAGTGTCTTGAAAAAGCTGTTCAGATGGCGTGTTAGTTCGCGGACAAGGGCGTTGATCACATAAACGAGAGTGCGAGGTACCTGAAGAAGAGCATGGTGTCGGTGACTCTTTTGGGTCTATGACGCTATCGGGGACAGATTAAATGAGATACCGGACCCTTTTGAGAAGTAATTTGTCGAAATATCCGATTTCGAGATGCTGAAAAGGCTTGTTCGTCCAAGAATGTAGTTTGAATAGTTGATGGTGCGAGATCTCCATCATGATAGCGCCTACAGGTGAAGCATCCTGTGAGGTGATGTCACGTGACCCTTATAACCTGTACAGCAAAGGATATAGAAACTCTCTGATCTCTGGTAATTTCATTCGAAAATTATATTCGTACTTATTTTCCATTAGGACCTACTCTTTATCCCGAATTTACAAATTTATTAATGACTACAAGCAGGCGGCGATTCGCCATGCTGTAGATGGACCATACTTGTCACATATTCGAGATACCTAGGCTTCACGTAAAGTTCCTTGCAGTAGGCAAGGCATAGATTTTTCTAAACTCTTCCTATCAACAATCAGATCTGGGTCGACTTTATGGCGAATTTCCCTTTAGTAATGTTGAGAGTACCCGTGCGAGCTTCTCTTACTTCCCATTCCCTGCCCCATGTGCCTTTCCAACATTGCTGGTCAAGCAAAAGCATCCATGCACAACTATGCCACATAAGTCAATAGTGTAGGTATTCTGTAATCCCAACGCCATGCAAGCCTAGAAAATACTGGTTCCTGTTGTTTCGTGATTCGTGAGATCGTGCAGTTGAGGTTTGGTTGTTTAGGCCACATAACGATAGAGAGTTGGCGCATCGTCTTCATCGGGCCGTTCAAGATACTCTCTGGCGATGAGGTCCTCGATACGCTTCTTGATAAGCGAGATCTCGGGTTTGAAACGACTCGAAAGTTGTGTAAGGACTTCGCTAGTGAGCTGCGAGTGAGAAAGTTCCTTTCGAGACCTATGAGTGTTAGGTTAGTGTCTACAATGGTGATAGTTTAAGCATTCCAATACGTACTTCATAATCCTAACAATTGCAGCATCAACAATGTGAGCTCTTGTTTGGTTGTTCTTGTCCTCGGTACTCTTTCTCTCTGTCGTGTCTTCGACCTTTGACACTGCATTGATGATGGGTGCCTTGATCCGGATGGTCTTGCTTTGGAAGGCAGCGTTGAAGGCAAACTTGTCGCCACTCTTTACTGACTTGTTGGCTGGATCCTTGGTCAGAACACGGGACTTTGGTGCCACAGCAATAGCAGTCAGTGTTCTCATGAGATCTTGTGTCGAGATGTTGGTCTTTGCTTGAATCTCCTCAAATGTCAAAGATTGGCCATCTTCGAGGTCGTTGAAGAGAAGCAGAACGACCATAGCAAAAGTCGGCACGTTGATCTCGTACCTTCGCTCTCGTGATAGCATGCCAGATTTTCCGGGGATGGCTGGGAATGTACATTTGACATCTGAACTGCCAGTGGTGCCAATCCAAGTGAGCTTGCGTCCATTGCGGTTAGTCAAATAGTATTGCTCAAAGCTTGCTTGGAGTCGTCGCAAGTCGGGAGGGTATGTGCATGTAACACGAGAAGCCTCGCCAATCTGAGCACTTCGACCCATGACTTCGGGTGGCCAGTAGTTGGTGGTAAGAACGTTGATGTTGAGGTCGATGGTCTTACCACCGTCTCCGACAGCACGCATGTGATCACGATAGCCAGTAGTAAGCTCGGAAGACGTGACCAGATCTCTGAACATGCCCTCGAACTTGCTGGTGAACTGCTGGCCTAGCTCTTGCTTCATGCGAGAAATGATCTGTTTCTCTACATCATGGCTTTCAGACTTGCCATGGAGAAGTCGTCTTGCCAAGTGTCTCTGGTAATATGTTTGGAATAGATCCTTGTCTTGAAGGTACCGGATCAGGATGATGGCCTTTTCTAGAACGACATCGACTTCAGCCTCGGTCTTGCCTTTGATTCCTCTCTTGAGATTGTCATCAATAAACAAAGAGACATATTCGGAGCTCCGATTGAACATGTTGATAAAGTCAGAAAAGCTTTTGGTCAAGGCACTTTGAATGACAAGGTCGTCTTGAAAGCAACGGGTCCAAAGGTTATCAAACTTGTCCTTTAGACGAAGCACATCATCAACCCATTTGATCGCAGCAGCTGTCTGCTGCGCAGCGGGATTCAAAGCCTTTGTCTTTTCCCCTTCGCCACCTTCATCTCCTTCCCCTTGGCCGGCCGAGAAATCAGTGTTCTTCAGAACCTTCTCAATCTCCAGGCCAAGCTCAACCACACGACGCTGCAGAATGTCCCGCAACGCTGTCTTCTTGGAATCGACCCTGGAGATGAGCTTATAAAGAATAGAGAGGTCGTCAACCTTGTCGTTGTCGATCATCCACTTCAACCCACTGCCTTCTAGGCCCAAGAACTCCCCCAGATGCTTAACTATGAGTTCCCGGTCAATAGTTTCTGTGACCTTTGGTAATGTCTCCAGCTCAATCGTTGTTCCGCATCGGTCGACTTCTTCGTTCAGTCGGGTTTGAGTATGTCGCAACCAGGCTCCAGCATCCGATTCGCGTAATAGCTTCTCACACTCGGCGGCATAGTACGTCTTGCTGTTCTCGAGGAAGCGAGGTTCGAAAACCGTAATATACAATTTGTCATTTTCCTTCTCCTCTTCGGTCTCGTAAAGACTGCTAAGCATTCGACTGCAGCCTCTCAGAAGATTTCGGTCTATGATATCTCCCTCGCGCTCCATATCGATCTGATCAAGTATAACTGATATTACAATGTCGATTACTTGTTCTTTTGTGTTCGTGTTCAAAGATGATCGTAAAATATGATCTCGGAAAAGCGCAATGGTGGTGGCGAAAATGGGGATTCGCTGAGCTTCGAGTTGCGTATATCCGCGATCGAGATACATGAGGATATCTGCCGTCATATTCATAGACATGTTATGATCTTCCCATGTGTCGCGCAGACCTGTGAGAAACCTCTCTCCCGTCTGCCGTCTCTCATTGACCGATGTCCCTGAGGTTCGTCCGACGCCGATGTTGATCAGGCTTTTACTGACCAATTCTCGAATTCTGGGAATGACATGTTCGTCAAACCACTGTTTCTCGAAATCTTTCACTCTCTCGTAAAGGACCTCGCCCTTCTTCTTAAGTACGATCTTGTAGGCGGCTCGGTAGAGTTCCTCGAAGGATAGTCGGCTGCAGTTCTTCATGTGGATGTCGCGGAGGGCTTCCTTAAGCATATTCCAGCAAGCCTCGAAATCAGACCCTTCGCCAGGCTCGTTAGGCTACAGACATACATTAGTTTGCGATCCGTGGATGAGACTTTATTTGACCCATAACGTCAAGAGTCTTTCTCCAGGTGCATACTTACACGCACGATGCGACGAGGGGGGCGAATCCTCCCCCGAGCGCCAGCTCCTCCTCTTCCTGAGATCATGGTGTCAGGCTATGCAGTCTGGCGATGTCGCCCCAGCTAAAAAATTGCCAAAAGCTGTATTGCTGTTGTATCGAAGCAAAGAAAAGAGCTCCGATGAGCTTCCGCTTGATCTCGATGGTGGGGTAATGATGGAGGCACGTTGCAGGCTTTCAGGGCGGGCGGGGCGTTGTGAATAGCGAAATCGGCAGTGGAAGAAGGACGAAATAAGATCGGAAAGAAATGATCAAGGAGACCGACCCCGAGAATTCGGTCGAAGGTAAAAGGAAAAAGGGAAACCCCGGGGTATAGACGACAGGTGAAGTTTGAACGATGACATGCTCAAGTTGGCGAGGCTACAATTTATGGACGTTTGTTCCCACCTTGTTTGCAGTGAACCGCGAATGTCTTATCGATAAGCAGGCGGTTAACTCAAGACACCAATGAAATGTCGGCAAGTTAATATGGGAATATGGGGATTGGGAACCCGCTTCCCCCAGGCACGACGTCACGTGTTGGTAGCTGGAGCTCCGATCCTCGATTTTTCCGACCGACTATTCCAGGTGGTCGTGATAGCCAGCCTCTCAGCCTCACGCCGAATCAATTTCACGACGACGCGCCCATAACCTCCGACTTCACCACCAACAGATCCTAGAAGCATTTTAAGCGCATAACTAGACTTAAATTGCAAGATGAAGCTCGTTCGGTAAGCATAACACCACCCTTTGCGCTGCACTTGGATTGTGCTGAGCTTCTTCTCAAGCACGAGCTCCTGGACTAACCTGGTGTAATTAGATTTTTGATGAAATGCGCCAACGAGACGGTGACAATTGAGTTGAAAAATGGTACGGACGACACCACGGCTCGTCATAGGGCTTCTTTGAATGACAGGAGCGATATACTGACTTACTGCCAGGCACCATCGTCCATGGCACCATCTCCTCCGTCTCCCCCCAGATGAACACCGCCCTCCGCAACGTCAAGATGACCATTAAAGGACAGGAGCCCATCTCCCTCGAAACCATGAACATCCGAGGTTCCACAATCCGTTACTTTATTCTCCCCGACTCACTACCTCTCGACACACTGCTTATTGACGACGCGCCCAAGCCCAAGAACAAGGCCCGCAAGGAGGCAGAGCGGGGCGGCCGAGGAGGACCACGAGGAAGGGGCGGTCCCAGGGGACGCGGCCGTGGTGGTGGCGGTGGTCGTGGACGCGGTGGACGACCTTAGACGGGAGAGAGGGGGGAAACAGGGAGGAGAGCGAGGGAAAGATCAGGAAAGACGAGAAACGCAGAATCGCGTCGTAGGGCGTGACTACGATAAGGCGACGATATCACCTTTTAAATGGAACCTGGCGTTCGGGTTGTTTGGCCATTAAAACTGCATGAATGCGGGTGGGGTGGGTATCGCTTCTTTTTGACGGGAAGATATCTGAATATATGCTCTTACACGCTTCAAGTCCTTACTATTCCGTCGCTGTTATTCTGCGACGCCTATATAGTCTCGCCATATTCGCACGATCTGCAATTTCTCCCATCCGGCTTGCTTACCACTGGCCCTGACAGTCAGTGCTCGCCATTCCGGCCCGAACCGCTCTATCCGGCTCTTGACTTGGTCTGGCTTGTTTTGGGCGCAGAGGAGGAGGTAAGCGCAGCCACGGCGAGATAGTGTCTGGGGCAGTGCCTCAATCAATCTGTCTGTTGTCTCCATCCCATCTAAGCCGCCGGCATAGGATAATGCGAGAAGGTAGGAGTCGTCATCAAAAGAGGGCTTCGCGCTAGCTTCCAAATCATCGGCAGTGAATGATTCTGGCCTGGCAGGCATCTCAGGTGTCGGCACGTATGGTGGGTTGAAGATGAGTACATCGATGCTGCCCTCACGCCACGGTGTTGTGAGATCGCCCATGCAAGAGCCCAGATATAAGGCGTGCGTACCGGGATTGTCAGACTCTGCCTTTGCAACAGTCTGGACGGTCGCATGGCATGCAAAGGCATTCATGTCGACGCCAGCAGTAAGGACCTGGCGCGTGCCAAAGAGTTTATGCGCATGTGCGTTGACAAAAGCGAGGACAACGCCTGAGCCTGTGCCGATTTCCACCACAAGGGGCGCAAGATCGGGAAAGGCTTGTTGGAGATATTTTATCTCTGAATCGGACGAGAGCGTGTCTAAGAGGAGATACGAGTCCTCGGCAGGTTCGTATACCCGTTCATATGGTACATGCGATGTGTCTGGAGTCGGAAGCATGATATATGACGTCCAATGCGGGTATGTTGCAGTTGTGGTGAGGCTTCACATGGCGTTGAGAGATTGTGGATAAATCTTTCAACTGGCGCTGAGTGGGCATGGCACGTGATGTACTTGAGATCAAGCAAATGCGAGCACTAAACCGTCGATAGCAGCAAAATCCGAGTGCGCGGTGAAGCAATAATTTGAGCAAATCTTGAAATGGCAGATTCTTAAGGAGTCCAAGACGATAAGTGTTGGATGAGTAGGGAGTCAACTGAATGGCTGGCGTTAGATCAGTTGATCAGAAGAACATGTATGCGACTCACCAGGTATTTGTGACGGATATGTCCTTCTCATTAAATTATTGAAGCAAAGCACTCCATGCATATTGTCCTGAGCACGCATACATACGAGTCCTCCGTGATACCCTCAAAGAATCACGCACTTCACCTCACACCCCCAATCATCTGCATCAGGCCCAACACCCCATTTGATGCCCCGTCCCATACTCTCCACCATGCGTACCAAGTTACGGTCGTAGACGCCGTGCATCTGGCATCGAGGACAAGGTCGACTTTTGGTGTTGAAGAACTTGGGCTCGTCCTTGGCTGTGCCATCGCAGAAGGTCGGGCAGTTGTTGAGGCCCATGAATGGTCTGCAGGGTGCTGTGAGGATAACCCAGGTGTGCTTGCATTCTTTGTGCTTGAAATACGTGACTGTGCACATTTCGAAGGAGGTTAGATTCGGGCTGTCACTAAAATAGATGTTTTGGTTTTACAAAAAGTGTTGATGGCAGCGTAGAGATAAAGAGATGTTTGTATGTATTCAGAGGAAAGAACCCAAGGCTGGCTAAGGCTGTGTGTAGAAAGGAGCGTGCTTCCAAGCAGTGCCAGTTAATCAGTGTCAAGCAAAACCCACCCAAACATCATGCAAATGCTATACCAGTGCTTCTCTGTAATCGTATTCCAACTTTGTATAAAACCCAAACACCTCGCATTTCTCAACACTCTTAATCGGTTGCCCCCCTGAATGAAGACTCGGCAGTATTGTCCCTCAATGTCCCACTCTCCTCCAGCTCGCTGTCACTGATAGCGTCCTCTACAGACGGCACCAAGCGCGACAACATAGTTTCCATACGTCGTATCGCTTTCTCCATTTCGGCCAGTCTATCTGAGCTTCCTTCATACATGTCATTATCGGAAAACGACCCTCGCAGCTTCTGCGGTGGAATTCCAGGAAACATAGAGTCCCTTCGCGATGGACGTCGGTCTCCAGGATCAGGCCGGGCCTGAACTGTCGTACTACGAGGCTCTATCTCGTTTGTGCCGCCACGCGTGAACTGCCTTCGGATGAGATGATGCGTGAGGTCGTCGTCGACCGCAATGTCGTCGTGCACGGTGTCAGGCGGTGGGACTTGGAACACAGCGCGAAGGTCTCGGTGAACCGTCAACCGCCACTTCTTCCAAAATTGGCTCTTTGTTGGTGGTGGTGCTTTGATCTCGGTCGGATCCTCGATTGTATGAGAAGGCCAGAGCAGGCGGCGCTCAGCAACAGCAATAATGAGCAAGAGGGGAAGATTCAGGATCTTGACTGCCGTGACGTGAATCTTGTGGAACCAACGTGGGCTCACGACAAACTTGAGCGGGATGAATAAAAAGACCGCGAGGATGTTGAAAGGAGGTTGATACGCGAACACAGCGTCGGCTTTGACACCTTCTAGCGTAAGTACTGCTCGACGGAAGCTAATCTCTGATATAGCGTTTGTGGATATGTTACTGAAGGTATTGGAAAGCATAGAGACCAGAATGGTAAGGAAGAGGGTATTTCCGAGGAATGCAAAGGTAACCATCACACTAGGTCCTAGCAGCCAGTGAAACTCAGTCTGGAAGGTCAGTCAGAGATAATCCAGCGAGGAGGGGTTAGCAAATACTGACCGATCGATGGATACCTGTACCATCTAAGCCAAACCAAATGTATATCATCCACTTTGATATTGTTCTTATTGCGTCAGTTTTACATCACTTGAAGGTAATGTAGGCAGAAACGTACAAGATAGGGTGGGCACCCTCGCCAAGCCAGAGGAGTGATAGCAGGAAGCCTAAGAAGCACCAGGCAGATAGAGCAGTGAGGAAGAAAAAGTCTGCCATCATTGACCTTAGCGACAAGAACACTAGGTTGTCTCGGAGCAGATTGAACGCAAGGCGCGGAACCAAGACAGGAGCTGCTAGCGCAAGCACATCAAATGCCTGCTCGTCCAGGTTTGCATCGCCGAGTTTCCAGCCCATGAACCGCAGACTGAGATATACCCAGTAGATCAAGACGAATGCCACATCAAGGAACGACCACAGGTTCTGAGTATACACGTTCCTGTAGGGATATGTCAGCAAGGCACAGTAGCAATAGAAGTAGCAATAAATATAAAACATACCATCCATGTGCCAGGATAGTAGCAAATTGATCCAGACCCCATCCGAAAGCAAAGATGGAAAAGGCAGCCTCAGTCGGCCCGTAGCGGTTCTTCCTTCTAAGAACCATGACCGCCACATAGAGGGTGAGCAGTATAGCAAATTGGATGGACTCCAGGATGTTTCGAGTTCGGGGGACAATAAGACGGTACTGGTTGAGGAGAGGTGAATCGCGAGGGTCATAGATAGAGATGGGTTTCAGCTTATAATGATCAGGAATGATATCCCAGAATGTTGAGGGAGTATAGACAATTCGACCCTCGTAGATGGCGTTAACGACCTTTTCGCAAGTCGCAGAGCTCAAGAAATGCTTGCTCTCAGTAACAATGGCAACCTCCAAAGCTGGCAGCGTCTTGTAGTCAACCCAGGTGGTGGTACGCTCTGCCTCTTCTCGAATCTCGTCTGGGGCATTCTGGAAGGGCTCGAAGCCTGCAACGAGAATATGAGCCAGCAAGAGAAGGCCATCGTGACCATCGTCGTGTACTTCCCCGAAGCGACGCAGAATGCGCGTAGCAATGAGCTCGCATAGCGTAGCACGAGTGAAGTTCACGTTGTGCCGGTTGTTCAGATGAGATTGCTCATCGAGAAACTGTGCACGATTGACCAGCAAGCAGTAAACTGTTTGTTCATGTCAGTTACAAATCAAATAAAGTTTGACATCGCTTTGTCTTTGTTTGTCTTACTAATGGAAATGTCATTGAGGCCGTAGAACTTATCAACCAAAGGCCGCACAACTGTAACATTAATTCTCAGATCCTGCAGCTGGGCGAGGCTCAAGTAGTCCTCAACAACACTGATGATATCGCGACGAATACGATGAATGTTTGTATACACGGGTAAATGGCTGTGAGGATCTGTCATGCAGCTATACAGAGCCTCGCGGTCGCTAGGAACGCCTGTACTGAGCCTACTCAGCAACGGGCGTCGTTCATCAGCTGGAGGCTCAGGGTCCGCCAGCGTGATGCGCCGGCGGGTATTGCTAGCCATGAATAGGCCAGTCGATTAACTCCAAAGAACAATTGTTAATGGAGCGGGCAGAATAAGGGGCCAAAGAGGAGGAATGGATGGCAGTGAGGTATCGCGTTGTTAGGGAGCGACTAGATCAAGTTTTGACCCGTTTCGGTGTAGCGAGCGATAAGATAGGTGCTACAAAGCGCTCCAGAGGCCGTGTACAAAGACGCTATTGGAAGATCTAAGCTCTAGTGGTCCGTGAAGAGAACGATATCAGGGAATTGAGTCTTGCATAAATAATTGAAATAATTATTGTGAGGGAGAGGCGAAGTGTTATTCAAAGTGTACATAGTAGACCAACGTCATATCAAAGCTTGGCCTAGTTGCATTGGATTGTTTCGGATCTGAATCCTAGGGGTGTTGCAACCCAAAGCGCTAGTGATTGGATACCTAGAGGACTTCCCCCAAGCCAAGATGGTTGAGGGAGGCCTTGATTTAAACGAGTTGACGCTGCCAATAAGTGCAGATAATATCCAAGGAAATAAATAGACTGGTGGTTGATTGGGCAGTCGTAGATTTCTGTAGTGCTGTGCTGTGTTATGCTCAGGCTCTATGTAAACTCGCTTGTGCCCCAGAATATCCTATAACAATATCTGTAACTACGTATGTGGCTTGCTATCATACATTTTAATGAGAGATGCACAAGATGGCAATGAGATACTCCATATCCGTACAACACCAACTGTTATATCCGTACTCAGTGCCGGTGCCACAGCCATCGTCTAAATCTCCTACAGTTTCGTTCCAGTCTCATCTGCACCAGCCTCTTTCGCCAACGCCCACGCGAACTCAGCCAGAGATCCCCTCGTCTCGGCATGCTGTCTCGCCTTCTCACTGCTCGCCTGCCTGAGCGCGTACCGCGCTGCAATCCCCTGGCATACGCCCGCCAGCTTCCAGATGCTGAAAGACATGCCCCACGGCACCTCCGGCCGAGCGTCGTACCCGCTCTGCGCCGTGTACCACTCCAGGATCTGCTCGGGTTGCGGAAGGCCGGAGGTTGCGCCAGGGAGGAAGCCAGATGCGTCGTAGGGTATTGCGCCAGGCGATTCGGCCGAGTAGAAGTTTGTAAGGAAGTTGCAAACATCCGAGAGTGGATGGCCAACGGTAGACATCTCCCAGCTATGAGATGCCTGTTAGTAGATAATGAGGAAACAAACAAGGGGAAACGTACTCTAGAATTCCAATCACTCTCGGTTCCGTCTTGTGAAATACCAGATTGTCGATCTTGTAATCGCCGTGTACCAGCGTTGCCCGATCCTTCGGCTGTAATCGCTCGTTCTTGAAGAAGCGCACCGTCTCCTCGAAATACGGAAGCTTGCCAACCGGCTCTTTGGTCTCAATATCGATAGCCTTTTCCTGACTTCCACAAATGGTTACCCATGTATTGATCTGGCGAGGATAGAACCCCGATGGCTTGCCGAATTTCTCCAGACCGACTTTCTTGTAACTAACGGCATGGAAGCGTGCCAGAGTCACCACAGCATCACGCCACATGGCCTCACGCTCAGCTGGCTCTACGCCTGGCATAGTAAAGTCCTCAAAGATACGCCCATCAAGAAACTCCATAATATAGAACGGCGTTCCTATGATCGAATCATCCTCGCACAGACAGTACGTTTTGGGGACAGCCACATCAGTGTTCTCCAGAGCATGCATAATACGGTATTCGCGCTCGACCTTGTGAGCGGTCTTGGAAAGAAGCTTTCCAGGTGGCTTCTTGCGCATCACGAAGCGTTGGCCATCGGAAGCAGTGATTTGGTACGTGGGATTGGACTGGCCAAAACCAAACTATTTTGACGTCAGAGAGTAGCACGATGGAGGGTGAATGAACCGAGCACTTACTTGCTTGAGATCAATTGGTGTCTTGATCACAGGTACATTATCAGATATGTATTTCTCAAGCGCCGTCTCATCGACGGGCTGACGAATTCTTCCAGCCATATGGCAAAACAAAGATGAAGTAGAGCTGTGAGAATGAGTATGCGACCTTGATGCCCCGTAGTACTCCTGTCAGTTCAACAGCAATGTGAGCCTGTCAAGGCTGTCTTTAAAAGATATCCGAAAATTGAGAAGATACAAACAACGAATTAGTGAGACTAAGATCAAGTTGTTCAACGTTGAATAGAATTGATGAGATGAAAGAGGTATGTATATATCTGAGCCAAGCATCTGGCCCTTGTTAGTTGTTACTCAATTAAGACATGCCGAGGTTCAAATCTGGGGTTACAAGCTTATGCGGCCCCTCCCCCGAAGCTCCCCACATCCCCATTTCCCTTCCTCGGCAGCCTAAGTAATCCCTAACCTCGCTCAATTACCTAGGCTGCTAGGCGACCAGGTAACATATTAATAGTAGCTAAACAATAGGAGCATACTTGGCCATTCATAGTTATGTCATTACTATAATTATGTGTCAATCTGTCAAATCGCATATCTTGTGATTGATACATTCCAAAACTCCTAATTTAGACATTGAAATCTCGCTGTTCATTATCAGAGTGCTCGAAACTACGTGGACCAAGCAAGGTGTTGCAGTCATCCTGCCCATGACTCTTCATACATAAACGGGGGTGGCATGCACACATAATCAGGGCGCTACATGTAAGCTCCCACTGCGGACCGGCCGAAGCAGAATACCGCCGTTCAAGAAACAAGCAAACGGTATATAAAAAGATAGTCCTTCATGCCCTGACTTAAAACCATCACCACCAACGACACAACGCACGAAGCAGGCATTCATGTCAAAAGAAAAACAGATAAAGGAAATCGACAAAGGAAACCATGGTGACAAGCCCTCCAAGTAGCTTACTGGCCCAAGGTAAAGAGAACAGAATATTCCGTGGTATCAGTATCCATAACGCCAAGCCCCTCCGTCTGATGTGGTCGTAGTACATGGATGAATATGTGTTGAGATGTTATTGTGGCCAAGAGTCGTATTGTCGTTGTAAATCGTTTACCAGCCCTTCTTTCGAGCGAAGCGCTTATTCAACAAAGCCAACACTTTGGGCACGTTGAACTGGACATATTCGAGATCAAGGTCATCCTGGTTGTCCTTCTGCATCTCAAGTAGATCATCCAGCTTGAGATCCAACTCAAGCAGACCCCTATTGCGGCCTGTTTCTTTGTTAGCGTGAACACGTTGTCGAGAAGTAATAGTAAAAGCTTACCCTTGTAATGTAGTGAAATGACGAAGGTTCCGGGGAGCGGGCTGGTGAAATTGAAGTAGATGTTGGCCCGCCTGTTATCGGGAACATTACTCTTCTGAATGACACCCTCCTTCTCAAGCTGTTGATGAGTGAACTTGTACGGACCAAGGACCTGCTGCTTCTGTTGCTTTCTCTTGGTACCCTCGCTTTGTGATCGAACATTGTGCAAGTAGCTCTTGTATGTCTCAAGCTGTCCATTAAGATAGACATTGTGGTCACGGATGGTCTTGTAAACCTCCTGCAACTTTTGAGTCTCGACGATTACACCTTCTTTGAGAGAGCCGAGATGTTGCAGTTCCTGCTCAACTTCGTCTCGGAGGAGGCTAAACTGATCGGTCTTGTCGATAACATGCAATTCCTGGAGCTGAGAAAGCAACTCCATTGCACGAATACCCTTGCGCACCATCACAGCATCACTACGGTTTGTGGCCGCAGCATCAGCGATACGTTCAAGTCGTAGCGGTCGTCTAGCTACGCCACTAGTTGATGGGATAGATCGCATAACTTGCACGAAGATGGACTTGGCTTCCATGAAAAACACCTCCTCTTGAGTGATATCCAGCGCTGCCGTCAAATCACCTATGGCGGACTCCCACCTGCTGAACAAAGGCAAATTGATGACTCTGTTCTCTTTGCGTGGTAGCTGAGGCTGTGATGATCCCAGTTCTGACATGATAATTGCAAGGTGAGAATTGTCGTCCTTGCACAGCTCATCGTGATGCTTGTCAAGTAAGGTGTGCATGGCGTAAACTTCGTTGAGAGTGATCTCGAGCTCAAGATCCTTCTTTGACAGCGCAACGTAGTTGTCCATCTCAAGGCTTTCGTAGAAGTCCTGGACTTCACACAGATCAATCATGAACTTGTTGATTTTCTCCTTGTTCTGGTGAATGAAAGGCTGGAGCTTAGCCATGTACGGTTCTTTTGCGTATGATGGCTTGTTCGCGAGGTTCTGAAGCATTTTGGCGATGTAGGTCAGAGTTCGTCGAGGTCGCTCGGCCGGGGTTCCGTCGATAAGCATGTACGATTTCGGGGTAACGATCGCGGGGTTGATGAAGCGCAAGAAGAAAAAGCCACCGATCAAGGTACAGATGACTTGATCGTTGGCATCAGGGTACTTGCGCTTGGTCAAGCTCCTGATCTGCTTACATATCCAACGAATACCATAAGGCGCTTCCTCGAGGCCCTCGATAATGGTGGTCAAGAAGCCATTGGCAATCTCAGTCAACATAGTCAGGCGGGGCTCGATAATGGCTTGAACCTGAGGATTCTCGGCAGCCTGTTCGCCCGTGATTCCCTTGGGCAGATGAGGAGGCAATTGGCCGGTATCCTCTTCAATCTGTTCAATCATTCGCTCGTAGACCTTAAGTGGGTTGATTTCGAGGTCAAGATCTTTCAGCTCGATCAAACCGTTGATTCTATCAGCAAGTACGGACTTGAGGAAACTTTGACCAGGTCCTCTTCGAGTATATGTTGTCATCATTCGGGACACGGGCGTGTTGGCACGGAGCAAAGAGGAGTAGTCGGGTGTATTATCGAATTGGTATGTCAAGACGGACTAGGGAATTGTGAGCCTTGAAATCTTTCACGAATTGCAAAGCGTACCTGAAACATAGTGAGAAGGAGATGCTCTTCACGGCTCTCGTATTGGTTTCCGTAGATGGTAAACATGACGGTCTGTAGGAGTGAGTCGATTTCGGACATTGTGACCAGTCTGCAAAGATGGGCAATGTGCCTAGGCTCAGACTGCAGTAAGAACAAAAGGTTTCCGTATTTTTGTGTCTTATCGTCGTTTGGGAAGACACCCTGTTGCATCTCAAGAGCGTCTTCGAGATGGCTGGCGACTTCGTTTTGCTACCACTGATGAGAATTTGTTCATTCCAAAGGTCGTTGTAGACGTACCTCTTCTAGAGCCATGCGGTTCTGGATAAGCAGAGCGATTCGAGAGTCTAGGTAGCGCACATCCTTTTCCAGAACGAAGTTCTTCTTGGACTGTGACGAGATCTTTGACTTGAGGTCACGGAGAGACTTTTGTGCTAGGAGGGGGTCAATGATATGTCCTTTCGTCATGCGCAGCTCAAGACTTACCTTTAGCAAGCTCATCTTCTATCTGTAAGTCTCCTTCGTTGGCAGAAATCGACATGTACAATGCCGACATGGAGTAGCGCTTCGATTGGCGCGCAGAGCGCGATCCATCGTAAGATGACATGGTGTTTTGGCGTGATATGGGTTGAAATGAAGAAGAAGAGGCGGTTGAAGCTCGAGATGGTGTTTGCAACATGGTGGACATAATTCGTCTGTGGGCTCGGTATAACAAAGGTGCAGGCCGCTATGGCTCTTACCCAGACAACGTGTGGTCGTTGTACCGGTGTTGAGCTAAGGCGTCTCAGCTGCCCAAAACGGTCGGAAAGTAACGAGTCAGGATATCCCGGTTATTGAGTCGAAGTAGGCTGGATGATGGTCGAATAGGTCGTCGAGTGATGGCAAGTACTGTGGCAAAGGACAGCGCTTCCTTGACGGCAAGACAACGGATTAGAGATATAGGAGCAAAAAGTCGAAGATATACCGATGTTGTGTTAAGATGGGTATCGGCGTCGGAGATGAGGCGAGTACAGAGAGCGGGTTGGGCGCGCAACTAGGATACAGTCGCTGAGGAGACAAAAGGAGGACAAGATACAAATGACAACCAATTGATAGAAAGCAACGATATCAGCTCAATGGCGGCGACAATACGTCGCGAGGCGAACTTGTAGAAACTCTCGATATGACGAGAAGCGCAGGAAGCGTTCAAGCAAGAAAGAAGCGCAAAATGGGCGACAGAACGGCGACGGATTGATGGTGATAGCGAAAGTGGAGGTGGTAGCGGTGGTGGTGGTGTTGGTGGTAGACAAGGCAGGTGTGGGAAGGGGAAGGGGGGCCGTGATGGAATTGTACAGGCAAGCCAATAAGAAAATATGAAGTACCCAAGCTAAGGAGGTACTTGACGTGGAGTGGCTCAGGTAGGGGACTGCAAGGTACCGGGCATGGGTAGACTTGTATTTCCGGGCAGATTTATGCACGGCTGAGACGCGGACTTCAGGAGGGAGAGACGGCGCGTGGGACGGTCGATGGATCGCTGGCGTTGGACGCTGCAGGGTCGTGCGCTGTGGACTTGTTTGTGTGTGTGGGGGGGAGATAGGAGGAGGACGCGAAGCAAGCGACAATGAATGAACTGCAAGAGGAGAGGGAAATGATCGACGTTGTAGAAGGAGAAGAAGAAGAAGAAGTGGAAGAAAGTAACTATCCAGAAAATGGAAGTGATGAGGAAAATACAGGTGATTCGGCTCGAATGTAAGGATAGAAGAAGGCAGGAATCAGGGGCAGCTAATGTCATGGAAGGCAGGTAAGAAACATAAGGTAGGTATTGAGAAGAAAGAGGGGCCCGGCTACGTAGTACCTCTAGAAAACAGAAGGACCTGACAGGTACGGTACAGATCGGTACCTGACGTGGGATCACTGAGGAGGTGGTGATGATGCCCAGTCTGCCAGTAAAAACGACTTTGGGTGGTGGTGGGAATGGAATAACGTGGCCGTCTACCACCTCCAGGCGGTAGAGTTTAGGTACCTTACAGGATCCAAGAGCTAGCTCAAGTTGGGGAGAGCCCGTCTTACTGTAGGTATTTTAGGAATCTCTCCAGAGTCTAGAACTTGCTAACAGCCTGAGACGATACAGTCACGGTCGCAGTCTACCGTCTGTCTACACTATCGTTGCAATAACCCTCAGCGCCTTCAAACAAATAGAACGACATGCACGAGCCATGCCTGCTCCATACTAACGGGCATATAATATAGGGCACCCGCAGATAACGATAGAGAGAGAAAAAGCCAAACCCTGAAGGGTTCCATAGACTGGCTGGGATCAGGGGCAGAGACGAAACTTACGGGAGACAGAGTGGAGTGACGCTGTCTAAAGATCGTTTTTAGAGCGGGCTCTTGCAACGGGAACCCACAGTGCAATGACGATCAGCAACAACCTGGTGCAATGCTAACGTTGTTGGTGATTGTACTGCAAGGTTGGTACAGGAGACATTTTGATGTTCGCAAACGAGCCTATGAGCTCTACAAACTAGAACATAGAATTTACCTCAATACATGTTTTCTTTGACTTTACAGATACAAGACTCCAAGTTTGTCGGTCGCTTGTTCTCACTATGCAATAAAGAAATATATGAGCAGTCAGTCGCCTTTTGAATCCGTGTGGAACGAAGGCGTCGCAAAGCGGCGTTGGCGGGGTTTCTTCAATCGAGGGAGTCACATCTGCTCAGTAGAAGTACACTCCGTCTGTTTGCTTTGGACAGAGGGGAAAGAAAGGTAACGTAAGTACTATAACTATACTCCGTATTAGTTGGGTTGTTGGTAGGTGGTAAGCAGACGCATAATTTGGCTACTTTTGACTATACTGTAAGACCACTAGAGCTGTGTGTCAACAAAGAACGTCGATCTTCAACGTCCTCCGGAGAGCAAGCACTGGGAGAAACCCCCTGAGAAAAACTCCCATTTGTGTTGAAACCTTGTCAGCCACAATGTTTTCTAAGATTCATTGATACAGGAGCACTATACTCTGTAGAAGCCGAGAAGCTGTGACCTCGTTGATACCCAAGCTGATGAAGCCAGATAGACCAGATTGATTGGACGTTCGCTGTAACGATTATAACGATCTTCCCTCTAGGGTTTGACAAAAATACGATGGACAACAGATCTAACCACTATACCTGAGGGACGCGATTTCTTGTTTCACAGGATTCATTTGTTTCTTTGTACTCCAGAGTTACCTAGTTTAGAATACTATGCTCCGAAGCTTTAACACCCCGTCTGTCATTTATTCAATTCCGTGAAGATTTCCATTCCTTGTACTCCATCCTCAATAGGTACCAAATTACTAAGGTTGGACAACGTTATTCTTCAACTGTCCTTCCAAACAACACCACTGGACAAGAGATAGGGGTTGTGGAGGGTCGCTGCAGGTGTTCAGTGGTGGGCGAGCTTGGGGAGTTTTGTGTGAGAAGGCGCTTGTCGAGGGACAACAAGACAAGACCTAGACTAAGACCAAGAGGCTAAGAGGAGGCACAGAGATTCTGTAGAGGGGGGGTTGACCCTGGTGTGCCAAGCTGCTGGCCAGGGGTATTGGACCACTGTCCGCTTTGGGCTAGGTACAGGCCACAAGGCACAAGGCACAAGGCTCTACTAAAGTGCCTGCACCTGCTTATGCACTCATGGACGGGACGCGCTGTGGATGCCCGTCTGCGTGGGATGATGGAGGGGAAGAATTGGTTGTGATGGGTGTTTTTGCTTGGATGGATGTGATTTGTTATAACCTCGCAGTTCTATAAAGCGTGATAACGTCTTAATTGTGATTTCATCGACTGGCCAGTCTTAAATTGCTTTACGGACATAACCAACCCAACCCGTTCGACCAGTCTCAACTCTCAAGACCTCCCACGGAGCTAACAAGTCCGCGTGACCGAGTGAGGTCATAAACTTTTAGCGAGCAAGTTAACCCTCGAGCTTTATCCGGAGAGATTAAACAAAAATCACATCAGCTCCATACTCCGTACTCCGTACCCCAGCATAGAATCATTACTTATCTCCTCCAGCTCGTTTGACAAGAAAAGTCTATACCTATTCTGCTACTCCGTGGTGATCATCTCTTTTCTGCAATAATTAGGGGCTTGCATGATGCTCTTACGCTGACCTATTTTGCCCAAGGCCGTCGTCGTATTATCATATCAACCTCAACATAATTACCTATCGAGGTGCGGCATGTCTAGCATCACTTTGTCTCAGTCTCTTCACTAAGACCCTTGCCTCTGGCGTGCTGTGGCCTCTTCCAGGCCCCCCCTGCCTGCCATGCCCGCTCCCCTGTTCGCCAACAAGTACACTGAGTCTAACGGTACTACCTTTCCCAACTGGTCAGCCTGCCAGCTTCCCTGGTTTGCGGGCTCCCTGTCGTGCGCGCGCAGCGATGGTGGTTTAGTCGAAGGCATTGTCGATCGCCGGCATTCGTAGAGGCAATGCGACACGACGAACCGGCTTCCAAGATTGAAGATCAACAGTTTTGGGCATTATCGCAGTAGCAGACCCATTTAAGCATCCAATGCCTGCTATCACACGAATATGCTACTTGGCGGTCTAGAGAGCATTTCTGACACACACAGCTTGCTCTATGATCGTCAGAAACAAGTCCTTCTCATATACTTCTGTGGTTCTCTCTTGTCGCGAAGTGTCTCGTAGAATAAGTACAGCTTATCTGAAATCATGGCTGAACAAACAGCACGCATAGTTAAAATTTATCCTCATAAAGGACAGGTCTTAACTCCACATTCTTATCTTCTCATGCTACGCAAGCCACGCATCCTCTTGGCCATAACGTCTTTTGCCGATGGCTGATTGTCTAAGTAAATAGTCCGCTTTGTTGCGGGATGGTTCTGCGTCGCTAGACTAATTGAGGACCTAGCCAATACCGACCCTTTGCTTTGACTCTTACAGAGTAGATAGTTCTGGGCACTTGAGCACACCTAGATTAGTACCGATATCATCCAATGTCTTTCATCGAACAACGGTTAGACGATGATGCACTAATGTTAGTATTCAACATCCAAGAACCAGAAAGACCGAGGTAAACGCCAAGCTTAACTGTTCAACAACCCGTAAACTAGTTCCTACAGAACCTACCAAAATAGCTACGAACCTTGTACTGTTAACTCATTCCTCAGCCTGTTGGATCCTAAACTATGTCAAAGCGGGTGATAGAGTGATAGACTGCATACATTAGCTCCTCAAGCCTTGTAGATGCACGTCAGAACACATCGCCATGCAGGTTTCGGCTGAGGCATCAGGCCAAGAACCAACGTTGGATGTCGATCTAACAGGAGCAAACATCTTCGCCTCGATGTCCTCGATAAATATGCTGAAGACCTTTCACTAACTAGATGGTGCTAGTACGTGTGTTTGTCATCTCTATCCTTCATCCTACCCATGCACATATCCATGTCCATGTCAAATCCAGGATAGAGATCCTCCATTCACGAGAATTATGTGTAGATTACAATCTGCTTTTCACAAGCTTATAACTTACACCAACGGCAGTTGTTTCTCGACAATGGCGTTCGTAAGTAGTACTCTAGGCCGCGTCTATACGACTTACACCTGAGACGGGAGCACTGGCGCGGTCTGTATTGCCTTCCACGCCGTCGAAAGTATATGTTATAGAAGCCAATCACGAGGACTATAACAAACTCAAACGTAATAAACCATATGTATGTATAACATTTATCTCAAAATGATCAGATAGACGTGGGCCATATTAACTTATCCTCCATCTGGGGTTCAGAAATCCACTCTGAAACAAATCGACTGTCCACGGGATGAGCCTATTTTTTTTTTCTCCGTTTTACATAAAAAGCACATACGAGTGCAACCTACTGTACGTGACCCTTCTGAAACACACATGCACAGGCTCGGTTGCTTCCGGTGTCAGGTCATCAGCTTCGAGTGTGGCCTGTAAGTCGAAACATTCATCGTCCCGATGAACCCTTGCTTCTAACAAGGGCAACATGTTTAATGCTAGCTGTGACAACATATGTGCGAGCACCTCCTTGCATTGATTGAGAAACTCGGACTCAAAGTAAGCTAGATATTAGCACATAGCCGCTCTGATATACTCTCACCTTCGGGTTTATGAGAAATACCACATAGATATATCTCAGCTCCATAGCATAGGATTAATATTCCATGTCAGTATGACTGATTTAAAGTGCAAAAGTGTGGTTCTCAGTGCCTCGTACCGTAGTCGTAGTATATCTAGCCTTGTAAAATATGTAGCCATGGTTCATAGCAGAATGGATTTTCAGTTGTTACAAACCTCCGGATTCTTGATGTGCCTTGGAAATTACGGGACTCCTCGCGAGACAGATTACTTAAGACTACTCTGATATTCAAACAATACTGGTATATTCGTCAAACTTCTGAAGCATATTCTTCATACATCACTCGAAAATGGTTTCCGAAGTGTCAGATATTTGCATTAGTAACTATGCACAATGCCATTGGCACCACTCTAGCTAGATGTGTCTCTTGTAACCGTTTCGGATGTCCTCGACATCTTGCCAATATATTCATTTGTATTGTACCACATTCATGGCCTTTGTTTGCCACAGCTTGGTATCTCAACCGTCAGTACCTGCAAAGAATCCGATCAAGGTACAGCTTTGAACGTAGATGACATCTTGAACATTCGCCTTCTCTTGTCCGTGTTCATGAAACACGCCCGTTTCATCCACGTACCAGTCCTCAGGTTCATCCTCGATCAATAGATTGTCTGATCCCATAGCCTGAACCACAGCCGTGACCTATTCAGTTGTGGTACAGGGTGACAGGTTCTCGTCATTGTTATTTCTATGTGATTTATTCGGCAAAGCACCGCTGTTCTTCATACAAGGGAGCTGACTCTGGTGTAGAAGCTGGCCAAAGTCGTGTTCGTAGTCTTTGTCGTAAATGAATCCGATAGGAGATGCGGAATTGAAGCATTCGTGTTGCGTGATATCGTGAAATTCCTGGCGCTCGAGCTCATAATAGCAAGAGTATGGGGACTGGCGAGGCATGTAAAGATCCCCGGACATTCTAATATTGTGCGTCTGTATGAATATACCACTCTCAATGCCGCTTTCGGTTTCTGGCGGAGCCTCGTCGGTGGTCAACACATCCGGTTCGACGTTGAAGTCAACGATGTGTACTATATGTGCATGCTGGCGCCACGTAGGTAAAGTGCTATGTATAACAGGCAGAGGCTTTCTCGAAAGATTCATATTCAGGTCGAACGACACGGGGTTCGACTGCGGAATCAGGCTACCCAAGCCAGTGCCAGGAAGGTCCGATGTCGAAGATGGGTACGTGGTAGTTTGGGAAGACTCCATGGCTGCTGTCTCTGGACGCAAGGAGGCGATACTGTGATAGAATATTAACAATTCTGCTTCTCAGGCGTTTTTATTTTCAATCTCCACGAATGAAAGAAGTGCAGTCGCTCATTCGGTTGAAGGATGATAAGAGGCAGGATACGGGCAGAAGGAACTTGAATACTGACTTGGTAAGATTGGAGGTTAAATGGTTGAAGATTGGATTTGTTAAAGGAAGCGATCTATCTTGTTATGGGATTGAACGTCACTGTCGTTTCTTGATGTGATTGTGTTCGGGCAGTGGCTGCCCTCATAACGCAGGCAGGCAGGAGGCAGGAGGCAGGAGGTAGGCAGCCGGTACCCGCAAGCACTCCGTTAAAGGCCTCCCATCAGAAGTCATAGCCATTGTTATTAAAGACAATGCAATGTCTCACCGACATTACTATCACCGTGCAAGATGGAAACTTATATGTCGATCGATGCATATCGCTTTATGGATATATGGATACACTGCAGGATATATACTTGGACTTTTCTGAAGGTATCGTACTGTCTGTCTCCTGCCCATATCAGTGTCGATAATAAAATATCCACCATTCGGTACTCATTCACAAGTCTGTTATAGGTAGAAACTGGACATTTACTTGAATAACAACAGAAAAGTGTGGACTTCAACTGAGCGAGAGCGAATGATACCAAGCTTACATGTCCAGATGGGAAGGGGGAAACCATGTGCTGACTGGTCATCAAAACACAATAAACAGCACATCAATAGGCTCACTAGAACTAGGTACCCAAGTGTGTCCCTTCTTTTCACCTATTTATGGCCAAGAAAAGAACACAATACTGTTAATAGCCGCGATGTATCGCAATGAGCTCTCAACGGAACGTGAATGAGCTTCTTAGCGTGGTGGAGCTCAATGCGTGATGTCATTTGTGCTGCAGCTGTCCCCAAGCTCCAACCTCCACAATCAATGTCAACTAACCTCCAGAAGCAATTGACAGCCAACAACTCTCCAGAATAACCCAAAAACATCGCCAATCAAGTCAATTCGTCTACAATCATGTCTTTCCGAGCTCCTCTTCGTCGCATCGCCCTTGCCAGGCCCGCTGCTATGGCTGCCCGCGGCTTCCACTCCACCCCTCGAGCTTCTGTCCGCGTCGGCCAGGAGATTCCCAGCCTCGATGTGCTGCTCGAGGACTCTCCCGGAAACAAAGTCAACCTTGCTGAGGAGTTTGAGTCGGCTAATGGATACATCATCGGTGTCCCTGCGGCCTTCTCCGGGACGTGCTCCAGCAAGCACATCCCCTCATACATCAACCACCCCAAGCTCAAGGAAGCTGGTCAGGTCTTTGTTGTGTCTGTCAACGATCCCTTTGTGTAGGTTCACCTCTCAACAAGGCGTCCATAACAGCCTCGTTCTGGTATGATTCTGACTTTATTATTACAGCATGAAGGCATGGAGTGAGCAGCTCGACCCCGCCAAGCAGACCGGAGTGAGTCGACACCGATGCCCATAATACGCCCCGTTCGTGGCTTTGTGTATCTTGACCTAACATGTATCAGATTCGATTCCTCGGCGACCCCACTGGTGAGTTCACGAAGGCCTTGGATCTCGGCTTTGAAGCGTACGCCGTCTTCGGTGGCATGCGAGGAAAGCGGTACGCTCTCAAGGTGGAGAACGGCAAAGTTAGCAAGGCATATGTCGAACCTGACAACACTGGAAGCGCCGGTAAGTTACAACTCCAAGCTTTCCTCTTCGTCATAAGTCTAATGTAGTTCTATCAGTGTCCATGGCCGAACAGGTGCTTGATTAGATAGTGGACGTGACAGAGTGAAGACTATCGTGACTGGGTATCTTGAGGCGACGTGTGCCTCTTTACGTTGGTCCTGACAATTATGAGGACAGCCTTCCATAATTTAAACTCATTACCCCATTTTTCATGTAGTTGCCTGGTGAGAGTTTCCAATCTTTAATACGGGAGAGTACACACATACATCATGGCTTCTACAACTCATAGTGCCAAATGATTCACCTGCTTGCTCAACATCGTCATGTGGTTTAACACACATGAACACCCCCCGCAACAAAAAGAATGTTCCCATGTGTCAATTGAGGCTTTATACAAACTTCTCTGGCGCAGTCATTTCATGGTCAATGAATACCACCTCGACATAATAAGCTTTTGGGCATTTATGTGGCGACATTCCGATACATAACTTTGGTCGTATCTTTTATAAGCGTCTGCTCAATATATCATTCGATGAGTGACACCATATTCACCCGGTTCACTCTTGAGTCTTGCCACAATGGCTTTGTGTAAGTATGACACTGACGAAATAGGTGTATATGTATGTTCTGCACCAAGTTCGTGGAAGTATAGTCAATGCTGTCGTTCTCTTTTCAAAACTCTTTTGGTCTCTAGAAGTTTCTATCAAATCGAAATTATTTATCTTGTAAGCCCACCGCTTGTGTGTATTGTTTGATTTGGTTTGCATGTCGTTTACAAATTGTTGAGCTATTCGTTGTTGTATGTACAGCCACGAGTAATGTGGGATGCGAATTATTACAAAACATGGCGATAGATTCTCCATGCAAAAATCATTAGCATAGAAGCTCTAATTTTCTATATACCTAAGCCTGATATTACAGAAAATCCCCCATATCTGGCTTGTTCATCATGAAATCCGTGACTACAAGTGTACGCCAGAACTGCAGACCGACATACCCTATACCGCTACCATGCGTATATCATACCTGGTTTGATACTGTATTTGTCGAATTTGTATTGACTTTTATATGCTCCAATGGTATTTAACCCATCTTCCTGGTTTCCAAATACGCGGGTGAAGAAACAGGATATCGGCACAGTTGATGAACTTGCTTGTTCCCAATGCTGGGAAAAGATAGTATACCGGATTAATTAAACATGTCCTCTAGCTACACGCCTGTGACATGACACTGTGCCTAAGCCAAGCTCTCTCTCGTAAATGTTTTTATCCAACTGCATAAAATTTTACTCAGTGTCTACGAAAATATCAAACACTACCGTACTCCATAGGCAGTCGAAGATTATGGATTCTCAATTGTCCTCGGCGAGTTAAAATGTGCGATATCCCGCCAAAGCGAGGCAGGGAAGGCTTGCCCATTCGATACCCGAAAGGATCCATGGATTTAATCTGTCGCGTCGTGATAAAAGCATCGACTACCCAAACAAGGGTTCAATCGCCGTGGCCCGAGATGATGATCTTCGGCTTGCCCCGTCCAAGCACGGATGAGGAGACTTCGTGAGCGCAACGGCGACGACGAATAAGGAGCCGTCGCAAGGGCTCAAGCCCATCACTCTTAGATGGGCTGAAGCTAATTGGGAGAAAGTTCAACTACAGGTTTGGGGGAGGGGTCCGGGACGCGTCTCAGACGCGATATCGTGAGTAGCTTGGCACATGTGAATGGGCGATTAAGCGCGCAAGCAAGGGTGATTGGACATAATGCTAGAATGAATAATGGCGAATCAGACCGGTGCGATGAATCAAAGATGCCTGGATATGTGACTGCAGCCTGCAAACCCGGGCCTAATCTCGGGAGAACAACTCTAGAACGGTAGTGATTGTAAGTGATGCTCGTGAAGACATGAATCACGTTACTGTGACAGTGACAGGCTACGATTAGAGGTCAATGTGACTGGCATCAGAGCTCGGAGGTTGGAACTGCGGCTGAGGTGATAGTCGGATATTACAGGTGTGACAATGACATGAGCGGCAGGCAATGTAATAAACAGGTAAACATAATGATCAGGGTTTTGCCTCAGTCTGAGACAAGGCGGTCCAGGTGACAGGATATCGCGAACGGGAGAGAATTGGGCTGCGCGATTAAAGTATGATGTTGTTAGGCCAGCATATGGAATGGGCTGATGATGGGAAAGTCAGCAATGCAAACGACAACAAAGCTGGGCTCTGGTCGGTAGGTCTGCATCGGATAGTCAACCTCTAACCAACTCGGACTGATGTTGAATTGAGGCCAAGGTGAGGCGGACAGGCCGGGTATTTTTTATGCATTCCGTCAGGCTTTGGTGAGACGCGTTGTGCTTGAGGTAGGTCGTCATCTCGAGAAGTTTTTGCGCCAGGATGGTTGTCAATATTGGGCTTCTATACATGTCGTCCTAGATCAAGTCTCAACGAGGCGGTTACGTGCATTGGTGTTGTGGTATAGAACCATGGCTTAGAACTTCGTCATTACCACAATCGTGTGTAGTAGGAGAAGGAAATGCGCCATGGCACAATAGAGAGCTATCGATTCCATCTGAAAGCCCCATACGAAGTCAAAACCAATCGGAGGATTATTGATACATGATCCTCGATATGGACCAATTGATATTAAAACGAAACCTCTGTGCTTTCGTAGTATACCTACCTGGTACGGATAGGTAGACAGGCAATGGGTTCATCCTTGCATCAGACGTCAATCAGAAGGGGAACAAAGATGGTAACGAATCTCTACCCAACCACACCAACTCATGCGCAGGCCAAACGATGACAACTGGCCAACCACGCGCATGCATCAGCACGGGGGGATGCACACCACCGACCACACACCACACGGTTAAGCCCCCTGGCCCCTACCACTTGAGACGACGTGCGACTGCGATCACGACGAGGTATGTAGGTATAACGGAGGAAGCAATATGACTATGACATGTAAGCTGGTGGTGCATTCAATGCGATGCGATGCGATGCGTTGCGTGAGATCGAGCACAACCCGACAACGCACCAATGTAGCCCTCCCAAACTTGGGCAGCATCTCCCTCTGACCCGATCTCGCTTCTGGTGCAATTGACAATATCGACAAGACCGACGTCAATTGAAGGTACGCGCCGCGTCCGCGTGCAACAGATCACCAAGAGCTCCTCGCCCACATGCGGGCTCTTTTGAAGTTCGGCAGGTCGTCCCGCATGTCCTCATTGCGGTACGACAACCGTGCTACTTGACCGTGATCCACAAAGCCAAGGATCCACGGCCACTCACCGACTCCATAGCTCTTACGTACGAACGAAGCGAACTGCTGCGGCCAGGTTTTGAGACTTTGAAGACTTGATGGACGGCAGGGTTTCACCAGTTTTGTAGAGATGTTCTGGTCTAACCGGTCTACTGGTTCTGACTTGCTGTGAAAATTCACAGAGCAGCGAGTCCATATCCTCGAACCTCGCGTTGCGCAAGCCTCTGTTTATAGCCGGTGACAATGCGCTGCGTCTGTACTCTGTACAACGGTACAGAATATGGGTAATGTAGCACATCCAAGGGATGATGCACGTGGATCAAAGCGCTGTGGAGCTATCATGTCTGAGGAGTAAGCAAGCGAACACCTTTTATAACAGTTCCAAGCAAAGTTGATAACTTCAATATTGAGGCTGGAAAATGTCTCTGATCTCATTTATTGACCAGTGACAATGGGGACCAGATCGCCGGATACAGTCTGCGAGCGAGTGCCAATGATATCTCACCGACATTTGCCAATCGTTTCCCTTGAAATCCACGGTGCATATCACAACCTGCTTCGTTTCTGTTGTGCATGTGACCAGGAAAGAGGCAACAGGCAACATATATTATCACGTGCTAGAGACACCCGTTGACGTAGGTACTGTGAGTATGTGACTGCTGAATTTCATCTGTCAAAAAGATCGTGTAGCGATATGAGTCTTGGGAACACGCCCAGGACCAAGTACCGAGGAGCTTGACAACTGAGGCCTGCTTGACAGCCTTGCCGATACCGAAAATCTGTAGCGTGTCGATATGGACAGAATGAGCCCCAAAGACCCCAGTAAGCGAGTCACCGCTCTTCGTGAGTCAATGTAAAGCAGGCTGCCTCCTCTGGCTTTAACATATGGCTTCAGAATTCAATTCAGCTTCAGCTTGATCAACAAGCAGTGCCTTACAAGTTAGACCCTGTCTCACAGACTGGAAAGTATAAGTAACTCGGGGCTAATTTTAGCCCAAGCCGGATTGCCAGCTCACCACACACCATTCAGCAACGGACAGTGATCGGCCGACAAGAAAGAGGGGTGAGAAACGCCGAAGCTGGAAGGTTTGTGCTCCGGCCGCGATGTCTGTCGTCACTTGGTGCCTACTTGTTGCTTGCTAGGTACTAAGCCAAGGCATACAGAGAAAGTAGAGATGGCTCAGCGTGTAGGTATAATATCGACATCTCTAAGAAGCGGTCTGGATGAAAATCGTGAAAAAAGAAGAAAGAAAAAGAAAAATGAACAAACAAACAGAATAACAGTTACAATGCAGGCTCATCATCAGAGTCCACAATACCCGGCCAGGATGCCGCAAGGCGAAAGGGTTTCTACATCCCACCACTTCCACAGAATAGGAACTCTAACTTCAAGAGCGGGGGTTTTAAGCATCAGATAAGAAGAGGAGGGATCAGTGATGATGGATGGATTCTGACACTCGGAACACCGGTAATTAAGGTTGTCAATGCCGATGATTCCAAGTACGTGGGCAAGTAAGTACTTGCCTATATTTATTAATCGTACTTATCTGTTGATGGAAACGTGTAAAGTTAAAATATGGAGTTACGCACGTAGTAGTAAATCAATTCTCATGATAGAAGTAATGAGATAGATCATAGAACCCTCTAAACGACCTGTAGCTGTTGCGAGCTTCCATTTTGATAAGCCCGCTCCTGCCCGCCCACACCCCTCAACGCCCCCAAGGTTTGAGTCTTTGAGATGGAAGGTAGGTACGGAGGTACGGAGGTACTCTGTACGTACTGAGTGGTACATTGAGGAAGGTGCAGCAAATAGCAAGTGGATCTTCTTGGAGTCCTTGCATCACGTCATTCCCCAATCAAAGGAGGGCACCCCACCAAAAGCTCCATGACTGAGCCAGTTAGCTCAACAAGTGTAAAAGTAGTCTGGAGCCCGCCCCTCAAATCATCTCGTCGCATTTCCCTCGTCCTCCTCGCGGGCTTTCCTTCTTCACGACCAATCAATTCTTCTGTCCTCATCCACTCAACAGGCAATCAGATTCGTTCCCAGGCCTCTCGAAACATTTGATTTGATTTGATCTGTGTCGCTATTCTCTGGCCATTCACAATTCATTTATCCAAGCAATTCTTCGTGTTGATTGGATCGCACGCGCGCGCAAATCAGCCAGCAACCGCTCCCGCGAACCACAAGCAGCGATAAACGCTTTGTCTTTTGTCCCTGGTAGCCCAGCTTAGACGACAAGCTTCTACCACGCCGAGTATTGAATTCTGCCATTCGCTGATTGCGACTCAAGTCACCCCGACAGGCAATTCGATATATCGTCACAAGATTCAGCCCTACCCGTCAAAGCAGAAGCCAATTCCAATAACTAACAACTCAATTGACCATCCCGCCGCTGCTCAGTCTTGTTAGTTGTTTTGCCACGTTTTAGGTAAGCAGTTTATCAAAAGCTCAAAAGCTCAGCTCCCAGGCCTTTCAGCCCGCGGCGTGATCCTCAGATTCATGCCAGGCTCCAGCTTCTGCAGCGCTACCCCAGCCTCCAGTTCTACCATCTACCATTCCTTACCAACTCCTTGTCCCAACCTCCTTACAAAGGAGAAGGAAAAAAATTCCCCCAACTTGCTGGCCTTACGTACTCTTCTATCGAGTCGAAGCTAGTGTTGTGTTCCCGTCTGAAGCCCCTCTTATTCACGCGATTGCCCTCCAAGCAATCCCCGTCTCTCCGAGACGCGTCCAGCTCGTATTAGAGCCAGCCGCCTTTACCCTCTCCTGACAAAAGCGGTTCGCTCCTAGGCTTGCTGTCTTATTGTGTTCACTTGTCACCATTTGGGTTTGACCTTCTGTGTGGCCTGTCAGCTAATTAATTAAAGACGCAAGGTCTTTCTTGCCGCGCGACAAGCCCAGCCCTCACTCGCCCGAGACAACCCACCCACCCCAATTCAATTTAACCCACCACTCTCCGTCAGCAAATCAGCACGCTTTCGCACTTCGCTTCGCCTTTTCAACTTCACGACTTTGAAGCCTATCATCGTCGCCAGTATCATCTTAATCACCTTTATTGGTCGCATTGCCTGTCACCTGACGGTTAATGCCTGCGGAGCCTGTTATTACCCCAGATTCGAGTTCCGTTCATCAACTTATTGAAACGAGGTTGTACGAGTAGTCTTTGAGCGCGCTCAAGACTCTATCAAACCGTTCACCCGCGCTCGTGTGTGTCTATCGGCATCTCGCATCACAAAGGTACGTAGAGATTCATTTTTCTCGGTTGCATTTCCAGAATTTCTTCAATGCCTGTTCATTTTTGAGGCGTGTTTCTTCTGATGCCTTCATCGCTCATTGCCTACGCCCATGGCCACGTGCAAGTGAGAAGAACAAGCGCGTCGTGTCAGCAGCACGGCATATCGTTGAATATTCTTGAATAGAGAAACGCGTCTTTCCTTCATCGCAGCTTTCAAAAGCGCGTTGCTAGGTCTTTGTGGTACGAGGAGAAACTCGTGGTTGTTCGATGCCCGCTTACACCATTTTGCGCCAAAGCTTGCACCAGACATCGACTTAGACTAACACCGTCAATAGCTATTACACCAACAGTGTCTACCTGATCGAAGGGATCACCCGAATGTATGTATCACGTGTTTTCCTCTATCACTTGGCCCGTACCAACACCCTCTGGCCATGATTCATTTGTGTCCATGGGTGTAGGACAAGAGCATGCCGTTTTTCGGTCTGCCTGTTTTACACATACAAGCAAGACCTGTTGCGTTGCCCAATCTGGTTTCTACAACACCGCATATTATCTCCTCTGCGCCATGGCACGATGCACTCGAGTGTTTGCTTCGTGATGGTTTCGGACGAGATCCACGATCTACTGCCCTACCCTAGCCTTTCCATTGCCTCACCAACTTGATATGTACACCCGTTCTGCCCAATGTCCACTTCATGTGGCCACTCAATACCCCGCCCAGGGACTTCTTCCGAGGCGCAGGGCCGCTATCCAGATCCCCGGAAGGGTCCAAGTCACTGTCGCCAACCAGCTCGATCATCGCCTTGCCTTGCTTCGTCGAAAGTTCAAACGACGTCTATTTGACCGAGGCGCCCCAAAGGCTGAGAGCACTGTGCAGTAGACATCAGTGGCTACACGGGAATTCTAGACAAAGAGTCACCACACTCTATACCATAGCCTCAGATCTGCCCAACGTGGGAAGTATCCTGCTTTGAGGCCCCAGAGATCAATGACCTTACAGCACCTTCAACTTTGGGCCGGAGCTAGTGGGCTGGCCGAGTGGGAGATGTGGATCTGTCCGTTGCATGTTCCGTCATAGTCATGCATGGGACTCTGGGCTGCCAACGCATCAAGAGTGGCTTTCCAAACGCGCATCTGCACGTTCACCCTTCCCGTCCCCGTTTTTACGCCGTTCCCCTTACCCTAGCCTAGCATATATACACCTTAGCTAACGCATATGGTTGGACAGATCTTCAGACAAGCAACTGACCACCCAGCGCCTTTTCTGACGCTTCTTGCCCAGTGCTTATCTGCTCCCTCTGGTTTTGCTTTCTAGCGCGGCTGTGTAAATCGCCGCACCAGCCACTCCAGGCAGAACGAGCCACAAGATATCAGCCTGTATATTCATTGACCCTCAGGGCAGCTTTGTCCCGTTTCGGCTTGCCAGCTCACTCACGCGTACCCAATTACTTTGGCGCATATCCTCCAGAGTCTTTTGGATTTACCTTGAGAAGATTCTTCAACCCAATAGTCTGGTTATACCAAGGCGATACATCGATTTCCAGAACTGTATATTTATCCATTAACTATTGCGGACTGTCCGAACGACGTACCGTGACGCAAGACAAGTACACCTTGATTCTACGCGTGTTCAACGAACCCGACGCGACGAGGACGCATTTCCTCGACACTTACCGTTCAGACTGGACTCTTAGTGGATAATGGACTACGGCCAATATCAACAACAAGGACAGAACACAAACTCCGGCTACGCGAACTCTGGTGCTGCTAACAACATCACTTCACCTACAAACAACATTCCACAGCATACTGTGCAATCGTCGCCTATTCTCTCTACTCAGCAACAGCAAGGCCAAACCCCAGGTCACAACATGTATCAGCCACCATATGGAGTTGCCCAGCAGGGCATGCAGCAAGTCCACTATGCCATGCCTGGTATCCAGGCAGCCGCAATGGCTGCCACTGCGGCTGCGTCTGGTCAGAACTATGGTTATATGTCTTCAGACCCGAACATGCCTCAGAGCTCACCTCGCATGGGCGCTAATGCCAAGAAGGATGGACGTCAATCCCCTCGCATGAACAGTATGTCTCGTCGAATGAGTCAGGTTACGAGCCCCGGCGTTCCTACCGCGCCGATGATGAGCCACGCCGGCGCGCGACCCGGTGTTGCCCCACCCCAAATGCCGGCTGCGCAGATGCAACATACACAATCTCCCGAAATGACGGCTGCCAGCGGCGCCGAGGAATCCCCACTTTATGTCAATGCTAAGCAATTTCACCGCATCCTAAAGAGACGCGTTGCACGCCAAAAGCTGGAGGAACAACTTCGATTGACATCCAAGGGACGAAAACCATACCTTCACGAGTCACGACACAATCATGCTATGCGCAGACCTCGCGGCCCTGGTGGACGCTTTCTCACTGCGGAGGAGGTCGCAGCTATGGAGCGTGATGGTGATAAAAGTCTTGATGGAAAAGATAATGTTGTAGGAGACAACTCGGGAACTGGAACAAAGCGCAAGTCTGAAGCCGGGTCGGCAACATCCAATAAGAAAGCTAAGACGGATACAGCGAGCCCAGGGGATGAGGAAGACGAGGATGAGGGTTGATGCCGTGTGTAAATACGCGTTAACTCTCATTCTTCTTTTCAACCCGTTAGCGGTTTACGACGTCACGACAGCACGATTGTTACTTTTTTCTACCGCTGCCTTGTTTGAAATTGGCCCGGGTTGGTTGACGCAGAGCGAGCAGTTTCTTTTAGATCAGACGGAGGGTGTCTTTACTTCATACCAGGCTGGAAGACTTTTGACGACACCTTCGGTTTTGGTTCCAGGAGTCATATCGTCAAGCTGAAACTGGACTTTGCGTCTCACCAGAATGGGTTTCACTTAATACAGCACTTGACTGGCAACAGCTTGCCATGCCTATCGCTCGCTCGATGGGTGTGGCGTTAGGGATGTACTATGGACAGAACGCATGGACGATTCGGCACGATGGATACCCCTACTTCCTATTTCGTTCGGTCTCTTTCTCCTATGTCCTTGCGGTCTCATTTTATTTTCATTTTCTCATGGGGTACATATCAGCATTAGATCACTCGCTTTCGCAGATGTCGGTCTGGCTCCCAACAGCAAGCCATATCGTCGCTCCGCTCACCGAAGGAGTGAGTGAAACCTCTCACAGGGCGAATGGGAAAGTCGGAAACACAAAAGAGAAAAGAAAGAAAATGTCATAAGGTGCGAAATGGAGGAGATGTTTGGGGGTGCATTCCTTATCATTGGTCCACCTAGGAATGTATAGGTTTAGAGTCGGATGATGGTCTGGCGTTGGATCGTGGTAAACATGGGAAGTGTTTGAGGATCAAAGCTTGTATTGTTGTTTAAGATTTCACGATTTCCATTGTCAAAGACCTCGATTGTGACTAGATTTGTGACTCGAACTGTTGCTAAAGATGAAAGTCATGTTAAATTATCGGTGTAATGTGGTATCCGGACTCAACTCTACATTGACTGATGACTAACTTAGCATTTGGGAGAAAAGAAAACGTCTTCCTGTAAGATCAGGTTCTTGACTCTTGATCGACCCTTTGCCTTATGTTGCGTTAGATATGGGATATCGATGCAAGAGTTTATTGAATATGACGGTAGTTTACAAACTCGTAGTAGAACAAAAACAATTGAACAAGTGCAGGCTTCAGTCGTTAGTATAAGTACATGATAATGACAGTAGCAGGTCTTTGACCTCTCACTCCTCATCATCCGTGCCTCGTAATTCATAGTCATAGATCGTAATCGTAATCGTAACATGATGAAACATTTAGTATACAAAGGCCGTTTGTCGTCCGAAGAACGACGTCGTAAAACATATCATCAGTGCACATAAAATTTCAGGAGTATAGTCGTAATAAATGCCGAACAAGAAGCACATCAAACTTGTCCCAAGTCATCCATCTCGACTCTAGGTGTGACTTTCTCACCCCATGGCCAAGTCATCCTCCTCATAGGACACGCACCACTGCCTCGTTTCAGTCTGGCTGCAGCGACGGAGCGGCTGTCTGGAATGTCGTTGGTGTCTCGCGATCGACTTCGAAGACGAGTGAAAAGACGAACGGGTATGTTACCAATGGCACCAAGTTTGCGAAGCAAGCGGCCAAAGGAACGAGTTTGTAGAAGGGTGATGAGAATCATAAAGGGGACGCAGACAAGGACCATGGTAAGGGCAAATCGCCAGTCTGTCGCGGGGATTGTGAAGACCGTCATGCCAAATACAGACTGAGTAATGTTAGTAAGGCTGGCATATGAGGCAGATCCGATAAACATACCGTAACGAAAGTAAGCGGCAAAAAGATCATGCTAATCATGGTGAGTATACGGATGTTATCACCCTGCTCAATCGCCCTTCGACTCTCCTTGATCGAACTTCCACTGAAGAGTTGATCCCGCAAGTTCTCGATCTCCTTGCGCGTGCGCTCGTTGCGTTTGAGAACCTCTGTAAGTTCTTGAATAACCTTGTCGAATTCACGGCGTAGATTGGCCATGTGGTTACGGTAAGCAATGCCGTCGGGTGATTCAGGAGCTTTGTGTGGCCAAAGGGTTGGGTGAGTACCGGCCCAGAAACTGTCGGTGAATGTATCGACGTATGCAGCGATCATCGACTTGATACCAGTGTTCACGACGGCGAGGGTGTTGTACGCCCAAAAGTATCTTCTGATGTACGTGAAGTACTTGTCTTCGAATAGAAGCTTGTCCCTTAGCTTAGGATCGAACATGAATTCCGGCTGTATATGTTAGTAAAGCTGTGATGTATTAGAGGCAGAAGGGACGTACAGGTGGAGTTATGAGCTTGGTAACTCGCTCGTGGAGGATGAGATTTCGTTTTGTTGCATCGCGATATTCAGAGATGAGCAAGTCCAGGAATGCGTACGGTCCATTGATGCATTTCTTCTCAAACTCTTTGCCTCGAACCGTATGAGAATTGTCTGGAAAGCTCTGTATGACAAGCAACTGCCATGGTCCAAAGGTTTCAAACAAGAGGCCCTCTCGGGCACGCTCCCTTCGAGGTTTCATAACAGGAGCTTTCTGAGGCTCACCACCGAGCGACAAAGCCAACACTGAGCCGCACTCTGCAATGTCAATGTGGTCTCCCATGCGACTCTCCGAAGGCCGCTTATCGAACCGCTGCCAAGGAGCTGGCTCAAGAGGGGGGTCGACAACGGTGTAGTATTTAAATACGAAAAAGAATGACTTCTGGCGAACATTGGCTGTGGTGGGTGTAGGGGTCATTGTTAACCCGACAGGAAGAGGCATTGGTGAAGGTGGAGTGGTAACAGTCAGGTTGGCTGTGATATGGGAGGGAGGTCGTTCGTACGCTCGAGTCATGAAGGCGTGAGTGCGGCCACGATTGGGCTCGTCGGAGAGAAGATGAGTGAGAAGTTCAGGCATATCAAAATGGGGAGACATTGTAAGTTGGAGGGCTGCGAGAATCAGAGGTGTAGGTTCTTGAACGATACTGAATAATGTTAGTCTAAACTTGAAGCCGTGATCTTTGGGAGGAAACACGTACGTAATTCGACCTACAGACTGGCCGCTGGGATTAACAGTTTGGATAGTCTCCCAAACAGTAGGAGCATCAATACTATCCGCTGGACTATCGCACGGTCCGTTGCCTGTGTACTTGACATCGAGTTGATCGTCCCCATCTCCGTCTCCATCAGCATTGAGCTTCACAAGGCTACTCCCGTGCTTGATCTCGTACACCTCAAAAGTGGACTGGCTGTACTGCTCCCTCTCATAACCTGCAAAGTCTCGAAAGGACAAGGCTGTAGGAATTTCGGAGCGGCGCTTCATGACCTCGTCGAGAAGACAAGTCATCTCGGGGCTGAATTGGGTGTCTTTGAGATAGTTCAGGAGCTCATAATCTTCCCAGCGTTCGCGATGGAGATGACCACGAACTATATTGAGGGGATACTCCTCGACCGCTCGTGCCGTTGCTGTGACGGCGGCCGGGAGCAGAGGAAGAAAAGGGACGTCTTCATTATGCTGAAGGGGGACACAATGACTGCCGCTTGGCGAGTCCATATAAGGTCGATGTTCAGCAGAGAACGACGGCCTCTCCCTGGTGCTCTCAAAGGTAGCAGCTCGAGCACGTCGATATATGGTAGATAGGGAGTTCTCCGTTGTGTATGTCAGGCCTGTGGAAGCCCTCACTGGTGGTGTAAGTGTAAGTGCACCATGGGATTCAGGCACAGCAATGCTGTTGTGAGTACGACTCTCGACTGTGTCAAGTTGACGAGCGACGAGGCCATCTTGCAAGGTTGTAATAGTGTGTAGATATTTTTCGAAGAGGTTGGTTGCTCTGACAAGATCGTCTAGAGCCTGGGAGGAGGTGTTTGTGGTCATTGATGAGTTATCAGGTTCACGTCACTTGGCTCGATAGTCTTTAAATGCCCATGTTCATTATAAAACTATCTGAGTCTCGTTCTTAGAGAGGAGGAGAATGGGTTTTGGTGGAAGGGGGAGAGGGTTATTTCTACTTCTTCATGCTTGTCCACGAGCCTCATCCATCTCTATCTCTATCGGCAAATCCCGATGCATATTGCGGCTGAGTCCTGCTCGGTCAACATCCACGGCTAGGTAAGGGAGACAAACTGAGGGTGTCAGAAAACTTGGTAACTTCAAATTGGGAGACAGAAAGATTTAGACAGGGTTTGTATGGGCTAGACAGCACTTTGCCTAATCTTTTTCTATCATGCCGACCAGATGATCAGGTCTTTTCCAACACCCCTTGGGTACGGGTAGCTAAGAGGAAAAGGCAGAGCAAGAGAAGATCTTTGGATGAAGCAATGATATTCGAGGCTTCTAGCGTGACACTAAATGATGACTCGAGAGGCTAACAGAACATTCCAAGCAACTGGCACAAAATATGGGACGCAGCTTGATTTTCAATCTTGTTCACAAGGAATATCAGAAATAGGGCTGTCGCTGCAAGCCTTACAAATCCTAAATCATGGCAATGAAGCTCCAATCCTCTTGAGATGGAGTAAGAGAATGAACAGAGACTGGCGAAAAGGACTGCTAGGACTTTGATAACGAGGCTGTACATACGTAGTACACCAAAAGAAAAGGCGTCTGGTCGATCACCAACGCACAACACAACACAACGCAACGTTCGCTTTAACACGGCTCCGGGCGGTTGTTGACGGATCGAACAAGGACGGAATGGCGGAATGAGGTTTTGAAGGTATCTGCTTACTCTGCAATCCAATCTCTATTTCCAATCCCGTACGTCATGCAACCCTTTCCTCTCATGAACCGGGCGACCCTGAACGTGAAAGAGGCAGAAGATGGGGGCGCCATATCGCGGGGGTTAGAGTTTCGCGACGTCCACGTGCTGAACTTCATCATGTCAAACCTTATTTATTTTTTATCTTTGATCGTCTTGATGCTGAGCAAATGCCATTACGTTTGGCATGGGCCTCAGTCATTGAGTGATTGCAGTACTGTACTGTCGACCTGTTACTATACTTCTTGACTCAACCATCACTAGCTTCTCCGGATATAAACGATAGCTGCGTGTCTTGCAACGACATATATTTTTAATACTCATGGACCATTCACAATGTCCAAGCGGTAGACTTAACCTATCTTGTCGACTCGACTACCTTAGCTCTATACCCAAGCCGCCCGCCTGCCTGATATCATTCATTCCCTTTCGTGTCCTCATAACTCTATAAAACAAATAAGTCCCAGCCGGCATATTAAAACACTTTGATAGCGATGTCCAATGCTTGGTATCGCTGCTAAATCGCATCGCATCGCAATTCTCCAAACTTCACCTGCTTAGGAAGCGACGCTGACAGGCTTCGCTGAAGATGCTGTTGCGGGCTTCTCGGCACCGTCAACCTCCATAGCATCGCCCTCAGCATCACCCTCGACTTCACCCTCAACTTCATCCTCCTCCTCGAGCTCATCCTCGCTCTCACCCTCGATGTCGACACTGCCATCGTCCGACAGTTCTTCCTCATCTTGGGCGTTTTCTCCTTCATTCTCAACACCAGCCATCTCGGCATCCTCTCCGTTGCCGGTATTGGCCTTGGCGCTGGCCTCTTCCTCAGCGGCCTCCTCAGCAGCCTCCTCTTCAGCCTCTTCGGCACCGTATTCGTCACCATCAGCGACAAGATCGGCTTCGGGTTGCTCAGGGGGGAACTCGGCGGGGGCAGATGCCTCGGAATCCCTAAAGGCAGGTTGTTTAGCTTAATAAACGTCGACTTTTTGCTGTGCACTTACCACTTGATGGCAAATCGGGTAACACGGGGCTTCTCTGCCAGCACGTTTCGCTTCACACGCTCGATAACGGGCTTGGCAGGGGGCTCAGCGGCCAATTCCTCAGAGTCATATTCATTGTTGACATAGTAGCCAACGCGGATGAACTCGCGTCCGTCGTAGGCGCAGGTCAAGAGAATCACAGTGACACCGATAATTTCGGCATCGGGGATGCGAGAGATGTTAGGGGCATCGGCCGAGAAAACGAACTTGTTGACGCCGACGGGGATGGGGCCGACGAGAAGAGAGTCGAGTTCCTGGTCGTATTGATCGCTGAGAAGCGTTAGAATAAGCGGTGTGTGGAGGGACTGTTCAAACTGCTGCATACCTAGTAGCGGATCCAACGTAGGTGAGCTTCCACTCAAGATCTGTTCCACGTTAGCGCTGTGATTTTTGCATCGGTGCGAAATGAGACGAACCCTTCTCGAGAGGCTCAAGACATTCAAAGGTGATCTCGAAGTCGTACTTGTCGGTGAACTTGGCAGGGTTGTTCAAAACATTGACACCCAAAAGCGAAACGACAGACATTTTGGTTGAGGATGGGGGTATAGATGGGATAGAGTGTAAGCAAGAGCACGCAGTGCAGGTGGCAAGAGCAAAGCTTTGGCAAGAACGAAGATGAGTAGAAAGAGTAGAAGAGTGTCTGGTTCTATGGGATGCGTGAAAGTTAAGGTGGGAGAAGAAGCACGGTGTGAGATGTAATGTAGATGTAGAAGAAGAGAGAAGAGGAGAGGAAAGTGGGTAGATGGTGGTGGATGGAGTTGGTTGATGGAAAGCGGCGAACTAGCCTCGATAGTATGTGAGCAAGGGTTAAAGAAAACAAGAGCGGATCGATTCTTGGTTGCGATGGGAGATGACTTGCCCTGGGCGTCGGTCGAAAATATGAGGAGCGACAGTGGCAGTAGCAGTGACAGTGGCAGGCACAGATGCAGTGGGACGCGTTAGGCGGTCACACCCGCGTAGAGAGGTTGCGTTTTGAACGCGACCACCCTAGACTCGAGGATGAGTAAAATTGATCATGTGATCGTTCTAAGCAATTATCTAAGCAAATAGATCCTTCATTGAAGGACTTGGGTTATTATTTACCTGACCGCATGTCTTATATCACATAGCATTAGGTAGGGTGATATCTGGAGCCAATATACAGTCTTGTTATTCTCCTCAACAACAATTATCTATTCACATATATCCTCAACTGTCTATTAATACGATTGGGTAGTCGAGGATCCACCAAAGTGCGGCTCTCAATACCAGCTCACCGCCCTTGGGCGACTTAAGCCTAATTAGGGTTCTGCCGTTGCATGCTTTGTTCAAGCCTGCTATTCTTTGTTGGAGCTTTCAGACTTTGAGACGCTTGGTAAGAATCATCCGCGCGCAGCTCGATACACGACGCATTTATCCTCCCGATTCGACCTGTCTTTTTCCGTGATCGACTTCAATTTGCCGTTTTCAATTTTGTTGTCAAGCGCCGAATTCAGTCATATTTCATCCGGAGCCAGTTGGCGCAGCTCTTGGAGCTTGTCGTGTGTTCGCGACAAATCTTACCAGTCCGTCAGTCGTACCATCAGGGACTGCGCTCTTGGTCGCATTCATCGCGCTTTTTCGATCGAGATACCCGCAATTACACCGAACAGCGACCACTGGATTATCCCAGTCTTTGAACCTCCGATTACCATCCGCGACTTAGGCCTTGCCATTCTTGGTCTCGCGGCCTTGCCCGACGCGTCCAGAGAAGATCGCTTGAGCCACGACCGAGAAACTCACCACACAACTAGTTTCTGAACATTGCAGGATGGCTTCCGATGGTGCTTCATGGGATGGAGAGGATGTTGGGGCGCCGGGTGATCAAGTTCAGCATAGCGAGGAACAAGTTGATAACTATGCTCAAGACTCTCTCGCCTCTGGTGATGCTGATGCAGCAGATAATGGTACCGAAGATGATGGGGGAGAATATGATCCAGAGTCAGTCACTATTGGCACACCTGCGCCGATTGCTGAACAAGCTACGTCCACTACTCCTCAACGCCAACCGGCTAAGCCTAAGATGTCAGGAGGTTTCATAGTTGAAGCTTCTGATGATGAGGACGAGGATCAAGATGAAGCTGAGCAGCCTGCCAATGCTGCTACCCCGTCGGAATCAGCGCCATCTCAAAGCCACCCTGGCCCTTCCACTGCGTCTGATGAACACATTGTCCCAGTTCCAAATCATGCATCTGTCCCTCCTCCTGCTGTCCCCTCCAATGTGACTCCAGCCATGCCTGGTCTCGATCCTATTGCTTTTCTTGAAGCCCGTATCAAAGAGGATCCCCGTGGGGACATGGATGCTTGGCTTAATTTGATCGCCGACCACAGACGCTCCAGCCGACTCGACCAGGCTCGAAGTACCTACAATCGTTTTGTGGAGACTTTCCCCCAAGCTGTGAGTGAGATTATCCATTGTCCGTAATACGCACTAACAATATTCACAGGCTGATGTCTGGGTTGAATGGATCGAGATGGAGCTCGGACTCGACAATTTTGTTGATGCCGAGCAGCTTTTTGGCAGATGCCTTATGACAGTTCCTAATGTTAAGCTTTGGACAGTTTATCTTAACTACATTCGCCGTCGCAATGATCTCAACAACGACCCAGCAGGTCAGGCTCGTCGAACTGTCACTCAGTCTTACGAATTTGTCATCGACAACATTGGCGTTGACCGAGATTCTGGCAATATCTGGCAAGATTATGTTCAGTTCGTCAAGAATGCTCCAGGCCAGATTGGCGGAACAGGGTGGCAGGATCAGCAGAAGATGGACCAGCTCCGCAAGGTTTACCAACGTGCTATTGCTGTCCCCATGTTGACCGTCAACAGCATATGGAAGGAGTACGACCAATTTGAGATGGGACTCAACAAGATGACTGTAAGTTTCATTCTTCTAATTGCGGTGTAAGCTAATATCATTAGGGTCGCAAATTCATCCAAGAACGCTCGCCAGGCTACATGTCAGCGAAGAGCGCCAACATTGCTCTAGACAACATCACCAGACATCTTAGACGCACGAACCTCCCAAGACTCCCACCGGCACCAGGTTTTAATGGTGACCAGGAATTCAGAGATCAGGTGGAAATGTGGAAGAAATGGATTGCCTGGGAGAAGGAGGACCCACTGGTGTTGAGGACTGACGAGCCTAAAACATACAATCAGAGGGTACTTTATGTCTACAAGCAAGCGTTAATGGCACTGCGTTTTTGGCCCGAGATTTGGGTCGATGCTGCAGAATGGTGCTTCCAAAACGACATTCGCGAGAACGATAAAGAGATGGGTACGGAATTGCTACTTGAGGGCATCCGAGCGAACCGCGAAAGTGTGTTGCTTGCTTTGAAGCATGCAGACCATATTGAGGTCAATTATCCTGGGAAGGAGGTTGACAAGGTGGAGTTTGCCCAAGCTGTTCGCAAACCCTACGATGATGTTCTTGAGACGTTGTACGAGTTGGGCGACAAAGTCAAGGAGCGGGAAAAGTTGGAGGTCTCCACACTCAAGCAGGCCGCGGCACAAGACCCTGTCCAAGCTTCCATTGAGCAGAACGATGACGATGACGAGGAAGAAAGCAAACCCAAGCGATCACCCATCGAAGAGCGCATCCTCGCAATCCAGAGAGGATACTCCACTGAGACACAACTCTTGTCGCGCACGATTTCCTACGTTTGGATTGCCCTTGCAAGAGCTATACGCCGCATTCAAGGTAAAGGCAACCAGTCAGAGGGTGGCTTGCGCAAGGTCTTTACCGATGCACGCCAGAAAGGACGGCTCACAAGTGATGTCTACGTCGCTGTGGCTCTGCTTGAGTCTGTTGTCTATAAGGACCCAGTTGGTGCCAAGATCTTTGAAAGAGGCGCGCGTTTGTTCCCAAACGATGAGGTTTTCATGATAGAGTACTTGAAATATCTCCACTCCAAAGATGACACAACTAGTAAGTGGATGATCACCCGCGATAGGGACTGAACTAACCATTCATAGATGCACGAGTCGTCTTCGAGACCTGTGTCAATCGATTGATTTCTAACCCAGAAACACTGGCAAAGGCCAAGCCCCTTTACGCCTATTTTCACAAGTACGAATCGCAGTATGGCGAGTTGTCACAGATTTCTAAACTAGAGGAGCGAATGGCAGAACTCTTCCCGGAGGACCCCAAGCTCAACTCTTTTGTGGCCCGATTCTCTTCTGATAAGTTTGATCCAATTGCTTCTCCAATCATCATCTCAAAGGCAGTGCAGATGCGACCAAGGCAAGCCATGCCTATGATGATGGAGCAACAGCAGCAACAACAACAGCAGCAGCAACAGCCTCTCTCGTTGCGAAACAGTCCTATGCCATCTCGACAAGAACAGAGTCCTCGTCCGCAGTATGTCAGGGCCACTGCTTCACCCAAGCGACCTCTTGCCGTTGACGATGAGGAGCTCAACCCCCCCAAGCGACTTGCTAGAGGCGTGTCGCCGCTTAAGGGTGCCGCGGGTCGCCGCCTTGATCAGCAACGCCGTAACCAAGCATCGGCGTTACATAGAGACATCACCTTTCTGCTCAACATCCTCCCGCCTTCTCAAAGTTTCGATGCCCAGCGTCTGAACCCCACAGCTATGGTGTCCATTCTTCGAGATACCCAACTCCCTGACTATGCCACACTGAAAGCTACTGGTGGTGGCCAGCCGCGCTTTGGCAATCCTTCCCACACAAGGCAAACTTCGGGTGAGTTCGGCAACCGACCGTTAAGCCCATACGGAAGAGTGGCCTCGGCAGCAGGCGGGTATAGGAATTCGCCGCTGCGGCCAGAGACTAACAATCCCTATCAAGCAAACTCCTATCCCCAACCTGATGCAGGTGGTCAAACAGCCGCATGGCCGCCGGCACCTGGTGGATATGGCGCACCAGCGCCTGGCCAGTATGGAGGATACCGATTCTAAGATCAAGACGTATATGGAGGCAACACCCAATAGTCACTGGCGCAAAATTTGGGTTGCAAGCAGTGCGTTCTAATAATACCACTAAAAAGGAATTTGAATGATATCGAGGGCATGGTTAGGATTGTCTTTGCCTCGCATGTTATGCATGGTATGGCGTTTGGGGGGAATCGGAGACATGCAGAAAGTCGTGGGTATCATGGATATTGTGCTTGTCGAGAAGATGGCCGAGGTAGCGAAATTCCCTGCCTGCTCGTTTTACAATTCATAATTTTGGCAAAATCACACAATGACTGTTTATTTGGATGATCTGCGATTGCTTATGCGTGATGTTTTGTGTTTCTTTTCCCTGTTCAAGTGATATTTGAGAAGTGCAATTAGACAACGTCGATAATATACCACAACGGGTAGCAACATATCGTATGGGTGCTTGCTCATATCTCATGTAAATCTCCGTTATGATCCTTCCGTTCTGTGCTTGTCTCTATCGGGCAATCTATGCTGCTGATTTGGTATAAACAATTAGTCTGTGGTGCGTAATGAGATCGATTGGGATACTGACCCCTGAGTTACAAAGTGGTAGTAACTGAGCACACTCAACCACATCAGGATCATTTTAAGCCCTGCTTCAGTGTGTTGATGTTCAATAGATAATAGCGTACCTAAATTATATCCAGAAGCTTTGATATTAGAGGAAATACTTGAATTGTAGCTGGATTTCATGTTGGCAGCCTGCTCGTTGCCAGGCATCACCACCCACCTGCCAGTGCCCGTTTCCTTCCTCAAAACACAACAGCAAGCACAAGGTGTTTCCCCCCAATAACCCCTAATTCTACAGGGCAGTTACTAGCTGGTTTGTTGCGAACTGGGTTTGCTTATATCTCCCGTGTGCTCATCCAAACTCCTCCTCTTCTCCCCTCACGCATACCTTACCCTCCTACCACGAAAAGGAGCAGCGCATCTCCTCAACTCCTCAACCCTCCACTCCTCATCCTAAACTTCTACTCCTACTGCAATTCGAATACCACAGTGAGTCACAGCCCCCCCTCCCCTTTCTGATTTCTCTGGCTATATAACCTCCTCCTCCTCCCCTTTTCCTCTCTTCTTTCTTCTTCCCTCATCACCACCACCACTTCATCCTCGTGCTCCCTCTTCTTGAGCAAGCACATCAACACCTTCGAGCTTCATCAGCTACTGATACATAACACACTTCATTTGCTCTATCCAAACAAAACTTCAACTGCTTCCACGTCAAATTCTCACATCGTTCAGATTCCAAGTCTGCATTCTCGCACAAGCGCGATAGCCAACCCTTCTTTCCACAGTCGGTAAGTTCTTCCTCCTTCATCTTTACTCCAACCTTTGGCATCTCTACCTTGAGGGCTATAAATACCCTCTCTTCCCTCCTCCTTCTGTCGAGATCTGTCTACCTCCAACCTTCTTCTAAAACACTCACACCCCAATTTACTATCTACACTCCAATCCCATTCTACCAGCACTTCTTTACAATACAGCCACTAACATTTCCAGACAAGTCTGTCGCTATGTCGGACAGAGGGCGCTCGCCGTCCCCAGGGGGGCCTGGGAGCTCCTCAGGATCAGGAAGACGACCTTCTCAGTCTCCTGCCCGTTCTGCCTCCGGATCTGCTGCTGGAGGGCCTGCTGGCTATCCCAAGCCACTGGGTTTCGATCCTGCTAAGCCCCAGAAGCAAGAGGATCAAGGCAATACCCGAATGGAGCTGCCACCTGACGCTTATGTGATGGAGACCAGGAAGGATTTGTTCACGTTGCGAAACAATCGTTTCAACACTGAGGGCAAGGCTGAGATGATTGAAGTCAACCAATACCGCATGACTAAGTTTGACTTCAACAAAAAGATTTACCAGTACGATGTGAGTAACTGACCTGTATCTTTTGTACTCAATATAATCTAACACAATCCCAGGTCTTTATCTCACCGAACCCAGACAAGATTGGCCCTGTCATGAAGAAAATTTGGGCCCACCCGACTACCCAGAAGAACCTCAAAGCTTACAAGTTCGATATGTGGCTCTTCGACGGCAAGAAACTTGCTTGGGCTCCTGTTCTTGTTGATCGTGGCGAGGTGCGGTTCACTGTCGATCTCGACGAAGGCAAGCGTGCCGCTGGCGCAAAGCCCCGTGAAGGCGGCAGCTTCTATGTCACCATCAGAAAGACCACCGAGGTCCAGGTATCTGCTTTGCAGGGATATCTCATGCACAAGATATCTTTCAACAACAGTGTTCAAGAGGCACTGAATTTCATTGACCACCTTGTGCGACAATACCCGTCCAAGAATCTCCTGGCGATCAAACGAAACTTCTACAAGATGGGCCAGGTTGGAGCCCCTCTAGAGGACGGTGCTGTCGTTGAAGTTCACAAGGGAACATATGCTTCTGTTCGAATGTCTGACAACCTCAAGCAGCGGGGTGTCGGCCTTGGCTACAACATCGATGTGGCCAACACCTGCTTTTGGACTGGAAACCAGCCCATGGACAGGATGATATGTAACTTCCTCGCCACCCTTGATGGAAAGTTTCGTGGACAAACTCCCGCAACCATCGGAGAGTTACTCAAGCCAGTAATGGACAGGAAGACTGGCCGCTGGGCATCATCGGATGCCTTCAAGCAGCTGCGAAAGATGCGCCGACTGAAATTCCGGGTTAAACACAAGGGTCGCAAGAACGAAGACAAACTGTACTCCATCCAGGATTTCACTTTCGATGAGAAGTTTGGTGAGGCTGGTGCCACTGCCCGTACCTTTACCTTTGACAAGGATGGTAAGCAGACATCTGTCTTTGACTTCTACAAGAAAGAACATGGAGTCACCCTCCGACTGTCTCATCTTCCCCTCATCGATGCTGGAAAGGGTGGAAAGATCCCGATCGAACTTGCCTTTGTTGAGCCCATGCAACGATACCCCTTCAAGTTGAACCCTGAACAGACAGCTGCGATGATCAAGATTGCTGTCACTCGTCCCCCTGTTCGAAGATCTGATATCCAGCAGGGTGCAAATGCTCTCCAGATTGGCCAGGATCCATTCTTGAAAGAGTACGGTGTCAGCTTTGAGCCTACCTTTGCAAAGACCGAAGCTCGAATTCTCGCTCCGCCCGTGGTCAAGTTCGGTCAAGGTCAAGCCGAACCTCGATTTGCTGGCCGTTGGGACTTGCGAGGCAAGAAGTTCTGGAAGCAGAACACGGCGCCCCTCATAAACTGGGGGTTCATTGCTCTCGAACATCCAATGCAACTGCCTGTCCTTCAGTCTTTCGCTAACACCTTCAAGTCTACCTTCTTGGGTCATGGAGGTAAAGTCTTGGCCGACCCTATACTTCTCAACACTCCTGGCAACCTTCGTTTCGATGCTGCCGGCGCGGTTGAGTGGGCTCACAACCAGATCACTCAAAAGAAGGGCTACACTCAGCTCCTGTTTGTGGTTGTCTCAAAGAAGAACAGTGGCACCTACGAACGCCTCAAGAAGTCTGCAGATTGCAGATTTGGTATCCTTACTCAAGTCGTTCTAGGAACTCATGTCCAGAAGAATAACGGTCAATACCATTCTAATGTCTGCATGAAGGTGAATGCCAAGCTTGGCGGTGCCACTGCCTGTACTCCGCCATTGTGGAAGTCGCCCACGTTTTTCCCGGACAGCCGCCCGACTATCATAGTTGGTGTCGATGTCTCCCATGCCGCTCCTGGAGGTGTTACACCTTCCACAGCGTCCATGACTATGTCTGTAGACAAAGATGCGACCCGATATGCCGCTATGGCAGAGACGAACGGATACCGTGTGGAAATGCTCACACCAACCAACATCCAGTCCATGTTTTCGCAGCTCATCCCGCAGTGGAAGCACAACCACCCGGGGTTGGTCCCACAGCACCTCATCTACTTCCGAGATGGTGTCGGCGAGGGGCAGTTTGCCTACGTGCTTGATCAGGAAATTGAGCAGATCAAGACGTATCTTGCTAAGATTCTTCCTCCTGGTAGAATGCCAAAGTTCACCGTGATTGTGGCCACAAAGCGCCATCACATTCGATTCTTCCCTCAGAATGGGGACAAGAACAAAAACCCCTTGCCTGGTACTCTAGTTGAGAAAGAGGTCACTCACCCTTTTATGCTTGACTTTTATCTCAACTCCCATGTGGCAATACAGGGAACTGCCCGACCCGTCCACTACCATGTAATCCTGGACGAAATGCAGATGCCCATCAACGATCTGCAGAAGATGATCTACCAGCAGTGTTACTCATACGCTCGTTCTACCACTCCGGTTTCCCTGCACCCGGCAGTGTACTATGCGCATCTCGCTAGTAACCGAGCTCGCGCTCACGAGAACATTGCTACTAGTGAAGGCTTCCGAATTGGACCCAAGGGTCACGAAATGGCCCGGGAGAAACAGGCACGTGGTGTCTCAACTGGTGCTCCTGACAGGTCCGCTGAGGCACCCAACTTGCTTCCCTTGGGTGGTAATATGAACGCCCCCCCTCAAGAGGGAGAGCAGCGACAGCGAGACTTTTTCCGCAGCACTATGTGGTACATCTAAACAACTGGTCAAGCCAGTATATGCCATAGATGGAGAGTCTATGGATATCCGAACGTAAAGGTGGTTGTGAAATGAAGATGGAGACGTGATCGCTAGGGAGGAGGGAAGGGCATGGACAATGCAAGCGATCAAATTCTGACGTATACTTAAGCTAGCGGATACAGCTTCTAAGAGCGCAGAACATACGACTAAAAGGGGCGACCGGTTTGGCGGGAAGTGGCGGTGGAGGTTGATTTTACTCGTTTTACTTCAGATAGTTCTTGATCAATAAGATTGACATGATCTGTCAACTGATGAATTTGCCACATGTGAAGTGAGTTGAGTTGTGAGGAATACGTAGTGATAGAATATATCAGCGTATCTTATCAGAAACTGTAATACCAATTGGGTAGATATCTAAGACATGCCGCTTGCGGTTGAGGCGAATGTGTTAGCTGCTACTGGAAGCTGTCTTAAGCTAGCAGGATACCACGAGATTATCCTAGGAGCTTACTGGAACGTTGAAGATGTAAATACTAAGGCGCTCGGAAATTAATGAGGACGGCATCTAAAGAATACGATATCGCTACGTAATTAACAACAACAATACGAGGCTATATAAATGTACAACTAAAATGACACGTTTTATGAGTTCACGTGAAGGTAAATATAGTTGATGAGGATAACTGGATTTTGTCTCTCACAGAATAAATGGGAAGAATTTCTCTGCTTTTCGGACGTTATTCTATGAATATAGGGTACCACTCAAGTTATCGATCGATCTATCTTTGGAACTCATCGAAAACAGGCGTTCTTGGTCGAGATGTGAAACAGCAAATTCCTGCTGACGTGGGTTTACTCGGCCGTTCCCTTCCCATTGACGACTAGGTCATCGCGCAACACGTTCTACAGATGTCTCAGGTTACTCTCCAGGCCCGAAAACGTCTGCCAAGTACCAAAAGCATTACGAAGATCTGACTGAGTAGTGTCATGATGGATGGTTTCGGAGTCTTGTCTCAGATGGATCACCTGGATAAGAGACCTTTTCTGCACACGAATGGTTGAGAGAATTATAATCCACAGTAAAGACCAAAGCCGAGAACATTTTACATGAGATAAATACCTTCCTACCTGTCTTCTGGCCTCTTCTCTTTCTGGTCAAATTGCATCTTCATTCATTCAGTCACTCAGTCATTCTTTGTGCATTCCCTCAAGTCATTCTTTACTTTTCTTTGTATCAAGATGGTTCGGTCTCTTTTCCTTGCCAGCATCTTCGCTGCTGGCGTCTACGCCCAATCAACCGCCGACCCTGCTCTGACAAGAGATGGAGCGTTCCAACACCTTGGTTGTGTTGCTGTACGACCCGGAACCTTTCCTCGTCAGTTCGACCTTGGGCAAACTGGGTGTGCTTCATCATGCTCTTCAAACGGCAACATCGTTGGGTTCCGCGGTAACAGCTGTGTCTGCGACCGACTTGATCTCTCACCAAGGCCTATCACATACCGGGTCACAAAAGTCGACAACGCCCTCTGCAACCAATTGTGCGACCCAGCCGATAGATCTAAGGGAACATGTGGAGGTGCCACGATCCAAGGATGGCCCATCTACGATCTCTACAAGAGGAAAAACGCCCAGATCCTCTTCGAGACTTTCCCAAGGGCTACACCTACTCCTACCCCTGGAGTTCCCAACCCGCCTATTCAGACTCTCATGCCTGTCCCCAACCCCAGCCCCGTTCCCAACCCTCGGCCTGGCGATGTGTGGCACGAATGCCCTCCTAGTGTTGTCAACTGCCCCTACCGCAACAACTGTCCCAATGGCCGATGTCCGCCTGCCCCTAAGCCTATTGTTCAACCATGTCGTGGATGTACTTACAACGGGACAAGTGGCGGCAGCGGTAACTGGACGGCTCCAACTTGTCCTCCCGGTGGCTGTCATCATGGTGGTAAGCCTGTTCCTATCCCTCACGGTAACGGTGGAAGTGGCGGAAACGGGGGCAACGGTGGTAACGGAGGATCTGGCGGTAACGGAGGGAGCGGTGGAAACGGAGGGAACGGCGGAAACGGAGGAAGCGGCGGTAATGGAGGCAATGGCGGTAACGGCGGTAACGGAGGATCTGGTGGAAACGGAGGATCTGGCGGTAACGGAGGGAACGGTGGTAACGGTGGCAATGGTGGAAACGGAGGTAATGGCGGCAATGGATCTGGAGGCTCGAACGGTGGAAACGGTAACGAAGGGGGCCATACTCCCGTCATCGTCAACTCGGCTGTTAAAACTCGGGGCGGAAGCTTCGTGTCGATATTCGTCGCGATTTCCTTTGCCTTCACTCTTTTATAGGCTTGGAACTGGGGGCACATACTCACGCATACGGGGTTAGAGACGGCGTTCTTGTTTTTGTTTTCGACAACTTCAAGCATCAGAAAAGGGGTAATTGGGGTTGCATAAATGTTTTTGCTTAAATATAATATCACGTCAGCATGAAAATAGAACAGTTCTGCAGCAGTTGGTATCAATTGTATCTTTCTTCATTTTACTTTACTTTTGGGGTTGCGGTAGAACCCATTTTCTCTAGAGGGTTGTACATGCATGGCCTTCAGATCTTGAGTCTGACCATCTTCTTTTTAAGCCACTTAGGCAATGATCTTCTCCTTGCACTCGATACTATTTCTTGTTAGCAACAAACTGGAAACATTAGCCCAGGGGTACTCACCCGTAGTCGTCCCTGAGAGTCTTCATCAATGTCCTGGCAAGGCTGGGGTACACAGGGGCGACGACACCCTTGTCTGTGATGGTACCGTCGAGGACCAGCTTGACGGCTGAAAAAACATGTCAGTATATCTCGAACAGAGTGGAAAAGAACAAAGGGTAAAACGTACCGACACCACAAGGAACACCGACGAGTCTGGACATGGCGGAGAAGCCACCGGAGCCCTCAGGGGCACCGTACTCGACAAGTGTGGAAGTCCAGGTGTTCTGGCTGCCGTCCTTGTTGACAACGTCGAAGGTGTGTTGCAAGAACTTTACTCTGATTAGTACACAGAACCAAAGAATAACGAAGCTCAACTAGTACTTGCCACAAGGTCGCGCTCGCCCTTCTCGTAAGCCATCTTCTCCTCGAGAGAGGCGCAGAGGGTGTCGAGGGCGGTTCCACGGGGGGTGATCTTGACATCGGAGAAGACACCAACTGTATAGAATATTAGCACATGCTCTGGTATGGCTGAGGAGTCTATATCGACTTACTCCACTTGAGTCCAGCCAACACCTGGGCCTTGACAGACTCGTCGCTGAAAGTGGTCTTGGAGAGAACAGCCTTGGTCAGGTCCTCCTCGCTTGATGAGCTAGCACCGATGAACTTCTGGAGGGCCTCCTTCCAGGGGATAGCCTGCTTGAAGAAGTCCTGCTCGTCATCACGGAGGAAGCCAATGTCGACAAGGGCCTTGACGAACTGGGGGAAACCGTTGTAGCGAATGGTTCCTCGGACGACGGTCTCGGCATCAGGGATGCGGTAACTATCAAGGGGTCAGCCGCTGTTTGTAAGGCATGTCTCTTTGTAGCCTTACCGTTGACGGTAACCGGTGCTGTCACGGTTTCCGTAGGCGACGAAGTTGAATCCTAGGTAACCAGTGTGGTAAGGCTTGGCAGTGCCCATAAGATCGACACCGGTGATGTCAATCTCCTTGTTATCCTCGTAGTACTTTGCGTTGTTCTTGAGGGCCAGAAGGACACCGCGGCTGCTCCAGCTGAACTTGTAGCCTGTATAGGGTTAGTGGCGGTGTCATACGCAGTGAACATTCGAGTTACCTAGGGGGTTGTTGGAGTCTAGAGAGGAAGTTAGCTTTTGATAGTGATCGTTTACACGGATAACTTACTCTCAGGGGCGGGAAGGCCACCGCAGAAGCTTCGGAAAGACTTGATCTTGCCTCCCTCCTGCTGGATACGGTCGATGAAGTCAACAGCGTAAAGGTGGTCGACACTTGTGAGAGTTAGCAAACGGATAGGGCCAATGGCTGTCGGGAAGCATACCCAGGGTCAACCTAAGATGGTCAGTATGATACAATTGAAGCATTGACGATTCGACTTACACCAATCTCGTTGAGAACGGTAATACCAGCAGCCTTAGCCTCCTCGTGGAGCTCCTCCATAGCAGGAGAGACGTAAGAGGTAGTGACGACATTCTTCTTGGCCTTGATAGCGGCCTTGATGACAGCGACATGGTATGTGTAGGGGATCAGAGAGATGGTGATATCGTGCTGGGAGACGGCCTCCTCGAGGGCGGCGGAGTCATTGACGTCGAGGCTGATGGCCTTTGTGTTGTCGTAGGTACCTGCGAGGTTCTTGGCCGAAGCGAGAGTACGGCAAGCAACGGTAACGTGGATGCCGGCCTTGGAGAGGACCTCAACGGCAGGGGTGGCAACGAAGCCGGAACCGAGGAGAAGAGCGGATTGAGGCATTGTTGTTGATGAATTGGGAGATTTCTGTGAATGTGTTGTAATAGAGAGGTGCTCGTTGGGATAATAATTTTAGCAGCTTCTAGGTAAGGTAGACTCACTCAAGGAAAATGTTTGCCCCGCAGAGGGGCAGGCCGGCCTTCGGAGGTTCGGGGGGCATCCCACCCGATGTCGGGGGCATCTTTAACGCAGGAGTAACCCGTAGCAAAGCGTTTTCATTGCGCTAAAAATGGGGTCAAAGCCTGGGGCAGGCCTGTAATGTGTGTTTTTTATGACGAAATAGCGGGTAAAAGTGGAAAACTGACGTTGCTAAAAAGTTTGTTCCTGTCTAAAAAGGTATGAGATACCGAAGGAGGAGGACGGTGAATCAGGCATGTTGTTGATAGGCAGGTTCTTTAAGAAGTTGAAACCGATCAATTGACTTTGCAAGTTAATGAATTAAATCTGCTGTCAATCAAACGTAGTCAATGGCAGTTTGTAGTGGTTAATTGGGATGGCGTGCTTAAATAAGCGTCCGTTGCTAATTCCTATACCTACGGTACCTACTTGATGGTTAATAGAGCGACAAAGGTATGTAACGGTACTGAATATTGTTAGATACACTCTAAGATTCTGTGGTATGAAAGAAACATCGGCGAAGTTGGAGAGGCATGCTCCATCGTCAGCCAGTACTGTGGTAGTATGAGACAACAGTTCCCTTAGTGAGGCTCAGTTGAGAGACAAATAGTCTGAGGGTCCCAAGAGACCAATCGAATAAAATATTAACTGGTAAGATGTCCGGTTTGCAGCTAGAAGTGAATGCTTGCAAAACAATACAGCATCCATCCACGTATTGAATTTCATAATAAGTCAGGGATGATATTCCCTTTTTGAAAACCAAGCAAGTATTTATTGATTTAACACTTCTAGTTATCTCAATTTATGATCAATTTGGGTTCATGAATCTAACGAGATGTTGCAACCTCTTTTTGTTTCACTGCCTTGTGGCTGTCTCTTATTATTTTGATGTCAGGTACTTGTTTACTTGTTCTGTCCTTTACCCCCTTTACCCCCTGGATTTAAGTCAGACTGTATGCTCAGAGTCTCACAACAAGTCAAGTGTGTTTCTAACTGAAGTGATGTCGTTATGGTCATCTGTCTCACCTTTGGACATGGCACTGTGTTACACGAGCTTTTATGCTAAGCCAGAAACATCAGTTCAAAGAGATTAGAAATGAGATACTGTGTGACACAAGATTCCTCAACGCATTGGCCACTATGAGACCAAGCATGAGGAAAACAAGGCTTGTTAGCAGGTAAGCATGAGCAACAAGTTAGATATCTCCACTGCTTCGAGCTGTCTCAACAAAGAGACAATACAGGAGAGAACTATAGCATCGGAGCAATTGCAGCTCATCTTTAACCCAATTCGTCTAAGCGGACGGGTAAGGATAGATCTCTGTTGTATTCCGAGTGGTTGGGACACACTAATGCCAGAGCTTCCTCAGACGGCGACCCCAGCCTCGACAAAGAATCCCCTGAACCAACCTTCAAAGCCCAGACCAGAAACCCACAAGCCGAGAGCACCAACACCAGCACCAGCACCAGCACCAAATGTAGAGAGCTACCTGACCGACCGGTGAGGAGCTTGCATACTCGCTGTTCCGGCTATCTCTGGAGCTTCCCCTGGAGATTAAACCCGGGCGGGTTGGCTGGTTTAAGTTTAGGCGGATCTCCCAAATGATCCGGAAGTGCTTCCAGATTACCGCGTTGTTTGATCGGTTATTGTGGGACTGGATGGAATGTGCTCTAGTCGAAAGGGGGATGGTATGTAACTATAATGGGCTGATGGTCTCAGGCTAACCGGGTCGAACTGGCCGATGAGAAATATGTCAGGGCGGACATCGAATATTCTATGATAAGATAGTGATGATACACAGATGAGAACGGGTCTGTTGTGTTATAATGATGGGGAAGTTTCTGTATGATTTTGAGTGGTGTCAAGCATATGATGCTGTACTTCCGATCGAAAACACTTGATTGATGTGGTAGAGGACGAAGCACTAAAGATTGCGAAAGGCCTCTAGGCTGTTGGCTGCTCCTCTAATTGACCATTGGTTGTGATAGAAGGTAGATGGATGCCTGGTGGGAATGGGTAGTATACACCACACCCCCCTATCTTCACCAACAGGCCCGTCCTTGCTAGCTTCGCGCTGCGGCCTCAAGTTGGAAGCTTTTGTCGTCTTTCCCTCCAGCTTCTATCACTAGGTAGGTATGCATGGATTGATCTCCAGGAGTGTAATAGCTTTCTTCTCTCCTCTTCTCTCCTTCTCTCCTTCTCTTCTCTCGGGCGTAGCTTTGCGACAGCGGTGAAAGAGCACTAACAACAAGGCGTCCTTGGCACTTTCTCTCGATACTTGTTAGTTTCCTCGTCCTATCGCTCTCTCTTTCCTTTGGCCCTGACTCGCTTACCTGACGTTAAACTCTGTTTTGTCCTGTGGCATTAGGTACTCCTCCCGCCAATGTTTCCTCTTGTCTCACTTCGCCCTGTTAATTATTCTTGTCAACTCATCAGCTATTGTGTCTTGCGCCTTGATCCGTATCCTCCGAGACATTCGCGTCTCCCTGGACGCGAAAGTATACGATATCGCGCTTTACTCTTCCTCAATGAACATCAACTCATTTAGCTACTGCAGCCAAATCACAAGCCTACGATGAGGCCATCGCTTACCCTTTTGAGATGCGCGCATACAGGCGTAGTCTCGCCTCACTTTGACGCGCTGCATATTTCTTATGTGCCGTGTGCTTCTTATCATGATGGCAGTTAAATATAGAGATGATTTCCTGTCTTCTAGGGCAGTATCGCCTCAGACACGACTTCAACGACCCCTTCCTGAGCAAGCAACCGATACCTGGCGTCACGCTTCCCTTTGCCAAACGACTTACTCCCAAAAGTAAACCATGAGCCCGCAGGATGATATGACTGAAGATACTGGAAACCTCGAGTAAGTTCTCCCTGCTCCATAGGTACTCTCGTCGTAGCCCATCTTTCTTTGAAGGGCTACACGCAATCGGAGTCACTCAGTAACAAGTGATCAATAGCTACGACAGTTGCGAAGACCGGTTTCCCACCTCCTCTCAAGGCGAACTCGACCCTATATCCTCTCAAGAGGTTCCTGTTCAGTTGATTGCCTTCGTTGAACGTCCCGCTAGAGATGACCCCTTTTCGACCTGGTCCATGAGCGACACTGCTTATCCATCAGTGTTTCCATTCCAATACATCGAGCTTATGTGGCTTCTCCGTGTCTCTGTTCTTGCAGAGTATTTGCGACGCTGCGTACTCATGTTGTTACTGGAAGGGCTCGCGGTGACTGAACCAACCATCAGGGGTATCCAAAACAGGATGACAGGGGCACATACCATCAACACCATCGACACTGGACACGATCTATACGGGATCGGAGCTCAATTCGAAAGTTCTCACGATTGAGAATGCTGCTTGCTCTTCTGATCAGTGCTTGGTTCCGTCCCATATTCATCGCGAGGTCACTACCGCAGTTACTCATCTGGTCACGATACAAGAAACACAACCCCGAATGTGCTCTGACTGAATACCATTTCGACCTCCCCCATACGTCAGACCCCATCTGGTAGTGTAGACTCCAAACGTTCTGGAAATCTATTCAAAGACACCGGTCTGGGGGACTCTGTGATAGGTTGGTTTCTTTGTGTGCTCTGGTTCTGGATCGCAAGTCTCGACACTAAGCATACACTCGCCCCTGGGACGATGAACAGAGCTTATCAAGCAATGTTGTACATGTTGGAGATATGTTGGATAAGCAAATCGGGGAAACCAGAAGCTAGCCAAGGTACTTCAAGTTCGTTTGCAGGATGATGGAAATATGGTTGGGCCATGCCGGTCATCATGAGTCCATAGTTTGGGTGATGGCTCCCCCATCGTTTGATTTTTCTGCGTTCTTTTCGAGTTGGATTATCACATCCAGCCCTTGCTCATATCAAGTGAGACTTCACTTCTTCGCCGATCAATTGAACTTTAATTGTTACCTTACCCCCAAACACAGTGAAGGAGTATCTACTGTGACTTGTCTGGTTTGTTTTCCCAGCACTGTACAGACATAGTGATGTACTATGAGCTCTACTACCCGTATATGTCTGTTCTTCGCTTGCAGTTTCTATACATGGAACTCTAGGTAGCCAGTCTTGAATACCTAGTGAAATGCCAAACTCAGACAGGCAATGTTAACCTCGAGCCTCCTCCCCCAACTTGATCAACCCCCAATTCCCATTGTCTCCACTGACGCTATAGCACATGGTTTGCAATCCTAAGACCTAGCGTCGAACTTACCCCAGCCTCTCCACAATTTCTCCTCATTTTCCCATCAAGAACCCCAAAGTTGCTGGGTTCATTAATTCAAGCGACGATGCCTCTATACTGAATTCACGGTCGCAAAGAGTTGCGATTCGTGGAATCTCAGGTCCGCCAATAAGAAGAGGTTTTTGTTTCATGCACAACTGACTCGGAGCTTAAATCCATCGGAAACGTTCAGCAAGCAATTGAGCATCGGGAGTATGATCAAGAGCCGAAGGAGTGGCTTTGACACAGATGATTGGCCATTCTATCTTATCCCCGGATGATGGTAGCCATCACCATAATTTTAAGTCTTTCCACGGTGGAGATCGTCGGGTTACAGCGAAATCGGCATTTGTTACCGTAGCTTTGAAACATATATATTCAAGCTTACACCTCCCATCAATTATGTCCAGGTAGCACTATTAACTCTCTCTGTCATCCTCTGGAAACCTGGTTGTACAGAGACCACTGTTCTGTTCAGTGCGACTCTCCGACGGCTACCACTAGATAAGCGACTGCGAATCCCTGCCAGTCAGAGGATCTCGGCACGAAAGCCGATATCGTCATTTATTCTCTCAAAGCGTCTTATCAAGCATCCGTTGGCACAATAACGATGGCCAGCAATAACATCACCAAGGCAGAGCTTGAACAGGCGCAAGCTCAACAAATGGAACAGCCATGTGATAATATTACAAAGATCGACAGCGTCCGGTCCGGCCATGTTGATAAACCACATGGGGACGGCATCTACGCCGAGGCTCTCGCACAATACCCCACCGACGACTCAATTGATCCCATCTTGGAGAAGAGAGTTAGGAGAAAGCTAGACCGACTTATAATTCCTGTCTTGGGGATTTGTTACTTCTTCTACTACGTTGACAAGACGACGCTGTAAGTCATGTACTCTGCTTACACAGAATCTGGGCCAAGAATCTAATATGGCCCCAATTCTAGCTCGTACGCTGCTATCTTCGGCCTCAAAGAGGACCTCAGCCTGGTGGGAGATGAATACTCCTGGCTATCGAGTAGCTTCTACTTTGGATGGCTCGTCTGGGCTATTCCTTCGAATCTTCTTATGCAGCGTAGCCCTCCGGGATATTATCTGGCCTTCAACATCTTCATGTGGGGTGCGCTTCTCATGGCGCAGGCTGCTTCCAAGAACTTTGCGAGTCTTCTTGCTCTTCGCGTTCTCTCTGGTGCTTTCGAGGCTATCGCGGACCCAGCTTTCATGCTCATAACTTCCATGTACTTTACACGCGAGGAGCAGCCCAGTCGTATCTCAGCTTGGTATGCATTTAACGGCGTTGGTGTTGCAGGCGGAGGTTTGATCGGTCAGTCGTCGAAGATATCACCCTCCAGAAATCACTCACTTACACTTAATAGGTTATGGCATTGGCAACATTAAAGGTGCACTCCAATCCTGGCGCTACGAGTTCCTCGTCGTCGGCGCCTTTTGTGCTGCTTGGGGCATCGTCCTCGTCCTGTTACTGCCCAACTCCCCTCGAACAATTTGGGGCTTCTCCCACGAAGAGAAGCTCGTCATGATCGCCAGAATGCGACGCAACCAAACCGGTATCGAACAGCGTAGGATCAACTGGGGACAAATCAAGGAGGCCTACCTCGACTACAAGACGTGGCTGTTCACCCTACTCGGGTTTGTATCCAATGTCCCCAATGGCGGTATTTCCAACTTCTCGACGCTTGTTATTCGAGGTCTTGGCTTCGATACCCTCCACACGGCTCTGTTGGGTATTCCACAGGGCGCTCTTGTTGTAATCTGGATCGGCCTTGGTGCTCTAGCAAACAAGTATATGCCAGCAAACAGCCGAACTCTTGTCAGCGCCATCTTTATGATTCCAACCATTGCCGGAGCCCTCGGCTTTCTTCTCGCACCCAAGGATGCATACATCGGGCGTTTAATCTGTTTGTAAGTATTATCCACCAATCTCCAATCCATCAATCCTCTAACATTTATCAAGCTATCTCACCGGCTCCTACCAAGCGTCCTTCGTCATCTGCCTCTCCCTAATCACCTCCAACACCGGCGGCCAGTCCAAGAAGATGATCGTCTCCGGTATGATTTGGTTCGGCGCCTGCATCGGCAACATTGCTAGCCCCTTTTTCTACCGCCCCGAGCAAGCGCCCTCATACCATCTCGGCATTGGCTCGCTTCTCGTCGCAAACTGCATGGAGTTCGCTCTCTTCTTCGTCTTTAGATATGCGTTCAAGTGGGAGAACAAACGCAAGGAGCAGCAACGTGAAGCGTTGCGCGCGGCGGGTCACGATTTTACTGCGAATAGTACCGCGTTTACGGATATGACTGACAAGGAGAACCCCAACTTTGAGTATGTTTACTAGTTGAGTCACTGCTAGTCGTCAGATATCTACTAGAGATATTATTGAACAAATACATCAATATCAACTTACCTACCATCTTTCAATAAGGACATTGGTGCAACTTGGATTCGCCCAGAACTCCTGTTCCTGTATAATTTCCATGAGGACCTTCGACTCGTCTCTCACAGCCCCTGTAATTGTTTCAATGTCACCAAGATTTGAGAAACCATAATATGGAAGCCATAATACGCTTCGTGTCTATTTCTGTCTGTAAGACTTGTGAATTTCAAAGATATCCGATGTCTTGATTTTGAGGATGTATAATGTTCTTTCGATTCAAAGGTTCGTCATAAAGCACTGTTGCTGCTATCGAGTTCTTAAAGATAAATATGTGCCAATGCTCAGCAGAGCCTTCGACTTTAAAGAACATATTATGTTGTCCGAGAACAAGATCTCCGTGTTCCCCTTCAGTGCCTCGGAACCTCGGCGAACAAAGTGACTGTACCAAAGTACAAGTCAACGCTCACGCCAAGAACAATATTTCCTTTGTTTTGATCATTGCAACACTGGTTTACTCTCTGAACAATCATATTATGCCTCCTATATAATGCCCCCAGTCCTCCTCCAATTTCATAACCCTTCATCAACCCATTCTCGGCCATCTCGGAAAGATACCAACCAGCAACACATCCCCAAAAACACACTTTTCTTCACACTTTTCACCCTGGTAAGTATCCAATTTCCGAGAATTATCACTGACAATCTTGCAGCTATCCACAATGGCGCCTATTCAACTTCGTAACGACAACTCAGGCTACAACACCGAGCAAAATCTGTTTGCGGGTATTATAGCCCTGTCTTGCATCCTGTTTATCGTCATTGTATGGCTTGCTATGATGTTTTCCAGAGAGCGCAAGCTTGCCCTCCAGGCTCTATTACTAGAGCAGGTGGCCGGGGAGACGTACACCAAGTACTCAGTACAAAAGGCGCGTTTCGAAGCAGAACTTCTCCACGCCAAGGAGGAGTTGGAGCAGTCCAAGGATAGCGCGGCTGAGCTGCAGAAGAAGGTTGACGAGCTGGAGGAGAAGGAGAAGGTGAAGGTGAAGGCCGCCAAGGACGCCAAACTTGCAGTATGCGACATATGTGGCGCGATCCGACGCTACATGAAAAGCTCTCCTCGCCAGTCGAAAACTGACGCGACCTCAACCCGTCCTTTCCAGGCGACTGTAATGTCAGCACCCACCAGCCCGCTCTGGGCGCCTGTGTCTCGCGACTAAGTGGCTCGTTGGGGATGTAGTTTGTTGACACTCTTCATGCTGGATATGAAGTTGAGCGGGCCATGTCGTAACCAGGAATTTCGTGCAGATTGTTCTTTCTTCGGTCTTTCTTCTGGTTGGGTGGCGTTCTTGTTATCTGTCTTGAAGAAATTTCTATTGGTGGTCGCCAGGGGATGTTGCAGGTGACGAGGTGTAGAAACATCTACTCAATAAAACACTTTTTAGATCTTCCCTAACCCTCGTGCCCTAAGATTTATGAATTTCCTGTAATGAATGTGATTAAATACTCGACAAACAACTATGACTCGTGATTGATAAAGAATTTCACTTGGTATCTAAATGTAAATACAACTAACCTGTTTTCCTGCCCACCAGTTCACTAAATGAGCCCTGATATCTCCAAGCCCGTATTAGAAGAACTTGCTCTTGAGCCCGCCAAGCACAACGTTCCTCTTTTGTTTGTTGAGGTATTTGTTCACATCGTCTGCCCACCCGGCGCTATTGTTCTGCAAATTCTCCATATTGTCACCCATGATGTTCAACTTCTCCGTCCTTTCGTTCAGCTGCCGCGAAAGGTAATCTCCCCACCCTTCCTGGCTACTCGATCCAGCTACAACGGGCTCCCCTGTTCGAGCAGCACGCTGTTCTGCTGCTGCTGCGTCCATCATTCGCTTACTGGGTGGCCTATCCGCGCCACCGACAAGCAGATCGAGGTCGGTGGGAGAGATGTATTGACTGCCGGAAATCCATTGCATATTTGAGATAGTTGGGCGGGGTGGACACTCAAGCTTGGGGTTGATCATCGTGTCTGGCGACTGTTGAGGTCCCTTGCCTGTTCCCCAGACATGTATAACAGCCAGCTCGCTTGGTCCCGACCACGCAAAGATGTCGCCTGTTTGTGTAACAACCGAGTTGGTGCTTCTCGTCACATCGATCATGGGAAGTTCAGCTTTTCCGAGGTCTCTGAGACCAGGGATCGAGAAAGCGCGGGCTGTTCGGTCGCCAAATACACCTACAACGGCGAACCCTTGTAACTCAAGCTCTGCGACGCAAGCAGCATCACATAGGATGCTATCGAACTCCTTCGAAGCACCCTTTGAGTTGGCCGGTTTGAAGATTCGGATCTCTGTCTGTGTGACTATGGCAATGGTTAGCTCTGTGTTTGAGTACCTATCAACCTATACATACCTGCAACTAGTACACCATTGACCTGGCGTCCCTCCCTGAGCCCCGCAACGATTGGTCCGGTGGCAAGGGCAGGCTTGCCTGTATCGGCTTCGATAGGGTTGAGTGAGATGACCTTGCCGTCGAAGGCTACGACACCTGCCAATTCAACGGAGTATGTGCCGTCCTTTCCAGGCAGAAGTTTGAAGGTGATGACCTTGCCCAGGTTTGTTCCCACAAAGCAACAAATGCTCGAATATTTGTCCTCATCCAAGGTCATAACCCCGAACTCAATCACAACTGGCCACTCCTTCGGTGGCTCAGATGAAGAATGGTGGCCCTTCAAGAATGAAGATCGCTTGTCCTGTTTAGCAAAGTCTGTCATAGGTGCCTGGAAGATTATGGCAGGTCCCCGAAGATCAATCAAGGTAAGGAATCCAAGCTCTGAACCCACAGCTACGAAGCCGACGTTGGACACTTGCACAGCTGTGATTGGTCCCATCATCATCTCGTAGAGAACAAGAGGCTGCAAGCCTTCTTTGAGATTAGGTTCTGCTCTCGAGCTGATATCTGTAAGTCCTTTGGGGTTTGGGTCAAGCAGGGGTGCCTTGTCTTTGCCGAAGAAGCGGTTCTGACCCCAACGGTAAATAATGGCCTCGCCTGTCCTTGTTCCTACGACAAACTCTCCTGTGCTGGTCGCCATATTCATGCAGGTAATCTCAACATCATCGTAACGGTCCAGGGCTCGCGCGACGTCGACTTGGAGTTGAGTTCCATTCTCAATCTCGTCAGCATGACCAGAGTCCCAGATCCTTATGGTGCTATCGGCGTGGGCTGCTTGAATGATGGTTCGCTCTTCAAATCGTTTTCGAGGTCGTGATGCTTCGGCTCCTCCTTTGAGCAGCGGTTCGCCCTGAGTGCGCTTCTCAAACATAGACAGCCATCGGGGTCGTTCCAGGGGAGAAACATTAACCTTTGTCACGAACGGGTGAACAAAAGACACGGAAGGATGAAGCTGGTTGGTGGGACTGATGGGATATCCAGAGGGGAAACTCAGAGTGATAAGTTCTCCGGAAGAAAGCAGGACCATGACAGCGATCGGGTCTTGCGCACCCGCAAAGTGTGGAGAACTTCGTGGAACGAGCAGGAAGTCAATCGCCCGTGCACCAGAAGGTAGGGGAAGGGGAACCTGTCGCTTCCCGCGGCAGTAGTTTGCCAGTATTTGCCATGTCGAGGTCGCATAAACCGGTGTCTGGCCTAGGTCAATAAATGTCAAACCCTTGGGCGATTCATCGATACGTTGTCCGCCCGCAATTAGTAGGCCACTATCGTCGCAATTCTCCTTGCAACACCAGGCGATCCTGGTAATGGGCTCAGGCAAGGCGGGTACAGGTGTCGCGGATGAGGGTTGATCGACATTGAAGTCAGTGAGTGTTCTCGCCATGACGACCTTCTCGGCCTTAGGATCCCAGAAAACCAAGCTTCCGTCATCGTGCGCTGTCAAAACAAATGTGCCGGATGGATGCCATAGGGCGTGCGTGAGTCGGGGCTTTCGAGCCGTGTCGGTGGCCACGCCATTACCTCCTGGGGCGCCTGCTGGAACCACGTATTCGTAGTAGTTGACGGGCTTGGCCTGTTTGAAGGAGTACACAACCGCACCATGTGTGTATCCTAGAAGAAGTTTTCCGACGTCTCTGGGATGTAGGGACATGGTTATAAGATTCGGGGTGACTGCACTTGGGTTCTTTTCCTTCCAGAAATTGGGCAATCTGAAAGAACGGGCCAGACTTCCTCTGTCCAGGTCAAAGGCCATGATGTCGCCATTGTACAATCCAATAAAGGCCCAGTCAAGCATAGGGTCTGTCACCAAAGAAACAACCTGGCCAGCAACCACCAAGGCGGCGATGCGCTCGCCCGTGTCCAAGTCCCATATTCCCAGCTCGTTCTTCACATCGACGGTAACGAGACGGTTGGCCGAGAATTGAATGATCTGAAATGATGTACTTCGCGGGGGCTCGATTATCTTGTGGACGCGGCGCTGTCCGAAGATGTAGACCTTGCCAGGGCCAAACTTGCTTTCACCGGTTCCGATGGCCAGGAGGGATTGGACTGGATCGTATGCGTAGCAGCTGTGACGAAGAATGGGGGTGTCAGCTGAGTTATTTCGGGCGACGACGCAGGTTGGGCTAAGTGGGAGTGTTACCTGATCTGAGAGTTGATGCCATAGCGAGCCTGATCGTCGGGCATGAAGAGTTCAGGTCTGATGCTCGCTGATAGGTCATTCTGCATGCCCGTCTGCTTGCCTCGCAGGAAAGCTGCCATTTTGGTACTGACGTCGCCGTTGGCGATGACGATGGCGGTATCGATGAGGGTAGGGAGGATTTAGACGTCAATTGTTTTTTTAAGAGCTCAAAGCTCTTGCTTTGCGAAGAAGAGGGAGTATGAAGGATGAAGAAGGGACATTTTGGTGGGGTTTGTTCAACTGCCTTAAGGTCCCGGAGCTTCCCAGTCCCAAGACCCCAAGACCCCAAGACCCCCAAGACCCTTGGCAACGGCAACGTCATCCCGTTAGGACCGTGCGGAATATGGTATCTACTGTTCATAATACGGTCCATGAATAGGTTTTTGTACGACATCGTTGTTGGTTTTTATTCCATATATATAGTTTGTAGCACATGTTGTGTAGTACAGCTCGAGACTTGCTCCTGTTGAGGCTTTCATGGGACTGTCGTCGTTAATAAAGTCTCAATCCAAAACACAGCATACACGTATGCCTTGAACTTGGCCCACCGCCCCAGACCATATGATGGCAAGAGGGTCTGTTCGTCTAGCAGACAGCTAGAGTGGAATTTAGAGCAAGCGGTATGTCTCATAGAGCGAACAACGCAAACCCTTTATCGACAACAGATTCACACCAAGACGCTGGCTAATTACAAAGCTGGTTTGAATCTGTGCCTCAGATACTGACAACGGGAAGTCCCTTGCGTGCATACATCCGAACCCGTAGTATAACCTGCTATAGCTCGCTAGCGTCAAACTAATGTCTTCCGCTCCTCCACTTGCTCGGTTGTTAATTTCTTGACAGCACAAGCTGATGATCAACTGCTGATAGGTTTATATAATTTGACATAGATAGGCCGTTTTGATAAAGAAGAGCTTGTTTATATGATATTCCCGTTGTGATAGTGATACTCTGACCTAATTGGACCTGGGTTTTCTGCAAACGTTTGGTTTTTCAATTTCAAACTTGATTTCTCATCAACATACTCGTTCGTTGTTGAGTCTGATGGTCAAGTCGAGACCCGGCTATTTTGGGATTTACCTACTGCAGAACCTAGCATTGATCCACAGTTGCAGTTGCAAGTTGATTTGATAATGCTCCCCCGCCGCTGAGCTGTTGAGCTGTTCTTGTTTACGCTGTGTTGTCCAACTTGTTGTAAATTTCAAGTAATTTAAAGTCGAGTCCACTTACAACGAATATAGTCTAATTGCCGAGTGACATGTGCCGAGACTATACGTCACTGCTATTTCTTTTTCTAGATGAAATGTTCCGAAATGATCGACGCGGGGACACATCACTTTAGCCTATAATAGATCGTCGGGTAGGTAACTGAAGAATAGTTATCTTACAATGCCTGATATCAAGGGTAGGTCTCTCATGTCATCGTATTCCATGGCCAACAAATTCCCGTACCCGTACCTTACTTTTGGTGACGACTTCCCGGTACCCAATATGACCGATTTAGTAGAAAGAGGACCACGTGGACTGATGTACAGTATTATCATGCCAGGCGGGAATTACTCGATGCAATGATGCATATAGGGCCATCTCCCAACCCACACTTGTCACTATCGATGCCCAGTGAATTCAGGACGCAGGTCTCATGAGACTGATCGTGCCTAAACTGAAACTCGGTGTCGATGCAAGCTCGACTGCTGTGTCGAGTTCCAGAAGAAGCATTAGCGAGGCTTACCTTTTAATTATTGGTCCGGGGCCGCAGGTGACGGTTGGGTTTTTGGGCTATGGGTTTATGGGTGTCTCTGTTCAATTGGCTCCATCCTCTGGACGACGTGTCGTATTGCGTTGGGCATCACTTGCAGTTAGCCCGCCTGCCTGCCCGCCTAGGTGCCCGCCAGGCCTCTGACGTGGGCCGCTGAAAAGCCTCATGTTTGGCCATTTTGCGGCTTGCCCTACAACAACTCCAGGTTAGATTTGTCTGTCATCAGCATGGAGATCACTAGCGGGCCGTCCACTAGGCCCCCCTCGCTGCAATGCATTGGGATCCCCTGCAGCATCACGCTGGCTGGCTCCGATTCCAGAGCCCTGCTGAAGGCTGCTACTTGTACAATTGCAATTCCAAGATGAGATACCTTCCTCCGTGCCCAATCTGCAACTTGGGGCTACCCGATCAGCATCTTCAAAGGCGACTTTAATTGCTTCTGTCTACCCGCTTATGGATACCGACAATAGATCGACACAGCACTACCACCATCCACAAAGCACTTTCTTACTATTCTCCGATACAGAAGCAGACAAAGATATACACAAACACAAGCACATACACATACACATACACATACACATACACATACACATACACAATCAGACATGAGCCTCTACACAAACGAACAACTTCGCCACTCAGACTCTGATTCTGACTCCCGTTACCACGCTTGGCCGGGTTCATCTTCATCCTCCTCAAGCTACTACCAGGGCTCAACATCATCAGATCCTCGCTACCACGCCTTCGGTAGCTACTATGCCAGCCACAACCAATCAAACTCACAGTACCCCTACAGAGTAGGCGAGTACACTGAGTCCCAGCAATCAGACGATCATCAACACATGTGGCAGTCCCAGGAACACGGTGGCGCACCATCCTCCTCCTCAGTCGCCACTTCTAGTCCACCCAACTTACAAGACGATTCCTACGGCTGGAGTCCTGCCGAAGGTGGTGACCAAAATCGATGCCATTGCGGAAAAGCCTTCCGACGTCCCTCTGATCTTGCGTAAGCTCAGTCTCCTACTACCACCCTATTCTCAGCAATGGCCAAACTAACCACTTACACAGTAAACATCAAAAGTACCACATCAAGTACTTCTCATGTCTCTTCTCCGGATGTGACAAGGCCTTTGCTACTCAAAAAGACCTCACCAGGCACATGCGTACACATCGCAAAGGCGAGGGCTACCAATGTAAGGTAGACGGATGCCGCAAAGCCATGTCTGGTCATGTCTACTCAAGGAAAGACAACTTCGACCGACATATGCGGACAGCACACCCAGAACACCCACAAATCTGAGAGGTCAAACAGAGACTCTCCCTTTTTTTTCCCGACAGACGCACTGTGGCAGTGCCTAAATTACATTAGAAGCTGAGAAAGAGCTTGCAACAGAAGTTACAGAGAGGGGCGCATTACTGATTTACGATTACGGAGCATGTGTTTGAGTATGACGGGCATTATTGTATGAGGTACCTATTTTCATATAGAAGTCTTGCTTAAGAAGCCAAGGCAATTATTATAATACATGTGTGTTCTGTAAGAGCAATATGTAAATCAATGAATTGAATTGAAAACTATTGCAGGTCCAAAAACTACACTGTTGTTTAGTTCGCCTGAAGCAATCAATTGCTTCTATGTAGAGGATTGGCTACTGATATCGTAGCAAAGACTGTTCGTTTTGAGTGACACAAAGTTCAAGAAGTGTTGATAAAGGTGCCGCAGATTTCGGACGCTATCGCAACTCATTCCTCTTTCTATCCACTTCTTTCTCATATCAAGAGATAAGAGACTTAGCTCTCCAAGGTCATAGCTCATTGGTGCTACCTCAGCCAGTCGTGTAGATTTCAAGGAAATATCTTGATTATTACGTCAAATTCAAGCCGTGAACCTCCATTCCATCGTGGTTCCATCTAAACTCTGACTGATATTAGAGTCTTTCCTCCCATATGTACCGTGATATACATAAGTGATAAAAAGGATCATAGTCTTACACATCTGATCTTAATTGTGTTCCGCAGTAGCTACAATATTTCAAACTCAATAGCTCCATATGGTAACAGCCATATGTTATGAACTTTGATAAATTAAGGATGAATACTCTATGATTAAGTCTTCAACTTAGGAGATTACTAGGGCAGTAACATCCTTCTTGAATATGCTGTTGGAATCTCTAATCGATTGCTATCTCGTTCTAGTATCAACACCTTAACTTGCATTATTGTACTATCTTCGAGTAGGAGACATTACTAGCGCGGCCGCTTTCGAAAAGTATATCGATCACACTCTTGATGACAGTTCATTACTTAAGCCGAATTTACCAAAGCCGAGCCATCACAAGGCTAGAGCTTGATACAAACAATCCTTAATGTCCACATAAGTTTGTTCAAATTGGACCAAAGGTTATTATTGAGTTAGGCTATTTCGCTAGCATCCCACACAATGAACTTCTCTTTTGATTTTTTTACTGGGTGGGGCTTTCTCTCGGGTCACTCATCCTATTATGACAGGCTGTGTTCGATAACCTTAAGAGTTCTTTCATCAACTTCGTTTGCCCTAGCGAGAGACTAACTAGTGGTACTCATGGAAGGGGCTCAAATAGGTCAAGAGACCATAAATAAGGTCCCGAAAGTTCCAAGCACTACATGAAACTTCAGTCCCCAGAGAGGTTGTCCTGGCAGTCATCAGTATTGTGGACTCTTGGGCACAGTAGCACCCCATACGTATCTGCTGCGTAGTTGGCAAAAGATTCTAGGTTACTGGGACATAAGCGACTTTACAACCTAAGTAAAAAGGCCAGACTGAACGCGAGGGCATCTCCCAAGTCAATCATATCAGATATAGGCTGGAGCTATGTGTGAGTATTACAGTAGATGATATACTAAAATATGGAGGATATACTCGCTAGATGGGGAAAATTGAAGCTGAACTTGGGCGCATATTGCACTGTTTCCACTACATGTGCCTATATCTAAACATCCTCCCATGGAAGCTTTTCTGGTCGCATATGAACACTCGTCAATTCTCATGGACTTATGATCCATTGTACATACAATCTGATAGAACACGAGTTAGACAGTTCTGAGTGTTGGTTGCACGTTGCTTCCCGCCTGGTGCGGACCAAGCCGCGTCACTGAGGGACGACCTGGTGTCTTGGGAAGGTGCATAGGGCAGTTGTGTGGGCTCGTTAAAATCCAGCCTTGTGGGAATCAAGTCTCAGTATCTGCTTCATATTACAACGAGTTACACGTAAAAGCCGTTGGAGGTCATGCATACAGCACAAAGCCACTCCTATCGGTGATGCCGTGTAGCTTGCATACTGGCTTGAACTATGCACTTTAACTGGAAGAGCAATCACATGTATGTACAGTCAACTAGATCACGTTGATGCAGTGTCTGGATATACCGATGGTGGTAATCACAGCAATTATGGAAGTACTGATCTTCGGCACGGGAGACAGGAACTCGAGCCGTGCGGCCACCTTACGCCACGATAGCCTGCAGAGCAGCCAGAATTAGCTTTTACATGTCAAAGCTGAGCGGAACCCGTGTCATTTGACTGAATATTGACAAGTTGTGGTGGTGAGACTGTCGGATGAACGAAGGCGGCTGATGTACAGGATCTGCAGGTTGGCAATAGGAAGGAAGTTATTCGGAGGCGTAAAAACGGCTTCCAAGAAAAGAGGCTGCGTGGCTGAAATGTATAGATAACTTCTTATCTGCATGAATTGATCAGACGCAATAGGTGGTATCTATCATCACGTTGTGCCAGTACGTAAGTGGTAATGCGAGGTGGACGCAGGTGAAGTCATTGGGGGCTACAGCCTACTCCAAGATTGAGGATGTAACTGAGTGAATATCGACCAAGCACCCAATAAGACGCTGAACGATTGCAATCTTGTGACTGCCGCGCAAGGAACGGGCCTCAAGGCTTGCTCTGTACCCAATTGCGGTTTCACAGCGATACAGACAGAGGTGGCACAGGGCTTGCTAGAGCGTGTGAGCAAACTTCCTTGCTACTTCTAGAATGTCACACAAACGTCACAACTATCAGTCACATCTGACAGTCGTACAAAGTGGCGGATACTGTACGCGTTTCCATAGTGTTGGCAAGGTGGTTGGTTGTCTATGCGATAGGCGCCCATCGCCCTGCCAAAGTGCAAATAAATGGTTCAGATGACAAATCATCAATGATGGGGCAGCATCGCGCCGCATGAACGTGCGCTATTTCCTCGATTGCAAATTGGCCAGTGCGCTTCTGCGGCCGCAGACTGTTTCTCATCCATGTGTTTACCTTATCTACAGGACCTGATACTTGGACATGCATGCACTTGGCGGTGGAGAATGAAAGTGTCAGGTGAAGCTGTTCAGCTTGCTAGGGGTTGTGTCTGCGGGTGGTTGTGTCTGCAAGTGAGCATCATTCCCATTCGCAAACTTCTAGAAGGCTTCCAGCACTTTTCTGGAAACCTTCTGTATGACGATCCCTGCAACCGTCGCAGTGGACCTAGTGCGTGCCACCAGGATTGGCCGCCGTGTCTCTTAGAGTCTTAAAGTCTGACGCGACGCATATGTCGGTCTGTCTTGTGGCCCTGTAGGAACAAACCCTGAGTCACCATCTCTGCAAATAATTGCACTTGATTCAACAATGCGTACTGTAGTGCCAGTTGGAGAAATGTGCGAATGTGCATCCAAGATCCAAGCTTAGGACTTGACCTGGGCCAAGGCCTTCTAGAAGTCCTGCGACCCCTTGCCGATCAATACCACACATTGTCATTCCGTGATCGATTGGCCTTGCTTGCAGAAACATTGACCCCCTGTGTAATATCCTCTCTTAGAGCCCAGTAGCATCAGTACCTCTTACACTGTCACACCGCATGTGTTTGTGTTTTTATTTTCTCCAAAGATTGTGGCTTCCGTTATAGATGCTGTTCATTGTGACAATGGATCCCTGTCCTTCCCCGCTGCCTCCAAAACCTTGTGGACATGGATGCAGTCCCTCCAGTGTGCATCCATGCCTACAAGCGCTTCCTACTGATAGCTATTCCCTGTTAATAGTTGCAAGACCCAGGTTTATCCAGAAGTTACAACATACAAGTTACAAGTTTCGAGGGCTTACAAGCTCAACATTTCGGCTCTCGCCTGTCGGAATGCTACATAAGATAGGTAGGGCATAATACGGAGTGTGTTATTCCCCGCAATAATCCATGTCCAGCTGTGGTTTTGGAGAGCGTTGCAATGCATCCAGCTATGCTGATGCTGATGCTGATGCTGATGCTGCGCGTTCGTGTTGGGTCATCTCCCTTGGGGGGAGGCACGGATGATTCAATCGATGGATCAATTGACACGAGGCCCAAGCACCCAATCTACAGATATCGGGGTCAAGGTCAAGGTCGTGTGCACCTCTGCCGATATTCGATGTTGCACATCATCAACCTAGGACTTCAAGCCGAGCCACGCAATTGCCTTTGCCCTGGATAAGCCAGTCCGATGAGTGCATATGCATATGCATGTGCAGGTGGACAATGTGAATTTGATGCCCCCTGCTTTAGTCTTTCATGGCCCCTTGACAATACTCTTGTGCTGAGTGCAATCGCATTCCGACAGGCTGCACCCTACCTAGGTATCTAGAGCCCAGAAAAAGGGACAAGAAAAAAGCCACCCGTTCGCTGGAGGTTGCATGATTTGCGATGCCACGTCTGTTACTGGTCTGAAAGCTTCATGCCGCAGCTTCCGTTTGTCGCCTAACCGCCTTTGGTTTCCTTTTACGTTTTACTGACCCCGGATAGCTGTTTTTAAAAAAGCTCCATTTGCTTTTGTGACTGTTTCTATGATATCGACGTCATCTACCGTTTATCGTTTGTTGGTTACACCTGAACTCGTCACAGCATTGATGATGCCGAGTTCTTCGACAGTCCATGAATTAATTAGACAGAGCCAAGGGTCGATTGGACAATGTCAATGTGCATGTACATGCTCCTGATGTGGAACCGTTCATGAGATCGTATCTCGCGGCTTCAAGTCAAGCAACAAGTGACGTTTAGTCTAGCTGGTACTCCGTAATTTATTACTGGACGGAAAGCGATACGCGCTAATTCCGGCCCATGGAGGTTTCAGACTTTCATTGCCTGTACCTGTGCCTGCGTGTGCCGTGGTGCAATGGAGCGGGTATGACAGCCCCGGAGCTGGTGACGAGCTTCGAGATTCTCGCTAACGAGACTTTAGTTAGCCTCCACTCCACTATATTTGGGGACGGAGACGGGGACAGGGCAGAGCAGGGGACAAGGGGACAAGGGGACGGTTTCAACGCCCAAGACTCCCATGATGACGCTAATAAATCGACGGATATTTCCCTAGGTAATTACGGATGCTCAGTTTGTGGATTTCAACGGTCGGCATGTGACCAGTCATTACCTCTACTATTGCTTTCTTTCTTGAAGGTGGTTGAAAAGAAACGGGTAGCCAGTCTTCCAGGATTCAGGTTCGGCAAAAATGTGTTGGTGAATCTCATCTCAGGTGCTCGGCTCTGAAGTCCCTCGGTCAGAGATACGGCTCGTGTTGGAATGGATGTCTACTACGCAATGGCATAAGCATTCAAGGCCAGAAGCAGTTTTTAGTATCATGCCTCCTGCTTCCTGCTTCCTGCTTCTAAAGCGATGGGTTGCATGGTCCTTTCCAGCCACTTCCAGCATGAAAATCACCCCTGGGTACCTAACTTAGGTGAGAACTGCTCAACTGACAGCAGCCACTGCACCCCGATGCCGCACGGCATCACACAGCATCGCAGCACTGAGGAAGTTCAATGCTTTCATCGGTTTTCGGCTTGATCCGCCAAGCATGGAGCACCCGCCAAGCATGGGGCATCCATGGCGCCGTCCGTACAGTTAGCAGGGACCAGCGGCTTTCTTTTGACTGTTGAGGCTCGGCATTGCATGTCCGGTCCGTACAGCGTTTTTAATGCTGGAACAAGCCCGTCTTTGTGGAGGTCGGCGGCGTTACCAGCAACATGACGGGTGCAGCGCCCCCTGGTCTTTGTTCCTTGAGTCCGGCTGGCCAACGAGCCTATGTCTTTTGGCACTTAGCACTTAGCACTTAGCGTCAGGTCTACTACGGAAGAACGATGTGGAAGGCCTCAAAATATTCTTTCTACGCTAAAAGTTGTCCGGATCATTCTGTCGGAGTCAAAGCTTCATTGTCCAGGTTGCGTTTCATTCATGATCGTCGTTTTTGCAAATTCTTCGCATTTCGCATTGCAGCGGTAGCTCCTTTGACTGCATCATCCTGGCTAGTGGTTACGATTACCCAGATTGGCCATGTACATTGCCCCAGAATCGTCAAATGATTAGCATGCGCAGCTGGACGCCGCCTGTACGGTATCCTGCATCATGTTGAAACATTCAAGTGTCGGTTGGTTTCGTTTTGGGAAGTAACCTAGCTAATAATAATATTGCCTCTTTGTCTTCGGACCCCGTTTCCACGTCCCCCGGAATCGAGACTGACGGGTCCTGGTTGTGAAGATAAGGTAAGAAACCAAAATTTTAAAATAAGAAACGGGACGGTCAAGCGACAGGGGCGTGTCAATAGCAATCGCAGGGCGAAATATCCTGGAATCCTGCAAATCATCTATTCCATCCATCCTAACTCTCTGAAGCTATTATCGTTTGTACCTGCGTGTCCTCCGATCGCCATGACCTACTCCGTAATAGGTCATGACGTTGGGCGACAACCCAATACTGTTTGGCATGATGTTCTACACCGCCAAAGTTTTATCCCCATGATACTGCAAACCGCTATGGAGTATTTGGAGGAAACAACGGTATCATAAGACACTCGCTCTGTCAGTCCCGAACATCGGACATATCGAGACATATTGCACAGCGCCTTAAACCGGGCCACGTTCGGTGCTTGGTTAAATGTGCATCCTGATACTCAAACACGGCTCGCATCCGTGTAAGTTGAGAGGTTTTCTCAATGACCAACCAGGCACCTGAGATGCTGGATAACCTCAATCATGCTCGACTCCTCCAGGGTGTTTGAGAATGACTTTGCGCCACACACCCGACGTATTTAGCCAGTAGAGCCTAGCCAGTAGGCTGGCTGACGTGAAATGGGGGTTTTTACTTTCTTTGGGACGGGCTTTTTACCAAACCCTGCTGTATACAGAGTGTTTGGACAAGCATTGGCAATCTGTGGATCTTCAGAGCAGCCGAGCCTGTCCCTGGTTTCTTCCCCCCCTAGAGTTGGTCAACAGGGGGGTGTTGATCTCCGCAGCTTGACTGAAGGTGGAAGGGCATCATTATTATACTGAATGGCATGTGTACTGTGCAGCGAGCAATGTCAGTCCTCCTGTCACCTGTCCCCTGTCCTCACTCCCCCAGTCCCTTGTCCTCACTCCCCCAGTCCCTTGTCCTCACTCCCCCAGTCCTCTCTCTGCCTCCCATCAATTCTCAATCCTCCAGCACAACGCATCGCATTACTACACGCCCTCCCTCAAGTCTGGTTATGTATGCGTAACAAGGTTGAGCTCCTGGGACCGCGGCTTCCATCCATGTCCCCTGGCAAATCTCCTTTGTACTGATCTCGGCTTTTGAGCTTCGACTCACCTAGGCACATCATCCACCAGACAAGGCCACACCCTACCCTACTGCAAGGGCAGAGGTGCCATAGTGGGTTTTGCGATTGAGCTCTCTGCGCCTTTGACATGGAACTGTGTTCGGCGGAGGTCTTGCTTTGATGCTCATCAAACTACCCCCGACAGCTGTCGGGCTTGCAGCTGCCATCGCAAAGTATCAGTTTGCGCCCGACACTTTTCATATGCAGCCCGGATGAGCTCATTCATCTTTCCGCCAGCTCATCAAGCGAAGCGTGAGATATACATCGTCAACGGCCTGTGCTGCAAATCATGAGAACTCAATTCACCGCGCGGTGATACCCTAAGACAAAGCCAAACGGCAAATTTCATCAAGTGGGTCAACACTTGGTGAATATTTCCACTTACATCAATTCCAATTCGTATGAATTCGTGGTCTTCCGTCAGAATTGGACGCCCGACTTGAGCGTGAGCCACGGTCTGCCCCACTAAATGTCCCCCGGAAGACGATCCGTCGAAAAAGCCCGTCAAAATCGGCGGCGGTCAACCTCCCCGTCGCTTTTGGAGGGGGCTCTCAGCTGTCCTTGCACCAGTAGCAACACCACAACCCATCCTCTAAGCGCTGGGGCATCTGGCAGGCTTGGCAAGCTCAGTCCCGCGCTCCTCCGGGCTGGCTTCCAGCGAAAATCCGCCGATCTAAGTCTGATTTGTCTGGTATTTCTTCCTTTCTCAGGCTTTGGTCTGGTTTTTGTCAATCGTACTCGTTCCTCTCCTCCCACCCCCCGTAGACATAGCCATCTGCAGCGGCAGTTGCAGTTGCAGAACAGACTGTGGCTTGGCTCACTCCAAAGAAGCGGACTCGGCATTATAGTATCCGTACAGGGATGCTCCATATCATCAAACCACCATGCACATCTTTCTCTGAGGGGCCGGCGATCAGCCTGCACCAGGTCCCGCATGTTTGTTTCTCACAACTGTCAGTGTAAGAGACATTTAACACTAAGATACTGGGGACCGAAGTCTTGTCGATCAGCTGCGAGCTTGTCTCATTCTGGGTTCTCGGGTTCTCATCGGATTTATCATGCAGGTTACCTGGAATTTGTTTCTGTCATCTCCAAATCTTCAACTGACCTCGGCCAAACGTATTGCGTGCGATGTGCTTGTAGTCTTTTTGGGCACATAAGAATTGTTTGGTTAAGGTCTTGGGAGCCGTCTATGTCTATGCAACCACCGTTGGAGTTTAACAGTGGCACGACTCTAGTACCTCCTTGTAATTGGGAACTAGGCTTGAGGTAGGTACGTACCGTCAGCCCTATGGGGGTGGGTATAGCCAGCCAGCGGGTCGGGGCGAACCAGAAGCGTGGGTCGCCCTGGGGGAAGTTTAAAAGAAGCAATCGCTTAATTAAGGACCGGTAAGGTTCGTTGACCTTTTCCGAATAAGTGATGAAGCAGGGACAGAACACCGCCTCGTATGCGAGAAACAGGCGGTGATTATCCAGCGCCATGTATGACATCTCAGAAACCGGCCGCGATATCGTTCTTAGGAACCAGATGCAAGTCTAACGGCCCCTCGTCGAGCTATGACCGTGCGCATGTATGCGAGGTAGTGATTTATTGGCGTTGACGAGCCAAGAGCTGACGAATCTCTGGGCAAAATTAGCCCTACCCTGCTGCTATCGTCACCATCTACGTCAATTTCGTCCATTATAAATACTAAGAAGCAACAAATATCGATGCACGTAACGGATCTAATATCCTGTGCAGCTCCAGGGGGTGCCCTTGAACACTCTGGGCTGGGGTCAGGTGTACGTGGATGTCAAATAGTAATTCCCGGCCGCGACCCTGTCTTCTTTAGCCTCCTACAGTTCTGTCGCTGTCGTGTGTGGTTTTCTTTTTGTTGCTTTTTGTTACGCGAACCGGGGGCGTACGTTGCCAGCGAGCAAGGAGCGGACGAGGAAAATGCCCAAGCTTTGAAGACGGCGGACAGCGGAAGGTGGAGGGGCATGAGGGGTAGAACAAGCTACGCCCAAACCAGGTCGAGCAGCCAGGCGCGCAGCAGCCGTTCTTCGGTGATGGTATTGACAAAACAATAGCCGCAAGGGTCCGAGTTAAAGTGCTGTGCGGACGTCTCCGCATAGAGAGAAGGTGTTGAACGTTGTCAGTATTAAATAGAAGCATGGTGAGTTGATGAAGTCACGAATTGGGAACGCTCGTGCTTGGCCAGTTACATGTTGCTCCTCGTATCAAAATGGAGTTAAAAGTTGATGGGTATCTGTGCTAGAAGTTGACGGGGGTCGTTCAAAACGACTGAGATGAGATGAGATCCATGAGAAGCAAGCGAGAAGCAAGGCTCTTGGCTCTGGATACGGAGGAGCACCGACGGTGAGCTGGGCTGGGCGGCATCCCTCGGATGCTAGATTATTTACACCCCTCCCCTCTCCCCACTTCTGTCGGTAACGCAACGATGCATCGCACCTGTAGTACGGTATGGGGAAATAGATTTATTTTTCGGTTCTGATTCATGCCTCTTTCCTTACCTACCTACTTATCCCAACAAACACTCTCATGCGAACTACAACTGATATAAACTCACTCGTCCCCGTCTAGTCTTTTTTTCTTGCACCTTTCCTTCCTTACCTTACTTTTAATCCATCATCATCTTTACTTCTCCATTCACTCATACACTAGGTAGCCAGGCCAGGCCAGCACCTTCCTAACACACAACGACCGACAAACAGTTGCCGCTCCTTCCCAGCACCACCGAGCTCTCGCGCTCTCTTTTTGTGCCCTCTACTCTCCGCTCTCCGCTCTCCGCCTTCCACCTTCCGCAGGATACCGTCATTTACCATTACCTTCTTACTCTACCTGGCCTTCACTTCATGCCACCTGAGTCTCTTCTTCTTCTCCGACGCTTTGTATCCTCGTGCTCGTCGATCGTCCGTAACAGTCGCCCTGATCCTCGAGTGTGGGCACTTGTCCATCATTATCGTCGTCACCATCACCGTCGCTGTTATAATCGACCTCACCACCGACGACGCCGCCGCCGACATCGTCCCTCAGTCTATCAGCTTCGCAAGCCTTACGCCCTCGATCCTTAGAGCAATATATGACCATGGCGTCCAACACCTCTCACAAGGGCTCGACCGTCGGGTATGTTATATCGTCCGTTCAAGGGGCATTCGTGTTGGGTATTGGTAATAATGATGATGGAATACACTGCTAACAGATGTTGATGGTGGTAGATCGACGGCGGACGCCCGCCTCGCCGAACCCACGATCATATCCCTGAACCGTGCGTTTGGTTATGAACCCAACAATGTTTTTGCCCGTATCTCGACCGGTAGCGTCAACCTTCATGGAAATACCGGTGGGCAAACCCACGACCAGGCTATCGCAAGCCTTGATGCCCAGATGGCTAGGCATACGGCGCTACCCGGTGTCAACGCCAGTGAGACAAACTTGTTGAAGATCGGATCGCAGTTCAAGTAATCTTCCCTGGCGTATTCACTTGCTGTTTCCGTATCCGAGAATGTCAAAGGTCAACAACGGCTGAGGCTAGCATCAAGCTTCGGTCAGATCGGTTCGGTTCAACCAGCATCGCTCCTAGACATTGTCATGTACGGTAAGTTCATCCTATTGAATAGGATCTTGTTTTTCTCTCCTCTCGGTTCTCTCTTTTGTTTGAAACAAAAAAAGAACATATGCTTCTTAACATATGCAACATATTCCCCAGTACTGTTCAAACACAACTGTTTTTGGCGTTTCCACTTGGTTGGACAGATGTCCGGTAATGTTGATAGACAAAAGCTCAGAACAGCATCACTGCATACGCAGGATGGCCAGAGTGTCTGTTGATCAGAACCTCCCAGATGTCACAGCATATACCCTACCTTTTTTGTTTATATATAATACCCGTGGTGGTTTTACCTGTTTCTTGCTTGGTGTATTTGGTCTGTCGGATGATGTGGTCTCTGAATTGTATTCCATCGGTTTTTTTAATCGCTTGTCTTGTTTTGTCTTAATTGGGCCCTTCTTATTCTTTTTCTTTTCTTCCTCATATTTCCCCGACTTGACCTTGTTGGTGCTGGTCAGTCTCTCCCTCATCCGTTGCTTTCGGGCGTCATATAGCACCACCAGGCAAAATCTTGTGCGTGTAGTGATGCTTGAGCGTATCGACTTAAAAGCGGAGAAACCAAGTGTGCTCAGCGAGGCAGAGATAATGAAGGTGTTTCAACAGCTATCGCAAGAGACTGCTTGCTCCCTTCATTACTTGACCTAACACTCGCTGTGTACCGCTTTGCACCAAACTGTCAAGAACCCAATTACCCAGACTGCTCAAAGAACTTCGGCCTTTCATACCAGGGTGCACAGGTATGCATCTCATGATAAATGTGTCATGGTGGATGAGATGAACGAATGCACGATGAAAACGATAAGAATCAGGAATGATGAGGGACAAAGGTCAAACTGGCTAATGTCAAATGCGAGGGGTAGTTGGGTACTTATTTATCTTCTCATTTGTGGGTGCGGCCTAGTCGCCTAGACACCGCATGACCAATCACACCAGGCAAACAGGCATTGTTCAAACTTAGCCTCAAGGTTATGGATGCATCATGATCAGCAAATAAGCCCTCCAGGTTGATCTTGAGGCTTTAAGGGCTTCCCTGAGGCCAACAGCCTCTTTGGTTGGCTCTCAAGGTGTTCAGGAGTTAGCAAGGACTTCCATGCATTGGTTCTAGCTACGCAGACAATCGGCCTTCGCAAGCAGAAGGATGTTCATGTATGCCAGGCATTGTTTGTTCTAGGAGGGTTCCCTGGTATCAGTCGGCATATTGTGGCTCTTGTCTTATTTTCTTTTTCTGTCTTGTTTATAGACTGGCTTGGCTGGGAAGATTGCATTGTTATTACGGAGTATTTATTAAGGAGCATAAATAATAAAAAGAAATGTGGTGGTTGTATCCTTCTTCTTTTCGTGACTTCAGACCTACAAATACCTACACATTTCTCATCCTATTATGGTCTGGTCTTTACTTCATCCTTACTTAATTAGTTGATTGAAATACCAGCTCCTACTCAATAAAGAGTGCAAAACAGATTCTCTTCTTTCGGCAGTGGACATCATGTCAATGAAGGTACACCTGTTGCTGCGTCTCAAACAGTTCCTATTTCCTTATCCCATAGTCTCACTGCGGAAAGCTTTCTAACCTCGCAAATGAGTCTATAATAATGCCAGCTAGTCTCATGATGTCTTAATCCTCCGCACTGTTATAATTTCGTGGTGTGCTCCGTATACTTTCCCTGGGCTACTTAAGCTCAACCAAATCCTTTGTTCCAAGCTGGCCACATAAACAGGGAGATTTCCAAAATACGTTGTACTTTCTCGTTCGTCCATCCAGCAGGCTGCTTCAAACTCTCGGATATTAACAGCCCACGACTCATCTCGTAGCTTGTTAAAGTGCTCTTTGAATCATAATTTCGTATCGCATCACTATCGACGATCGTCCAAAGCCAATCTCGTCCCGCCAGTACTAGATCCATTAACTGCTCACGTCTCATCCTGCTCTGGATCTGAGTCATAGCCAATTCATAGTGGCCAGTAGGTCTACGCGTTCATAAAGCCGAAATCTAGAGACTGGTAGTTCCAGAGATTGGCCAGTTCTCCAAGCTCCTCGTCCGAAATGTGCGCAAATACAGCATCCTGAGAAGGACCATCCATGGGTGCAAAGACTGTAGGGTCCTGCATGTATAAATTAGGCTGCCATTCAGCGCACGCTGAAGGTGCAACATATGCCACAGGAGTTGCAAAATCACCGCCCATTGTAGCCGCACCGGCCAAGGAGTATATTGGAGATGGTACGCCAGGAGTGGGGATAGCTATTGGCGAAGGCGAGAAAGTCGTGGCGGGCGGAGAATTATGTTGATGGGCGCTTCCGGGTGAGATCGTTTGCGGCGATACAACGGCTTCAGGTACATGGGATCTTGGGGGAACAGGGCTCTTGCCAACCAGGCTTTGTGTTATTGCCGTCCGAGGAAGACGTTGAACAATGCGAGTGAGAATCCCATATGACGCTTTAGCTGATTTGGTCATCGTACTTAAACTCTGAAGCAAGGAATGTGCCTCGTCGATGGTTCTGTAAACATCCTCTCGTCGAGGAAGCGTATGATGCTCGTCGTGAAGGACTGCTGAGCATAAGACTGTTGAAACATCGAAGATGCAAAACAGAATAAAGTGAAATTTGGCGTCCCGGGGATATGCATGGTCGAAGAACCCACGTAATGATACCATGAGCTCCAAACAGTAGCTAATACCGTCTCTGCGTATTTGCAACTCTGAGTCCAGAGACCGAATAGCAAAAGGTCTTGTCAAAAAGCTCCGTATGGGTTGGAGAAGCATTGAGAACGCCACGGTACGTATGAAGTGCCGGTGCAATGTAATCCATGGGCACGATGCGTCGAGAGACTTGTCTGGATTATGAATATTGAAAGGAGGAGGGAAGGTGTTGATCCAAGCCTCAACGATTTGTTGGTATTCCTGAACTTCTGCATGAGTCTTCACGTTCTTGGTTGGGCCAAATCTCGCGAAGATCTGGCGGATCAAGCTGGACTGCATTTTCATGTGCGCCAAGGGCGGATATTGATACCCCTCCAAGCTAAGACTGGGTAAACCAGTGTCGCAGTCGCTACGATCGATAATCATGGGCCTACCCAATAGTGTGGATATTTGCCTTTCCAGTCGTGTTAGATTGCCATTTCGATAGGAAGTGCTATTTGCCTCACCAGTCCCAAGTATCCAAAACACACCACACTCTCCGCCGCATTTCTAAATCGAATTCTGATACGGGAGAAGTCTTAGCTTCTTGGTGTATAGCTATTAGACGAGTCAGTCAATTCTTGTTGATTCGTGTGGAGCAATGCGGAGCGTACAAAGTTCTTGGGCTTCTCGAATAGCAGAGTTCAAGACATGCCAGCACTCTACAAAGCGAGCTTCGGACTTGAACCAATAGCACGAATGTAGAAGTTGTTGGATGTTGGTGAGATGGCTGTAGCCAAGAGGGACAGCGCTTCCCAGCTCTCGAGCAGCTTCGTGGAATCTTTCGGTTATGCGCTTTATCGTATCACCTAGCCCACTTTCGAGCTTCCCCTGCAATTCGACATCTGTGTATTGCGAAGCACATGCGCAAACAGTGAGAAGAAGACAAGTCCATTGAACGCTTAAAGGACGATTCTCGGCTCGTGCGGCCCACCATTGTTGGTATTGCTCCAAAAAGGAGGGTGGGTAGATGATGTAGTAGTGATAGTTGACATTGTTGAGGAAGTTCTGGACAAGTGTATCTGAAGTCGCAGTTAGGCAGCGGTGCTTATTGGCTGTTCCTAGTACTACATACCGGTGTAAGGCCTAGAAGGAATAATCCGAAGGGCCCGTTCCAGTTGTGGAAAGCTTCTCGGATCTTTGACAAATTCTTGTGATGCTGTCTTCATGTTCTTCAAGGAAAGGAAGTTGTTAGGCTTGGGGCGGGAACATTGAGTAGGCCGGGTTCACCAACCTCGTATTTTGAAGTTAGATCGAAGATAAGATGCGAAGGCATGTAGCCCAACGCATCGATGCCATCACTCCCGGGATCTTCTAGTTGCGATTCCACAGAGTCGGGGTTCGTTTTGTTGTTGATTCGGTTCCTCCTAAACCTATCCAGGGCAGCCTTATCATTGACAGGCTGGTTGGTGTCCTTGAAGCGGCATTTGTCGGCCACCTTGCGCTTTTGGCATCCATTACAAGGCCACTCACGGTTGCACTAGACGTCGGTCAGTTTTGGGAGGCATTAATTCAAATTAGAGCTGGAGATGTTATAATGATGGTTATAGGTGGATGTGAAGAATGTGGGTTGCTTACTTTCTGCTTGCGGCGTGCACATTCTGTGCACGCGGAACGGTAGCTTGCTTGACTTCGTTGAGCTCCTTCTCCCATGACGGTTGATTATAGACCCGACAAAATATTACAATCGACAATATGCATTGATTCGAACTCGCTGGGTGGAAACAGGTCTGGAAATGAAAGATATGTGTTGAAATGTTGGTATCCTGTGTAGCAAATGCAGAGCGTTATGCAAAGGAATCCATGCGAGAACGAGTAGCTGCCACACCAAGCGGCAAGCAAGAAGACAACTACGTTAGAATTGACCGTAGAGGCTGGCAGCGAAAAGACAAACAATCATGTTAATGGATTCCGGGTGGGGAACATGCTGGTTGACCGTCGTTGCTAAGATGCATTTGCCCGGCTGCAGATCGATTGGATGGTGGGTGGCACACGGAAGGAAAAGAAGAGATGCATCGCTTGGGGACCCATTGCTAATTTCGTGTCGAGGAGCTGCTGGCGGTTAGTTGAAACGATGGGTCTTGTAGGAGCCCAACGGAGATAAGCGAGGCGATCAAGTAAAACTGCAAGAGCCCCATTCCAGCTTGCATCGCCAATGTCTTCCCAAGCCTAATCGTCTGACTTTTGGCGGGTTTCGCCAATGAACCCAAAGGCAATAGAGCCTCATCGCGGCTCTCCGCTCATCCACTTTGCCACCTGGCAAATAAACACCTTGGTCATGAAGTAAACATTGCGTCGGCGGGCACTGGCTGATCACGAGAACGTCGACTCGCAGTGCTGTTTTGCTGAGGGATCATCAACCCAAAGCATGTCGTCTTCCACCAGCCTCAGGACATGATCCTTGACATAGGATCAAAAGCAAAGCCTCAAGAGCCCTTGGCTCACCCACACCAACCACCGTGTGCATCCTTCATTACTTTCCAGCTCCGTTTCATAATCATTTTGTTGCACAGATCCACTGCTGTCTCTCATTCCCACTTCCTTAATCCCCGTGACAGGCCCTCCATCTGTTAGCTTCATTGATGCTGTCCCCGCCACACAATCCGGCGTCGCCCGGCTCGAGTCAATCACCAACCATAACGCTTGAACGCTTGGTTATTCTCTATTTCGAACTGCTCCCGGACTTTCTTGACAGGGCATTGATGTGCCGTATATACCCCTGTCCGCTTGGACGGACTTGAACCCGTGGATTTATGTTTCAACTTTCGCTATTTCTATTGCTGCATGCACGGAGTATACCGTAAGTCTGCATTGACGCAGCTTGGAGCGGGGAATGCTACCCACCCATGTGGTCCAAGGAACATACTACCAGGCGACAGGTAACAAACGTATAAGCTGGTAGAAGCCTGATGAAGGACATGTGCTGTAAGACCGAACGTCAGCTCGAATACGATAGCGACATGTCTGTCTAGGTATGCTGAGTCTCGCCAAGCTCACATTGATGCATACATAGCAAGCATTTGTGATAGAGAATGTCCTCCCGGCCCACCCAGCCCATATGCATGTCACTGGATATGCTCAGATCCCACAAGATAGATTCAACGGTGTTCTCCACAATTGGCCCGTGTCGTTCAGTTTGACAACTTTGAAGCCCGATGCTCGGACGTCATGCTGGTGGAAGGGTCCCATACGACAGGGAGCTGTTTGGGCTCATAGCTCAAGCTAATGTCAGCAATAGTGCACCATTGCAAGCGACCTGACCCCAAGTTGCACTATCGCACGTGGCGTGTGGCGGTGAGTTGAAACTTGAATGCACTCTTTTCGACCTCGAACAAATGATCGCCCTAAGCTTGTAGCTACCACGAGGTTTTCACGCTTCATCCGAACCTACCGGCCCGCTACACATGCGTCAAAAGCAACGCCTCCCGTGCCTTAGACTCGCATAATCAGGCGTAAAATCGAACGATATCTTAAAGGAAGGGTCACGACCGCCATGTAAACGTTCGCGACTGTGCATGTCGATTATTTTGAGTTTGTGCCTTGTGCAATGGCGGAGCCGTGAACGGGCCACTGTGGTGACTTCGGAGACTCGTCCAGGCCCCCGGAAAGTTTGTGTATTGTGCGCTCAACGTCAAGCCCTGGATATGCGCAGTCTTGGTCTTCCACTGGATGCCAGGTCCGAGGTCTCGAGGCGATGGCGTCGGCTAAGGATGCAACGACCCAAAGAGCTAGCCCCGCGGAGATAAGTGCCAGCATCAGGCCCCTGCTCCATATTGTAGACCTTTGACACCAAAGTCAAAGCAGGAATAGGAAGCACAAGAATCCCATATTGGTCCTGCATATCTGAGACTCATGCAGATGGCCGTTTTCTCAGGGCGGCGCACAGGTCGAAGCGACAAGGCTTTTTGGTGGAGAAATCAATGGTATTATTGTTGAGAGAGAACGGTGAAGAACGAGAATGATAGCAACAGAGGGGCGTAAGTCGTTGAGAGACAGTTGAGGTTTCTCAGGCAAGCAGGCAGGTGGAAATACTTGCAGGGCAGGTACAGATGGAGGTTGATGATTGATCCAGAGCAGGCAGGTGCGAGGCCAAGACAATGAAAGCCTGAAAGGCCTCGACCTAAAAAGTCAATTATCTCAATCAAGTGGCAGGTGCCAGGCAAAAAGAAAAGACGCGGACCCCCAGAGTTTAAGAACTCCAACTCCCTCTGTCAAGTCTGTCCATATCCTCATATATCACAACCTCGATTCTTTAAAATAGGTATCCGTAATTCCTCGCATCTATATCAATCAGCCCGTCCGAAAGAACCCCTCATTCCCGAGATTTATCGGGTCAGCTCACGAGCGGGGCAGAAAAGAGTAAACTTATGCAAGCGGGTGCATATCCAGAACCTCAGATGAAGTAGAACAGAATATCTATCACTCCTATTATATCGTACCATTTGAGGTTGGAGACAGGGCATTCAGCTTGCGCGGGCGGGAGTTAGCTGGGCCACGACCAATTATTTCAGGACGATGCTGACCATGGTATAACAGTATTGTCAATCTCGCCTACCACGAGCTCGATAATTGTTGTCAGGCGTCGCGAATAGCATCATTTATGGTCCTATCGAGGCTCTGCTACTCCAGTCTAGAATCTGTCAAATGGCCTGACTTTGGCTAGTTCCCGTGTCCGCTGTGTAACCAGCTCGTCCGCCACGCTGGTTTATTTACCAAGAGCAACCATATGTGCATGAGCCTGCTTCTGCTATTACAGGAAAGATGACCTGTCAGTTATCGTGCTTTAAAGAGAACCCACACGATCATACTGTTACACTGGGCTAATGCTAATGCCCGGGACCGCAAATCAACCCTTCAACCGGTGGATTTGTTGATCAACGACCACAATGTCAACCAGCCTCATCCTAACCACAATTGGTTTGTTTGTTTGCGCCTTTTCTTCATACGTTTTCCGTCATATCCTTGTCTGCATATTCTTCTCACACGGCCTCTTGGGAAGTTGGGATTAACATTGGGCACAAACAAAAGGCAAGAATCGCCATTATTCCTCCAATGCCGAGATAGCCACAGCACCCGTTCACCAAGTGCCGGACCCTCCACCCCACCTCTTTAGTTAGGCAGTTATTACTCCGTAGGCATTTAGTCAACGGTCGCTAGTTTAGCGACATGGAGCCTGACAAAGTTTGGTCAACAGCCACAGCCATCGTCATCGCCGATCAAGAATGATCAACCGTTTTTTTTACCTCGGTACTGGTTGGGTACAGCTCATCTTCCAAGTTAGACAGGCAGAGGCTGGCAGGGTATACCCTTGGGTTCCGCTCAGTTAGAGCCAACCTGGCTAGTCTATGGCTTACAAAGTCATGATATATGAATCCATTCACATGTTTATCATGGGTTGCCTGGGCTCTAGAAGGCTTCCAAGCCCTGTGAGTGGCTGAATTGCTTCTTCAACACTACTGCGAACTAGTCTCCCGTATTGTTGCGACCCAGATCTCTTCGGACCCTCCAAACTCGCGAGCCAACCGGCCGTCTTTGACTCCCTTTCAACACCTCCACCCAAGGAACTTCTGTCAAATCACTAACCCTCTCAACCTCTTCTGGTTCAGCATCCGACCGATCATCTTCTGTATCCTCATCCGTAACTTCCAGCACTGCATCGTTCCCTTCATCGGTCCCAGCTCTCTCGTAGAGATCCTCTGTGTATGCCCAGCTTGGGGCGTCGAATTTTCCATGAAGAAGGACGATGTTTCTGCCTTTCGCCTTAACATCTCTGAACTCTTGAAGCGGTATTGGTGTAATAAGCTGAAGATTCTTTGATTTCGTGTCGATGCCACGTAACAAAACCAGCCCCATAGTTCGAGAATACCGAGGGTCCAATGTAGCATCATTGTAGTAGGGTATGAATGGGATAGCTTCTGGGCTTGTGGAGATAAGCTGCAAAAGCCGGGGGTATTCTTTCAGATCCAGGTCCGTGGATTCAGAGAGTGCTTCGGTCGATGGCTTATCTGGCACGAATCCAGAGAATGCTTGAACATCCTCTATCTCAACTGCTGCTAGAACCAGTCCGTTTACCGTATCGGCCAGCAACTCTGAAGGACATTGATAGTCATAGGACATCAAACCCAGAATTCCACGCTTTGGCGATGAATACTGCACAAGCGAGGGCGGTCTAAAAGAAAGTGGCGAAGCGTTCCATCTCAATATGGGAGGAGCATCAGACAGTTCCGGTGTTTTTGGGACCGTTTCTTGCAAGTGGAAGTAAGACATCGTCTGCATCGCTCGTAAATGGGCCGCCGTTCTTGATGTGAACTCAGATTGCTGAGAAGGGAGTTCCGTAAATAGCTTTTCTGTCGCAGCACGTAGAACATCGACCGTTTCGGATGGGCCCTCCTGCGACATGTACAATACTTCTTCGGGTCTTATTTTCTCAAGTAGTGCAGATAGCAGATCCAAACCAGTCCCAAGAATCCAGCCTGGGGTGTTCACAATAAGAGGTACTCCGTCGAAGTTTTTGGAGTATGTGTCAAAAAGATCGGCTGCACATGCCAGGTAGAGCTCAGGGTTCGAAGCTGGAGATACAGAAGCCATCGAGTGACAGCGAATAATGTTGAAAGAAGAACCCTTGAGATTAGGGTGTGTAAAGGGTGTGCCTAGGTTTGGCTTGTTTACAGAAACAAGAGACAAAGTTCCTGCTGGTGCGTATTCTGGCTGGCCAGGATCGAGGTCGAGTATCACGACTTTACGTAAAGGTTGAATTTGACCTCGATCTGTCAGGAGGCGGTTTAAGAACAGCCGTGAAAAGGTAGACTTTCCAGCCGATTTAGGGCCACATATAAATGTTGACAAAGATGGCTTCTTTCGGCTGGTTGCTACAAGTGAAGACAGCTTCTTGTTCCATGCGGGGGGCGATACTAAGTCTTGGATAATGCATCTCTTAGGGGCATCTTCTGAGGTATATATCTGGGAACTGTAAGTAGAGATCTTTTTTGGAAGTCATAAACTTACAATCTGGAAAGTAGCTTCTCTGGTGGTCTTTGTCACCGACTCTGCCTCGGATGGCTCATTCCATATCTTCCTGAATAATGGTGACAAACGACCTAATTGGCGTAGACCTCGAGAGTTCTGATCTGGATGAAGCTCTAGTCTCGTCTCTTCCGCACTTCGCAACACGGGAATTGCGTGACAATGGGGGGCATGAACCCATTCAATGGTGTCGGATGGATACAGAGTAGCACCAGCTAATGTCACCTCGCCTTGGATAACTTTAACTCCAAAACTTCCAATAATGAGAAATCGCTGAATAGGTTAGCAAAGGTAGCAAAGGGAAAGCTTAGTATTTACCTCACTGCTCGATAGTCTTAGTTCTATCACGCCTCCTGCTTTGACTCGATGGTTTTGTTTGGATAGACGAAACGACGAATACTGTGTTACTCTCTGAGGCGTTCCAGGAAGTTCTAGTGTTATGTTTTCTGTAATTCTGCTAAATGACTGCTTAGCAATGTCGATGCTGGATGTGCCGAGCAATATACCTTGCTAAAGCAACACCTCTAGGATGAGAGGCTGGTGATTCGGCCCCGCGCTGCTGTCGAGGGACTTTCGCAACACTCTTCTTAGGAGTTGATGGTTTTCCACTCTGGCTGTCATCCTTTCGAAGCGGACTGAAATAGTTGGTGTTGCTGGAGACTGGATCTTCATCACATTCTGAAGGCTGCGGTGTAGTTTGCGCAGAAATAGCAGCTTCTCTTCTACGAGCTGCAAGTGCGCTAATAGCACTCATGGCTGTATTGTGTTTGTGTTAGTTGAATGGTCTGTAGACGTAGATAGGGGGAATTAGATAGTCCACTGCATGTTTAACTCACGTTTGGGTGCTTCGACGCCATCAAGTCGCCGTTTCTTATGAGATGACATAACAAACAAGAATTATGTACAAGTTTGAACAATCACTGAAACAAACAAAGTTTTATATAGAATGGGTGGGAGAGTAGTCTATGTGACGCCCTGTGACAATGCGGGTGAACACTGTTTTGCTCGTCAATTCCTCCAAGACCATTCAATGAGGTGAGAATAGGTGAAAGCTGAACCTTATCGATAAGAAAAATTATTCTGCCGCTGTATGGCATGTACTCCATACATACTTAAGCACTCTCGGTTGAGTTGAGTTTAAGGGAAAGTAAATAGTCCATCAAAATTCAACTTCTTGTGCTTCTTGCATCGCTATTTCATTAGAACCAGATTTTATCTTCTGCAGTATTACTGGGCAGTCGATACCAGCCTTCGCGCACTGCCTGCCACCGCATTTTTACACGTACAGGCGCGTCTCTGTAGATAGTAGTGGGCTGCCCCACTAGCGCGGCCTCTCCCAAAATTTCATTTTCCAGCAACTCAAACTTCACCTCGAACAACCTCCTCCCACCAATTGCACCACCACCCCCGAGAAGATTTCCTCAAAAATCGGCCCAAGATGGCGCCCAAAGAACCCTTCAAGGTGCACTCGCTTACCAAGCACATAGAGAACACAAAGAAGGGTATATCCGCCGAAGCGCAGTACAACCGCCGCCTGGGCAACCGTGCTGCAGCTGTCAAGAAAGAGTCCAACGACCCAAACCACATCTTCGCCAACAACGATGACGATGATAACGATGAGAGCGGAAGTGGAAGCGGAAGCGATAGTGACGACAGCAGTGATAGTTCACCCACCACCTTCATGGATAAGCTTACCGGTTCTGCGAAGCCTGCTTCTGCTGCTTCCCGTCGCCGCAGCAAGGATGAAGAGATCGCCGATAGCGACGACGAGCGCAACGCGTCCAAGAAGAGCAGCTCCGTAAAGAAGCCTACTCCCGCCAAGTCCAAGCCTGCATCCTCCAGTGAATCTAGCAGTGAATCTGAGTCTGAAGACGAAAAGGCAAAGACCAAGGCAAAGACCAACGGCACGGCTCCTGCGAAATCCTCTGATACCTCTTCAAGCTCCTCTGAGGCGGAAAGCGATAGCGATAGCGATGAGGAAAATACAAAAGCACCTGCTGCTAAGGCGTCTACCGCAAAGAAAGAAGAGTCTGAGTCAAGCAGTGATTCTTCTGACGAGAGCGAAGACGAGACTGAGGCCAAGCCTGCCGTGAATGGCACTACCGCTACTACATCCGATACCTCCAGCGAAGACAGCTCAAGTGAAAGCGAGGAAGAAGAAGTTGCGAAGCCTGTTAAGAAGCCTGCTGCAAAGCCTACAGTCAAGCCTACCACCAAGACTGCCGCAAAGTCTACCGCCAAGTCAGCCGCTCGTGTGGGGGACAGCTCTTCTAGCGAGGAGGAGGATTCTGATGATGAGATGGTTGACGAATCCATGCACATCGAGGACCGTGAAGAGTCAGGCGCCATTGCCAACTTCATTGCTCCCGACTTCGTCCTTCGTAAGGGTGATGATGGCACAAAGGCCCAGGACGTTGCTCAGATCTGCAACCAGGCCAATCTGGAGGGCAAGCAGTTCTGGTACTTTACAGTTCCTTCCAATGTGCCCATCTCAGTTATCCAAAACCTCGAGATCCCTATGAATCAGTCGCGATCAAGCGACAAGTTGTTTTCTCACGATGGAGATGACTACGGGCTTTCCTTCGAGAGTATTGCCCCCAAGGGTAACATCCAGATTGTGATCCCTTCTTCCGACGGCTCTCAGTACCGACAGAGTAAGTATTCAGATCCTTCTCACACATAATACACTAACATTTACGGCAGCTCCTAAGCAAATCGACCAGGTCATGCAGGTCAAGAAAATCACACAACTTGGCGCCAACACTTCTGTCGGCCCTGCTCCTAAGCCTGCTCCTCGTGCTCAGCCTGCTGGCCTGAAGGCCCGCTACCAGCCCATTGGAGTCAACGAGCCTATGAACAACGACGATGAGGATGACGTTGAGATGGGCGAGGCGCCTGCTCTATCGGCTAAGGCTGCCAAGAAGGAGAAGAAGCGCAAGACCAAAGAAGCATCCGATAAGAAGCAGAAGAAGGGACAGAGTCTCCCTAAACTACCTAGCTCTGGAACAGCGGATGCGGCAGCCCCTGACACCCGCAAGAACAAGCGAAAGCTCACTGCCTCTGAGGAAGATGCGGTAGCTATCGCGGAGCAACTTCAGCAGGAAGCCAAGGCAGCGAACAGGTCCAAGAAGCAGAAGACTGAGCGAGTTGGCAGCCCCGACTTGGGCTCCGAGCCCGCCTCTGCAGGCGCAAAGAAGCAGACTCCCGTATTGCCTCCTACACTCCCTCCGGCTGGAACCCCTCTCGCGAGCCGCACGAAGCAAAAGAAGGTCAAGGAGACTCCTGTCCCCGCCCCTCGCCAGAGCGTGGTCCCTATCCCTGCCATCCCTCACTCGTCGCCCCTCAAGCCCTCTTCTACACCTGCCCCTTCATCTCAGCCTCCAGCTTCACCCACTCAAGCCAAGGAGAAGCGAGTCCGAAAGAAAAAGGAGAAGGATGGCAAGAAGACTTCTTCGGGTAAGAAGGAGACCCCCGTGCCTCCTCCTCAGCACTTTTCTTCTTCCGAATAGTATTCCCTGTTGAACCGCAGTGCTGGAAAGGGCAAAGGCAAGGTTGGCAAGAAACAGTAATGCGTTCCGTTTATATCTGTCGAAGAGACATATAATTCATCACGCTCGCGAACGTCCAACGCCAGCCTTCACTACATACTGGTATTTCCATTTTTTCTCGACAATGGTCACGCAGGATTATATGAACGTAGGAGATGCTGCGAATTTCTTTTATTCTTCACGCATAGCTTGTAAACAACTGCGAGCTTTTCGATACCGCGATGAGACGACAGTCTCTGGAATTTAGCGGACGGCGTTGGTGGTGTATTTTGGTCGTAAAGGGAAAAGAAAAAAAGGTGTGCGGTTGATGATGATGTGAGGATGGATGAAGGAGAGCAAGACGAACAAAGGAGTGTCTCGACGAATGGTCTACCTTTGGGAGGAAGGCAGTCTAGAGGCTAGCATGAAACTTTAATTCGCTATGCTTTTGGGCATTGGTGGAGGCCAAGGGATGTTTGTATCATGATTGTAGTCAATGTTAGAGATCAGACATTAACGTTCCGGTTTCAGCTTGTGAATGTGTACAGACCGAACCGAAGTCAATTGGGGGCATGTTCAGTAGGCTTATAAAGTTCGATAACTCATGTTGCTGGTAGATATTTAGGTCTTGTGAAATACCAACCCTTTCATCATGAGATTTAGACTAAACGTACCGTGTCCATCCCACATACCCTAGAGCATTTGAAGTTTTTCAGTCCATCACCACTCTTAACATCTACAGAACAATGTCTAACAGCAGACCAGCCTGATTATATTGAATATTAACCCCCTTTCAATGTCGTTTGGTAATTTCGTCAACAACGTTATTACCAAGTCAAGCCACTCAGCCATCGCTAAGTCTAGAACACGATGACTCCAAAACACCAACCCATCATGCCCTCCCCGCAGAAAGCCCCGGCGCCATCGCATCGCACGTTCAAAAGTCAATGCCACAGAAGCTTTAACGACAAGCTGTGCTTGTCAGAGACTCCTAGTGCCAAAATACTGGGCTAGCTTCAGCCTTGGAATTGAAAGAACACGCCCCTCCCACTTCCCCAGCCTCCCTGGGCGTCGATGGAATGGATGATGTGATGACGTTCGCTATTCGAGGTCTCACGTGTCATATGCGTTGACACCATTGTTGTTGGAGGATTGAGAGCAAACGGTGCTTAGACTGATTGTGGTTATGGTTAGGAAAATTACAGTTACAAAAGAAGTTGATATTGAAGATGAGTCTATGCTTGGTACTGCATCATCATGCACGTAGTAAACATAATACCCGAAAGAGCAACGCAATCATGCATGTAAGTCATAGTTTTGGGTCTACGTCAGTTGGTGCTCGCCAACGCCCAACGTGGTGGCTCAGATTAGCCCAGGCACGTCGCTCACCGACAGCCTCACAAAGAGACCAAATAAAGTCAAGAGTCTTCGTTGGGCGCAGTTCATGCGGCGATGATAAGGCTAAGGGTCGTTTCCAGCTGGCTACGGTGTCTCCCAAAGCAGCGGGGCTAGTGACCATGTACGAGGTCATGATGGCACAGAAGTTCAAGGGATTGCTTCTGCGTTTTAAGACACCCCAAGCAGCTTGGAGATAGCGTGCTTGGAGACGATGTTACAGCGGAGGAGAAAGACCCTTTCCAATGCTGAAGACGGTAGAAATGTTCAGGTTTCACTTTGCGGCCGCGTGCAACATATTAATTTAATTTTGGTTACATCGATAGAATGCTAAAGTGATACAAAAACGTCAAAGACGACATCATATCTTAACATGACATATAATGACGGCAACGCAAGCAAGCATATACGTATGTCACGCAGCAGAGAGTCGGGAGTCGGGAGTTGGGATCCATCAACCCACGTGCTCGGCACGAGGCGAACTTGAAGAGACCCTCAATCACGAGTACAAGCACAAGTACAAGCAAATACCGGCAAAGAAAGGGAAAAAAGCGTATGGTCTGATGAGAATCGAGGCCAAGCCAAGGCCCCGAAACCTGGAAAGATCCGGGTAACGGCGATCTCATTCTCGCAGCTCGCAGCTCGCAGCTGCAAAGCATCAGATCAGGAGACACCGACAGAAATATTGGGTTCTGTCCGTACTTTTTTCACTGCAATCGACCCATTCTCCATATCGGACGGTTGACGGTCTTCTCGTAGCCTCCGACTAACACCAGCACCGGCCGAAAACTACCGACCGTAGATCCACGGCCGAGATGGGTCTGATTGATTTTTTTCTTTCTTTCTTTTCTATCGGTGTCCAATCTGTCAATGGGCCGAAAAACCCGTCCGTCTAAGTGGATTTGACCCAAGCCGAATGAGCGATAAAAAATTTCCGACAAAAAAAATTGAGCCGAGTTAATAATTCAGAATGAGCTTATTGCAGTAATTAGTTAAGTCCGGACCTGGAATAGGTGGGACCATTACGGGATTCGCAGTAAAGATCGCATCCGCTGTGGGCACTCGGTGAATCTGATGATCACGGCCGGGGACTTCAAGTCTCCCAAGAGCGAAAATTTCGTTTAGATTTCCTTTGTCTCGTTTAGGCTTCCTTTGTCTCGCTCAGGCCCGAAAACACTCTTTTGTGCGGATGTGAATATGACTGATGACTGCTGGCAGTCTCGAGGCCAAGAGCGCTGCTGTCACTACGATTATGGGCGGCTCGCTCGGATACCGCCCCTCGCTTTGACCGCCTTTGCATTGGCTCCCAAAAAATAACAACCAGGCTTTTATTGGTATCATGATACCTAATCCATGATATACCTTGGAGTCGTAGCAGCTCACGAAGGCATGATCTGGAGCTAGAGTAGCAGTCATCACTGCTTGTCCAGTATAAATCGTTCAGTATGCATCGTTGATTGGGCATTAGTCTCTGTAGTAGACCGCGTTGGTCTTTCACGTAGTAGTTGGGGTAAGAGAGAGGCATGCAACTGCATTCAGCAGTCATCCATCATCCATGGAGTTTAGTTTGCGGTCTGATCTGACTCTGACATTCTCCGCAAGTCCGCAAGTTGGTCAGATATTCGATAGTCGTGTATCAGAATCAGACGATAGACCAGAACGGTTCAGCTTGGGATCGACACCAACGCCCAAAGCTCAGAATTGTGCATATCATGAAATGGTGGGCAACCAACTAACAAACACGATCTGCTTGACCATGTATCACTCCTTGTCCATGCCGACTCCTTTCACCGACTTGAAAGCACTGATTGATAGTTAGGATGATCTCTATCAAAGCCCATGTGTCCTTTGTAGCCCGCCTTCATCCCGTTTTCTCCGTGTGCATCTAGGTAGTCTAGTTGCATCGCGAGCTGTGGATGTCTCGTGCTCAGGCAGGGGGGGGACCCTGGACGATCTCCTGAACTTGGGCCAAGTCAGCCCCATTCGGTTCGACCTTGCTCTTACAAAACCGGCATAGAGCATTCAATGAAGCTGAAGCTGCGCACGGCCAGCACTTTAATAACAATCACGTCCAAAAGAGATTGCGAATGAAATCGCATTGGTGATCAGTCAAGTTTCTTGTTTGTCGCGACTCGCAAAGCCCGCGCATGCGACAAGACACCAAACCAAACACACTCTCCAAGGGACTGGAAGAGTTTCGCACCCCTGCTGCGGGAGACCCCCCTTCTTAATCTCTCCAAACCCTGACAGCCCGAGCCTCTCCACTACTGGCTTTCCTTTTTGCTGATGTTCTTCTCGGTCTCGGGTGGTGGTAGAAAGGATCCACGCTTAATTTCCTTGCATTACTGGAGCCGTGGAGCGGCATCGCGCTTCGCCTCGCGCAGGAGCGAGCGCCTCATGCATTGGCAAATAAGACCCGAGCGGCCGTTAGGAGCCTCCGTTTTCTTAGTGTTGCAGTTTGGACCAAGATTTGAAAATGAATTCCGTAGAACTATCCGTAACTACCTTAGCTGTCGGAGAGTCGGAGCCATCCAAGCTCCAGGCCCAGCTTAAAAACGTTTGCTAAAACCAACGTCACCATGTCATGACGATGAGGCTTGACACGCTAGCAAATGTCTAAGTAGTTGATGATTCGTCCAGTTGTTCAAGAGGCTCAAACGGCTTCCTGCATGTCAAAACCTTGAGCGACAATTGCTCTTCCGCAACATCCGAGTCGATGTTGGAGAGCCAGCAGGTGACAGCAGAAGCGGAAGCGAAGGGGATATCTCGTGGGGTTGCACCCTTGTCGTGAGCAGAGCATGCATGTCTCTGGAGCGATGGGATATGTTGCGCGCGGCTATGACTTGCAATCACTGTCTGGCTGTACCTTGATAAAGGGTCGGGTGGGTTGCAATTTAATCCGCACACCAAGCGAGGCTGACAGAAAGACATAGTCTAAATTTAACATAAGAGCGACATATAAATTTTGTCAATATTCATCTCATAAGGTGCTCCACGTGCTTTGGTGTGCGGATTATATTGCGACCCGCCTGAGGGTCTATCTGAAGCGAAGCCTTGAGGTTGAAGTCTGAAGTCTCAAACCGTTACGCTTCCCATGCAGGGCTGAATTGCAGACAGCTCAAACTGCTATTAATGCAGGGCTTCAGTGTCCATGGAATACTTCATACTGGCAATGCAGAGTCAGAGTATCAGCGATTGATCTGTGAACACCTATGCTTAGTCGAAAATAGCAACGCTAATAAATGTGCCGCTGCCGTGCGTCGACGACTAGCATTCAAACCTGTGGTGATGATCATTTGAAACAGTCGACGTTTCTTGCAACCCTACTCTGTACCTGGAATGAAAGGAACTTGTCGAAGTTTGACCTTGGATGGTCTCCAAGACTACCTAGCATTGCAGGTGTCAGCAAGCGTAGAAAACACTCCGCGGCTTCCATGGCCCAGGCGGAATTAGAGAAGGTACATTGGTCGCAAGTACTCGCTGAAACCTGTGGCTTTCGTCTGTTTCCTTCACGTTCTGTCTCTAATAAAATCCTACAAAAAAAGATGCAGTGGCCCCAGCTCCCAGTTAGCGTCAACAAGAGCTTACCCTTGTCATTCATATCGATTCTCAATGGCTCATTATTCATCGTCCATTTCGGTTTCCCATCTGTGAAACTTTGCAGTGGAGCTCTTGTTGTAATGCAGCACCTATCTTGAATAAGGAGCATATATCATGGATCGTCCGGATGATGAATTGACCTGATGATTTATTGCCAGACTGTCCATAATGTTAGCTGTTTTCTCCAACTGTAATATAAAGGAGCTTTGCAAGCAATCAAAGTCTTGCCCCCTCATCGGACCAGCCGGTGATTTGGATGACCAAGCATCAGAGGAAGTTGCCTTGCACGCGACGGATATTGTAATGAACTCAACGGGAATGTCCTCGTCGAGTATATCTCCGTGTCGCTTCCATGTTTCAATCGCAAGCAGGCTTTTTGCTTCCATGGGTGTACTACTACCAACACATGAACATGAGCTGTTCAATTGATTGTCATTTGTCTGGTCAGAGCATGTTTGCAAGCCAACTGTCGATTGCCATCTTAAAACTAAGAAGCACAAGATCGTCATTCTCCAACCGCGGCACTGAGCACATGAGTAATCGTCTTTTTAGGCGTGATTGGTTTGCGATATCCCCATCATCGAATCTAGGCATTTCCAGGCGCATGTGCCTGTGCCACGATCATGACGCTGCTGTCAGATAGTTAGATCGCCTTGGCTGGGCTGTGTGCCTAAGCGACACCGTCGAGGTGACCGTTTTCTGATGGTGACGTTTTAGAATCAGCCACCGTCAATGACATGGACCCTGACTGCCGGATCAAAGACAGAACACAGGACAACAAAGATGAATGTAATTAAGGTGTGGGCCTAAACTATGTTGACCAAGTAAGTCAAAAGACTCATCACGATCCTGGACCATTCTTGTCTCGTTTCGTCTTGTCTTGTCATCAGTGCAATTGGAATCTTTTAGCACGCTGAGGTAAGAAACCGTAAAATCGTAAGACGTAAAATCGTGCACCGTAATAAAAGCGAAAAAGCATGAGGGTGTGTCGTGTCGGCCGACGGCAGATCGCCCTTCCAATGCCATCCGTCCTGGAGAGCAAGATTCGGAGCCTCGGGGCCATGGAGACTTGGCGGGCTTCCGACGTCCGACGACCGACCCCAAAGACTCGAAGGACTCAAAAAGTCACTGGATGGACGATTGCAGCTTTTGCGACGTTATCCGTAAGTAGGCTAACAGGAAAACCCCATTGGATCTCAAACAATGTGGACTTGTCCGGAAGCCCTGCTCGCTTGCGTTGCCAAGGTACTGGACGTTAACGTTTCTAGTCGTTGCCCGGCAGCTCTGCCAAGGCTAGAATGATGTAGTACGTAGTACGCTGCAGCGCTGCACTGCACGCTCACACGCTGCACGCTGCACGTACAATACATGGAGGTAATTTTCCTCAATGGGTTGCCTCCCAGATGACTAATAAAACACTTTCATGATGGAACACATGTTTCTGCGGCTCATCTGACTCTATTGATCGAGGCTCAGCAGTTCCAGATCGGCCATGTCTGCCTAGGTACTATCCAATTTCCCCCTTCAGGACTCAGTGCGCCGTACTCCGTATTAAACGTCTTACCTTATCCTTTTCGCGTCGCATACGCGGAAAAGTCCGGTCAGTTTTTAATTCGACAGGGCGATATCTCACGCGACTCAGCCGCCAATCACCCTTGGCACCCACTTTGAAGGAAATTACTGTACAGAGTACGGACAATACGCCTTGGTTCGGGCCACCATAAACCCCGTACCTCCGCGGTGTCCGGCCCAATGTCCATGTGCTGTGTCAGCAACTTTGTCACTGCGAAGCCAATCAATCAAGACGATACAGACAAGAGAGCTCCGTCTGAGCGTCAGAGGAAAGCTAAACAGGCTTAGGCGCTGGCTCCAGTGCAATCTCCAGGCGGCCCTGGTTCCATCCATGCACCTAGCGAAAGCCGACAAGGGGACGAAGACGAAGGGGACCCGCTGAGGCTTGTTGGCTGGTCGGTACCCAAAGACCCTTGTGGACTTGATGACTCCTCCGCAGCATCCGGCTGGGGGGCTTCATTTGAGATGAGAGCGAGGAAAAAAATCCTGCGGTGCGGGCCCACCCCTTGAACGAAGCTAATGTCAGTGCGATGGGCTCCAGCTGTTGAGCTTAGCGCCCACTGCGCGACCTGCCCTGTCAAATTTGTGCTGTTTAGCGGACACCCGTCGCAAAGTCAACTGTAGAAGCCTTGATTTTTCAGCGGTTTTAGTGGCCAGCTACACCTGGACACGCCCCTGCTGCATCGCTTTGCTGCACCTCGTCATCATACTCGATCCCTCTCTCTCCTCCACTCCCTCCACTTTCTTCATATTACTACTCCCATTTCCTCTCCTCCGTTTTCTTCTTCCCTCCCTTCTCTCTCTCCTCGATCCTCGGCTTGGTTTCGTCTTAGATTCGCACCTTGTTAAAAGCATCTATCATCTTTCTTCACGATTTCAGGTTCCCAGCCAACACAGTTTTCCTTGTGTGGCGTCCCTGTCGCGTGCTTCTCTCCCCTTCCCTGCGACTCGACAACGACAGCTCCAGGCGGCCATCCCGACGATTCCGACACTTTTGTCGTATGAGTGCAAGTCAACTAAACACGTCAACTTGGATATGAGGTAGTTTTGGATATTCATATTGGGTTACCGACTACGCGATACGAATTACTTCGACAACTATCCTGCGCCACGCTACAAATAATTACCACACGCCCCCCTTTCAACTAATCACCAATTTTGCCGATCACAACGACAACTCCGACATTCATCATGAACGACTTCTCCGCCACCCTTACCGGGAAGCCTAAGCTCCAGCTATTATGGCCTGAGCACGTTAACCTGCCATTTCTCAACACTGCTCCTCACAGATATAGAATTGGTCGCCGACGCACCAAGTCAAAATCGAGACCTGGCAACGAGGAGCTCACCAGCCTCAAGACATCTTTCAACGCCTGGGATGGTGTTCGCGATCTTCAGAAGCACCACTGGAGGACATCAGACCTTCAATATGCCGTTGTCGGACTTCTCGTTCTCTTCTCCTTCTGGATCGCTCCTCCAGCTCCTGGTGTCAAGCTGCTAGCTATCATGGGTACCGTCTGGGCTCTACTCATGCCCGCCACTCGCCAATTCTTCCTGCCATCAGTCACGATCTGGACCTGGCTCCTCTATTTCTTTTGTAGTCGGTAAGTTTGTCTGAATTTTTAAACATGACAATTTGCTCATTTACGATAGGTTTATCCCCAATGAGTACCGACCTCATATCTGGGTTCGAGTGCTTCCTGCTCTCGAGAACGTCTTGTACGGCGCCAACCTCTCAAGCATTCTTTCCGCCCATCAACATTCGGTCCTCGACATTCTCGCCTGGATCCCCTACGGCTTGTGCCATTTTGGCGCGCCTGTCGTCTGCGCTTTGCTCATGTTCGTTTTTGCCCCCCCTGGCACCACTCCCGTCTGGGCACGAACCTTTGGTTGGATGAGCATTCTCGGTGTTACCATCCAGCTTCTCTTCCCTTGCGCCCCCCCTTGGTATGAGATGGAGCATGGCCTTGAGCCTGCTGCATATGGTATGCCTGGATCTCCCGCGGGACTCGCCCGCATCGACGCCATTTTCGGCATTGACCTTTACACCACAAACTTCAGCACTGCGCCCGTTCCCTTCGGCGCATTCCCGTCTCTTCACGCTGCGAACGCCGTCCTCGAGGCTCTCTTCATGTCTCACTGCTTCCCTCAGTTCCGCACTTACTTCATCATGTACGCTGGTTGGGTCTGCTGGGCTACTATGTACCTCAGCCACCACTATGCAATTGATTTAGTTGTCGGTGGCTTGATTGCCTCATGCTTCTTCTACGCAGCCAAGGCCCGATGGCTTCCTCGTCGCCAGGAGGGAAAGATCACACGATGGGAGTACGAATACGTCGAGTACGGCGACCGCAATGCTATTTCCGACGAAGAGTACGGCGAGTACTTCGGTATGGGACTCCTGGGACGCTCCCGTGCCGACTCTAGCGATGGTTGGACTGTTGCCAGCTCAAGCTGTAGCTCCAGCAGCGGGACTCTCAGCCCGACTCTGTCCGAGGAGGCACTTCCTGGCATGCTTGTAGACCTCGACACCAATGGTCATCTTTGGGATAGCAGCGCGCCCGCCCGAGATGTGGAGCTGAGCGAAGTTGTCGTGGTGCGGTAATTGGTACGATTCATTAATAATCCGCTTATCCCCCGGACGACCTTATATCCCACACCCGGCAACGAAGCCACTGATGGGACTTTACGATTTTATGCCCGAACCCTTTTTAATCTTCTACTTTATACTTTTTTCGATAACATCTTTGGCATTCATCGGCACAGCGAAATGGCGCAATGCGGTGCTTTACTACGGCAGATACTGGATTCTGACGCAGGGCCGTCAGGGCCAGACGGCAAACTTTAATAATGGGTTCAAGGGCATGGTGTCCTTTCTAATGTATATTCTGCGGAAGGACGAAACCTGGCCTGAATAGAGTAATGTATACAACAAGAGGAGGTTAATTCGTGTATGGACATGCAATAATGCCCATGTCATTCACCGATACGCTCGCTTGAGAGCCTGGACGATTCGAGAGGGACAAGCCTTTCATAGCCCCCTACTCATGATGAGGACAGAAAGAGTTGACGATTGGCTCGCTACCGAAGCCTGAATGATCCTGGAGAACAAAACTCAGGCGGCTTGAGGAGGCGGGCTCACTTTGGTGAAAAGGAAACGAAATACCAAAGATACCATTCGCTAGATATTAGCAGTTAGATGAATTGACAGCACATTGCAACTGTCACATATTATCGCCTCCCAACGTGATTGCTTCAACACCGTGACATTATACTAAAACTTTGCGCTTATCTTTGGCTGAACAACACATTCGGCTTTGGAACCCCAAATCTCATGCTACGTCTGGAGCAATCAAGGTAATATGTGGACACCTTCTCATCCAGAGATCTTCATGTCGATCTAAATCTGCCAAACGAAAACTTCCTTGTAAATTACTTCATCCTCGCGCAGACATGAACGCCAAGCTTGTACCGCGTTCCCAAGAGACTTGGCAGCTGTAGTAGTTGGACCTCCAACATCGGCTGCTGTACATACTTCGTGATATACATGCTATCTCCATTTGTTGCGACCATGGGTTTGGGCTGAACGAAACTATCCATGTCATACAGTTGAGCTCTGACATACCGTTTGACAAATAACTACCAAGTGTTCCGCTTGAGGATGGCTGACCAAAGTCTGATATCATACACACGTCTCACTGATATTAGATCATATGAACCACCTCACCTAACTCCAAGCCAGAACCTATATTGAAGTGGTCAATTTGGAAGCCAAACGTAGGTAATAACTATGATGAGAGAGAACGGTTCAGAAAGTGAGAGTCGCAATGTCTTCATTATCATACGAGCTGCGTAGTCGCTGGTATCTTACTCCAATGCCAAGGCATATCGATCGTGAGACCACGCCAAATAACAATATTACACTAACGACGGATTCGAAGACAAAAAAAAAAGAAAGTAAGAGTAAGTAAATCGAGGATGTAGTTGTTATTACATCCCTGGCTTGGCAAACGGCGAGCCCGCGATCCGTTTTAGAAAAAAACATATACCTAATTCGTTGATCATCCTCCTTGTCCTGTTACATATTGAAACAGCGTGTTGCCTGGGCTTGTGTATACAAGTCGTGGCACTGCTCCAGCCTTACATCGTCCCTCGCATAGAAGTCCATGATATTCAAGCCATCAATCGTTTCACAGATGTTATCACAACCGCTTCTCGCTGGTAAATCATTCCCCACAAGCTGTAGTCCGAGTCTCCGTTTCGATCATGGCTCTACCTCTTCGTCGCAGGCCCGCTCCAGAGTCCCTTGGACGTCTCAACGACGCGGTTTCCGTGGTTGCCAGGTTGCAATGAGGACGGGACGTCAGATGCTGATGTGTTACCCATCACTACATCGTTTTCGGTCTGTGTACCGTATCCGCTGTCCTTTGGCTGGTTGCTACCCATTGAAATGGCACTGTCGACTTTTCGGTTACCAGGTGGCTCTTGCTGGCGTGCGGCACCACGGTTGGGTTCCTTTGAACGAGCTCCGTCCATCAGACCACCCTGAGTCTCGCGGAGCTTGTTGATGGCGCGGACGGTGTCAATAGCTGCATGTAGAGTTCGACGAGCGTTGAAGTTCTTCTTGATGTTGGGTAGGAGGTTCTGGCCCTCGCCACCCTCGTTAAGAATGGCAGCGACGAATGGGTGTTGAAGGGCCTCATGGGCGGTGATGCGCTTAGTGGTATCAATAGTCAGGCAGCGCTGAATAAAGTCCTTGGCGTGGTCGGAAACGCCACGCCAGTATTCGATAGGAGTAAAGCTGTACTCGGCGCTGAGGATAGCCTGCATCTCTTCAAAATCAGAGTCGCGGTCGAAAGGAGTGTAACCGCATAGCAAGAAGTAGGTGATGACACCCAAGGCCCATAGATCTACAGGCTTGCCGTGGCCGGTCTTTCTGAAGATCTCGGGGGCCATATATCCTGGAGTACCGCAGGTTGTAGTGAGAACGTGGAACTTTTCCTCATCCATAATTCGTGAAAGTCCAAAGTCTGCAATCAACAAGTCTGCGTTGTCCTCGGGTGTCCGGAAGAGTAAGTTTTCGGGCTTCAAGTCGCGATGGACAATGCCATGATCGTGGAGGTAAGCAACGGCTGACAACGTCGCTCGAACCAAGTCAGCAGCGTCGGACTCAAAATAGGAACCCTTTCGGCAAATTCGATCGAAAAGCTCGCCACCCAGTGCAAGATCGGTAACGAGGTAGAGGTTGTTCATGGTCTCGAAGTAGTCAACGAGAGTGAGGATGTTTTGGTGACCCATGGAGACCTTCTTAAGAACGGCGATTTCGTTACGGACCTATGATTGCGCATTGGAGGTTAGACAAAGGACTATAGAGAAGAATATTGCGCGCGCGATGTTGCTGGGCAGTGGAGGAGATAGCACGCACCATATGTTCGCGACCTGCCATCAGCTTCTTATTGATGACTTTGGCAGCATAGTAGCGACCAGTGTCGATATGGACGCATTCTTTGACGACGGAATAGGAGCCGGCTCCCAGCGTCTTTCCAACCTTGTACCTACAAGGCTGGACTTGAGGTGGTTGACGGGCTTGAGAATCCATGTTGGAATTGTGAAGTCGGAGCTGGGGAGGAGAGGCGATAAGAAGAAGATCGCAATGCCCCGCAGAGCGTTGAGGCAAGACGAGATGAAACTGCAGTTGGGACGGTGTTGAAGCGATTCAAGCAGGCGATATGGTATGCAAGTCACTTTCCCAGCAGTAAATCGTCAAGTATGAGGTGGAAAGGAGACGGGGGTCGATCGATGGCTCAGCTGAAGAGGGCGAGTATCAGCGGTCGAAGTAGCGATGCTGATGGGCTGAAGTGAAGGGAGTGAGAGTTTGGTGCTTGGTCAGTTCGTGGGACAAACCAGACTAAAAGGTGGGGTCGAGACAGTCCAGCTGAAAGAGGGATAAGATAAGGATGCGACAATGGGTTTTACTATGTATAGTACATGCGAAGTAGTAAGAAACGAGTTACATATGGCGTTTTTAGTTTTAGGCCATGTGATTGAATTGTTTAGTGCTTAGATTTGACCGTTTTGGATGCGGTTGGAATGTTGGAGCTGCTATTAATATATAACACTTGATACTAGAAAAAGGCACAAATGATGGCAATATTGCTTAATATGGTGGTATGTGATAATGACGAGATCTGGCCCTTGAACGCATCATATTGTACAGTTCTACCTGTATCTTTTTAGTGGAAATCTTAAACATTTGGTCATTAATACAGTGATTTATATTTCTTTCCTCGCTTAATTCGTTGTTGATCACGAGCTGCAGTATTTCTATGCCGCAGCAGCTGGGATATTGATGCTGGCTGTCATGATGGATGGACGTATAATATCCAACTAGCCAGTATGTAATCGCTTGGTTTTCTTTCAAAACAGACCCCTTCGATTTAAGTTGTTTTCTTCTCAACTGTTGGCTGTTCAGTCTGAAGGCCCTCTACGTGATTGTTTCTTAGCACCAGTAAACTTCTTTTGTTTTATTCTGGTCTCGTGGAATCTTCTGCCGCTTCTCCGTGTTAGTCAATTACTGTAAAAATAAAAATAAAACACAAACACACTCACATTTCTTCATGTTTCTTTTTCTTCTCTACGCTTGTCTCGGCAGGTGTGGCATCTTTATACATGCGCGCGACCTCCTCAACCAACTTTCTCCTGTTGCCTTCCGCGTTTGCGTCCCGCGACCGTGAGTCTTGAGCCTGGAAGGTCAGGGAATCATTGGTTGAAGTGTAATATTTGGATTTTCGTATGCTAGAATGTAGTGATTTGGGAAGTGCTGAGAGTAACTGTTCAACTGGATAGGCCGTGATTGCCTTTGTTTCGGTTCTTTCATTTGTGAGTGTTGGAATCATACTTAGAGTTAGGTTTCTACATACTTATTGACGTGTTGCCCACCTGGTCCGCTCGATCTGGCGTATGTGGTATTGCCTTTTGGAAGCTGTGTTGGAGTAAAGGACTGGAACCATGAACGGGCTTCAGCGAGAGCATCTTTGTCGAATTCGGCATCAAAAGCTTGATATCTCTTGAATCGAGGCGCAAAGGGAGGAGCTGTTGTGTATGCTGGCGTCCTTCTCAGACAAAGCGCTGAATATATCTGGCGCCGAAACATGTTCTTATTTGACAATTAAAAGGTGTATGTATTTTTTCGAGACACAATCAACAACAATAGCTTTGTTTGGTTCAATGCTTCAAACTTGGCGAGCGCGTTGTCTTATGGCATCTAATTGGGGTCTTTTAAAATCTTGGCTTTTTAGCTCGATGCTTGCCTGTGGCTGAACCAGGAGGGCTAAAATAAAACACGCACTCTTGTTACCTGCAAATGAAAGCCAAGTTTAATGGACAAAAGGCCGAGATATGATATTTTAGACCAGCTTGGTATGTTACATAGTGATTTCTTGTAATACTGTAAGTATAAACATAACATTTATCTTTGTTCATATGTTCATGAGTATAAGTCTTGTTATCTATCATCCCGTGGTGTACGGATTATATTTTAACCCACCCAAAAGCCCAACTGCCTGCCGAATTGAGATACCTGACCGCCTTACCCTTTTAGTACTAGCCTTCCGCTAACTACGGTTCACTTGCGCCTGATCAGCCTCAATCGAACCCCGAAACCCAGCCTTCCACTCTTACCTTCAATCTCTACCTACTAATCTTCTTCCCACAAACTGCTGCATCCCCCTGAACTCTACTTTGACTCTCACCTTGCATAGCTTTTGCTGTCACACTCACGACGGCTTCCACACTTACTTCCACATTCCCTCGTTCTCACGTGCCTGCGCTAGGGCCCCGTTCTTCTGGAGAACTCAACTCGCTTCGCTTGGTGCGATAAGCCAAGCTCCGACGTCGCAAAGACCTTTACCACCTGGCTACCCTGTTCAGTCTCCTGTTTCCCTGTCGCTATCTTGTGAGAGTGTCGGTTCTCTTATTCACGCGTATCCATCTCGTCTACATACAAGTACGGCAAATCCAGCTCAAGACCGTACTTCCTCGCTTTGACCGCCACTCAATTTGCTCATCGCCCTTTCAATCCCCCGTCCTATGCCTGTCCATCGCCTGGAGGCTTACTAACGAAAGAGTCGAGCTCATTTACTCCATCTTAAGGTGCACTGTCGCTTGTGTCCTGTCGTTCGTGCGACTGGCGGCGCTTAAGAGGGTCACCTCATCCTGCTACCCACCAATTCCCATACCATCCCAGCCTTATTTAAATGACAGAACCCGAGGCAGAGCACCAGGCCACTGCCAATCTCTCCCCTGTCTCACCATCACCTGTTCATTCAGCCACATCTTTGGCAGTTCCTGTACTGCAAGAGAGGGTAGACACCATTGACGCCATGGTCGCTGCCGCTTCTGCTGCTGCTGCGGCCGCCGACGCAAACGCAAACACCAATGTCTCATTCAACAAGACCCCTAATCTTGAGCCCATCTTGGGGGCCGGTGATGACGATATCGTAGATGACGACAGCTTCAACGACCCGTATGGTGAGGACGACACAGATGCGGTCGCCCAGCAAGTGCCACAGCCTCAGGTCGACCAAGATCTTACCGACAGCAATGACGATTACGCAAAGATGTTTGATTCACCAATTGGGCCGGAGGAGGGTGAAGACGGAGACGTTCAACCACAACATGTATCATCCGTACCCCGAGAATCCAACAATATTTCTCTTTTGTCCGATCGCTTGACAAGTCACACATCGCAAGTCTCCCATGCCGTCCATGAATCCTCTTTGCCGGCCCAGCAAGGCCAACCCGCGGCATCAACTACTTCCAATGCTTCATCCGAAGCTCGAGGTGTCAGCGTTGCAACTACCACCCCATCACACTCTTCCAACCAGCCGGTGTCGTCTCCAACAACGACCAAGCTGGATGCTAGTAACAACGTTGGCTCTGCCAGTGCCTCAACTGATATCAATCGTCTGGTCGCTGATCTCACTGCACCAGCCAACTCCAACTCCAGTTCCAACTCCAGCACAAATTTATCTGCCCCATTCGCCACAGGTGAACAATCCCACGACAGTGGTACAACGTCTACAGCCTTCACTTCATCGGCTTCTCTTCCACCGAGACCGCCGCTGTCACAGACGGTTCCTCAGACGCATGCCTCTCAGCACCATCCAGGGGGGGTTAATGCTAGTATTTCACCTAGTCTTGCTGCATCGCTGACGCCTGGACAGCCATCCACCTATGTGGCTGCCGGCGCACCCGTTTCAATTCCCGATGCATTGAGTGAATTCTCAATCCCTCTTGGCTCTGGCCTCCAGGCGCCTGTAGCCATCACTTCCATCAATGCCCCTCCACATCCACCTCAGCATGCCCTCTACAATGCTGATCAAGCTCAAGATGCCGAATATCAGCGCCAGTGGGACCAATTCTTGGCCGACGAGCGCCAGTACATGTCTGAGGCCAAATGGGACCGTTTTCCTGAGGGCTCACGCATCTTTATTGGTACACGATCCGCGTCTGGCGCGTCCAAAAACGGCGCTCACATATTCTCTACAGGCAACCTCTCGAGCGACAAGGTATCCAAGCGTGATGTCTTTGATCTATTTCATCGGTTCGGAAGGCTTGCTCAAATCTCACTCAAATCAGCATACGGTTTCGTACAATACCATTCCATAGATGAAGGCCACAGGGCGATTGAAAACCTTCAAGGTATCGAGATCAAGGGACGCAGAATTCGTGAGTTAACACTGTCCGATGCTACGATACTGTGCCACTAACAATGCCAAGATTTAGAAGTGTCTCGCGTTCAGGACAAGTCCAAGAAGGAACGGGTTCGTAGCCCAGATAGAAACAAGGCTCGTGACAGTGGACGCCGCAACGACAAACATGGTAACCAGAATCGAGACGATTATCGATCAAGTCGCGGCCACTCTCCCCGTAACGACTACGGAAGAGACGAGTCGTATGGACGCGATCGAGGCTATCATGACGGAGGTAGGGGCCGTGGACGATCTCGATCCCCCAGCCATGGTCGTAACGACAAAGACAATTACCGACGAAGAAGCCCAAGCCCAAGCCCATATGGACGACCTCACCATGAAGTCGAGCTTGACCTCCCTCGGAGATATGGTGCTGACGTCCCTGACGTTCAGGTCATTCTACAATCAGATGTTAACCGCGATTTTGTTATCTGGGTGGAGCAAGCTTTCAAGTCCAAAGGTCTGAGATGTGCGGTTATGTACCTGCGCTCTAACTTTCCTAAAAACGCGGTTATTCAACGACAAGCAGCTGAAGGTGTCCATGCTGTCGTTGACCTGGATCTTCGGGCACAAACCTTGGGCAAGATTCCCGTACAGGCATTTGATCGCTCAGCAGGGTCTAACAACGTGCGGTATGATCAGTACGTAGACCTGGATCCGTCCACTGCCGCCGATGTCATTCTTCGAGCCAAGGCATCGGGAGCCTCCCCTAGCTATGGTCAGTCGTATGGCGGAAATGGCTACGGCAATGTTCCATTTGGTGGCCAGCCCCCGTATCAAGCGCCAACGACCAGCTATCCCGCCCACCCACCGCCCGCACAATATGGGCAGCAGCAACCTCACCCGGCCAACGTTGCGGACATCACGAATCTACTAGGCCAACTCGATCCTGCATCGCTTCAACAATTTTTGGCACAACTCCAAGGCAGTGCCCATAACCCAGCCCTTGCCCAGGCTGGCGCCGCCACAGCCGGAGTATCTCAAGCTGATATCCAAACACTTCTCGGGAGCTTGGGCGGAGCTCCCGCAGCTCAACAGTCCCAACAACAGCACCATCCTCCTCCTGGTGCCTATGGGACTTCCTATGGAGCACAGCCCTCGTCAAATAGTGCGCCACCGAACGGGGATGCAGCTGTCCAGGTTCAAAACATCATGGCACAGCTGGCTCGGTACCGATAGTTTGGAATTGACTGTGAGTCTAGCTGAAGGCAGAGGAGTTTTTGTTGATGCTATGATACCCCATTATGATACCAACTGGGGAGGGGGTTTCTTTTAGACGTTGGGATTTCCAATTTCTTGTTTTCTTTGGTTCTGTGACTTTATGCCTAGATTTTATGTCTTTCCGACGGAATGCCTTTTTTGGGTTAGATTACGGAGTGTGACGTGCTTTTAGGACTGATCTGGAAGACGGCTTGAGGCGTTGATGAATGCGAACCGTGATGGGGATTAGGACGGTTTATCAAGTGGAATAAAATATCCACGGAAGCATAGAATATGATATTATAGTCTATGATGATGGTGGTGTTGTATTGTATTGGATTGTATATGATATCGAACCGGTGCAGGCTGAGGCTCAGCTGGTGGTTCAACTTAAGATACCCGACCTTTCTGCAAATGTTTTTAGTTCTTTTGCTGGCAGGAAAAGACAGGAGGGGTTGAGCTTCGTTATGTATTCCTGCGAGGTGCGGTCATGGAACTTTGACTATTGAGATTGCAGGATCTGGCATGGGTTGTCGAAACCTCTAGTTCCCATCCTTTCTGACATCCGCCTACGTGCTAACTAAATCCTCTAACAGGCTATATATCAAGTGAGAAACACTAATGCCGCAAGTTATATCAGGGTGCTCCTATTCTACCACCCAAAGCTCTCATTATGCCACCAAACATTACCCCCCTTCATAACCCACGGTGTCACACTCTTGCGCAACTCTCTGGTCATCTCAGTAGGGCCACAGACCAAAATAGCGACACCGTCCTGCTGACTCTTCCGGAACGTATCGTCGACAATCTTCTGCAAATCGGGTCTTTTGCTATTGCGAATAGCGGCGCGAGTACTTGGCTGGGATAGGTTGTTCATTTCAACACTAGCCGCGTTATCGCTGTCGTTGGCTACACCCATTTCACCAGTGAGAAAGAGCTGTACTTGGTCGTCGTTCAGCAGGGACTTGCCGGTGGGACTTGATGAGGCCCATGTTGCGTCGCCTGCACTGCGGATGGCCCAGATGAACTGGACGTTTGTAATTGAGTTTTCGGCGAGGATAGCGTGGTATAGCGGTACAGCAAATGTTGCTCCCACGCCGCCAGCCACGATGAGAACACGGCTGATGCCTGATGTGACCAGGTCGTTAAACGTCTTTCCTATCGTGCCGTACGGGCCTTCGATGTTAAGTTCAACCTTTTCCGCCGACGTTTCGGCAGTTGTATTAGAAGAGAGGTGATGTAGACGACTTGTCATGGGGCCAGTTCGTGTTCGTGCGACAAAGGTCAACTCATCTGACTCCTGGTTCGTCGAGGCTACAGTAAAGGGGTTGTATAGAAACTCAAAGACAAGATAAGGCGCAGAGAACTGCCCGATGCCTGGACGCGAAGCCGGTGGGACGTTGAGGTAGATATGTGATCCGGGACGAGCTGCGTACTTGGCAATCTTTGACTTTGGTAGCTTGGCAGTGACTTTGACCAGGTTTGTACCAGGGATAGCTTCAACAACAGCGGGCGCTGTAATAGTGATGATCTTCCGCACAGCAAGATCTAGCACGAATATACCAATGGCCTCGACGACGTAGAAACGCGACGATGGTGCGTGGTAGTAGATCAAAGGCGGGATGGCGAAAGCTCCCAGCAGATGAACTATGAAGAACAAGCGATACGACATCTGACGAACGCGGGCCATAGCCGTACCATTAAGAGCATGAAGCACAATTAAGCCCGCAACACCTGCAAAAACAACGGGGGCAAAAAAGCGCTTGAGCCATATTCCAGACTCGATGAAGAAGACGTTGTAGAGAATGGCGTGAAGTATAAGTAGAGAGTAGATGATGCGGCCAAGGACCCGGTGATAGCGGTTGAGGTGCTCATGAGATGACCGCAGCACGTAGGCGTAGGGATTGAGGGCCTTTAGAGCGAGGAGATACTGGATGGGCATTTGAGATGTCGCAACAATACCAACTCGCTTTGTAAGGTGAAGATAGTCTGTCTTTATTAGCAGCACTCTCTCAGCCGCGTCAATCAATGTACATACCTTTTCCTGTACCATGAATACTCAACACCAACAACCAAATTGTCCAGGTAATGCCCAGAACCCACTCATCACGCTGTCCCCAATGACTCCCCAGAAACCAGACATCTTCGCCCAGCCACCACTGCACCATAGGACCCTTCCCCATGGCTCTAGAGATCCATCTCTGCCGGTTCGCCTTGACGCCAGGTGAACCGGGGACTTGGCTATAGCCGCTGCTACCCCCTCGACATACGCGGTTGACAATCCGTGCTATAATGAATAATAGTGCCGGTGCGAAGGCAGAGAGATGTGCTATCCAGGCGTAGTAGTTGAGGCTCAAACGGCGCTGGTGCTTTTCCTCATCGGAGAGTGTGAGGAACTCATACGGCCAGCCCATATTGAGCGGTGTCTTTGTCTGAGTTGATGAGACTACACGGCAATGGGTCAGTAAATTGGAATAATTATTGCTGTACTCTGTAGTTATGTTCTGACCATTCTCAGTAAGAAAGACATGACTTGTCAACTCACAACTTCCCAGGGAGGACAACATGCAAATTGCATTAACCTGATTGGTCAGCGATAGCTAAGTAGATGTAGGTATACCTTACCCTGGATTAACAGATAACATGATATCAACTGAACTTACGTATCATGATTATTATTACACGGATACTAAAACACCACATCAATAATCAAGTGGTGATATGCTTCTTTTAGAATTCGTGTCTACGTGCCCTGACCTAACTAAACATTCATCACAGACATCCGCACATCCTAATCAGGACCAGACGAGACTGTAAAGGAAACCCTGTAAAAACCCCATCATAACACCAGAGCTCCGGTAACTATGCCGTTCGTCAAACTTCTTCGCTACTTTAAAACTTCGCTGGTGACTTTGCCCTCCTTTCAAGTCCTTGTTCCCTAGCAGACTGGATCAAATAAGATCGTATATTGTGCACTCTACACCTCCACAGCAAAATTGGGTATGTTGTTCCTAGGACAAAGGTACCTTAGCTCTTCGCATCGTCCTGATCAGGCTCGAACTTCGTCTCGCCAAGCATGGGGCCTGGTGACGATGTCATGGCCGTTTGCGTAGCCGGCTGAGGCTGGTTCTGTACCGTTGGGCCAGTAGGTCGGTTCGGAGCTTGTGTTGGCTTCTGCGCAGGTTGAGTGCTTGTCGCGGCATGTAGCCTCTGATCCAACGCTCTAAGAGCAATGGCCCTCCTCCTCTCAGCCTCGGCGCGAGCACCCCCGGGGGCATTGCGCTGAATCCGGCTATCGTTTCGTGAGGCGTCAGCCTGCGCGAAAGGTGTACACACTCGCATGGCCACCAACACCAGGAATATCTGGTCAGCGACAGCAGCAACAAAGGGCTTCACGGGGCTGGGGAAGAACTCGGCAAACGCAAACGTCTCGCTTGCGTCGCCACGGAGAGATGCATCCTGGGCCGAGTCGAGGTCGGGGAAGACGGTCTTGTAAAATCGTAGGTAGGTCCAGCTAGTGAGAAATCCGAAGATGGCAAGCCATAGGGCGGCTCTTGTGAGGAGGGGAGTAAGGGACAGAAGGAAGACGGCGCCGATGTAGAGAAGCGGGAACCGAGGAACTCGAAGAGAGATGATGCCGCGGAATAGGGTCACGGTATGCGCCGGGACAAGTTGGCTGAAAGCGACTAGGAATGCGATCTGCACTGGGATGGTACCAGCAATGACGGTCAAACTATATATCTTCATGTTAGTCTCCTTGCGCATTATTTCCAGTAGGGTAATACATACGTCCAGCTCTCATTGCGCGTAAGTGTGAAGAAGAGCACCATAACACAGAGTGTCAGGAAGTTTGGAACCAGCGACACAATGGCAACGAACTTTGCCAACTCGGCCGACGACCAGGCTCTCTCGAGATAACGCCCTCCATGGTAGAGCGTAAGGCCAGCGATTCCCAGTGTAAACACGTTACTCTCGACAAATGTTGATGTTATAAACGTCCAGGGGTAGATTATGGACAGCTGCGGCACCAGCGTCAAGTAGGGAATGACGATGTCGGCGTTGGCGGTCCATTGACGATATCGAATCGCGGCGCTGAGGATGGACTGGCCGAGGAGCGCGATGAGGAGGATTCGGGTGACGGGCGGGATATTTATTCGAGGCGGCATCGTGAAGTGGCTATCTAGGTATGTTTCAAGGGTCCAATATCGGCCCTTATTCCTTCACCGTTGAGGTTGTTAAGGATGGGGAGCTCTGCCTCCTCTGCGCTTTTTGGGGTAAAGTGACGATGATGTTGATTCGTAGCCAGCTGTATAAATTGGTAATTATCAGACGGCGTCCCTTTCGTCGTATCTTGTCGCGCCGGAGAGCTTTTCTTGTGCGATAGCTCTTGAAGTCTGTTCTTCTTTTTTGTTCCCTTTGAAGCTCTTAGATTGGATATTGGATTCTGAGTTGTCCTCTAGGTAACCCCCCTGCCAGCCTCAGCACTTTAGGTCAGCCTCATGTGGCGCACGAATGGATAAATGGCCTGAGGCCGCCACAGCTTTGAAATGTTGTTCAGGCAAGGTACCACCTCTGATCCCTGCTCTCTGGGCACCTGATCAATTAATTTTGATGAGGCCTCAGCTAGGCAGTGTTTGTATATAAGCTGAAGCAACTTTCTATGTGGGTTTACTGCCAGTTGATTGTTCTCGTTTGACCACGGAGTATAGCCAACCAAGAGAACTCGACACGACTTGGATCTTCAAGATAAACCTCAAAACCCCAAGATCTAACTGTGGAGACAAACATGACACAACTACCTCCAAGACACTGGTGCCCCAAGAGTGAGATATGAAACAGTCCATGGGCACACAGTTCAATCACTTCTCACCGGTCTATCTTTCATGCAGCTTCTAGACCGAATGTGACCTTGACAGCAAGTCATCACGCTTAATGAAGAGCAAGCTGATGGATAACGATTCTCCCTCCTGGGATGGTCCTAATTTGAGACTGTCTAGGACTGTGGCGAGACCAGTCGGCACAGAAGCCCATTGGGATTGACAGCGCTAGTGCCCACACTTTAGCGATAAAGCCACGGTTAGAGTTTGAGATGGTGAGATTTTGCTGAAAACTTTGGATGTTTCACTTGGCAACATAATACTCTCAGTATCATGTTCAACTCGATTAACCAGTCACCACAGTAGGGAATATTGATGTTGCGCTCCATCAACGTTGGATCAGGAGAAAGATTCATCAAAACTCGACCACCAAGGTTCGGGGGCCTCGGCAAAGATAAAATGACGGAGTCTCAGCGCGACCAATTCACAAATGGCATCTGATTGGCCAAGAGCGTTGAGATTGTCGATGGTGTTGCACTGTTGTTCCCCTGGACCGTGGAGCCAGTGGGGCTGACGACTCTGGAATGTCGTGCAGGCCAAAGCAAACAACCACACATTGGGAACCGTCATGGCTTTATCTCGTTGCCAAGTTTGATATGATGGACTGAGACATTCGATACTTGATGCCATTGCGACTCCTAGGCCGGGCCATGGTCAAGAGACTCAACATCAAGAGATCTTTGGTGGCATGAAACACGGAGATTTGCGATATTAGAGAAACAGCTCAGGCCATGTTACGTCAGTGGAGGGTCCAAGTACCGACGGGAGATGCACAAGGTCAAGGAGAGCCTCGGAAATGTCACGGGAGGCTTTCGATGGTCTCGATCACGTGATAAGTATTCATGATGGAAATGACTGAAGTGGCTGGGCTCTCTGTGAGAACTGTGGGATAAGGAAGAGGTCGTGTCAAAGTAAACGTTGATGACGATGTTGTTGATAAAGTCTAGCTGAGCATTCAGCTCCAGTCCAGTCCAGTAGCATCATCAAAATGATCATTAAGTCCGTGCATTGATGCAGTGAAAAGCGAAAAGAACAAGAAGAGCATGACAAAGCACGAGACCCTGTCGAAGTCAAAAGATGCGGGTACCCGCCAGATTCGGAGTTTTGTCGTGGGCTGCGTCGGTAGAGGCAAGACGTGCATCAGCGCGTTGGTTTATGTATGTAGCGTGTTGGGGGCAATCGTGGCTGTATTTCTCAAGAGCGCACAGCAACAATGTCTTGGGGTAACGATACTCATGTCGTTCATGTCGCGTCGTTCTCGTGATGCAGTGCAGTTGAAACACGATGCTGGATGCCCAGATTCTGTCCGCTAAGCCCAAGCCTGATGATTCAAAGCCCCGGGCAAGGGCAGCCGCTGGTCCTTGTTGCATGGTGGGCTTCTTGGCGGCCCCTTTGGAGGAGCTAGAGTATTGCCACGTAATGACGAGAGTTCAGGCAGGGCTTCGAGCACCTTTTTGCGATGAATTGGACGATTGTGTTTTTCTCCATGTATGCACGACCGCTGACAGCAGTTTTGTTTCTGTCACACAAGATGTTGCGAGGGGTTTTGAAGCAGTTGCACAGCGTTATGGGTGCTATTTTGGAGATAGATGATGCTGGCAACCTGGCAGTCGTGGACAAGCCCCTTGCCTGTAGGCTGTATCCGTAGGCCATCTGCGTTTATCTTTCTCTGCCTGGCGGCTATCGGTGAGCGCGCAGCGAGTTGTGCATGTCATGTCACGCAGAAACGGATTAAATATGGGTGGATGATACTCTGTATTTGGGTGTGACACCCTTGTCCTTGGTGGCATCTGCCCGTCCGGAGCTGTGGGAGCCAGGTGGTGTTAGGCATGCTGGGGCGGTGTTTATTAGTGGGCCTTTTCGATTTTGGGCTTGCAGTCTTGAATCATCCATCGCCGCCCCAGACTGGCTGGCCGTGGGGAGTTGAGTTGGCGAGCGATTGTGGCGGATGTGGTGGGAAGAGTTGTAGTTGTCGTTATGAAGATGATATCGTCATTCTCAAGAACCAGGGCACACTGCCTCTCTCCTAACGTAACAATAACACAAGGCCTGGAAGAAGTTAGAACATAGGCCAAATTGGACTCGGCTTGTCCAGCCCATTGTGACATTACCACCTCGAATTGAAGTGAGCACAGCAGGGGTTAAAGGGATGGGCGGGGGACGGAACTCGAGTCCCTGGCACATGTTCAAGTACCTCTACCTTGATCAACGTGGGCTGGCTTGAATCTAACCCCTGTCGTGGTCGATCTGCATCCGTCTCAGATTTTTGGGAGGGAAAAGGCGAACGCATCAGCCCGAGCCTTGGAAGGAAGCATGGCATGGCATTTGACGCGGACTAGCCGTGACTAAGACAGCCGGTGCTACCTGATTGGCTGAGAATTCAAGAAAGCCTCATGCACAAACTGGGGGGGATATTGACGGAACACCATCACACGCGCAGCGGCAGGGGCGTAATTTATGGTGACGAGAGAAAAAGGGTTAACAATTGACTGCCTGAAACTGGCAACATGAGATGGCTCCAGAAAAACCAAGCGACAGCATCGGGAACTGTGAGAGGATTATTGATCATTGATGATCGCTTCTTCCGCCATTTCTCTAGATCAAAACCCCTCTTCAATCATCAATCACGGTCGTTATCCAACAAAGGACATGATCTTCAAACCCTTGCGCTGTTGAAGACGAACCGAGCAACCCATGGCCCATGGAATGGCCCAACACACATCATCACCCAACATCCTTCCAGGGAAATCTATCCGCTGTTTCCAAGGTGGCACTACGCGCCAGGGGGTGAGTGCTGGCGCTCATGCTGGCGCTCGTGCTGTTATTTCAGTTCGGTCCAGATGTTGGAGGTTGCATTCACCCATTCACCATTCAATGTCCGCCATGGCCCAAACGGGTTCAAGGACCTTCAAATGCTCACAGCGAACCCCTGCTTGTCCGAGCATTCAAGGTCCACAATCCGCAGGTCCTCAACCCTTGCCTGATGAATCGATTGGTTGCTATCCCACCATCTCGAAGGTACAGGTACTTTGAGAACGCGCCCGGGTAGAGGTAGCTTTGGCAGTTAATTGTGGCTGTTGCTGTTGCTGTTGCTCTTACTGTAGGCAGAGAAGGAGAGAGTGCCCTCACAAAGACCTCGAACAAAAGAACAGAACAGCTCGCTAAAGTCTAGTTCTGTCTGTTTTTCCATCCTTCGACCTTCGACTTGGCGTTCGCTAGCGTAAGTTCCATTTCAAGCCCGCCGTTCAGTGGGTTAGCTCCCTTTCCATTTCCATCCAATGCATCGTGGGAAGACCGTGCCACTCGATGCTGTGGCCTTTTCGATACGCTTCCCTATTTGATGGAACCATACGGAGTATCACAGACTCCGTTGAGATCAAGAGCTTAGGGCTTGGTACCCCCATTGTTGCTCAGCTTATCAGCCTCTTTGGTCTGTGATCTGTTGCACTGGAGGCTCTGGGCCAGCAATGGATGGATTGAACGAATCCAACACGCCGCCAACATACATGCATACATATGTACAGGTACGTACTGCAAAGTTCAAACCATCACCCTCACCCCAGTCAGCCCCGTGCCTAGCTCCCCGTAAAGCCCCCGTAGCTTGAGCGCAAGCAATGTCGCTTTATTCTTGGCGTTTTAAGGGTACCTCGACAAGGTACCCTACCCTTAGCCTTTCCATCCAATTCATCCTTGCAGCCCAAGTTTGCAGGTGCAAGGTGCAAGGTGCAAGGCCCCAACTAATTCGAGCTAGCAGAAACGGGGAGAGACAGAACCAAATGGTAGAAGCCTTCACTGGTGCCTGTACCTACTACCTACTAGGTAGGTACGTAGGAGCCATCTGGAATTTGTACCTAGCCTCCACTGGGACGGGAGTGAGCTACAGGGGCGGCAGGAGGTACAGGAGGGCGGTACGTACCCACTCACCACCGCCCCGACTGGAACCTTGAATTTCATCTTTCTTTTGCATCTTCACTCACCTTTCCGTGGTCCAAACCCCATAAACAACATCAAAATATCCGTTGCTGCCTCGATCCTAGGCTGGCTTCACCGGAGCCTGTTAACTGCTGCTATAATTTCACTTCATATCGTCAACTGCGACCCTTCAGCGACTCTGCGCCTTGTCCGGCGCCCTCTGAACCATGGTCGCTAAGGAATTCCTCGACTCGGATAGAGTCAACTTTCTTGTTTGGAGGTTCGTCACTGCACCACGTCCCCGACTTGCAATCGCTGCGCCGGTCTCTCCTTCGCCCGTGTTTTTGGCTTCCCTGGATTTTTCGCTGACCATGTTTCTCTGCTTGCCTACAGATTTCTTCTCGAAGGCAGTATGTAGCACACTCCGCGCGCTCATAACGCCACAGCACATCTAACCTGGTTTTGCTTGTAGATTATCGAGAGACTGCCGCCAAATTTCAGAAGGAATGGGACGTCAAACAGCCTCACAGGGATTTCGCCTTTGCGCGTCACGTCAAGAGCCATGCATTGGTTTCAGTCATTAATCGTGGCCTTCTTTACCACGCGCTTGAGCGTGAGCATGCACGCAATCTGGTAAGTAATTTCCGGGAATTGTCGCTTTCGACGAGAGTTTTTGGCGTTGCACCTTTCCCCCCACCCGCGCGGTCGTGGTTGGCTGCACTTTTGACAAAGTCAAACTTCCAAAACGGTCAGAGGCTGACGGAATCTACTTGTGCAGCTGCCTCAGGATGTTGCAGCGGAAGCAGCCGAGGCGCTGCAGGTCGGTATTTTTGGACCACTGGACGCGCATCCGCAGGGAAGAATTGAAGAGGAGGAAGAGGAAGACGCTGAAGGCGAGGACATTATGGAAGAAGATATGTCAAGGAAACGAGCGCCTCAACCATTCTCCAATGAATCACCGGCAAAGCGACAAAGGTTAAGCAACGGGTTAGAAAACGGCGCCGACGCACCGGCCATGGCATCAGTACCGGCATCAGTACCAATGGCGGCGTCAGCGACAGGGACAGCGACAGCGACGGGAACAGGAACAGGGCCAGGAACCATAACAACAGCACCGGCGCCGGTGACGACACCTATGGAAATTGACAACCAGCCCGACAATCATGCATATCCTTCGCCTCTCGAGGGCGAGCAGGCGACAGAGCCAATGGTGCGAACTGACGGTCCAGAACAGGGTACGCAGGTTGACAAGGTCGAGGAGCTGGCTCCAGATACGACCTTTATCCACTTGGCAGACGAAGGACATGATCAGATCCAAGACGACGGCCGAAACGTAGCTACTCCATCACCAACTTCACCTTCCGGGCCGGACAACGCTCCCATCCTTTTGCAATGCGAGTGGAGCCCAAGAGATCCGTCAATCCTGGCGGCTGCTGGCACAGATGCGCTAGCGCGTGTTTGGACCGTTGCGCGTGCGGGCTCCGTCGAGCCGGGTCAAGATCACGTGTCACCCAAAGGTCACTCCATGCTTGGCCGTGATGTGCCCCGCGATACGACAGTAACGGCCCTGTCGTGGACCACAGATGGCGCTGCCATTGCAGTAGCGGTAGACTCCAATAACCAGGCTTCAATAAATGTGTGGTCAGTTGAGGGCGCACTGCTGCATTCGATGGAAGTATCAGAATCGCCCATCATCAAACTCTCATGGAACCACAACAACACCGCCCTCCTCGCCATATCACCGGATAAGGGTGGTGCTCTTGTCGCCGTGCACGACCCGCCCTCTGGAACTTCTCGCTCGTATCTCCTCTCCGGCCATGACATCGCGGCCACACCTCTCGATGCTGTCTGGACTGGAGACGCCGAATTCTTGATATGTGGTGGTGACCTAATGCTTTGCCTTCAATGTACAGATACCGCAATTGTTCAGGCCAGGAAGTTCGAAACCAAGGAGGACGACAGCTTCACCCAGGTGCTCTATGATGGACGTTCAAGACTGGCAGCCACTTCTAGTGACAAGGGCACGCTTGATGTAAGACCAAATCATATGGTTCTTGTTACACAGAAATACTGACTTATTTAGCTTTGGGACGAGGCCGGACAAAGGAGATCTATCTCTGCCCATCAAGGGGCCATCACTACAATGCAATGGCAGCCTCTGCTCGACAACCAACAAGGAGCCGACGATGAGCGACTCATTGCTACGGGAGGTGACGACTGTGCAATACTTATCTGGAATGCCCGGAAGCCCGAGAGTAAACCTAAATGTTTCTTGACCATGGATTCGCCAATTATGAGACTTGCTTTTACACCGGATGGCGCTTTTATTGCAGGCGCAACGTCAACGCAAGTCTTGATATGGAAGGTCGGAAGCCATGCAGTACCTCGAGCAAGCTGGAGCAGGCCAGTACACCCGGGCTGGCTGAGCCCCAAGGCTAACGCCGAGTCTGACGAGGAGGATGAGCACTGCTTGTGCTGGGATGCCGATGGCCAGAAGTTAGCATATGGCTCCAACAGCAGGGTGAGTAACGTTCCTACTAGAAGACTTTGGTAATTTTCGCTAACGTTTGAAAGCTTGCTATAATCAACTTCCGCAGATGATAAAGAGGCAAATCGCTTTTAGCAGGGCAGCTTCCGCACTTTGCTGTCCGGCAGTGCTCAAATGTGACATCAGGCGCACAGCATGAAGCCTACATGCGCAATGCTATCGGACTCTGCCATGTGCGCAGGCACACCTTGGAAATATAAATAACGTACCGCATTGCGAAATGGGTGTGCGTGGAGGTTCTTAATGTCTATTGTCGTTTGGGCATGGTCGACGCAACCAATTATATCAAGCTGCGACGCCTACGACAGCTCTTTCTTGTATATCACGACGACGAACGACGACCGACTGGCTACGGGGTTAGCAGCAAGCTCTTTGATTAGCACATATACAACACGAACTCTTTGTTGACGAAGGAACACGGATAGAGGCTATAGGAGTACAAACGACAGGGTTTTCGATTGCTTTCCTCCGCTTCTTTATCTTTTTGGAAATGGGCTTTTTTTTATGCTGGGGCGAGTTGGCACGACAAGCGGCATGCAGTACATAAAGGGCCAAGTGAAGCACTGGGGGGTAGGTCTGGTCTGGAAGTCTTGGGTGCGTGGGTTGCGCTGTGTTAAGTTCCCATCATGGTCTTTGTTTTTGCGAGGGATGTTTTGCGACATGTGTACGATTATATACCATTCCGGGGTGATGAAACGGCGCAGAAAACACAAGGGGGCTTGCTTTGAGATAACAAGGAGTTGAAGGGTCCTCCACCTAGGCCGACAAGTCTAAAATATATTAACAATTACAATGTGAAGTAGTGTGGAAGTGAGTAGGTGTATTTTTGGGGATGCTGTGTGATCACAGCTAACAATCATGGGATATATGTGAGGCAGTCTATAGAGTAATATGATAAGGCGGTGGAGCGAGTAATAACATGCCGTCGCAAATATACCAATACACTCACCAAGTTGCCAGTGCAAAACAACGAATTAACGGCAGTCCATAGCCTCTATTCTGAGACATGTGCGGAAGATGGAGGACAAAGAAAAGGACATATGTAAGCGTCTGAATTAGGCAGTCGGAGATGTCTCTTTTCCACATCTTGAGTCTTGCTCTCTCGTTTCTTAAGCAGTCATTTCTGACAGATACTCTTGATTGGATTACGGAGCTTTCCGAAATCGAGACACCATGCATTGTTCTGTTTTGCCTTGCCTCGCCTGCTCGCCTCATCTTGCATGTCTCAGCCTCAGCTGTAGGTCAAGTGTTAAGTTTTTCATAACGAATACGTTTTCTTGCTTGAGGCGTGTTATTGGTTTGTTACAGCGTTTGTCCTTGATTTTGCCGGGTGGCTTGGGGATGGATTTACTGTGAAGGTAGTTGAAGTTGAGATATAGAGGTAGATAGATGTGATATCTCTTGTTAGATAGGTCAACTCATATCGAGTCTTATCCCATCTCATTCATAGACTCTCAGTCTCAGTCTCACGGCATCGCCGACTTACTAACTAAACAGCTACTAAACTACCCTTTGTCTCATTCAACAATCATCCTTTAGTCCCGAATTAAACGACCAGTCCCCACAGAGTTCGCCCGGTTTTTCCTTTTTCTCTTCCATTTTCCATTTCCCTTCGAGGCCATGTGCATTTACAAGTTTCCTGCATTAGCTCTCTTTTCCTCTTGAACCTACATACTCTTTCTAACCCGTTTTCACCTACTTTTACTTATAACCTTTCCAGGTTTATGTTAGTGGCCGTTGCCCCGCTTTGGAGGGGAGAAGGGGCAGTCTACCTTCTATTTTAAAGGTCCGATTGTCTTCCTTGTCGCTGGTATTAGTTAGAGCGAGTACCTCACCTCACTTCACATCACCTATACCTCACACGAATGACCAGAAACTGCAATCGATCGTTTCTTTCTATTTTTGTTTTTATTCGTTTGATGTAAAAACTGGACCAATTTTCTATTCCTAATTCAATCAATCATCTTCAAACTTACAAAACGATACTCCACACTATAACTTACACAAGAAGCTTCGTCTCTTCTTCTCCAACAACACCAATCTCATCCATCACAATACCACAACACAGCCATGGCTTCTTCAACACCAAAAACCCAACAAGATCATCGCAATCACTCATCGGAATGGACGAGTGAGATGCGCGACAAGCAAGCTCGCGGAAAGAACCCCTACAGTGAGGACAGCGAGAGCGATGCTGAACCCATGCGCCTCGGAGGCCAGTATGTCTTGTCTTGTCTTGTCCCCTCACCACATCTCAGTGCTTAAGCTGATGTCCACAGTCACTACATTGAATCGCACATGGAGAAAGAACGGAGAGGAGAGGCGATGCATGTTCTCGACAACCCAGAAGTCCTCATGGCTCATGCACAAGCCAGCGGCGACGTAAGTACATCCCGTCTATCCCTTCAAACCTATGATATCGTAGCAGCTCAGCTCATGCTGAATACACGACAGAGCATAGCTGGCCAACGCCTCCGCTTCATGCGTCAACTTTGCGGCTTCGACGAGAAGCACGACGATAGCCCTTCGTCTGGCTCCTCGGCGCGAGGTAATAAGAGTCGCCGAGTCAGCGACCGAGTCAATCGATAGTGAAAAGCTCTTGTTGTCGGTCCCGACAAGGCGGCCATTGTTAACATTCCATACAATTACTAAACGGACCGAACCGTTGAAACCTCATTTTATAGCGACTCTCACGACATGTGGAAATTTGGACGATACTGGGCTTATTCATTGCAGTAGCTAATATCAGATAGCCTTTATTGCATGAACCAAGTCAGCTTACCACGCACTCCAAATCATGTTCAGTTCAAACAAACGATGGCATTCTGCCTATATTCTAATTGTTGTCATAACGCTGTGCTAAATTCTAAGATGGACACACATGTGTATAAAGATGTCTATGTATATCTGTTGGTGTGCGTTTGTCCACCAACATCATGCCCTTATGTGCTTCTCCAAGCCCACCATCCTATATATCCAAATCCGCTAATCCACAGGTTGAAAATAATATCAAATCAATGCATATGTGGTGATCCCCATTGCGAAACTGAACAAAAGAAACTCAAAAAGGATATACAATGGTCAGCCCTGTATACCCAGATAAAACGCCGGCAAATGCTGTATCTGAGATGTAAAACCCGCTCCTCGGTACAAAAACTCTAAGCATATCTCATACTGCGCGACCGTTCCTGCTGCCATCCGTTGTTGGGCGGAGGTGGCGGGTAATTGTAGCCGCCTTGGTTGGGGCCAGGACCTCGATGGGAAGGATATCCTGTCCAAGCACCCATTGCTGGTCGCTTCGCAGCCTTTCGTCGAGCTATGCGTCGTCGGATACAACTCCAGCAGCAGCAACAGAGGACCAAAGCGAGGAGCGCCGCAAGAACACATCCCACGGGAAGGGCAATGTTCTTGTTGCTCTTGAACCAGTTCTGAATCTCTTTCCATGTCGAAGCGCCCTCGCAGTTACCATTCTCGCATTTACCTCCGCCACCGCAAGGTGTACCATCGAGGAAGTTCTGGTTTCGCTGCATGCAGAAGCCACTATCCGACGTTTGACAAGACAAAAGACAGCTGTTGGTGCAGGCTTTAACGCTTGAAGATGTCGTATTCTGGTAGTTCGCTCGGCACTGCTCGTCTCGTGATGTACACTGACCAGATGCGCACTGAAGACTGTCACCACAGTCTGTGCCATCGTCGCTGTGTGCATCCTTGGGGCATGCCGCACTACTTCCTGAGCACTTCTCCTCAGGATCACAAGGGCCGGTGCTGGATCTACAGACAGTTCCTGAAGAAGCAAACTTGCATTCCTCCGTACAACATTCTTCGTTAGAGTTGTCGCACTGAGCTTTGCCCTTGAATTTGCATGTCTTTGCGTCACAGCAGGGGTTGTCGCCACAGCTTTCAGATCCACCACAGTCACAATCCTCGCCTTCTTCGACAATTCCATTACCGCACTGCTGGCCTGAGATGGTCTTGACGTTCCGGTTCTCGGTAAGACACTCCGTGTTGATGTTGCGTTTAAAACCAGAGCAAATATTTCCGATGCTGCAGGGTGAGAATTCGCTAATGCCATCCCTGGAAGAAGGGTTCATGATGAAATTGCCTTGAGCGTCACACGAGCTCTTAGCAAAGGGGCAGCAGGCCTGCGCATCTGACGAGACCGGGCATGTACTCGATGTGCAGTCATGGACAGCACCAAATGTATGGCCCGTCTCGTGGGCAAAAACCTGCCATTCTGACGAAGTTCTGACCACAACGTTGGCTCCAGCAACCGTCTCGTTTCGTCCCCCAGTGTTTGAGTTGGCGGCAGAACCGGGACGGCAGAGTTGACCCAGCCACGCAAGGCCAACGGCAGAGTCGGTGTTACAGGTACTCAGAAGGGTCCAGTAGGCGTTAGTATCTTGAAATTGGCCGCGCCACTTGGAGAATAAGTTCAAGCGGTCGGATAGGTTAACATCCTTGGAGCACTTTTGATTCCAAGGGGCCGACTCTGATGGGCTACCCGGGCACGACCCGTCGCTGATGGTGAGATTCTGAATACCCAGGGTGATGTTGAACGTCTTCTCATAAACCTCCGATGCATCGTTGACCATTCGAATAATGCTCTTCCTCATAGCCTCTGTCGAGTTGAAGTTCGAGGTGTATTCACAGTCCGTTGCAATTCCTAAGAGAGCGACCCTTCGGCTAGTGGGACAACCATTGACAGAGCCAATTGTCGCTTCGAGATCGACACTACTGCCGTCGTTTCCTGTACCTCCATCAATGGATTGGCGACCGAAAAGGGATTTAGCGTTTGCCGCGCCAAACGTGTCAAAGTCCTGAAGCTCGTGAAACTTGCTGTTGAAACCCAAAGTGTCGGAGTTACAGAGCGCAGCCGACGCATCACGCTTCCTCAATTCGTTAGGGCTAAAGGACATAATGTCAGAGTCTCGCCAGACAATCATGACATCGTCTGTTTGTTCTTTGGGCGATAGAACGGGGTCATTTTCGTGTCGTACTTGTTGGTAGTTGGTGCCGGTGTGGATGTGGTGATGGTTGCCGTCGATCTTGAGCGTGCCTTCGAAAACAGGGTCCTTGCCGTCACGGTGAATTGTGATTCTTGCTGAGCCAGCATTCGACCACCCTTCTCTTCCAATTCGCTGAATAAACGCGGAGCCCTTGAATACTTTTTCCTCCTCTCGATTCACAGGCTCGACATATCGCACAGTGCCGTCGGCGCTAAGGTGAGTAATGGCGAAGTTCTCGTGTAGAATGTCATGGTTCGGTTCGAGCTTGAGGCGGATCTTCTGCTGGCCGTTGTGTAGTGAGAAGAGGAGATCGAAGTGTGAGTCGGCTCGGATGCGGTGAGACGGTGTGTTGATGACGGGTTCGTCGAGAAAGGAGATGTAGTTAACGGCGTTACGCTTAACTGAGCTTGCTATCGGTTCGAAGGACATTAGAATGCCGGACGAGGCTTTCGAGGTGAAGTTTCATGTCTCACATACCTAATGAGGATTCAAAGAACAAAGCGACACCCGCGAAAGCGGTCGCGATGGACCTGAGTGATACCATGGTGTTGTTTGTCAGACCTCAAAGGGTCCTGGGAGACAAGGGGCGACGCGCCAAGTTGAAGTAATGTCACTGCAAGGCCATACAGTAACTATCAGGGCAAGATGGCTAGACTAAGTTCCGGGTAGAAGTTGTAAGATCAAATGTAATCCAGGTGAGACGGGAAGTATCGTCAGACGGTGAGGCCGAGAGTCAAAATCGAAGTCGAAGTCAACGGAACTAATCGAGACAAGACAGAGTCAAAGGAAGATGGTGGAGAAGGAAGTCAGGATTTGATATCTACCAGGTAGAAGAAAACAAAGAGGATAGATACAAGAAGAACAGAAGATGGGGAAAGAGAAAGGAAAGAAAAGGAGATTGATTATTCAAAGAATATTGTCTAACGTAGATTGATCAGCACTGAATCTGAATAGTAGTGTAGTTTACTGTTAAAACTCCCGCAGTCCAGGCGCCAACTCAATTAGGGACGACCTGAGTGTGGCGGAGGGATTGGGTCCTCTAAAGTTAGTCCTTCTAGGTCCAACGGGGGGCTCGTGGCCAGCGCGCCAAGGGTTCCAAGGGCCGGGATGTGGATGCTGGAGGGACAACCAAGTCTCTTGGCTGGCCAATCAAGAGTCAGAGGCCGCGCGGTTCAGTCATGCTCTGTAGCGCTATGCATACATAGCCTCCCTATTATGCTGTCCTGTCAGCGGGCTACTAACTTACCAACGACTATTACCGTCATTGTTTTTGTTGTTTTGTAGGTATCATAGACAGTTTTTGCACTATGGTTACAGCCCATCTTGAATTATGAATCAGTATCATTTATGCCTCCAATCTGCGGATACAATTACAAACATTGTATATAAAAACCGCCGAGCCTTGGCAATAAAAGGCTTTATCTTATTGGACGTTTACTTACACTCAATAACAAGCGGCCTCCCATAGAAAAGAAAAACAGCCCCCAAGCCTCGCCGGCATATCCGCTCGAGTCAAATATCCAATGTTTCACCGTCGTACCTTTTCATCCAGCCATTCATGATCCCAGACTAGACTGACTTTCCCCCGCTCCTAATCACTTAGATCGTAAATAATCCTTGGCGTTGACGACTTGATATTCATCGGACATAGGCATAGAACAAAATACAGATTCAGTGTCCCATGCCATAGACCATGTTACAGTATCAACAGTACTACCCAATCTTCTGTCAGCTGCCCGGTGGCTGAAAAGCCGTGTTTCATGATCATCCGTTGAAGCTTCCATACCCCAGGTTATTTCCAGATCTTCATTCCTGTCATCTCCAGCCTCAATAAGCTCAACCTGATAGTAAGCCACTCTGCCACTCTATCGGTCCATCCCACCACACCTGAACCTTTCTCTACGCACTAAAACTAAAAGAACATGATGACGACTTCTTTATCAAGCCATCCCAAGTAGACCCAATCGGGGGCTTTGCACATATCGGAATCATCTCGAGAAGCATTTAGTAAGTAGAAATGCTTCTTATGTTCTAGACTTCCCGTATTCCATGGACCATGCAACGACCCAAAAATACTTAAAGTTCGGTTATAAAATTATCGTGACCGTTTTGTCTCCTTCTACTCCGTATCCCACCCGTTATCCCACTCGTTTACGCGTCCTCCTCCAATACAAACTAACACAAAGCTTGGGGTTCGCCTCTTTTGTCACAGGCGTTTAAGCTTAGCTTAAAGGTATGAATCATGCTTCTTTATTCATGTTATCGGCTACTGGAGGTCTCATATACTTTCAAAAGCATCCTCCACGTTGTCAGTCAAGTGATTGAAGAAATGGTTCATAACTAGAATTTCATTCTCGTCTTGCTAAAGAATATGAGTTTAAATCAAATCGCAATGCTCATAAATCAGCCTCATAAAAATGGTTACCAAGCCATCGAAATCCTTGTCCAGACCGTGGCTGAATCCCAACATCAACCCCAAAACACCACACGGGAACTACATTCCAGGTCGCCTGTTGACCAGCTATTCCCTTTCCCGCTTGCCTTGTATCCATGGTATATAACTCCACTTGACAATTTGCATCTTGTTCTTCTTTCTTGCTCCTCATTGCCATTACTTGCGTTTGGCATCATGAACAGCCTTGATGATCTTCTCTACAACAGAAGGGTCGGATAACTGCATTTTATGTTAGCCACATGTTCCGTTACTGAGGTGGTCTCGGGGGTGTAACTTACAGTAGTGATATCTCCAAGCTGGTCCTCTTCACCGGCAACGATCTTTCTCAACACTCGTCGCATAATTTTGCCGCTTCGTGTCTTGGGCATATCTGGGACGACGTATACTGCCTTGGGAGCAGCGAAAGGCCCAATACTCTTGCGCACTTGAACAACAAGCTCTTTGCGCAGCTCATCTGATGACTCAACGCCTTCCTTAAGATCAACAAAGGCGTTGACTGCCTGGCCAGTAAGCTCGTCAGAAATACCAACGACAGCTGCATCAGCAACCGAGGGGTGCTCCAGTAGAGCAGCCTCGATCTCAGCGGTTGACAGACGATGACCACTGACATTGACGACATCGTCAACGCGACCCCGGATCCAGTAGAAGCCCTCGTGGTCCCGGGCAGCACCGTCTCCGGTGAAGTAGTAGCCCTTGTAGACATCAAGGTAAGTCTCTCTGTATCGATTATGGGCTCCCCAGACAGTGCGAGCCATGCTAGGCCAGGACTGCTTGAAAGTCAGAACACCCTCGACGTCGTTGCCGTGAATCTCTTCGCCGCTAACAGGGTCGATGAGAGCAGGCTCGACACCAAAGAAGGGCAGTGAGCAACTGCCCGGCTTAGTGGGAGTGATTCCGGCCAAGGGGGTCAGAACATGAGAGCCAGACTCGGTCTGCCAGTAGGTCTGTATTCAATGTTAGCATCTGTTTATCATCGACTTCTGTCAAGAACTTACGTCAACGATGTGGCACTCCTCCTTGCCAATAACTTCGAAGTACCACTTCCAGATCTCGGCGGCGATGGGCTCACCGACAGAGCCAAGCACTCGAAGATGAGCAAACTTGCCTCGAACATGCTCGTCACCGGCGCGCTTCAGTAGTCTCAGCGCCGTGGGAGCAACATAAAACTGTGTGACGTTGTGTCTCTCGATAATGTCCCAGTACCGCGAGAAATTGGGGTAGGCGGGTGTGCCCTCGAAGACAACTGTCGCGACGCCCAGCATAAGTGGGGCATAAACAACATATGTGTGTCCGGTAATCCAGCCGACATCACCACCGCAGAAGTATCTGTCACCATCGTGGATATCAAACACGTACTTGCCCGTCATGGCAGCACCAAGGAGGTATCCTGCGGTTGTATGAAGGACACCCTTGGGCTTTCCGGTGGAACCAGAGGTATATAGGAGGAATAGAGGGTCTTCGGAAGCGACAGGCTCAGGAGGGAAGTAGTTGGGCCATTTCTCGACCTCCTCATGCCACCAAAAGTCACGGCCGTTAGTCCATGGAATTTCAGAGCCGGTGCGCTTGTAGACAAGAACGTTCTCAACTCCAGGGCACTGCTTGAGGGCATCGTCGACAATCTTTTTGGTGCCAATCAACTTACCGCCTCGCTTGCCTTCGTCCGTTGTGATAACAACCTTGCTACCAGCATCGACAACACGATCGCGAAGAGAGTCGGAGGAAAAGCCTGCAAAAATAACCGAGTGCACAGCTCCGATACGGGCACATGCCATAAGAGCGATAATGGCCTCGGGAATCATGGGGAGGTAAATGGCAACGGTATCACCCTTGCGGACACCCATCTGCTTGAGCACCCAGGCTGTCCGAGAGACCTCCCGAAGGAGCTCGCCATATGTGACATTTCGACCCTCGCTAGGTTCGTCGGCCTCATAAATGATGGCAACACGATCGGGATCTTTGAAAGCATGGCGGTCGACACAGTTGTACGAGGCGTTCAGGCGACCTTCGTTGAAGTATGAGACATCGGCATTCAGAAGGGAACCGCTTCGGGTGGTTTGAAAGTCGCGATCCCAAGAGATAAGCTCGCGTGCTCTCTCAGCCCAAAACTTCTCGGGTTGCGTGATGGACTCCTTGTAAAGTCGTTTATACTCTTCGAGGTCTATGAGAGTGGGTCAGCGCCTGGTTGAGGCTCCGATGCGGAAGCCGGGGTCACTTACTGGCAAGGTGGGGCCGGTGGGGATGTTCTGCCGGGTTGCAAGGTTAGCATAAGCCCTGTCAACGGAACACGATGGAGGCACAGCAGGTCTAGTAGAAGACGTTGCAGCCGAGTAATTTCGTCTCAACAGAAAACAAAGGGGCGGGTTGACATACTAGCAAACATGCGTTGGGGAGGATCTAAGTAAAATGTTAGCCATCAATTCAACTTCCAAGTATGCCAGTCATTCGAGCTTACGGTAGGTATCAACGAGGTGGGCTTCAGCCACCACGGGGGGTTTTGTCTCCTTAGCTGGAGCTTGGGGTTCTTCGGCTTTCGATGAGATAGTCTCAGTGGCTGCAGGAGCAGGAATGGGAGAAGCAATGACGGCGGGGATAGCACTCTTGGGTATAGTCTCGGGAGTCATGGTTCTCAGCTCCTGGGGAATTTGGGGTTGTTCGACGGCGGTTGCCATTGTTTCTGTCGTTGGAGGCTGTTTTAATAGTATTTTTTTTCTTTTAACTTTTTGTTGACCACGGGGGACTGCGTCTGCAATGAGACTTCGATGCGGGGTAGCGTGACCGTGGAGCTTGTCAGAACTGCTTATAAAGGCAGGACTTACAGCTTTCGGTGTTGCTGTTGGAGGAGTGTGCTGATATTGCGCAATTGAGTTGCCAGTGTCGAGTTGGTGTATTGGCAATGGATGTAAAGAGTAAGACGAATGTGCTTTTAGCTGGATATATATAGTAGGAGGAGGAGCAGGAGAAGTAGTTGAGATGAAGCAAGAGGTTTGATGAGTTCCGACCTGCGGGGGAAGCTTTCTTTATGGCAAATTGGTCCATCATCATTGGAAGGTCCCGGCCGTTATAGCTTGTCACTGGTACCTGCACCGACTGGACCAAACCCGAGTTGCGGCCGGCGAACCGGGGGGTTCTTGCCGTGATCCTTTCCCCCGAGCCAAGTCCCGAACAACCAGTAGTAGGCCCCGTTCGTCAGCGAATCCGCAATAGTGCATTCGGTTTGGAGAGAGTTTCTGATCGTCACTTAGACATTCACATTTGATGCTCGGCATTCGCAGTGGCCAACATGCTAAGACGGCATCTGTCCGTTGATAACAAGAAACCCCGGATTACAAGACGTGAATTGACGTCGCCACTACAAGGTTATTACCGAATGGGTTGAAATTATGTGTTGTGTCTGCGACTGTTGTCGCTCACTAATTTTTACCGATATTCTTTCTTAGCATACATATTTCTGCCATCCATCCATATCAGGTTGCATCGGTGCATATCCGAAGCCCTACGCCCGAGGGTGTAGTGTGTAATGAATCGATGGTTTCCCCGGCCTTTCTGTTTCTGTTGAATCCAAGAGTCCCGATTCTCTCATACAAATCCTCCGAACACCACCTTCGTGGAGGCTGTCCTCTAACTATTTATTCGTTGTTGAAGATGTATGGAAGAACCTCAATTATGACTCAATCCAATAGCGGTTGTTGTAAGTGAATGACTCGCATCCTGTGCAAATATCTGCCAGTAGTGGTTTTACCTCTACAGCCCAATTTGGTTCTATTCAAGGACAAATTGGACCCCTCTGAAGACGTGCAAAGATGAGCATTTGCTTGTAATTTTTCTTATATATATGGACAACCCCATTGAATACCTCTTCGTTCCACAACGCCTTATCGTCGACGGATCAGCGTCACAAGTATTCTCGTATTTGAGTTCCTGTTGAAATCGTGTGCCGAATTATCCGCGGCAGCAAAAGAGCGGTTGGTAACACTGTAGTGCTAGGTTTACACTTACAGAGCTCTGTGGATAAATATTGCGTGTTTTCTGTACCAACGTTGTTTACGGAGTAATCACCTCACAACTTGGTAAAGAGAAAAGGTCCATGTTAGATATTGTTCCCACCATAGAAACAGTTCATTATGACCCATACCGCCGAGACAGGACCGGGGAGTATTCGGGAACTATTCCTAGCCGGTCTGAAGAGAAGATGCGTCCGAAATGACGGAGCCGCTATGGGGCCGAACACGGAACTGATATTGATAAACATGTTATGTGATTGATGGTGGTAATGGAAGAGGTGGAGTGTCGACAATCCACAATCTACCCGGCAATATAGTGGATCCGGTAAAGGCGTTGCATCCCGCCAATGCAGGACAGCAATGGCCCTGTCTTTGTATGTAAGGTAAGTAGCCGAAGTCGTTTCGACCTGGGACGACGGTGTCGTTTTGGAGAAGTTGGGAGACTGTGAATACCCATATCTTCAGCTGTTGTAATATAGAACATGAACCTTCAACTCGGACCATGTCAACTCTCCTCTCACTTGTAAGTTATGCTCTTGGTCACTATTGATACCAAACTTCTTCAACCCCACTCCCTCCCTATCAACCGATGGGACGGATGCTGCCACGCTGCAGGCTAACAGCTCCAGCTGCAAACCGCCCCTCCTCACACCTCACTCCCACCTTGACCCCCGCATTTGGGGTCGAGGTTCGATGAGCATCATTGGCCCATCTCAATCCGACTTCGCCCCTTCACGCTTCAGGGTCTAATTCCCTGTGACTTTGCTCAACAAACTTGACTTTGTTAGAGAGCAGCTGCAGATGGACTCTGCGACTCTCAGCCCGGGATGTGAGTTCGACGCAGCTCAACAGTTTGTCGTCATAATGTCCTTGACTATTTATCAATTACAACTTCATCAGTCGTTTAATAATGATCAGTCACTGTGCCAAAGTTCACACGGTTTACTTCGTATTAAGATGATCCTCCGGCTTACCATTAGCTTCACATAAGATCGCCCATCATGATGACCGTCCACCATCCCCACGCCCTATCCCCAACTTTGCACCAGAGTTAATCCCTGCTGCATGCTAATCTGTGCCCCAACGGCCGGCTCTAAGTCAATTACTCTAACCGAAGCCACTTAACGCACGCGATATCTGTGGCTTCTCTACTGTTCCAGCCACGCTTGCTATCGAGGGGTTGCCGCCTGGCCGTATCCTCGGGACTCGACCGAGACGTTTTTAAGCGGTGGTACAATTCGAGAATGAGACTTGTCCCAGTGCAATGGCTGTCTTTCCAGGCTCCAAACTCACTGTCCCAGCCTACGGACTTTAGTTCTGGTTCCCGCGGCTAACAATTATGAAGCTGCGTCACTACACCAGACATTCTTCGCATACCATATTCAACTCTCTCACCCAGAAGCTGCAATAGCATCTAGGAGTTAAACACAGCAATTGCCAAAGACCTATTCTCACCCGAGAGCCAGGCCATCATGCCTACAGGCAAAGGTATTTCTTTCAGTTGTGAAGTAATTCTTAATTTGGTATGGCCATGAATATTGTACACATTGGGAGCTACCCTAGAGATTTGCGAACCGAGTTATCTTTAGTTGAGATAACTTGAACTTGCGAAATATATACTACCGCTGCGTCACTAAGTTATTAAGTGGAAGAATGTAACTGAAACTATAGTATTGGTTGCCTCATGTCATGGGCGAGAGGCTTGGCCCATGTGTCTTAAATCACTTCAAAGTTATGATGCTTTCTAGCATCGCCGAAGGCCAATGGCACTACTCCAACTAGACACACGGTGCCCATATGAGGTTCCTTTACCCCATAGCCGATTTCCGCTCATTGTCAACCTTTTGGGGCTGCTCGGTAAACCCACAGGTACAATTCTTGGCATCAGTCTATTCTTGCAGCGACAACGAAGGATATTATTAGTATTTATGTTTACTAGGCCATGGAGTAAACACCCACCAGAAGACTCAACCCGTATGGCTAGAAGTGACATATAATAAGGTAAATTCCCACCAAGTTTTGTAGAGTCTGCTACATGAACCTTCCTAAACGCCGAACATACACTCTGATATTATTACATATCCATGCTCATCAAATACATCTCCACAATCCTCATGAACTTGGCCACGAAAGCCTCCAGGTGGAAGATGACCTTAGTTCCCGTCTTGATACGATGCTCGTAGAAGGCCGCCCATTGAACCACCTCGCCCTTTAGTCCATCGTCAATAAGTGCAATCAGCTTGAATGCTAGGGTCTTGAGGATTGTAGTTGGGGGAATACAGTGTGTCAACAGGTCGTACAGTTTTGACCGCACCTGCAAGATCCTGGCTGGTGTATGCTCTTCCAAGATCTCCTTTGCGATCTGACCGATGAGAGCCTCCCAATCTGCTGGAGGGATGGGTGTGCTATCAGTGACCTTCTCACTATCATTGGGTTAGCTCTTGCTCTATGCTCCGATTACAAGGGAAACATACTTCTGTGCGTGGACGGCTTCGTACATAAGTAGTGCTCGTCGCAGGTTTCGGCCACTTTCCTCCGCTATTCGCTGGTGCAGACCTTGAACCACTGGCCAGCCCTCCTTCTTTGCCGATACGGCTAGCACATCGCAGATTTCCTGGTGTGTTGGAGCTGCTACTCTGACCAACAAAGTTCTTGAGCGAATCGGGGCAATAATATTGGCGGTCGAGTTCGCCAGGAGAATCAATCGCAAGTTCGGCGAGTACTTCTCCATCGTTCGTCGCAGGGCTGCTTGTGCATCCCTTGTGAGGTGGTCTGCTTCGTTGATGACTACAACCTTAAACTTCTGCTTGGCCGATTGATCGACCTGTTGTGTTTGTGCCACCTCTTTTAGGAGATCTTGAACAACAACTCTGTCATAGTTACCGACATCAGATGGTGTGATTTCGAGGTGATAGACGGAGGCGACAATATTGAATTCGAGCTTTCGGTTGCTGCTCGTCTGGAAAACTCGGGCGTCGATCTTGATCTTCTCTACACCGGGTCCGTAAAGCTCCTTCAACGTGGCGACGATTCGGGTCTTCTTTCCAGCACCTGAAGGTCCATAAACCAGCAGATGGGGGAAGTCACCACTTTGGGCCTGTTCATGGACGTTAATTGGGGAGGCTCCAGGGGCGTAGTCGAAAAATGCTTACAAGAGAGCGGAGTCGGTCTGATAGCTCATCGTGATATGTAAGAGTTTCGAGTGACCGAGGCCTGTGCTTGTCGACAATGAGGGCCATCGTGAAAGCTGTTTAATCTGTTGAGGAGGATTGTGCAAAGACAGCTTTTTGGGAGTTGCGGGAAGACGCGTTGTCGCGTAAAGTGGATGATGTTTGGATTCTATATGGTCCGTGCACATCCGTCGTCCAGAGACCGCTCCAGCAGGCAACGGCGCTATAGCACTAGGTAGGTGTGCCTATTACCTTAGTACCTAGGTAGGTGGGCATGATCGAGGATATTAGGTATCATGAAATACTTAGGTATACGGAGTACACGAAACTGCGTAAGAATTACAGACGTAAAGTCTCGAAGACATATCTGATACACACAATATGAATATCGTCTTGGTTGCACAACGGAGTCGTAGATCCTGAATCTGGTATTCATACAAGGCACAGCACTATGTCTACGCCCTTATAGTGTACATGGTATAAATCATCATCATTTAACCTAGGGATTGCGAGAAGACTCTGAAGTGCTTCCGACCATAGTCTCGGTTGTGGTAGGAGAAGCATTCAACATCTCCACAGGAGCAATGTGCCTTCGAGGTCTCTTCAATTCTTCCAGGGTCACACCATCCAACTTGGTAATGCCGACAATCGGAGCATCTCCCTTCATTACGAACTCCCATTGACCTGTCATTTCATTAGTTGGCTTCGTTAATCGAGTTCCGGGCTTTTTACCAGGCAGCTTGTTGCCAGCCAAGCGGAAGGCATCCCTCACAACTTGCTGATGGACGTTTCCTCGAATTTCGAACAGGACCTGGTTGACAGCCATTCGGGTTGCCCAATGGTCGAAAGAACCCTTACCCTTACCCATACGCATCTGTGAAGCTATGAGCACATGTTCCATCTCAATCTGGAATAGCCATCCTTACATCGTTACCGCTGATGTAGACACCAACGTTGCAGTTCTTTCTCTTGTACAATCGGTACTTCTGTCCTCGCATTCGCACTTTAATGGTGTCCTCGGCCATCTTCAAATGCTTTGCACTGATTCTTCGGTGGTGATCTGTCATTCGTAACCCATAGTCGCCCCAAATCACCGTAGTGCCCTTTGTCGAACCACCAGTAGCCACACGGGGACGTCCCTTTGCCATCTTCTTCTTTCGGTTCAGGTTTGGCTCAAGCCAGCTGCCTAGCATTGAGGGAGTCGTCGAAAAGGCTCGGACATTTTGAAGTCGTCGGGTTGCATCGAACGTCCTGAAGGATTGTTGGGCCGGGCTGCTGAGTTGTCGCAGAGGCGAAGAGGCGCATAACCTCAGGCCCTGGAAGGCATTGAGCAATGCCGATGTGTTGGCGGGCTTCATGGCGGCGATCGGAGTTGACTTGAAGCTGCCTCGAACTACGAAACTCCAGAAAATCTTCCCCATGTCGTAGTTTACTTGTGGCCTGATGTTGTAGCCTGATATCCAAGGCCCACATTGCTTGAACCACTTTAGCTGAAAGTCACGGACCTCGCGTCAGATTCGCGTCTGGCAGGAGCTAAGCTGCACGTCACTGTAGACTCGAACTTCTAGGCTGCTCCTCGATTGCCTGGGATTCATGCAACCACTTCCCAGCCAGGCAACATCAACAAATGGCATAAAAAGAGTCGATGCACTTTTCCTTCTCCGAAACCAAAACCAAAGTAATAAGAAACGCCAACAATGCCTTCGGATATCCGGTCCTTCTTTGGACCTAAGGGTGGTGGCAGTGCCCCAAAACCTGCCCCAAGAAAAGCCGAGGAGCTGGCCAAGAGCAAGCGTACAAGTAGGTTGACCAGTGCACGTATTCAATTGATAGATGTACTAATTGAGGCTCAGAAGGAAGAAAAGTAATCGAAGACAGCGAGGACGACGAGGACGAAGTAGTGGAGTATGTTGTTTTGGTTCTCCTTATTATTCTTGAGTACATACTGATCATGGAACAGAGTACAAAAAACAACGGCCAAACCAGCCCCCAAGCGAAAAGTCATGTTCGTCATCATGTTAAGTCTTTTCAATTGATTGTTATTGACTCTTTTTTAGAGACGACGAACCTAAGGGCGTGGCTATTTCAGCAGACGATTACTTCTCCTCGAGCAAGACCAGCAAACCTACGAGTTCGGCAACACCGAAGAAGCCTGCAGTCAAAACCGAAGTTCCGGTTCGATCGAGTCCCCGAGAGAAAACGACCGCCACGAAGCCTGCAGCACCAGCAAAGAACGGCAAAGCACCCGCTACACGAAAAGCCACAGCTTCCTACTCCAAAACTGCAGCTGACCAGGACTCTGATGCGTATATGGAAGATGGAGACGAGGATGACGCAGATATCTTCGCAGCCGACGCCAAGGGTCGATCCAAGCGCAAGACTGATGATTATGAAGAGGATGAGTCTGAGGAAGAAGACCTCCCTAAGCCCAAACGATTAGCTACTAGAGGCCGTCCATCGACTGTCAAGAAAGAAGAAGAAGACGCTGTGAAGCGCGTAGCCGTGAGCAAGAAGAGAAAATCTCTTCCTGAAGACTCGGAAGAATCTGAAGAAGAGGCACCACGCAAGAAGGCGGCTACTGCCAAACCTAAGGCACCGGCCAAACCTCGAGCTCCACGAGCAAAGAAGGACGACGAACCGGAAGATGAGGAAATCAAGGATATCCTTGACAGTGTTGCTACTGTTCGAGCACCCACGCCTCCGCCAAAGGACCCTGATGCCAAGTTCGACTGGCGAAAGAAAGCTTCCGGAGGTGGCAATGCATCTGCTCAACCAGCTGCAAGCTCGGTCGATCTCCCCGAAGGCGAAGAAGAATGCCTGACTGGCCTCAGCTTTGTCTTCACGGGTGTCTTACAAACCATCAGCCGTGACGACGGACAGGCCCTGGTCAAAAGATATGGCGGCAAAGTTGTTGGTCAGCCAAGCAGCAAGACAAGCTTTGTAGTTCTTGGAGAGGACGCTGGCCCGAGCAAGCTGGCAAAAATTAGGTCTCATGGCATCAAGACAATTGATGAAAACGGACTTTTCGACTTGATCCGTAAGCTTCCTGCATTTGGGGGCGGCGGCAAAGGGGCTCAGAAGGCCCAAGAGAAGAAAAAGGCCGACGAAGACAAGGTGAAGAAGCAGGTTGCAGAGATGGAAGCCGAAGAGAAGGCTCGAAAGGCAGAGGCTGCTCAGGCTGCCAAGAAGGCAGCTGCTGCAGGAGGACCACCAGCAAAGGCCGCCGCGCCCCCCCCTGTGCAGCTGTTGACATCGAAGTATGCTCCCACGCAGCTCAGCCATATTTGCGGCAACAAGGCGCAAGTCGAAAAAATCCAGGCTTGGCTCAGGAACTGGCCAAAATCGAAGAAGTATAACTTCCAGCGACGAGGTGCTGATGGAATGGGTGGTGAGCGCGCCATCATTGTTTCTGGCCCTCCTGGAATTGGAAAGACGACAGCTGCTCACCTAGCTGCAACGCTAGAGGGGTACGATGTTTTGGAGAGTAACGCCAGTGACAGCCGAAGCAAGAAGCTTGTTGAAAATGGAGTGAGTGATGTGATGAACAATACATCGCTCCTCGGATATTTCGCTGGCGACGGCAAGGATGTCGACGTGACCAAGAAAAAGATTGTTCTTATCATGGACGAGGTCGACGGTATGTCTGCAGGTGATCGAGGTGGTGTTGGTGCCTTGGCAAAATTTTGTAAGAAGACGGAGATCCCCCTGATCCTCATCTGCAACGAGCGCAAGTTGCCCAAGATGAAGCCTTTCGACCATGTGGCATTCGATATTCGATTTAACCGTCCGACTGTGGACCAAGTCCGATCCCGCATTATGACTATCTGCCATAGAGAAGGCCTCAAGCTCCCACCTGCAGTAGTGGACGCTCTCATCGAGGGAAGCAACAAGGATATCCGTCAAATCATCAACATGATCTCTACTGCGAAACTGGACCAGACAAGTATGGATTTCGATCAGTCCAAGTCCATGTCGAAGGCTTGGGAAAAGCATGTCATCCTCAAGCCATGGGACATTTGCCAAAAGATGCTAGCTGGTGGGCTTTTCGCACCTGCGAGTAAGTCGACATTGAATGAAAAGATCGAGCTTTACTTCAACGACCACGAATTCAGTTACCTCATGATTCAGGAGAATTATCTTCGAACAAAGCCTATGGCTCTCAACGGAAAGGGGTATACCCAGCGCGAGCACAACCTCAAGGCTCTGGAGCTGTTTGATAACGCAGCAGAGAGCATCAGCGATGGAGATTTAGTCGACCGCATGATTCATGGACCTCAACAGCAATGGAGTCTGATGCCCACACATGCCATCTTCAGTACAGTCCGCCCTGCCAGCTTCATTGCGGGTCAGCTTATGGGTACCAACTTCACATCATGGCTCGGCAACAACAGCAAGTTTGGCAGACTTGGTAGATCCATTCGTGAAGTTCATTCTCACATGCGCCTCAGGACCTCTGGTGACCATAACGAGATCCGCCAGCAGTACATGCCTGTCCTGTGGTCTCAGCTTGTCAATCGCCTACAAAATGAGGGTAATGATGCAGTAGGAGGGGTCATTGATCTTATGGACAGCTACTTCATGACCCGAGAAGATTTCGACGCTATCCAAGAACTTGGCGTGGGACCAATGGACGAGGAACTGGTCAAAATCGAGACAAAGACCAAGGCTGCATTCACCCGAACGTAAGTATACCATTCAAGCATTTTCTTAACACCAAGCTAACTATTCAGGTACAATGCAATGAGCCACCCGATCCCTTTCATGAAGGCCAGCAACGTTGTCGCTCCCAAAGCTCAGCCCAAGGAGGTCCCTGATCTTGAGGAAGCCGTCGAAGACGATGAAGCCGAGGCCGTCGAGGCACCCGAAGTCGAAGAGGATGATGACGAGATCGATTTCAAGAAGGACAAGTACATCAAGAAACCAAAGGCTAAGAAGGCTACCAAGAAGACCACGAAAACTGCCGCTGCCGACGATGATGAGGAAGAGGACAAGCCAAAGCGAGGTCGAGCTAAGCCTAAAGCTACAGGCACCAAGGCTAAGGGGAAGAAGTAAAGGACGGCTGAGTTAGTTTACATGCAGCAAATGTTGGTCAGATAATATTTAGACGTGGTGTACTGCCAGTTGGACGCGGATGCACTGTATATCACAGTTAGTGCGTTAGTGCATGGCAAGATCAAGGGAAAAGGAGTCCATGGTAACGAGCAGATACTCGGCTTATGTACATTATTATTATTATTATTATTATTATTATTACTATCATAACAATCATTGATTGCTTTAATCAAGACCAGACCGTCGTGAGAAATGCTTTGGCACCGCTCGGGCAGGCCTGACGGTTGGCAGTTGGCATTGGTAGTTAATAGGTAGGTATTTCGCAGCTGATGGCAGCTGGTGGCAGTGCTAGAGTGACCCTATTCCCATGCTGCCAGACCGCTGCCATTGCAGTGCCAGGCGCGATCGATTACATTCACCTCATGCATCCCTACTATATTATGATTATGATCCTGCTCTTGTTTTCAATCTTCTTTCCTCCTCCCTTCAACCTCACCACTTCACCTCCTCACCCCAGGATCCCAAGCCTGAACACGCACTTATAACATCACGAACCCTATCTATCACAATCATCCCGCTATCTTCCTGTCATACTCGCATCTACGAATATTTTGGAGACTTATTCTGTCAAAATGCAGGGTTCTATATCCTACCCTGCTGCTTTGACGAGCAGTAAATGGGTCGCGAGCCTCATAGCGAAACATCGCAACGACGCCCACATCTATGTTCAGAAATCTACTAGTAAGTCCTCTGATGAGACATCATCATCTAATGCTTGAGTAGTACTATGCTGATACTCTTGTAGGCAAGAACGTGAAACGTGAGACCAAGTTCTCAAGCCTACTCGAGAAAACCAGAGGAGACCTACGAAGTAAGTCAATCACATCCCTTCTAAGTCTATCAATACATCGGAGGTTGTATTATCACAATGGAATGATACTGAATGATGCATCAGGTGTCTTTTCTGTTCGGTCGAAGGCGGAAGCTGCCTCGGAGCTGAATAGTAAGTCCAACACTCTTGTTCACTTGTTCACCTGTTCGCACAACTGACTCTTGTTCACGCAGGAGCCTCAACCTTTCCCCAAAAGCAGAACAAATATACTTGGGCGTATCTATTCGACACAAAGTCTGGCAACAAGCTGCATAAGCGTGCTAAATCCGCGCCGATTACTACTTACATTCCTCACGTTCTTGAGCCTATCAATGAGGAACGCGAAGACAATGACACTCCGGTGTTCAAGTTCTTGGCCCAGCCAGCCTGTCAGAAACATTCTCCGACCAAGACTGATTGTGAGGCTCCTCTGCCTTTGAGTGATCGCATTGCTGAAGATGACGACACTGCTTCTATCGTCACAACTTGCACGGTGCTTATCCGACATTTGGGTCTGGCGGACGTGCCTGAAGAGGATGGGGCGACCGAGGAGGAGAGACATCTGGAAACAGCTGACACTATGACGATCACTCATCCTGAGGTTACAAAGATCAAGGTGTCAAAATATAACCTGAGTCGAGGCACTGCTGAAAAGGGTCAAGATTCCCCTATTCTGGGGTTGGAAGCATCTCAACCCATTACCACAAACGATGCTCGCCCTCGACAGCCATCCTCGATTCGATTCGAATGCAGCGGAGCACTTCCTCCCCGGGAGACGTTGGTCAACGTTGAAGGCTCCGAGACTGATGCGAAGTCTTCAAAATCGAAGAGGAAGACTTCATCTGCTGCGTCATCGGTAACCTCATTGTTCACGAAGCTTCTTGGGAGCGACAAGACCAAAGCAGTTGACAAGGCTGAGAATGAGACCGAGACTAAGGCTGAGCCCAGCGTTTTACATAAACTACGACACAAGGCAAAGGGGTCTTTCTCCTTGGGAAAATTGGCTGATTTTATTCAACCCGCGGAAACTCGCCTCCGATCCTCTCTCGGCATCAACCGAAACAACGAACGATCAACTGCCGACCATAACAAGTAAGTAGTATTTGTCCATGTTTGTCAAAAGCCATTGGCAGAGCTGATATATATTATAGGAACAAGGGCACATACGGACCCCTGAGATGGAACCTCCCCCCACCTGATGATGAGATGGGCGAGCTCATCCGTAGCTTCTCGGATCCTCGTATTGGATTCAACACCACCAGAAACAACCGCTATGTTGAAGAGACTCCCGTGTCGCCAAGATCTCCAAGTGAATCTTCAGATAGATCTGAGTATGACATTTCTATGGAAGATCTTCCACCAGCTCCTGCCAACCCTCCTCTGCCTTTCAGATACTTCCGAGAGGAAATCTCTACGCATGGTAAGTTCTGCTCTGGCGCTTAAACTACAGTACTCTTACTGACCATGAGAAGGGAGTGACGAGCAAATTCAAAACCCCAAGGCTCGAGACAGCCAAAAGGCACAACGTCAGGACTCCGACGGTATGCTCTTACACACTCATTTACTTACCTCAACTCACAATTTTACAGATGAATCCTCTCGATACTCCCAGGAGATAGTCTTGGGACCATTCCCCCACGATGAGATCATGAGCCTGGTAAGTTGGCCAAACCACTGCAAACAAGGGATCGTCCGAGACAAACCCTCTAACCAACTCATAGGCTCTACAGCGACAAGTGGATATTATAAACAACAACTACGATTTCAGCCAGCATGCTGCTCTTACTGGTGTTTACGGTCGGGTAAAGGTTGAGGAACGATCAGAGGAGAGACCCATCCGCGAGAGATTTGAAGAACTCCACCACCCTGTCGAAGAGACCGAGTCTCCGGAGCCAAAGGCCAAGGCTTACAGTGTCAACACTCAATATGCTGAACCAAACAACGAGGAAACCCACACTGGCGAATGCGAGACTCAAGATCACGAAAGCGTTGTCGACACTCGCGAGGCTCATGGGGATTCCCACACCGAACCCAACGCACCAAGTGCCAGTGTTGGAACTGAAGAAGACCCTTATCACGAGGAGGTCCAAAATGAAGAGCAATTCAACGCCAACACATTCGACATGGTCTCGAGCATTGACTGGGACGAACAGACGATCCCCGAAGGACCTGCAGGCAACCCCCCTACCCGGGCTGTAATGAAAGACGTCGAGACTGCCGATTACTCGGACTTTTTCAAGTCTCTACAGAACGTCCGATCAAAGAGCCCCGACAAGTTGTTTGGTAAGAACACAGCTGCCCTTGAATGAAACTATTACTGACCATTATAGGCCGCTCTGGATTCATTGGCGTTAGGCCTTGGAGTAAGGAGATCGCCAGCCTGGCTGCAAGGGATCAAATGATCCGCGACGAAGCTGCCGAGAAATTCTACCAGCAAGGCTCCTCCAATACTGGAAGCAGTGAATCAGTTTCCGATCTTGACGAACGACCTAGCGCAGTAAGTACGACTTCAAGCTATAGCCAGTCCGTAATACTGACATAAAGTCCTAGCACGAGGTACAGGCAGCGTTGGGCCACCCCGAAGCACCACTGATAGATAGGTGTGAGCCCGATCGAGTCATGGAACAATACCTCAAGTGCAAGAAGTCGACGATGGCAGCTATGATCTCTAAGGAGACGAACCACGCCAGGATTTCATCTGCCATTAACCGCAACGAGGTCATTTACAATGAATGGGATCGCGCAGCTCGTGTCTCCCAGATCTTTGAGGCTAAGAAAGAGCGAGAGGATCCCGGCGCCGCCTACAGGCGTCGACAGATCTACAAATTCGTCGAGAAACGTCTCAAGAACGTAAAGACCCAAGCCGAACAGGCAAACAAGGAAGCCCGCGACGCACACAGATGCATCCAACAGCTCCAGGAATACTACAACGATATGGAGGAGGGTATCCATCGTTTCACCGAGTCCTTTGGTCATCAACGTGCCAGCAACTTGCCCAATGCTGTCGATCTTGTACGAGTTACCGAACGCGAAGAGCGAATCGATTATCGACGTGCTAAGCCACTCGAGGACGGCCCCGAGGCTGAAAGTCCAGAGTCAGAAATGGCGGACAAGGCCGGGATGGATTACAGCGAGCTCGTCCAAGATGATGGCACCGAGGTCAGCAGTTTGGGAGACCCGACCGCTGAGTTCTTCTAAGTACATCCTGAACACAAACAGGATGAAGACTGGAGCACGATAAAAGAAGAAAACGACAAAAAAAACCCTATCACTGAGCCCAGCGCCGCTCACACACAACGAATGGATATCCCCTAGTTGGATACTTCATCTTGATTAACACAGTTTGGAAACGAACTTCTATTAAACCTCATACCCGTTTTCAGGAAACACTACCCAATTTCCTATACAGAACTCTTGACTTGGACATCATGAGAAAAATATCTTGCCATAACAAGATTTGGAGTAGCGACTATTAGCGCTCACAAAGGGAATACCAATACCCTCTTACGAACCTTTACTTTACAACAAGCACTTCCTTTTGCTGTACTCACCTTGCTATACTCACCTAGCTATACTCACCTTTGCTCTACCTACTCACATTTGCTACGAACTACCACGAAGCCCTAACGAAATTGGTCATGATACCCCATTTTACCAGCGACGGTGTTTTAAGGTTATATATATACCCCCTGAATTTGCTTTACCATACGACAATACTGCCCTACTCCAGCCCCGCTGAAGACAAAGGCATTGTACACGACGCGGAATCTTGGGAGATTCAAACAGCCCATTGAGGCGCTGACGCGAGTATTGGTTTTACGATTGTTTGATTCGCTTTTGCTTGTACTTTTGGACTGTCTATTGGTTGATTTCTTAACACCCCCCGAGCTTACAATGCCGGTCTGAGAGGTGTATTAAACTGGTTCTGGATTGCAGATTGCGAGGGACTCCAGATGAGAGCATGTCTTGATATCAAGATAAAGTATACAGAGCTAGACAAGAACCAGACAGATAGAGCTGCACATGAATGAAGTCAGATTGCTTTTTTGATAATTAATGCTGAAGTGACATAAATATGGTAATATCCCTTGATGTAGAATTCTCTTCTGCATATAACTGCCGCATCGTCCACGTCTTCGTTATTCGTACGTGATATCAATATTATTCGTTCATTCATTATTCACGGGGTATAAACCAACGACCCCCATCCAACCTCACCATCACGAACCCTCGTGCTTCACCGTCGTATCCCCTTCTCCAGCATCATCATGTTGCTCCGTTTGATCAGCCTGTTCCGTCTCGCCCTCGCCATTGCTATCTTTACCCATGACGTTTTCAAACTGCGACCACAGCGCTTCGACCGAGGAGAATTCGTTTCCGACCTGTTCACATCCATCAGTTTCATCCCAAGAACAACATAGCAACGTATTATTCGTACCGCAGTGACTGCCTCCAGAGATCGGTTCAGCTTGTTGATATTGGCCAAGACGTGCTCGAAGCTCTGTAGGTAGAACAGGATGTTAGCATTTGTTTCCCTGGATGGTCCATGTTCTAAAGGGTATGGTATATCTTGCCATTGCGATCTCGCCAATGAGGGCCTCGCGCTGTTGTTCAAAGTAGGTCTTTTCATGGCCGCCCATAGCGGATGCTGATCTTGAATGTGAAGCCATAATGTGAGTGAGTGTCTTGGTGCTTTTTGAGTTATGTAAGGTTGTCGTTGGATTTAACGCGTTGGCGCGTGAAGTTTAGTTACTTTTGGCGGGGTTGTTTACTTACGGTGGGCGTTCATTTAAATTTAGGGTGGACCCCTCCCTTGTAGTACCTCTTCTCAAGCCTGTCACATATCAACAAATAGCACATGTCAGTCAATTATTAGAAATTGGACATATTATATAAATTGAATAGATCATAACTGCATACAAGTGCGCTTGCCTCGCTCTGTTTTGTACAATTGAAGTGAAGGCTGTTATATACTTTACATAAACATCAAACCGCTCTTACTCCGCAACAACCAACCGAGATCAATAATGCAAAACCTCAAGCTTACTACGCCAAACAAAATTGATAAGAGACAGCATAGGCAACTTCTCCGTAACGGCCATGTGCCCACGTTATCTTCTATAATGATCCGGGTGTCTTTCATACTCGTGGGGTCTCAGTCCTCCCCTCATTATGTCTCGTGGATCCCTAGGATCTCTGGGGTCTCTAGGGTCTCTAGGATCTCTTGGGTCCCGAGGATCGTGGCCCGGGTAAACGGGAGCCCCCGGTGGTGGAGGCCCACGAGCATCGTAACCAATAGGTGTGTAAGTGCGGCCTGGCATCTCTCTCATGTCTCTACTTGGAGCAGGGCCGGGGCCGGGGCCGGGGCCGGGGCCAGGTGTGGAAGCATAACGAGGGTACGCTTGCGTAGGCGGCGGTACCGACTCTGGGCCACGAGACCCAGTTGACGGATAGCGAGCGTGCATCTGGTGCTGCTGTGGCGGCATACCAGGCCCACCTCCGTAATAGGGATTTCGTCCATCGTCCCTCATGGGCATATGATGAGATTGTTGTGGAGGCGGTTGTGAAGGGGCCCAAGACGATGCAGGAGTTTGAGGTTTGGATGAAGGATGCTGCGTCGGCCAAGGCTGCTGCTGCTGCTGCTGCTGCGTTGGTTGTTGCGATGCGTTCGGAGGCGGCTGTGATGGCCAACCAGTTGGTTGCTGCATGCTTGAAGGAGGTTGTTGGGGCGCTGGTGGCGGCCACGAAGTTTCACGGCCACCCTGGGGAACTTCACGTGAGCGAGAGGAAGACGGATGCAACCCATACTGCCCTCCCGGTGATCCAGCGTGACCTGCTTGACCTGCAGCAGCGTATGAAGTTGGGTATCCCTGGTTCTGGTACTGAGGCCCAGGTGGAGCATAGCGATGCCCACCTTGTGGCGAATTTGTCCTGCTGTGATTTGTAGGCTGATAAGGGTTCTGTCTGTAGTAGTCTCTCTCTGCCGCAGCCTCGAGCGAAACCCCGATTGACGCCCTAGAGCTACCCATGTGCTGGGGTTGAGGAGAATCCGCATATGTGGGCTTCAGAGACGGCATTCCTGGAGTACCTCTACCGTAAGGAGAATATGGCTCTGGATCGCCGCGCCGCATCTGAGAAGACGGCGCAGGCCCCGGAAGTGCACGGCCTATGGTCTGGGGTGGAGGAGTAGGCGATGGTCTCGAGGGCGTGTTAGTCACATCGTTGACTCTCTTAGGCTGTGGCAGAGGCTCGTCGTTAAGGAGCGACATGATATTGAGACCTCCCTTTCGAGGTTCAGTCTGACGAGGAGGCGCGGCTGTGGGGGTTTGAACTGGAGTACCAGCTTGAGGTGTGGCTGAGCCATATTGATCGTGCATCGATCCTGATGACGGCCTCTGCTGAAGCGACGACACGGGACGACTGGTAGGTGTGCCCATTTGAGGTGAGCGGACTGGTGTTTGATCGCTCATTAGGTTTCGCATTGGCTGTGCAGGAGCTTGTTGCTGCATAGGGGGGCCATATGATGGAGGTCGTCCAGGTTCCTGCGGCGGCCTCGCCAGCGGTTGGCCGCCAAGGCTGCCTTGTTGACGGTGACCGTACTGCTCGTAGTGGTGCGGCTGTGGTGCCATCTCAGGTTCTTGCTTAACGCGTAGCGGCTGTCTCTCCGTCTGTCGAGCCAGTTCGCGTTGCTCTTGTTCTCGCAGCTGCGTGTCCATCTTTTGACGCTCTATCTGGGCGTTGTGTTCCATCATGACCTCGCGAGGCGAAGGCTGTAGAGGCTGTGCGGCGGCTAGGGGCCGTTGTTCACGTGGCTCTGCACCGGGATGTCGAGAAGAGGCCTTCTGTGGAAGCGGTACACGCGCACCAGGCTCGCGTTCGCCATCAGGGAATCCGAATTGTCGCACAGGAGCTCTCAGAGGTCTTTGACCCGGTGACATTGTCTGAGTAACTGGTGGAGCAGCAGGGTGTTGTCCCATAACCATCGGCTGCTGCTGAGGCTGTGCCAGGGGTTGCTGTTGAACAGGAGCCTGGGCGATGGGAACACCACCAAAGTTGGGGAATGGCTGACCACGAGGAGGTTGAACGGCAGGTTCCATCTTGGGCTGCGACGTTTCACCATGCATATCAATACCTGGAGCAACGGCTAGAGGTCGAGAAGTTGCAGTCGAGCTATCGTATCTCCTACCTCGTCCTCCTGTTGATGGCTGCGGGGGATCAGGCAGCCTCTCACCGGCACTCTTCTTCAACTCGGCCTCCTGAACGAGTATCTCCCACTCAGCCTTACCTTGATCTTTTTGACGGACGAAGTAGTTCTTGACCTGTTGCAATTATCAATACCTATTCATTATCAATGTATAACGACTTACCATGACTGCGGTCTTCGAACCCATGTGAGCAGCAATTCCTGTCCAGTCGGAACCAAACGAGCGCAGGAGGTGTGGGAAGTCATTAGATTCAGACACACTCCAGTAACTTGATGCTTGGGTTGGCGCTTTGCGTTCTGATGTTTGATGAGCTAGATTGAATGTAGCCATTGCGGGTTGGGGTGGCGGATCAGGTCGGAGTGATGGCGCTGCCATGACTTCAGAGATGGATGAGGGAGCAACTGATTCGGGGCGTTCCATGCTCGGGATAGGCTGCTGTTGTATAGAAAAGGGGGGTTGCATGCCAGCGGGATGCTGCTCGAACTGAGGCTGAATTCGAAGGCCCTCCGAAGGTGGGAGAGGAGTGGAGGAACTGTCAGTGTTGAGTGCTCTTGAATTTGACCTCGACCTGCCTTTGACTGGCACTGGTGCTGCGGCCAAGGTCTGGTTCGGCTTGGGTATCTTGGGCTCTTTCTCCTTGGGGCCTCTGCGTCTCTTCCTTCCATCAATTTTCTCAAGATGATCAACTTTGGCGGACCCTCCTCGTCTGCCGGGTGTGGCATTGGGTGTTGAGTTCTCTGTGTCGATCGGTGGCTGTTCAAAACCCCATGTCGGAGCAGCTGCGCGTCTTGGACGCCTTCTCTCGCCATTCTCTCCCGTCTCGTGGTTGTCTTCAGTTTCTCCATCGCCGTTGCCCAGTTCCGACACCAATGCACTAGATCGCTGCTTCGCCTTGCCCTTTCGGCGCCTCTTAGGCTGCTTCTTGAGTTTCTCCTTCAGGTTGAGATCCTTCTTATTCATGTAGTAATACTGAATGCAAGCGCCAAAGTCGCGATGCGGAATTGCTTCTGCAACCCGACCCCATTGCTTGGGTGCTTCCAAGTATCTCTTCTCAAACAAGCTAGCCTCTTCTTCATTGAAGTTGTTGACGGGTGGCAGAACACGCCATGTCGACACCAACCGGTCAACAGGTACGTATCCGGATTTGTCAATGTACTTAGCATTGTCTCTGTCCTCCTGCGTCCATATCATATCCGGGATGACGGCTTCCTTATCTGTGCGGTACTTTTCTTGCTGCATTCTCAGCTCACGCTCTCTCCTTTCCTCGTCCTCTCGCATGGATGCTTGCAGAACTCGTTCCAGGTCTCGCTCAGTTGCGAATCGGCGCCCGCGCCCGCTCCCTTCATGTTTTGGTTCAGGAGTCACTGTTCCAGTAAATTCGATACCAGTCGAGACCGAGAACCTTCCACGACTCTTGACGGCAGCTGGATCGTTTGACATTGTGAATTCCAAATAGTGCAGGTAGTTTTTGGCGTAAATCTTTTTGTCGTGATCCTGTTCAGTCGACTTCTCAATATGCATTTTGTCCAAGTGCTCGATGACAAAATCATCCATAACCGAGTCAGAATCCAGTGTGCGCATAAAGTCCCTATCCTTATCCCAGGGCTGACAGCTGTAGTCAGGAAGACTATCAATCGGTGGTGTGGTCATGTATTGCCGAACAGTGTCAAGATTCATGAACGAATCATCCTCAGACTCAGTCTCATCATCGTCGACCTGCGACGGCGTACTAGGCGGTTTCGACGCTGTCTCCGTCGTCTGTAAGACAACATGAGGAGCGATAATATTAACAGCAGTCTCGTGAGTCGCAACATGATCGTGTGCTCGAGGTTCAGGTCTATCCGCGAAAGTCTCGATAGGCAGATCGGCATTTGTCTCAGTAGGCTTCTCGGCGGTGGCTTCATCAGCCTTTGCGGGGGTAACTTCTGGAACGGTCTCGGTAACCATCTCAGTGTGTGTCTGTGCAGATTCTTCGGTGCTGGCCTCTACTGGTGTTTCGCTTGGCTTATCTTCAGTAGACTTTTCTGCGGGCGCCTCGTTGGTCGTCTCGTTGGATCTGTCGTCGGCCTTCGCTGGCTGAATTACTGGCTCTTCAGGAACACGTTCGATTACCATGGGCACCGTATCTTGGGCTGTATTGTCAGTAAGGAGCATTGGGGCTTCAAGGATAGCTGAAACAGTTTGAACAGGAGGTTGGTCGATGTCCATCTTCTCAGCATTTGGCTCAGCAGTGGGCTCGGCAGCGGCAGGAGAAGTGACAATAGCAGTGACAGAAAGATCAGCAGTAGTGTCAGCAGCAAGTTCTTGAGTCTCCTCCTTCTCAATTGGTTGCATAGTGTCCCTAACATCCATTTCGACAATGTTCTCGGCGCTCTTTTCCACAGCAATTTCGATAGGCTTCTCAGTGACGTTCTCAGCGCGGTCTTCCTCAGGTTTCTTTTCTGGGCTCTCGACGATTGTCTCGTCGGGCTTTTCGCTGTGTTCGGCAGGTTTCTCGACAGGCGGTTCTGTGGGCTGTTCCGCAATCTCTTGAGTAACTTCTGGCGAGGGCTTCGGTATGCGTTCATCAACGGGCTCTTCGGACTTTTTAACATTAACCGAAAGCTCAGGCCCGAGCTCAGGTTCGGGTTCAGTCTGAGCTTCTTGCAATGCTGTCTTTGCTGGTTCAGATTCGACTTGGATCTCGTTGTCGGTAGCATCTGTCATTTCAATGTCTTGTTCCGTCTCCTCTTCGACCGGTACGGGTTCTGCAGCATTTTCGACGGTGACCTTATTTGCTGCTCCTGGCAGTTCTTCCACCATCTTGAGAAGCCCTTCACTCTCTCCGACAATCTTGACCATTGATCCGTGAGACAGAGCCGCAAAACGAGCCATCACTTGGGTTGGAAGCCTCGGCATTTCCAACTTGCTTAATTCAGCTTCCGTCTTCTCAATTTCCATATCAAAGTAGTCGGCCATGTCGTCGTCATCATCTGATTCTGAGTTTTGCTCCACAGGTACTGGTTTTGGTGGCACATCAAATCTAACAGCCTTTATAGTTGCTCGACCGCATTTTCTCCTGGGCAATTCCTTTGGGGGTTCTCTCATCTCTCTTACACGCTCATCAGGTGCCTGGGCAAATCTAGGCATGCTCTCCATAGTGGGCGACGGACCAGACCGATAAGAGTCTCGCCTTGAACCATTAATAGGCCGCGCATCCCGATCCATAGAAGCTCTTGCAGATTGGGACTCTCGCTCGGACTTAACGGTGATTTCTCCTGGCTCTGCGCTGTAATTCGATCGGGCACGGTTGTCGTAAACGGAGTCTGATTTCGCATCGCTGCTGCGTGGGCGTCTCTCGTCGTCGTGATAATGATCATACTGGGAACTATCACGGCGTAAAACCGGCCGCTGATGCACAAAGCTCGGCGATCGCATCAGCTTGGGTGACTCGGGCGCTTTCTTCAGATTCGGGTTGATCCATTGTTTGCTTGAAGGTCGCGGAGGTGGAGGCTGCTGGGCTCGAGGACCGACTGGAATCGAGGGACCATCGTGAAGCATTGCCTTACCGAGGCCAGCGGAAGGCATAGCTGGATCGTGGCCAGCAGAAGGAGGTCGATCATTAAACGCCCTGGGAGCTGTAGGCGGGATCTTTGCTGCGGCACTGGCAGGAACATAGCCCTCCCCTACACTTAATCCCCTGTTAGAAACGGATCCAAAAGCAGGTGCAGATGGCGCGATAGGTGGTGGCGACACCTCCTTGCTAGAGAGTCCTGAGTCGTGGCCAGCGTTGGCGCGAGCTTCCAATTTGTTTCGGAATAGTTCGCGGTCTCGGGGATCACGTTCGTGTTGAATTTCACGTCGGGTATCTGGGTCAGCATAACGATCCATTCGATCCATCCGGTCCCTGTCGTCACGATCCCTTCCCCAGCGACCTTCCTGAGACCGACTGCGTGGGTAGCGATCACTCCTGTCGTCCATGTAATGGCCTCTTCCACGTCCTCTTTCGGACCAGTCACCTCGTCCTCGGCCACGTCCTCGATGAAATCCTCCACCACGGGGGTAGGGCGCCATGCCAAACTGGGGGTCTGAAGAAGACGATCCTGCCGAAGGGGGTCCTCCATCGCGAGAGCCGCGTCGGGATCTATCCGCATCTACTCCCAATGGTCCCTCACGTTCTCGATCTCTGAAGTCTCGGTTGGGTGATCTCGCGCGGCCGATAGGTGAACGACGTGCTCTGAAATCCCTAGGCTCGCGCCATTCTCTGTCGCGATCGCGGTCGCGTTCACGGCTTCTATCATCGTGATAACGGTCACGAAAATCAATGTCCCTGTCTCGACCCCGATCTCGACTGTCGTCCCTTGAAGACCATCCACGGCCGCGCCCTCGGCCGCGACCACCTCGAAATTCGCCCCCGAAACCTCCACCGCGGGGTCCACTAGGCGCATCAATCAAGGCCTTTGGTCCACGAGGAGGTTCACGTCGCAAGGGATCACCGAAGTCGCGGCCTGGTGGGAAACCACCATTGCCGGGTCGAGTCTCGGATGGTCGGCGCCTATCTCCATCGGCGTACTGTGCTGGTCTATCAAATCGGTCAGGAGAGCGATCACGCGGCGATCTAGACCTTTCATAACGTGAGTATCTTGAGGCCCTAGACAGTGGGGGATGGAGTCAGTATGCAGGAAATTGCGAACAAGGAGATCAGGTCATGCACCGACGGCTGCGGTCATCCTTGAAAGGCTTCTTTCGCATGTCTCGGGATAGCAAGGTAATAGAATAAGAAGGTTGTGTGCATACATTTCTCAATAGCCGAAGGAAACCCGAAGGAATCGGTAGTTTTATATGGAACTGCCCATATACCTGGGATGCAGGAGGGAAAGCTTCGATTAACTATGCGGTGCGTCGCGCCGATGTCGATAGTCTTGTTGTGTGATTTTGTTGCGCCCAACGATTAAACCTGCAAATGTCGTAGTCGTGTCGTTCCCGTCCTGCTGGTGTCGCGTCTCGAACACAAAAGAAACTGAACCGTCCCGCCGAATGGTGTAAATAAGAAAGATCGAAGCAGGCGGCTAGCTTATTAGCGATATTATAGTCGAATACTAAGGGCGCGACGAGTAAAAGGGGATTGAAATGCGGGTGAAATACGGAGTACAATAGCGACAATGCCTCTTGCGATGGATGCAGGTCGAAGGTTTGAGGGATTGGACGCCAGCCTCAGGCGCCCAACCTCAGCAAGGGGCCCAAGCTCAGGCGACCCCATTGCGCCTGCAAATTGAAATGGACACACTGTCGCGTGGCGCTTAGTGCTTGCGGTTAGTGGTGGAAGGCATGGAAGGGACGAAGGGTCGGCTTTCCAGGGGGGCTTGGGGGCTAGAGCCAGAATTGCCGCGACATGGGCGCTAGGCTTAGATAGGAAGTCTATACATGCACGCCCATTCTTCAAGCCCCGATAGACCCCGCCGAGTTTTTTTCAATGCGGAGCCGGGAGCCGGGATATCTCACGGAAGAAATCATGAGAAATATGGTTGATGACCGTTTAAACATCTGAAGGTGGAAGAATAAAGTTTTATCTAAATTATTTATTTATTAGGAGACTATGATTAGATATTAGTGCCTTGTTTATCAACTTTTGGACAACTGAAGATTTTGGGGACTCTTTTACTAAGCCTTAATATATCCGTCGAATTCTGTGCATCCATATTTTACAACTTACGACCTAAAACTTACGAGTTGCAATTCACCATCTTTAAAATACTTCCACTTACTACCATGGCCTCCAACGAAGACGCTCCGCCCTCGGCGGCTACTGAAGCCGTCCTGGTGAAATCCGAGGAGATGCCCAAGGACGCACAGAAAGTTGAGGAGTTGGACTTTAACAAGCTCAAAGGACCTATCACGGCGGAGGACCTCTACGAAGGCATGCGCCACATGGGATTCCAAGCTTCTTCTATGTGTGAAGCTGTGAAGATTATCAACGATATGGTGCGCTGAGATTCGCAAAGAGACTCTACAGTCGACTTTCCTGATACGTTCAAGTTCCAGGCTGGCTAACATCCTATAGCGTGCTTGGAAAGACCCTGAGACGGGAGACAAGACAACTATCTTCTTGGGTTATACTTCAAATCTCATCTCTTCAGGCCTCCGAGGCGTTCTTCGTTGGCTTGTGGAGCATAACCACGTCTCGTGCATTGTTACCACTGCAGGCGGTATTGAGGAGGATTTCATCAAGTGTCTCGGCGACACTTATGTTGGCTCATTCAGTACCCCTGGAGCTGATCTCCGTCGCAAGGGTCTCAACCGTATCGGAAACCTTGTCGTACCTAATGCAAACTACTGCGCGTTCGAGGACTGGGTTGTTCCTATCCTCGATAAAATGCTTGAGGAGCAAGAAGCCAGCAAGGGTAAAGGTACCGAGGAGATCAACTGGACACCGTCCAAGGTAATTCACCGTCTTGGCAAGGAGATCAACGACGAGCGATCTGTTTACTATTGGGCGTACAAGAACAACATCCCCGTATTTTGTCCTGCCATCACTGATGGAAGTCTGGGAGACATGCTCTACTTCCACACTTTCAAGACCTCACCTCTGCAGCTGAAGATCGATCTGGTCGAGGACATTCGCCGCATTAATACCATCGCCGTCCGAGCCAAGCGAGCCGGTATGATAATTCTAGGCGGTGGTATCATCAAGCACCACATTGCCAACGCATGCTTGATGCGAAACGGTGCTGAATCAGCTGTCTACATCAACACAGCGCAAGAATTCGACGGCAGTGATGCTGGTGCGAGACCAGACGAGGCTGTATCATGGGGCAAGATCAAGATTGGTGCTGATCATGTGAAGGTAAGTTGACTGCGATTCCTCGCTCGTTGCCGGGTAGACACTAACCTTCATTCACAAGGTTTACATGGAGGCCACAGCATGCTTCCCATTCATCGTGGCAAACACCTTTGCAAAGGATATTGGAAAATCCGATCAAAATTAAACAAACTATCATAATATAAATGCAACAAAACACAAATGCGGCTGATGAACATTGTGCGATCCACTCGATTGTTTGTGCTAGGGCAGAAGTAAAATGCTCCATGTGAGAGTGACACTATGAACATACATGATACCCCTCTATGGTACAGAATTAGACCACAATGTCTAAACATTCATGCAACTTAGTTCCCACCAGATCCGAGAAAACATTTTTCTACATGGGTGGTAGTACAATTCCAGTGTCTGTTTCTGGATGTTCCCTTCCCACTACTCCTCTGGGCTCTTCACTCGCCTTCAACTTCGGTTTAGAGTTCTTCGCAAAACTGACACAGATCCTCTCGATCCTTTGCGATGGTAGCGGAAGTTTCCTCATCAGTTGTGGTGGTAGTGGTAAATTCTTCGCTGTTCGTGGTGGTGGCAGTGATAGATTCTTCGTTACTTGTTGCGGTGGCAGTGACAGCTTCGTTATTGTTTGTGATGGTAGAAGCAGCTTCAACATTGTTTGCGATGGCATTGGTAACTTCTTCTTCTTCTTCATACAATTCTTGAGCCTTCTGAGCAGCTCGTGCAGCTTTTCGCTCGGCTCGCTCTCTGTCGACCTGGCCACGAGGTCGGTATCGTCGCTTGTTTGCCTGACGACGCTCCTCTTTCGCCCTGGCGATCTCGTCCTCTTCCTGTTGTCGTCGCCGGATCTTATCCACGTCGATGGTGCCCTTTCGCATGTTCTTAACAGCCTCGGAGTCATCAGGAAGGTACGGGGTAGGGTTGCCAAGTCCCCCTGGTCGCATCAGAAGATATCTGACAGCGTCAAAGCCGTTGACATTTCCATCGGCATCTTTGGCGGCGTTGCAGGCATCGCGCCAGAAGGCCACAGCACGGCTGTCAGGTCGTGCGATGGGACAAGGTGGAAAGTTGGGAGGAAGAGTCGGAATCTCATCACTGCTGCGAGATTCGTCGCTACGGCGTCTCTTGGTGGGCTTGTTAAGTCTCGGAGGGAGGTCCTTGTGAACTTCGGCAGGAGAAATAGTAGAAGATCGATCGTCTCCCTGAATACCATGGGCTGGCAAGGCAGGACTGTTCTGGGGAGAGTCGGCCTCTTGGGAAGATGTGCTTGTCTCGATGGGAGTTGGCTCGACCGCTTCAGGCTCCTCAACAGGTAGCTGGGTTCGAAACAAGTTACCCCGACCTAAATTGGATGATTAGCAAAGAACATATTATGTACCGTTTTGTAGTAGGGGACTCACCAGGCCTGAGGCCAAAGTCCCGCTCGACGGCGGCCTGACGGAGAGTCATATCTTGTACTGTCTGTGGAGACATGAGATCAAGTGTTAATCGATGGAATCGACCAAGGCGCAGTACCTGAAGACTCAGGTATTTGCTGCCAAACAGTGATATCAAGAGCCTGTCTGTGAAGAGAAAACGGGGGGGAGTGTGAAGAATCCGCAAAAAGGTTTGGTGAAATTTAGAAGAAAGATCACAGTTGGTAAACAGAGTTGAAATAGGAAACGAAGAGCTTGAGGAAAACATTCTGACGTTAAAGGTTAAAGATGGTTGTCACTTTGCCAGTTCCTGTTCCTGTCCCTGGCAAGGCACCCGCTGAACGTTTTGGGTTCCAGGCCGGGAAAGCAAGCGAAAAGACGAATTTGTAATAGAACCTTGGGCTCTAAAGCTCGTGAGTCTATTGAGTACCTACCTAGTGTTTGTAATGCTGCAATATAGCGTATTTAGTTCCCTAGCTATCGCACTGGATAATAAAGGAGTCGAAGTGGCCAACAATACTTTCGTGCGCAGCATATTTGGTCCCAAACCCAACTCTCAAACTTCTCCGATAGTTTGCTTGAACTCTTTCAAAGCCGCTTCCCACTCGATCGCGCCGTCAGACTCTGCCCAGGAGGAAACTTTCTGAATACCCTCAAGATCATCCTTCATGTGACTCTCGGTCGTCGTTCCGTCGAGAACCGTGACACTCTGGAGGCCCAACACAAGAGCATAATACGCGGCCACTTTCTCGACACCCACTTTCTCTGCTATGGTCTTGACTGGCTTGGTTACAGCGAGTTTGGGATTGGCGCTGAGGGTCCAGAAAGACTGGAAGGCGATCTCTTGCTGCCGACAATAAGCTCTGAGCTCTATCTCGAACTTTGTGTCGGGATAAAAGCGGTTCTGAACAACACTAGGTTTGACAGAGACTGCATCATTAAGCGCTTTGAGAATGGGGAGTGTCGTGTTTGAGATGCCTAGGTTGCGAATTTTATGTGGCACGTAAGTCTCAAGAGTCTTCCATGCCGTGATGGTATCCTCAATAGTTTGCAGTGGGCTGTGCAAAAGCACACTGTCAAAGTAAGGCTCCTCGCCATCAACGGTGAAGTATGCCAGTGATGACCGGACCGATTGGTGAACTTTGTCGACCAGCGGCGCATCGAAATCATAAGGCGCATTCTCGTCTTGGTTACCTGGAGGTGAGAACTTTGTTTGAAGCTGATAAATGGATCAGTATTTAACCAGATTCCAGGTAGATCCATGAGATTCATGAAGAGACAAGACTTACAAACAGTCCTTCGCGCGTAACAAGACCGTCCTTGATGGCTCTCTGGACACCCTGTCCCACGCCTTTCTCGTTGTAATGCTTAGGTTGACCGGCCGTATCAACTCCACGGAAGCCGTGTTTAATCGCAGAGTAGACGAGGTCTGCGGACCTGTCCTTCTTCCAAGCTGTGCCATAGACCAACTTTGGCATGGCAGTAGATGAGCCTTTGAGGGCGATATCCTTGGCTAATTTGGCGGCCATGTTCAGTGAATTTACTAAGAGCTGAGATAGGGCTCGGTATAGAGAATTGGGCTGTGGGAGATGGTGCTAGATAATCGAGTCTACAACGAGGTCAAAAATAGCTCGAGTGGTGATGTTGGGTTAATCATGGTATGTTGAGCCTCAAAACGGCCTGCACATGGCGTCGATTACATCGACCAACCGCAATTCAAGGCAGCCAATCACTGGCTATACGCACTCAAGATTCCCCGCGGTATTGTGCAACCATCGACCCAACACCTCATGCAACGGTGATGATCAGGATAGTCCTGACTAGAAAGTATAGAGGTTATTTAAACCCTGGTAATGAACATATCATAGTCAGCCGAACGGGCAGTTGTCAAGTCGATATCATGATTCCTTTGAAGATCTATGAAAGCTGGGTATAACCCGGATACATCACAAATAGGCACTAAATGACGTTGTTGTATAGTGCGTTATTTCCGCTTACAACCCCCGCACATTAACGCGGGGGCCGTGGGGTTTCAGGCAATTGTCCAACAAAGATACCTACTCACAGTTCAAACTGATTACGCCTTTAGAATAAATAATAGTTCAGCCACCGTCGACCTCAAGATAGACATTGAACTTGAACCAAATATTAAAAAAGGCTTGTCCTAGAGTTGTTTAGGCTAAGAGATCGGGGAGTATTACTGAATATGGATACTAAGTGAAGCAATTCCGTACCTCTCCTCCACAAAACCTCTCAGAGGCCCTCCACCTCCAGCTATCAACACCATTGGATCGGTTTGCGCTGTTGCCCCGCCATAGCTCTGAGGGGTTGGAGCTGTATTAGGATAAAGTCACGTCACTCGAGACGTTGACATAGAGAAATTGATATTGTTGAACTTGCACTGCTCATATAACTTTCAAATCATTTGCTGTGCGTGATATACCAACCTTGTAAATCATCAAAAATCGCAGTTATGGCTCCTTACACTGCTAAATGGGGAATCTTGGCCACCGGTGGCATCGCTGAGTGTAAGTTCCGATCTTACGCCATCAACTTTCCAAAACAAAAACACCAAGCTAACTATCACCGCCATCTAGGCTTCACCAAGGATATCCTCACAGACCCTGCTGCCCGTGACGTCGACGACGTGCGCCACGAGATCGTTGCAGTTGCATCTTCCAGCTCCGTCGACCGCGCACGCGATTTCATCAAAAAGATTGACGGTCCCTCTTCTGCCGCGACATATGGCTCTTATGCTGAGCTCGTCGCCGACCCCAATGTCAACATCATCTACGTCGCTACTCCTCACAGCCATCACTTCCAAAATGCCATGCTGGCCCTCGAGGCTGGTAAGAACGTTCTTTGCGAAAAGGCCCTCACTGTGACTGTGGCGCAAACCAAGAAGCTATATGAGGTTGCCAAGGCCAAGAATCTCTTCTTTATGGAGGCTGTCTGGACACGATACTTCCCCCTCAGCATCAAGATCCGAGAGTTGATTCAGTCGGGTGCTATTGGCACTGTTTATAGAACATTTGGTATGTATGCTTCTGTGCCAAGCTTTTCCATCGCTCTGTTTCGAAGAGTCACTGGCTCACTTGTATAGCCGACCTATCATTCAACAAAAACACCGATAGTGAGGACCTCGATTTCCCTGACTCCAACCGTATGGTCAACCCAGATCTTGCAGGCGGCGCTTTACTTGATCTCGGTATCTACTCATTGACTTGGGTCTTCCAATCTCTCTACCACGTTCAGCCCGAGGCAGACAAGGAGTCCCCAAACGTTGTGGCTTCCATCAACAAGTACCGCACCGGCGCTGATGAGTCCACGAGCATCATCTGTCAGTTCCCCAAGCACAACAGTGTCGGTATTGCAACCACCTCACTACGTATCGCCACCGACGTCGACGGTCTTTACACTGGTGGCCCTGCCATCCGAATCCAAGGCTCCAGGGGTGAGATTCAGGTTACAGGCCCCGCATTCCGACCGACCGAGTACAAGGTGATTAAGTCGGACGCCAATGGCAAGGTGGAAGTAGTGAGCTGCCCGATTCCAACAGACCCCAAACGCAACGACTGGGGCCACGGTATGTTCTGGGAGGCCGATGAGTGCGCGCGATGCCTACGCGATGGCAAGAAAGAGAGCTCCTCAATGCCTTGGTCTGAAAGTATCGCCATCATGGAGGTTATGGACAGCGCACTCCAGCAGGGTGGTGTGTCGTACCCCGAACTCATCACCACCGATGTGTTTGATCCCAACAGTCCCCTCAACACTGGCAAGAAATGAAGACATGACGTGTACGGAGTGATATCGAAAGTTATGATAGAGTGTACATGTACATTGAAAAAGGAACATACAAGGATGTTAGAAGGCATTGGTTACACTGTCAGTTACAACTTAGCTGCATCATGGAACTGCATCATTGAACCAAGTTGGATGTGAATGGTCAACATTTGCATAAGTTGCATACTACGCACATCGTCGCAGATCAACAGTTCCGGCGCCACTCCGTTCAAGCGGGAGAGTGAGATTAACGGTTCGTGTCAGATGTGATATGACAAGGGAACGAACACCCTTGGCTTACAAGACCAACAATCACAACCCATGTGAAAATTATGCTTCAATCGAACTGTAAAGTACGAAAAGGCTTGTGAATCACAGACATTTCCACGTTGCACTGGTTGAACCCCTGTTGCGCGTTGCAACCACGAGGAAACCATTCATGTTCGGCTGAGACACCGAGTTCTGGGCTCTTCGATAATATGACCAAGGATGAAAAGGCTTATGAAGCATTCGGCCTCGGCCTGGGATGACGTGCAGCGTTCACTTTCAAGCGAGCGGGAGCATCCATGCCCAGCTGGCGAACCCCTGGCGCGAACGCTGAACCGATCAAGAACATGAGTGTGTGATATATGTACGTATGTACATATTTATTTGACACGCGAGGAGGGGGGGGTCCGCGCCAGAAGCGTTCCATCGAGAATTGCACGGGCTTGTTTCTTTTTCTTTTTCTTTTTTCCTTTCTTGACGAAGTGGCTGTTAAGTATTGTTTGTGAATGGGGTGATGAGATGTGAAGAGAAGTATTCGTAACATGTTGGATGAGATTGTGGTGCAGGGGACCCTGAGAGCAGTTTGAGGCCTGGAAGCGGATCCGAGGGTGTTCGTTGACCGGGGGCCTCAAAAAACAGACAGGGGATGAGACATTTTTTATGAGTACGTAGTATTCCGTATTAATATCACGTTCATCGCTTCACGTAGATCATACTGTAGTGTACTTGAGTATACTTTATGTCGTCTACTTGACGTTCATCCACCATATATGGCTCTCTCTTGCATGTGACAGCCTCTAATTGAAACTTGACTGTTAAAATCAGACAAAACTATATCAGTATGAGGAAAGTGATATTGACATTTGCTCCGTGCTTTTTACTAAATGTCTCAGTATCGACCAACAGTTCAAAACTTCAAAGGGCTCACTCATCTCGCCTCAAGCCACAGATGGAGCCGCCCCAAGCTAAAGACTCCACTAATAACCGTTCGTTACCCGCCGAACCAGGGCATTTTTACTCACTTTGAATTATTGGAGAAATTGCCTGCCTACTTGATTTGACTATTAGACTACCTACCTTACCTAACCTAAGGTATCATCTGCAGATACAGAACCAACAAAAAGTCAGCCCAACATACGCTCAGACACAAGTAAAATTCACGCCCCCCCTTCCAAAGACTCCAAGGATTGCCTCAAAAGGTTCACTGAGACAGGGGAATATTCTACTCCACCAAGGTGGCCTGGCCCTGCAAGAGAGAACTTCTCCTCATCACTACCTACCCACCTAAGGTATCAATCACCATGGCAAGTGCTTCGTCGGCCACACCGGCTGGAGATGAAGAGAGCAGACCAAGCGAGCAGTTCTCACAATCTGCAGCGGAAGAGGCGCCCGAGACATACGAGGCTACCCATGTCCACGAGGTCTACGAGGCCATCGCTCCGCACTTCTCAGCCACTCGCCACAAGCCCTGGCCTCGCGTTGCCAGCTTCTTGCTCTCCCAGCAGCCCGGCAGTCTTGGTCTCGACGTCGGCTGCGGCAACGGAAAGTATCTGCGCGTTAACCCGACTGTTCACTTGCTTGGTTCCGACCGGAGTCCGTCCCTTGTCCAACTCGCCCGGACTGAGCTGCGTCGCCCGCGGGAGGACGACGTCGAGCTGGATCCTAGGATCTCCGATGTCGACGTAGCTGTTGCCGATGGCTTCGCCCTCCCTTACCGCAAGGCTGCCGCCGACTTTGTCATCTGCATCGCTGTTGTGCACCACATGTCGACACGTGAGCGTCGACAGGCCGCCATCGCAGAGCTGCTGGCTCTCGTGACGCCCCAGGCCGGCCGCGTTCTTGTCTACGTGTGGGCGCTTGAGCAAGCGTCGAGCCGTCGCGGGTGGGACGCGGGCAGCGACCAGGACCGCCTGGTGTCGTGGGTGATGCGCAAGCCAAAGGGCCAGGAGCCCGGGGGCACGTTCCAGCGCTACTATCACTTGTACAAGGAGGGTGAGGTCGAGGAGGACGTCGTGGCGGCTGGGGGCGTCGTGGTGGAGAGCGGCTATGAGAAAGACAACTGGTGGGTGGTATGTAGTCGACCGTCGTGAGCACAGCAAGCACGGTAAGCTGCGGCAACAGTCAACATCTTATAGGCGTCACACAAAACAAAAGAAGAAGAAAAAAGTACTGTATATGAACATGGATACCAATTTTACGAAGCATCTTTCACCGATATTTTAAATCTGCAGACATATATGCTTGTTGAACCAACAAAGAGCAGTAACCCGCTTTCGAACTTGCATTAATTAGATTCAAGACACTCTCTTGAACAAAAGTAAGGATACTAACTGTACAATCCAATCCATCTAGACCGGTTTCCCTCCTCTATCGTATTTCCAGTCAAGTCTATCGAACTGGGCAAAAAACAACAATGATCAAGCAAAAAGCAAACGCTGTGCAACAAATAACAACCTTGTCTCTCTCTCAACTCCATTTTCCCGAGGTCGCCCCTGACCTCATCCTCTGTGATGCTTCCGTTGCTAGCCCAACTCAGACAGCTCTGACCAATGCAAGAGTGAAATAAGAAAACAATACCATAGTAAAAGACAATTCAGAGAATCGAAAAAAGAGAAAAAAGGAAACACCACTAATGTCTTTTCCACCAATGTTTTCTTTGCATCGAGTCATGTCCACATTGCATTCCATCCTGTCCCATCCTATTCCGTCCAGTCGTCAAGTCCAATATGCTGCTGTGATCCTTGATTATGATTCAGTCGAGAACCGAAGCCAAGACACGGTCAGTTCTCAAGTCCCTTGTTCTGTTCATCCCATACAACTATGCAACCGTTGTGTAAATCCATCATGATAAAGTCGTACAATCATCACCCTGTCCGTAACCCAAACACCACACTCTGCAAAATGAGTCGCAATAGAAATGACAAACAAAATCTCGCATCTTTACTCCCATGTGCAGATGTTGTACATTTGCCAGAGGTCGATCCAACCTACACAATGCGGCGCCGCTGGTTTGCTTCGTGTTGGTAGTGATCTGGCGAAGCTTTTCGCTTATTGCCGGCCGACTCCATTGAGTAACTGGCAAGGCTCGAGTATAAAGATCCAGGGCCGACCCCGGGCATGGGCCCCAAGTTAGGTGCTGCTGCTGGCGTACTATACGGACTGACGCCACCAGTGAGCTCAGCGACTCCGGGAAGCATACCAGCGCTTCGGGGTGGTGGCTGGTTCTGAATGGGAGCCAATCCTGGTCCAGGCACATACTGAACTTCGGCGAGATCAGGACCCATAGGCAAGGGGGGAGGCGGGGGGATCGACTCTCGGCGGGGAGCCATGGTTCGGTTGCTGGCAGGCATCGGGGGAGGTCTGTTGTACACCATTCGAGGTGATGGCGCTCCAAGATCGCGAGAGATACTGCTCTGGGACTGTGAGTGAACGTGGCTACGTGAGGGCGAGCCTCGATGGCTGCTGTTGCCCTCAACATTGACTGCGGCTAGCGAGAAAGGAATAACACCTGCACGTCTGGCCATGTCTGCTTCGCCAAGCTGCCAATGCATGGCCTCTGCTGCTCGCCATGGGACTGCCATCTCTTCTGCGACTTTAGCCCACATCTCCGGCTTAAACCTGTGATTTTGTCAGTACTTTCTCAAAAGGAGATACCAGAGAGTGTGTTATTGTTCTGGTAGCCTTGAGGTTCAAAGCGGTCAACTTACCTCTCGTATAGTCTGGCCAGCTTGTTCTTGCGTTCCTCGTCCCATTCACTCCGTCTTTCTAAGTAGTTCTGATAGTGTAGACGGCAACTAATCGCACTTCGACCTGGCAGACGCTTGGAAATATCCTCCCACTTCATTCCTTTTCCCCGAAGCTCAATGATGAGGGTATCTTCCTCTGGTGACCACTTACTCTGCTTCTTGACCGGCGGTTGATCCGAAGCATGGGGAGGCATGCCTCGCCTTCCAGACATCTGTGTCGAGATTCCAGGTGTCGGCGCAACATGCGCAACCAGTCGAGGTGAAGCGTTCGATAGTTTGTGTGGGAGTTGTTGATAAGTGAGTGCTGGAGCCGGTTGGGGTTGACGAGACGGCGAGACAGGATGCTCACGAGATCCAGATGCCTTCAGAAAAGCAGCGAAATCCACCGCGCTATTCTGACCACCCAGTCTCCCTGGATGAGGACCGTTTGCATATGAGCGAGGCGTCCGCCCCCGGTCGAAACGATCTTCCAGACCTATGATGGATGATGATAACTCTGCCCGCAAGAGGCAGAGTGAAGCCTCGCTCTTGAGTTGGGCCAGCTCGGCGACTTTTGCGGATGTTGTTTTCAAGGGTGACCTGTAGCAGCGGCTTCGATAAGCCTAATGCTGCTTGATAGTTATATGTCACTGTGTCACAGTGCCCCTAATATCCGCTCCGTTTTCTGTATAGACAGTTGAGTAGCTAGCTTCTGGGGTGCGTGAACTGTGTTCGTAAGATAAGATGTGATAGTAAGCCTCCTTTCTCAGATCTGTGAAGAGGTCTAATGGCTTGTGTTGCAACTGTCTCAGAGTCTAATAGTCGTTCAGTGTAGTAGTGGTGGAGGCCTTCTCGTATTGACTACTGCGTAGTGGTGGTGGGCAGCTGGGTTAGGTATCGACACTGTTGGGCTCTGTCAGGTACCAGGTTGCCACAAAGATGCAAAAGGAGAAGAACTGTCTCGGGAGGCGACAGTGATCGTTGTTCAGATCATGAAGCGTGGCTCCAAGGCTTTGATGGGCAATAGGCAATGTGATTGGTGATGTCCAGGGTTCTCTGCAGCCAATGGATGGAAATAGTATGATATGGTGAGGCAGAGCAAAGTCGTGGGGCGCCAATCGAGGTAAAATGAGGCCAAGGTAAGGCTTGTTATCTCGGTAGCTGGTATCTAGAGCTATGGGAGACAACTGGGTCGATAAGGTGACAAGACGTGGGAGGCAAAAAAGAAGATCTTCGAGGAGTTCGATCACTTTGAATAAAGAGAAACGTCGGTCAGATCTTCCGCTGGGCCCCTACTAACTTAGTATGACCTTGAGGAGCTATAACTCATGCACAGGGCCAGGACCCACGTTATGGATCGCCTTGCTTCTTCTTCCTCTTGCTGTTGTTGCAAATATTGACCGAGGTCAAGACACGAGCGAGGAGTCAGAACCGGACAGGAACCCAAGCTGAATGAGGCTAAGGTAGACTCTGGAACAATGGAAAAAGAAAAGAAAGATCCAACCCGGGAAGTATCATCAAACTTCAAGTCCAGAAGAAGAGGCGACGACAGCGACGTAACGGTGTGGGGAGACAAAGATGCAGCGAAGAAATCAGGGTCTGATTGTATCTCCACGAAAAGTGTAGATGGTGTGTCTTAATAGGAGGCCCAACCTATAGTGTACCTACATGACGAAGAAACCCATGGTAAGAAGCACGAGCTTTGAGCTGCTTCAAGGAACATGGGAGGGGTGTCAACAACATTTTGGTGCAGCAGGGGGTATCGGGAGGCGTATAAATCATTGAAAGATGGAGATGTGAGGAGTGGAGTCTGTCCGTTTGGTAATAAGGCAGAGTACATCGACAGGCCGGGGATTAACGTTGGAGAAGAGCATGGCATTGTTGGCTGTGCGCATGCCTCCTAGTATTAGTCTCTTGGTGTTGGTGTTGTTGGCGTTGGTTCCGTCCGTACCTTGTGACTTTGTAGCGGCTCATCATTTCCTGAAGAAATCTATCCGTCGGTGAAAATATTTGAAGAAAGATGAACCAGCACCAAAAAATAATAAAAAGTTTGATAAAAAAAGAAAAAAAAAGAGATGTTAGGTGATGCAATGCAGAACGCATTATGCCCAATGAGTTGGCCATATACGAACCTGTAGGCGGAGGTTATCCAGAGTTTCGTCTTGATCGAGTCGCGCACAATCTCCTCATAAAGCCATGTTCATTCAGATATCCATGATGTAGTCCTTCAGCCAGCATAGCAAATGCTACTTTTGAAGCCATAACATGCCACTATGGCCTCAGCAACACCCAGCGAGATAACTCATCATGACAAAATAAATCTGGCACCTGTCATCGTGGAGGCAAGGGTAATAGCTCAACACCACATTTTTGCTGCGCGGATGAACTGCTGTACAACGACGTACTAGGTACTACGTAGGTAGTACACCGCAACGCTCTTAAGTGCCTCATCGCCTTGCACAGCCGCGGCCTTGTCTGGTCTGGTCCTCTTCTGCCATGCCCTTGTCTTCTTGCCTTGCCTTGGCCTTGGCTGAGAGGGGGTGCTGGCGTCTATTCGTCTCTAGATTTGAGGCTGGTGTTTTAGGCACACACCTCCCTGATTCTGCACTAGGCCATCATGGACACCTCTGGTCCACGTTACTGCGATCTTCGCATGGGGGAGAGCTTGCCGGCTTTTTTTTTTGTTCGACGACAACTTGACAAGGGCAGGGAATATTAATTAATTGGACTCGGAAGGGCGCGTGTCATAAAGTAACAACTCTTGTTGAATTGCTTCATTTACATCCGTCCATGATATACATGAAGAGCAAACGTCAAGGGGCAGAATGTAGATGATAGGAATAAATGACAGTTGGTACCTAAGGTATGTCTCTCCATGTTTGAGCCTGAGGGCCCTTGGCACGTGGCAACAGAAGCGACGGAAAGTAACAGAACTCATTTACCGCTCTCATGCAGTGTTAATAGTCATTCATGTATGCGCATTCTTTTTTTTTTCTTCTCCCAAAATGTTTGAGTCCAATGCCTCAGAGGAAGAAATAACACTTGTCTCTCCGGCACAGCTGATCCTTTGATGTATACATAGTCGTCCAAGAACATACCTCCATCAGCATGTAGTTAGTATTGAAGAAATGCCACGAATCTTTGCATAAATTTCAATGATACAATCGATGTATGAGGAGGTCAATTCTCTCGGTCTGAGGCATTTGAAGCTCGTCATCAGACTGGCTCCCTTCCAAAAAGAAAATAGTTCCTTGGGATAACTTGAGGCCCTCTGTGTTTTAAGCCACAAGTCTGAGTATGTCTCATTCTGAACTCTCTGATCGTGTCAGCATGCAACAGGAAACATAGAGCTTGGCACTTGCTATATCTCGGGCATGGATGTCGGGAGAAAGAATGTCTGTATGAAGTCACTAAAGTGTGTATACTTGCCGCATGAACCCAGTTCCCTTTCGCATATCGGGCACCCGGAAAGGCCAAATTAGATGACAGCTACCTAACTCGATGTGGTAGCGCATGTGTACATGCGAGTCGAGACAACATGAAGACCGTTGAATTGGCGCCCCAACCGGGATGTCCACTAAGTTATGGAACCAAGGGGTTCGCACGAACCACCCAGTTCGAGACAGCTGGCTCAGTCAATCAGACTGCTGCACTACTTGACAGTTCTCGCACCAGTGTGGCCCATGTACGTAAGGCTTGGGCCTCAGATGATGGGCGATATGTGAGCCAAAGCTTGCAATAGTGGTTGTGCGGAGTATTTCTGAGGTATTGGGTATCGCATTCGAAGTCGGCTTGATTATTGAAGTGAGCGATCATGGGTACGTGCTCATGGTGTTGGTTTTCCCAAATTCGAAGGATTCGCAGCGTATTAGTAGCGAAGCAGGGGTAAGATACCTACTCCAAAAAATATATGGATTTGGCATCAGGAATCTCCGCCATGCCAAACCAACCGCCATCTTATTAACCCACGTTGCCCAGCTAAGCACAGCACGCTCAGCCTGACAGTAACTTGCCCAAGCGCCGACAAACGACAAGCAGGTCAGCTTCAACGTCAGCGCGCGGTGATCGTTGGGGTGTGGTATGATCGTCCGCGGGGAGCTGAATGCTAGGATCGAGGTCGAATCTGTTCGAGATGAGGTCCGCGTTTGTGCTAATTAAAGCGTAGTGGAGATACTGAGGCTTGTAGTTTGCGGTTGCGCTCGGCTCGATGTACCACCGTACCAACCATACCAGGCACAAGACAACTAAAATAAAGATCCTACAGGGGTCGGTTGAGCAATGAATGCCAAACATTACATATCAGTTGCCCCAAATAGTCAAGGGCATATGGGTTGGGTAGTACCTGAGATTCCGTTCTGAGGAGAAATCTTCTTTTTTCCCTCGTTCAGCCTCGAATGACAAGTACCTTAAGGCACCAACCGAGTTAGCACTTTCCACTCGGAAGATATCATGCTCTAGGTAGGTGCTAGCCACATCGCGTCTATACCTTCTTTAGGCATGACAAGGCAGGTGAGTGCCTACCTATTGTCCGGCAGGTACCGCCCTACCAATATAGTACATACATCAGAATAAGGGAAGCAATCGTCAATCTCACCTACCTATTCTAATGACCATGACTCTTTTACATCATTCACAATCTTTCGATAGAACGGGGGCCATAAGACAGTGGTAATTATGGTTACTACAAACCCAGTTTGAATACGCCATTGCCATCTGCCAAACCCCTTGCAAGTCAAACTACCAAGCCATGAACGGCCAGCAATGGCAGCACAATTTGGCCACACCTTCTTTTTATCATCAACTCGGGCTTTACCTCACTCGGAAGACCGCTCAAGCTTCAAACACAAGCCCAACGACCGTCTGTGCGCTGCTCCCGAACGGATGCTTTCCAGGCACACACCGATCGTCATTTGGTACAGACACGCCTCTTGAACGTTTGACCTTGCTTTAATTACTGAGGCCCTACAAGACATCAATCACCGTGGCCGCCTCAATATTTCCTTGTTCAAACAAACACCGAGGTCGATACAAAGAAGGCCCGGCCCGAGTTGTAGACTTGGTCAACAGAATTGTGCAGCCACTTGATTGGTGGGGCACAGAATAATGGCCAGCCCCGTCAACTTTGATAATACTGACTGATACTTGGGCTTCTATCAATTATCAACGCAAGACTTCCTGCCTAGATTCAACCTGCGAGCTTTTTTTTTCATCACGCTCCATCCCGCTCTCTTCACGGGTTTTCGTTTGCTCCACGTCGCTCCCACTAATGAGCACAGCCGGGAACACCCTGGGAAGCACTGAATTCTGATGATGAACTGGCGGTCAGAGAGAGAAAATCATCGAAAAAGAGGCTTGACTACAGAGATACTACACGGCCAGATACATACCTACCCGGCCCTTCCTGTAGGGTTGGTACATGCTGGCGACTGACCGATATCCATGGTTTGAGCAGCTAAGAACAAATTCTTTTTAGCTTCAAGGTCATGCCTTGTCATTTGCGAGCCGTCGAACACGCATGATGCGATCAGTTGCTGTTCATTATGCGGGCTGTTGTGTCTAAGCATCAGAAGCTGCGATGAAGTCTGAGAATGGATGCACGCGTGCAAGGTAGATAATCTTGAGTGTTGAATGACACAACGGTGAGGCGTGAACGAACCAAATTTGTGTTAGATTCCAAAAACTGCTTGAGTGACAGAGAACCTCAGTCACCTTCAGCAACGAAGCAGCCACACTGGGCAAGTTGGGATCTTGTTGGCACCCAAAAGTACACGAGCCCAACGGGTTTACATACAACTCTATTATGTCTGGTTGTGTCGCTCGCTTGGTCACCTTTGGTGATTTTGCACGTCGAATAGACTAGACTATACGGTGGAGAGACTGAACACTGGACCGTGTTTAAAGATGGCGTTACACGGGAGCCGTCGCTAGTGTGAGATTGGATGGGCGAACTGCTGCCCCGCAGGCCTCTCAGATCGGATATCGCCATCGTCCCTGGAATCTTCCTGAAATTCTTGACGAACTGGTGTTGCCATCACTGCGGATTATCAGTCTCACTCCTATAATAAGGCTGGGATTTGGGGCCTTTCTTGGGGTGCCACGTCGTGTCGAGTCCGCAGTCAGATAACTCTCAGCAGGGCAAGGATGTGTTTCCACCTCGATGGACGTCGTGACCGCCACAAGGCATCCACCTCGATGAAGAATTTTCCCTCCTCTTGCTCTTTTAGCAGAATGCTTCGGTGCCATTCCGTCTTTATTGGGCTCAAAGAGTTGTGATTCTAGCCTCGAAGTGCAGCTCCCTAATCCTTTGCATGCCTTCTTACGTTGCAAGGATGATGTGGAGGTGGGCTAGATCTGCAGTCCAGGATCTTAGGCATCGTCCTAGCTGTTTTTTCCTCGGCAAACCAGACACCGAGAAGCGGTTTGGAATGTGTTATCATCGCAGCAGCCAGGTTATGACGATGGATGGCATGAAGGTCGGTCTGGTTGAAACCCAGCCGAGCTACGACAAAGCCTTTTCCTTCTTAGTATTCCCTACGATTCCCAACAGTAAAGCTAAGTAGCTGATATATTCCGTCCCTGTTGGTGCCTGTACGAATCGAACCTTTCTCAGTCCTGACCTGAGTGTTTCAAGCCCTTCTTGCTACAATAAATGTCATTCGCAGCTGGCATGCGTTATAAGAGTCTGAAGAACGAAAATAGAAGACTCTAACTTATTGGCAGTGGGTCTTTTCCTACGCTAGTTTCCCCAGTCTCTTCCATACACATTTGGAGGTTCATAGATGTGGCATTGCGGGTGCTGTTCGGACAGGCCCTAAAGCCCACTTCTCATGACAAACCAAGGCCGAAACATATGTCAAGTGAGCTGCGGCGCATGTGTATGTCGCTCCTCCAGTCATTCAGTCATCCAATCTAGCCAGCCCATCGGTGGGCCAGCTTATTACAAGGCTAGAACGGCTGGACCATCTTGAATAGGGTCTCATGCACAACACGCTACCAAGTTCCTGTGGAGACTTGGAGGCGGAAACAGAGTCGGTAAAAACCTGGAATATCATAAATCTACGATTCAACTTAATTTTGCGTACTCAGGGCAGGTTGTCACCGCTTCCTCAAGGCAATAACCTAGATATGCTTTGTGTAGAGCAAAGTATGGTCTATGCTTGTTTGTCAACGATGTGGATACGAACTAGCTACGAGGTTGGGTGGAAACAAATGAGAAGAAGCTCATCCGGCAAATCCATGTCTCTCTGCGCGCGTCATTCACCTGGCTCGCAGAACCGAGCGTTTGGAGATCCAATGACTGGATACCAGGCGTAGTTGAATGATAGAACACAGTCCAGAGAACCAGATTGCTGCGTTATGCACACTCCTTGGCGAGCGAGCACAAGGATTGGTTACGCTGAGAGACTACGGTAGGTACCGAATATATCAAGTTGTTTCAAGATTGCTCCATGATGAGAAACTTGCTATCATTACTTGTTATCAAAAACCAGATAAGTACTGTCTTCATTTGTGTCAAGCGCAGTCATCTAAACCGACCCCCACTCTAACGACTTACATGATTACTTTTTTGTTTTAGGCGGTGAGATCAGATACTGATGGAATGTAGCGACAAAAAAGAGACAGAGACTTGGGTCATGTCCTACCTTGACGTCAGAGCAACGGGAGCGGTACCTTGCTTGACCGTATTACTACCGTGGTATATGGGATATCCTTAGCACAACAAGGACTGGGCATGTGGCCTATGAGCATCTCCAGTAGCAACCGGCCCGGCCCAGACGAAGCAAACTAGCAATTGGATGACAGCCTACATAATTGGCGCAAGAAGTTAACGAGAGGAAGAAGGTCCAAAATCAACCACTGAGTTCGAGAGAATTTGCTGCGAACCGTTTGGTGGGTGGTAAGTGACGTGTCATGAGGGTCATGCCATAAACATCAGGGACAAGCGTTTCGTCCCATCGAAAACCCCGAAACCCCCCCAGCTGTTTGCTCGGCTAGTTGCATACGAGTTCCGGTGCAAAATCAGATCTTAGCGTCTCCCGTGGAGTATCCGGCCAGCATACACAATATTGTAGCTGTGTTTGCTCTGGCCAAACACTCGTCATCAGCCCTATGCTTTGCTAATCAAAGCTCTCGTACACAACACGGCAAGAGAAACAGTGTGTACGTCGCTTGCCTGCCCAGCTATTGAATAAGCTTAAGCAGTGGAGGCTACATCAAGAGCATATCGGATGATGTGAAACGGCGAGCATCACGCTCAGACCCAGATTGCAACAAGGCGAACGCATTATTGCAAAGTCCTTGAGAGGCGAAGCAAGTGCTGAACTGTCCCCGTCTTGAACCACTCATGAGCAGACTAGCAGTACTCCCCTCACTATCACCGTTGTCCTTGCGTGCCAAGTATCATCATGTACAAGGGAACCAGAAACAACGGATCAGACATTCAGGGATCTACCAGTCTGTCGCCAACCCACGATATCCCGACGTCTGTGAGCCGCGCAGCCATCCTCCTCAAGTTTAGCCAAATGTGGCAGTCCATGTGTTTGATCACCGTAGCAGGTACTATCGCTCGCAACAACAACAAACGGTATAGGGATTATCCCTGTAGGCCGGTGCTTTGAGTGTATCATAGTGAGATGATACGACAGGTGGAGGTGCAACGGGCTCAAGAAGAGTGCAGTCGCAGAGGCGGAGGCGGCGGGGTACCACGCAACTAGGGAGCGGAGAGTGCGGATGTCATTGTGTGCCTGATGGGTAACGTTAGATGACAGTTTCAGCACAACATGCACATGTTGTAGGTACTGCACATGGCAGTAATTCTTTAATGTTTCCCGCGGACGGGACCGCGCGATTTCAGCAAACGCCATCCGGATCAATGGGCTAGTTGGCCTACCCGGTCCGGCCGACGGCAATGATAAGACCGAGTCCATCAAATGCAATCAGTATAGAATGCAGGAAACCGGTCTGCCGGTTTGTAACAGGAGATTTGCTGGTTCAATATTGCCAATACTACCACGGAACGGGAAGACGAGCGCTTTGACGACGCTGAATGCCCGGGCCCCCAAGGGTTTAAGCTAATGCGATTTGCAAAGACTTAGATAGCCGGTGGTGTGCGGATGGTTCCTCCTCCCGGTTTCTATCGATCAGATCATGGCAGGGTTCAGATCTGGGACTTGGGAGTCTAGTTGACAGCTGAACAAGTTATGGATCTCAAATCCATCCTGTCAGCCTGTCTGTCAACTGTCTAGCCTGGATTTCTGAGACCGGGAGGCCGGGGTGGCCCTTAACATGATCTGTATATCCAGATTCGGCGAGGAATTCATGCGTTGAAAGACAAAGGTGGTTGGTATAAAAGAAAATAAAAGAGTTTGCGGCACGGTGTTTGATCTTGACACAAAATGGATACAATTTGGAATACTAATCTGCTAGTATGCATTCTGGTCAAGTCCCCGATTCAGACACAAGAGTCAAAAAAACAAAAGGCAAACACAATTGCTTTTCTTTTTTCCTACTTCTGCCTCTTGGCGGCAACTAATGAGTTGCATACCAGGTTCGATTATGCACGCCCATAAAAAGAAGAAGAAAACTCCAATTTGGCGCCCGGCAATATGTGGTCTCGGGCAGTTCAGGCTGTGTCGAAGTCAAGATGGTTCCTTGCGATCACCAAGAGTTGCTTTTGCGTTGGAGCTGGAGCTGGAGCTGGAGAACTACTATACTTGGCCTATCACAGCAGGCCATGGACTAATCAAAGACGTGGTATCCTTACTCCGTATTGTTCATGCAGGTAATCATGTTCGCGCTACTGTAAGTTCGGACCCGGTTGTGCAGCGAAGTTGATGTCCTTTTCTTCGTAGTAAATTCTGGCTCGGACTGGTTTTAGCCTAACGAGCCAATCCCGTCTCGATATACAGAGCTGAACTTCTCGCAATACATGGGCCTTTTGAGTTATATATGAGGTGCGAGCATCGTATTGCCGTAGTAGGATAAGTTACATTGCATACATTAGTCTCCATAACAAGCCCTGAATTCAAACCATGTTATGCTTGGGGATAGATATAATTGCTTCTTTTCGTTTTGTTCTTTCTTTTTTAACTCATTATTGTTTTCTTCTGGTCACTTTCTTTTTTTCATAGCTATCTTCCTTGATGCTAGGCCCAAGTTTAGTGGTGCTTGTTGGTTCCATTGGAACTTGGACCCTGGACCGCATAATGATAACCCCACCACACTTGGTCATGGTACCTAGTAGGCCATGTCATCGTTTCTCATCCAACAAAGGCAAAGCTTGCCACTCTTACGGATACACACTCAGAAACTCGACTTGGACCCGTGGTGTTCACTATTTGAATCTAATTCTGGTTGCGGCGCAGGCGTTTCGCAAATAATTCTCTGACCGCTTCCCTAAAGCACAGCACAGAACAGCATAGCTCAGCTCAGCTCAGCTCAGCGCTACAGACCTCCTCAGCACACTAGGTACAGAGCAAACGCACACCGAGATATTCACCCCCGCCATTTACATTCACATTCCAATTCAGCCATGGCAGACGTTCCACTTGTCGTCATCTCCGAGTTCGCGCAAGCAGAGCGTCGAATCACTCCGTCTTGGTCCATCTCTCAGCTCAAGACCAAGCTCGAAACTGTCACAGGTGTCCCGCCCTCTTGCCAACGACTCTCTCTCAAGCCTACCGCTGGCGCAGAGGCTATCGCCATTGAGGCGCCTAACGAAGACGACACCCACTTGACCAACTTTCCCCTGGCCCCATATGCAGAGCTTCATGTAAGTCAGTGCGTATTACATTACAGCACAGCCTCTCATTTGTCAGATATACATTCCTGCATCCTCTTGCCGAGATATTCTCGATTCCCTTCTACCTCTGACCTCTGCTTTCTTTTTGTCGTCACCGTCACTGTCACAGTTCCTCAAGTCCCTGGTCTGGTTATTTTCAGGTCATCTCTACAGCGTTGCTTTGCTGAGCTGGCACTCAACTGGAGTGGCGAGGGGGGGCCGAGCGGGAGAGGCGGTGGGCGTTAGGCGTTGGGCATTGGGTTGCTACGCCCAGGAACCAGAGGATCGTCACCTCTTTTCAGCCCACCGTGGTGCCACAGATGGCTTCTCTCACACTCCAATGCTTTGGATAAGGCTGACAGGGATCCAACCCGGCAGGTAATTGATACACGGCCAGCGGCCTCCCGGATCAATCTGAACGACACCGCGAATGTCGACAAGTATGTCATGCCCGAGGAGGAGTACGAGAAAAAGGCGGACTCGGTCCTAGCCTGGAAGAAGAACCAGAAGCTTGGCCGCTTCGACCCAGACGCCCCCAGCCACGAGCAAGCCAAGTTGGATGCCCTTGACCGCGAGGTTGCCACGCGGGGCATTGCTGTCGGCCGACGGTGTCGCGTTGGCGGTGAGGACACTCGACGAGGCCTCATCCAGTACGTCGGTGAGGTCAAGGAAATTCCCGGCGGTCTCGGCACCTGGGTCGCAGTCAAGCTCGACGAGCCCGTTGGCAAGAATGACGGCAGCATTGCCGGCACTCGCTACTGGGGTGAGCCCTCTGAGCTCAAGCACGGTGTCTTTGTGAGGCCGGAGCGAGTCGAGGTGGGCGACTTCCCAGCTCTTGATGACTTGGAGGATATGGAGGAGATTTAGATGGCTTTGCAGAAGATTGCCTGTCTCTCTTTGAACTTGATATCAGGATGGTGTACTCTGTTACTAAAGGGTAGCAACTCCTTAGTACATATGATGCATGATGGACTCTGAGTTGTACTTGAAGCATGATATCCTCAGATATCCTCAAAGTACGTATGTTTATATATGCTGCTGCATCGAGGCTGGCATAGTTATAATTAGGCTCAACAGTTAGCCACCATGCGAAGCCATCATAGATGTATCCCACTGATTAACAATTTCAAACATACAACCCAACCACCAGCCCCAAATAGCACACAGTGAATGACCTTGCCTTGTATGAAATTATTACCAGATTTATGACATATTTCCATATAGGCTTCCTTCCCTGTGCAAGAAATGTCTTTCGTGTGCAGTTGCCATAGCAGCAGTTCTACACATATTGAACAGCGTTGTTCCCAATTTGTGAAGTTCTCCCGAAAATGTTCAGAATCCGGACAGCTTTCCTCAAACGGCAAGGACCTAGTTTGATAGATTGTACCATCAACCGGTTGAGGACTGATAGTAATGTTTTGTATTTTGCGTTTTAGATTGGTCGTGCGCTTGGTTCATCGTGCTGAGGGTAAGAGTTCAACGTCAATGTACGATAAGGATGATATGTCTCATACATTTTTGATAAACAAACATCTCTGGCTAATAAAACCGCTATCATTCATCACATAAGGATCACATATACATCAGTCCAACTGCTACTTCAAGCCAATTTCGGCGGAGAGGGGCTATGGCAGCACATATCATTTCCATTTGAAGCTGAAACTTTGTAAATATGCGATCAACAATAAAGTGGCACGATTTTTGAACATCTCCCCGGCTCATCTTAAATTATCGAAATGTTCTGTTCGTCGTATTCTCGACGCCGGAGATCTGAGGGTTGAAAATGGGTCCTGAATATGTTGTTATGCCACAAACCTAGACGTGTCTGAGTTCTTAAAGGTGCACTCCTAAACAAGAAGTAACAATGTATGAGTTACAGGTTATGTACCCAGTTGTGAATCAATCCGTGGCTGTTGTGTAGGTGTATTCTCTTAGGCTGTATGCATCTCTGAGGGTTGTAAGTCGAAGTCAGATGCCCATATACTGTGTAAGTGGAGATCCGAATCTTATTGTTAAGCAAACACTTGGGGGGTAGAGCCCCTAGGCATTTATATAATAGCTTTCCAATATATGGCAGGGTTTTCTGGGGCTGTACTTCTGTCCCATTCAAAGATATGCTCAGGTCACTAACGTTTGTCCCTTTGTATACGTGCCCTTTGAATACACCTAGCTGATGGTATGGTGACGGTTGTATGCATTACTGTTATGCCAACGGAGTATCACAAGGCCTTACATGATGTTCCTCAGACTATATTCATTACTGTCTTAAGTATCCCTGATGACCGAACTACTGTGCTCATGAGAGACTTGCAGATCCTGCGTGTTTGTCGCTTCAATTTCAGCACCAATTCGTGTAAATGGCATTTTCCACAACCCTATGGCGATCTTACGACTACCTTTACTGTACAAAAGGCTTAACTGGACAGCTTTGTATCCTGTTCGTCTACATGGTTCATATCTTAGGTCTTGTACCTTATGGTCTGTCCAATCGTGGACGATATTGGCAATATTGAAGCTCGTCATCAGATGCCAAGAATATTATAATACCCCCCTGATTCAAAAGTGCGCATGCCCTTGTACGATACTCAACGTACGTAGAACGTTGAGATGTGTATGAGGCAAGATAGTTATACACTTACAACATTTTAAATCTCAAATGTGGTGATTGTGAGGCATCAGACGTGTTAAAATCCCCTTACTTTTGCACAAGAGCTGGAGTTCAACGCAGTAACATCAGAAGAAGAGTTCACTTCTTCTAATATAAATGCCATGCGAGTAGTGACAGACGTACATATTATGACATCAAAATATACTGGAATACAAAGACATTTGCCTCGATATTCGACATTGGCAATGTCTATAGGGTATGCAGATAGGAATGGATGACTAACAATATCAGGATAACAGGATTAGACTATCCTCCCCTCACGGGACCGCGTCGGCCGAAGTCTTGGCTGACACCATTTCAAATGTCCAGGATGAGCGTATGCTGACAATATAGTATGGGGTGATAGGTATTGTTCACGGGTAAAAGAGGCAGAGACTCATGGTTAGGTGACAGTTATGAAGTAACAATATATCATCGTAATAAAATTGCAATGTCACTTATTCAATGGTCAATTAATGATGTCGAACTATAAGTGACCTAAACGTCGTGAACTCGTAATTGCCAAGGTTGTGGTGGATAGTAGTGTCCTCTTAGCGGCTTGGTTGTGCAAAACATCGTGCTTTCAGTGGATGGAAGTTGCCGGTCCCTCCGCTATCCGCTTGTCAGCGGGCGCGCGGGCAGTTAGTTTGGTCTCCTTCTTCCATGGAACATTTCACTTCAACTCATCACACTCGGCCCACGACTTACTGACCAAGATATTCTGCGAAGCGATACGATACGATACGATACGGCTGCTCTACAGAGTCTCTCACCTGGCTCATACCTTTGCATAGCGAAATGTTATCTTTCTCCATCTAAACGTCGATTGGCGACGACTTCAACCGCGTCCGCCCTATCCCTGCGCATCGATATTCCCCGATCCAACACTTTGCGTCTGGTCTGGCTAGATCCTAGCTCATATCTTGAGCCTCATCATTGATCACAACTGCTATTATCCGATCCATCTCCTCACATCAACCTCACCTTCAGGAACATCCACCATGAGACTCTCGACAATACCTGGCGCGGGCAGGATGGCCCTATTCATCACCATCCTCGCCTGTACGATTACTACAGTTCTTGCCGACGACACCGAAATCTCCACTTGGGCCGAAACCGAGATCCCCGAATGGGCTTCGGTGAATGGAATGCAACTTTCTTTATCGTCAAATGATGGATTGCAGTTTGCTGTCATTCCTCTTACACCAAACCTGGGACTAAATGACTCGACCGGCGTTGTTATCGATGTTCGTCTGTTCTACCTTGCTTCACATGTTGGATGCTAATACTTTCCCCAAGATTATCCATATCGATGGCAAGATGATTGCGACAGATTCCTCCAACTACAACAAGGTCAACAAGAAAGATCAGGTGGCCTATCTATCGTGCGACGAGCCTAAAGACGATTCTTTTCTCAGCCCTGATAAAATGCTTAACACATTAATGAGAACCGATCCCCATATCAAAGCAATAGTCTTGTATTCCACGTCCAACACTTGGTGCGCCATCAGCCAAAGTCGCAACCTGCCATTTACAAGCATTCTTTCTATGGCCGACGGAGGCGAGGCCACTCAAGCTTTGAATCTTTTGAACGGCACCACACGTGGTAAAATCGTCGAGGCTCACATTTTTGGCAATAACACGGACAACACGCTACCGAAGGACGAAAGCAAGAAAAACAACAACACAGCTGCCATGATCGTTCTGTACGCTATTACCGGCCTTATCACCCTTCTATTTCTGGTCATCATCACAACAGGAGCTGTCAGAGCCCATCGATACCCCGAAAGATATGGGCCACGAGGTGCACTTGGCGGGCGGCCGCGGCAGAGCCGGGCTAAAGGACTTGCTCGGGCTGTATTGGACACGATACCAATCGTCAAATTCGGAAACCAAACACCAGCGAAGCCAGATCCCGAATTGGAATTGGAGAATACAGAGGGGAATGACGCCAGCACACATCGGGCGGCTTCACACCTTAGTGAGGCCCGACGCTCTGACGCAGCTTCGGCAGCAGGCGGAGATGTTGATGTCGTATCCGCCGTGGCTAGAGCGTCGTCATCTCCCGAAGGTGCCGAAGACGAAGCAAGCGTCCAATTAGGATGCTCAATTTGCACAGAAGATTTTAAAATGGGCGAAGACGTTCGAGTTTTGCCCTGCAAGCATCAGTTCCATCCAGCATGTATTGATCCGTGGTTGATCAACGTGTCTGGCACATGCCCATTATGGTGAGTTATAACCTTGATAATGCACAGTGTTTCGACCCGACTTGTACTAATTTACATCCTAGTCGCTATGATTTACGGCCAGGCAAAGGACATGCATCTGGAGAAGCGGCTGTTGGCGACTCTAGTACATTGCCTCCGCCTTTGGCAATGGAAGAGAATGACGCGCCTCAGTCATCCCATCGTAATCGTTTGTCTCGACTGTTTGACATTAACCGCCTCAGAGAAGGAACTGTAGAGGAGCAGATGGAGGCATTGAGGCGAATGCGGGCTGAAACCACTGAGAATAATCGCCAAGAGCCGGCAGATATAACCGAAGCGGCAGATGGTGACTCCAGAGGCCAAAGTGCAAGGTTTGCAGCGAGGTTACGGGACACATTCCGTATTCGCACTCGCGCTCAAGCAGTCGAAGATCAAAACAACCAACGTGGAACTTCGTGAGTGATGAGGGGGGTTTCATTTACATGTCAAAACTGCCAACAATATCAGTTTTGAGGAAGGATGACAAGGGCAGAAAAAGAATGTTCGGGCTTGGCGTTGGGACCGAGGAATGGCAATTTGGTTCTGGTCTGGGCAGCCCAGGAAGCATGGGATGGCGTTTCTTTCTTGTTTTTCCTAAGCGGTTGAGCAGGAGAGTTTTTTTTTGCTTGCACTGATCTAAGATGATGATCATATTGCTTGACTGAACTGGAAGCTGTAGATATCTTTCATATGATACCATTTATGAGACACATATACTTGTGAAATTACAACATTGCAGAGTAACGATAGCTAGAATGGCTCTTGTATCAAGTTTTCAAATCGGTATATTAGAGTATGCGTCCGGCCCTAGTCCAATTGTTTAGCCAAGGCCAAGTGCCATTGTATGGATCGAAGAATAACAAGGGTCTTGTGAACCAACAGCCCTGTTGACCGGGGTTCATCGCTCCCGAGCGGGATGTATGATCGTGGCTACAAGCACTGATGCTTTATAGAGACGAGTGCTGCACATACCGACCCCGCGAGAGATTAGCGAACGGACTACGGGCCTAGTTACCACTACGGCTTTCGCCTCTGGTGATGATAGCGTCAGAGAACTTGCCTAGGCAGATATTGGGACTCCGTCATCATGGAGTGCGCAATCATTCAGCTTAAGATAGAGAAGTGCCAAGATGAGATATCGGTTGCTAGGTATAACATCATGTCCGTAAATGGAGTAGAGTGAGGAATTCAGATAAACATTTCTCCTGGCCAAACTATAAATGATTAGTTGAAGAAGATACATCAATATGTCTCACAAGGTGGCGATTGCACTGGTATCAATATATTTCCAGATGATCATGGAGATGGATAATACAGTACCCAAACCTGGCCACATATGTTAGTTGGGCGATCCTGGTGACTAAACATGAGGCGGCATGCACGCGATGAGCTTAATTTAATTATTATCCCGGGACACCGACAAATGTTGATCAACGGTGGTGCAGAAACGGATGGTGAACAATAAACGAGACACTCTTGGCTTGGTAAAGACGACAGAGGAGTCGAGTTAATTCTGGCAACTCCAGCACAATAAGCTTTGAGCTATCGACACTAGCGGGGAGGGTGTGGGGAACGCTATCTATCCGATTAGCTCAGTCTGTAAGACATCAGTGCGAGGCTCAGAGCTAGGGGTTACCTGAGTTGAGCCTGTTAAGGCATGATGGTTCTTACGGGCAATCCTCTTCCGTAAAGTAAGAACTGCGCTTGGGTCTTGTTAATTGTCCGATCTAATCACTGCAGTGACTTGGCCACTGGCTTGGGGAGAATCTGGAGGCCGTTTCTAGCAGCCGGGCAGCCGGAGATACTCTGTAGAATCGAGTGGTTTGGCAGAAACCCATCCGCCACAATAATCTTCCTCTTAGCATCGGCAAAGTCAGACATTCAGGTACCGCGATCCTGTCTGCTGGGATCTGGTTTCCTTTTATTTGAGACCGTCGTAAGCCCGCCAATGTCGAGTTGAGGAGAACTTCGGTCGAAGTGCCTTGTCAGGGGTAATTAGCGCCATCTGGATATCGAACTTGGATCTTGATCAGTCCCGGGGGTGGATACGAGATCGATCTACCCTGGTCAAATAAAAAGAATAAAGATGATGAGATTTGTTACAAGGGTTGGAATACAAGAGAATACCTTGTGTCAACCCTTTTCTTCCATCTAATATCAAAATCTTGAGTTCAGAAAGTCTTACTTTGCATCATTCTAAGTGTAACTGCAACCCTTTCACTGGATTGAGTTAGGAAGGAAGTAGTTGACATATCCCACTGTCTTTCGGCTGCTCCTTACTACGTAGTAGAACAACAGGATTAGGAAGGAGGAAGGGGAGACAATCGAATCGAGACAAGTTAGCGGCAGGAGCTAGTCAGAAAACATATTCCTTTTTCGTCTCCTGCTTGTCTGCTTTGGTGTTGAGACATGATCCGAGCACATCTGAGCACATACTAATCACCCGGCTTAAATCTCTGCCTTCAAATTACCACCAAGCCTCCAAGGCCTCTCAACAACACCATGACGGCCGAAACAAGCCACAGTCTCGCGGTAGCACCGTAAGCGTTTACACTTCCGTTGCGCCGCTCATATCCCCGCGGCACATGAACATCCCATAGTGATCTAAAATTATCACCGATCCACACGACTCCATCCGTCAAGTTTTATCGAATTCGCTCCCGAAACGAATCGGCTTCATTGAAACAAGGACGATGAACCACCTCGGCAGTCTTCGAAAGGGTTCCCCATCACAATGGGTGTTGACTAAGTAATCGTCATTCTTTCAACTCGAGATTCTACATTCCTCAGTCTCATTACAGTCTTCGGTCAAGGAGGATTGCTACGATTTCTGGAAAATCAACGAAACTAAAAATTCTTGATGATTGACCCTTTAGCCATTGATAGAAAGCATGTTAGTATCTTCATGATATTCCTACGACATTTGATCGCGCAAATATGATGACCTTGCTCGGATCTATATCACTCCACATCAGGTCCCTTACATACGATTCCAGGTATTTTACTGAATTCGGAAGGATCGCCAAGGACTGATTGGGCCCAGGAATTCGGTTCCTCCGCTGATTAAACCAAAATAGTTGAACCTTGGGACTAGACCAGTACCCACAGACAATATCCCGATCGTGCAGTAAGTTAGTACTGTATTCCAGTTTCCCGTCCACTACCGTAAGTGGCCCATCGGAGATCAGATGCGCCGTTCTAACCTTATTCTCAGATCCCTTTCCAATGGTTGGTCTTCATTTTTTGCCTTTCTTGGCTTCTACAAGAACGATCCCCTACTGGCCCTCGATTCGTTGTGCCTGAATCTCCAGTTACTAATCCTCAGCAGCTATCGGTTTAACAGCCCCCTATAGCCTCTTACAAGCCTCTTTTCATGCTGCCTGAAAGCCATTCTAATCTGACTTATTGGACAATTATCACGCTTTCCTGCTTTAGGGATATACGAACCAGCAGCCTGGTCCGAATCGGGAGCCTTTTCCCTGATGTTAGTTCCAAACTACGGCACAAACCGCAGGCTACTGTACCGCCAGGAAGGTAAAGGTGTGTCGGCTTGGTCTCCTTACTTACCTTAGGGGGGTGTTAGAATGCCATTAGCCGCGATTTATACTTTGGGCTCGTTTTATTATTTGTCTTACTTGTCCTTGCTCCTCCCACTGCCTCGGCCTTGGATACTGTTCTTGCTTTTCTCCTTCCCTTTTACTGAGGTCCCACGCTGCAGAAACCTTTTAGCCAATGCCTGGAGTCTATAATCACGCTGGTTGTTAAATACCAAACTATTCCCTGAAGTATCAGCAAGACTGCCCCCCTTCTTCTGGCTCTGTTTGGCTACTTATCAATTCGGTCCTTCCTCCTGATTCAATATGGTTCCGAACCCCTCCCTCGAGCCTCGCAAGGCATATCCTCCAAAGCCTGTTCCCATAGGTGGTGATGTGACTTCGGTCATTGTCTCCCTTGCCGCTGTCTCAATCTTATCTGTCTTTCTTTGTAGGCCTACTCACAGTACCAACACCATTATACAACTAGGACTAACATGTATGTCTGACTAGTCCAGAGAATCACGGCTGTTCGATCATGGTCAAGGCTACCGTTCGTTGCTTGGCGTCAGTCTCCCTGCTTGATAGAGATTAGAGTAAGGAGGTGTTAACTAACACGAAACAGTCGTCCTTATCATTTACGTTGACTCTTATGGCTTCGTTTTCACCTCTGCCATGCTTCAGCAAGTCTTTAATATCAACAGTGGCTTCAACATCTGCCATGGAGCCATTTTACTTTGTCTGATTTGCTATGTGACAACCAAGATTGTGGGTTCTCCTGATGAATTTAATGCGGCTCGTTTGGCTTACACATATAGCTCATCTATGTCTTCCTTGTTGAGAAAGCAGTTAGTGATATCATTCTAATCGTTTGCAAACAAAAGAAATGGGTCTAACAGTAACCAGCATGTCATTCGAAGCTCTCAAACGCCAAGAAGGAACTCAAAGCTCTACCTCTTTAACATGATCACTCTTCTCGGTGGATATGGAGTAGTTGTTGTTCTTAACTTCATCTTGTAAGTTCATGGAACAAGGACAGTTTAGCTTTGCCCTGCTAACCAATATGTCATCAGCCGTATCGCTAGGATCGTGAACGGAGAGTGTTTTATCGGCATGAAGAAGGTCTCGATGATTCCACTTATCGCGTTCGATGCTGTGGTTAACGTCTACCTAACTATCCTTTTCCTCATTCCTCTTAAGAGTAAGTCGCCAAGGGAAGGCAGTAATGGCATTGACTAATAAATTTCCCAGACCTCTATTCGTTCAAGAGCCTACCAAAGACTCACGCCCACTCTCGCCTTCGCAGCGTTGCCTTTCGTACTTTTGTTGGTGCATGCTGCACCTTGACAAGCAGTATTGTGTATGAATATCTGTGGTGGCTATGGTTCAGGATTACAGCTAACATAACCAACAGGAATTTGACTGTGCTAATGGTCATGAATGGCGAGCCTGGTTGGGTGTGTTTAATGTGTTGCAACAGCGATGGTATGTTCAGGGAATCGAATGTTCAAAGTTTACCACTGACCAAATCAAATACAGTTCTCTTTTCGGCCATCGTTGTTCAATGGGTTACTTCTCGCGATAGCGCTGGTTCCTCCAGTCAACCACCCTCAGCCGCTGTCATGGACGGCAGCTACATTGGTAGACGTGCTTCTATGGCCCATCCTACCAGTTCAATGCACGCCCCCAGCGTTCCCAACATGTCTCACGACATCGATGACGAGATATCTCTTGTCGGTCCTACCATTACCTCCTCGACCGATGGACCCGAATTTGAAATGAACAAGGTTCATTCAGGAAGTAACAGCGGTGTTATTGTTACAACAACTATCCATCGCCTGAGCCGACCCACAAACGAACGGAAGGAAAGCAGTGAAGATGACTTCACGGTTGGGGAACAGGGGCAGGACTTTCCGTTGCGGGCGGTAGCCTTTGCTCCAGGCCATCACGAAATAACCGAGCCACCACGAACACGTATTCAAGGGGGCGCCAGACCTCAACACTCAAAGACACCTTCATTCTCACGACCGATGAAATAAAGTATTGCAGTATAGTGCTCATAGAATAGGAAAGGGGGGCTTTGGGGTCTTGGTACATGATAGAATGATCCGTATATAGGTCATTGGACAAGTGCAAAAGGTTTGGGGCGTATTGAAAAAGGTTGGAGTTGGCATCGAAGAAGACGGAAATACCCAACGGTTTGCTTTTTACTTTAATTACTAGAGAGTTGTATACAGCTCAGACACAATAATTCATACATCTACATCTAGACAATAAGTCTTCTGTCTTTGTGCCATGCAGACATTTATATCTCGTCCAGTTCGTCAGATATATACAGTGATAGGACTGCGTGGTTTAAAGGGTCTCGGGTGCTGGTGTCTTGTATAAACATGGCTGCTAGCACTGCATTCCATCATTCCCAGTTGTACGGTTCAGTCCAGACATGGGCTTGATCATAGTCTTACACCAAACGACAGCCAAGGTCTCAAACTTAGATACTGAGACAGCAACGTTAATACTCCGTACCATAAGCCGAGATAGTTAGTTAGGTTGTTGTAAAGATAAATATCAAGTTATATCACACATCAATGTCACACAGCAAAAGTATTCTAGCAGTCAAATCGCTGTTCATTGTCATCGTAGCTCGTAGATGTATCTGCGTGCATAAGAAGTCTATAAACTGGCTAAGATCAGGAAATGTTCTATTTGCAAAGGCCTCCTTTTTTCTAGAATCCCGGAAGTGATGATTTAAAAAGGTAGGCAGGTTAACCGTGAAATAAACTGGGATGCTGGCCAAGTTAAAGCCATATCCAGGTCAACTAAATGCAGAATATGTACAAAAGTCAACAGGCGCCATCCTTGAACCGAAAATAAGTGTCTTCCCTCCCGAAGGCCAGTTTTGAATGGTTGGGTATTTCCCTAGCGAGTGTACAAGAAGTGTTAAAACGAACTGGTGCGGCCATCTGCCGCCAAGCCATGAAGAGCTTAAGCGGAGGCGTAGACGCTGCCGTAGGTGCTGAGCTCGGAAGGACCGGTCATGAGCATGCCAGTCTCGACCTTGAAGTAGGAGTAAGCATCAAGGTAGTCGAGGGCCTCCAGGCGAGGGATGGCCTCCTTGAGCCACTTGGCGATCTCATCGTCAGAGCCAGTAGGGGCGAACTCGGTGAGCCAGATGGGCTTGCCACCACAGGCCTTGTGTGAGGCCTCGAGGTGGTCAAAGAGAGTCTCGCCGTACTGGACCTCGGAGTACCAGTGGACGTTGCAGAAGTCGTACTTGCAACCCGCGCTCTCACACTCGGAGACAAAGTTGGTGAGCCATTCAACACCCTCCATAGCGAGACCGCTGTTGCTGATGGAAGGAGCACCGATCAGAGCCTTGCCAGAGTAAGGGTTCATCCACTTGACGTGGGCCGCGGCAGCCGCAGCGGGGGTCATGTCAGCCTGGCCCTTGTTGTCAGGCTCGTTGAAGCTGAAGATGGCCTTGGCACCGTTCTCGAGAGCCTTAGCACAGTTGGCACCGAAGCGGTCGGTATGGAGAGGCTGGTCATTCCAGAGGGTAGGAATGAAGTTGAGGCCCTTGAGACCGCCGGAGTCGGAGTCCCAGTTGTAACCCCAACCACAGTTCTCACACTCACCGGCGAAGGTGTTGGCAAGATCAACATCGTTGTAGCAGACACCTCGCTTGTGGGAGAAGCCAACGGAGCCACCAGAAGAAGAGCTGGAGCTGGTCTTGGTCTTCTTGGGGGTGGTGGCCTGAGCCTTGACAGCCTGCTCCTTGAAGACAGCCTTCTTGGGGGCAGCAGCAGCCTTCTGGGACTCCTTCTGCTCAGCAGCGGGCTTGGAGGCGGGCTTAGCGGCCTGGGAGGGCTTGGCGACCTTGATGATGGTAGTAGGCTGAGGGGCAACAGGAGCGGGAGCGGCAGGAGCCTCGGGCTGGGAAGCAGCGGGCTGAGTAGCAGCAGGAGCAGCACCACCGAAGTAGTTGTTCTCCCAAGAGACAACCTGACCGTCAATGGTAGCGGTGATCCAGTCGCCACGCTTCTGGGCGTGCTGCTGGTGGGCGTGACGGTGGCCGAGGGCAAGAGCCGGCTCAAGAAGAGCGGCGGTAGCGGTAAGGATGGTGAGCTTGTTGGCGATCATCTTGAATGATTTTCCTGAGCAGAGTGAAGATCGAAGAGAACCCAGTGAATTCGAGACGGCAGTCGACTTGTTTAATGAGTGTGGACTTGATGCTAAGGTTGATCACTGTCGAGATGACAAAGTGAAGCAAAGACGGAAGATCGAGGTTGATATGGTAGTTATGTGATCGGCACGGCCGTGTAGTGAGTGTGTATGCGATCTGTCAAAGACGCAAAGTAAGGAAGGGCGATGGCTAGTCGAGCGAGGGTTGAAAACACGAGCTGATATTGACGAGATGAAGGAGAGAAGGGGAAGGGAAGTTCGAAACGTCGGGGGATAGGGAGGGTTTAAGAACAAGGTAGGCTTGTCAATAGGGCAGGTGAAGTGGTGACCGATGGGGGAGATACTTGATGGGAAGTGGGCTGTAGGGTATCTTTTGGGCGATCAACAGCCATTGGAGATACCCGACTCTCGACCTGACATGCGGTATCTTTGTTTCCTCAACTGGGAAAGAGTCCCCCACCTGAAGTATCCAGAGCCTCCACTGCAGGGGTTGGTTTGGAGCGCTTTTAGTGGGCTCGGGTAGGATGTTTGGGCTTGTTCTGAGCCTCGATTGGCCGATCTTCCGTTCCTGGCGCCGTACCTGAGTGGATCCAAGGCCCGGGCGGGTGCCCTGGCACAAAAGCGGGCTTCATGTCAGGGGCATCCTGTAGCTTAGTGCCTTAGACGCCTCAGGACCCTCAGGTAGCATCCAAGCGTCTTCCGATTGGCCCACCTCACCTCCCTCTTCGAACCCCCCTCAAAAAGACAATTGGGAGTCTACGACAGCAGCGGGCAAAAAAGAAACATGGGTCAACGTGGCAGTGGATGCATAACCACTCACACGTTGTGCTTGAACTGAAACAGCCACAAGCTGCACTAATTGTCATCCGGCTCTGGGGCTACTGCAGGTCCCTCTGCAGGAACGCAAAAAAAGTGAGGAAACAAGAACAAGAACAAAAACAAAAACCCGCAAACGGCCCAATAACGTCTGCAGAGGATGATTCCCACGACACGTGTGGTATGGGCAATTAGCCAGTAACCAACCTACTGACTGATGCTTCTGCTGCAATGCCAGCTCGCTCGCCCCAAAACCTGACTCGACGATCCCACAACAAGCATTCTATATCCACAATCGTATAAAAAACCAGACCGTCCCGTACACAGAGATTAGGCCAAGACAGTCCCAATTGCACAGACACGACGCTGCCGGTACTTGTCTGCTTGGCCTTTTACTGAATTCGAGAACATCTGGACGTCTAGAAACCGGCACCGGACGAGGCCGCCGCTGATCCTATCCCATCCCATCCCATGCCCTGTCTGATGCTTATTCTCGTGCCAAGCTCCCGTCTGCAAGCCCAGCCAAGTTCATGAATGCAACACCTCATGCTGTCGAGTGTCGACCGCCATCTTGGCAAATCACCCTCATGATCTGGCTGGTCGACATTCCAGTTGCCTCACTCCAAGACGCATGATTAGCATCATATGACGCCCAGCGCAGTAACTAAGGTTGGTAACGACAACGCACAAAAAGACTGCCACTGTCGAAAATGCCATTACACGTTCTCAACTTTGAAATACGTAGCCCAACCTCTTGACCTCTTGCGACACTGAAGGCCACGTCGGCTACTAAACCCGATTCTCACTTAGCATCCGCCGCGTGAAACATCGTCCGAAATTACACCCGCCGCCACAGACAGCCCACGGCAGGGGGGGGATTTCGCAGGCAAGACAGGTTCAGGTGCTAAGTTAGGGCGTTCCGCGCGTACCATCCGTTTTTTTCCCTTGTCAATATCTGCTCTGAACTGTCATCCGGGATTCCGGATCGGATCATCGTATTGAACAATGGGAGGAGGCAGGCTAGGCAGGCAACGCTGCAAACGGAACAGAGACAGGCTAGCAGGTTAGACAGGGTTGAGCCATTTTTGGCTCACAAAGCTTGGTTCTCTATCCCCCGGTTTGCCTGGGCGCAAGGGGGTTCACAAGAGGGTTGCATTGTAACTTTTCAAGTCTCCTCCACACAGAATCACAAGTTGGAACAAGGAGAGAGAAAAAATCAATGCTGTAAGATTCTGTTTCCTTTGTTGCGGGTCTGCATTGCATGCTTCCTTTCCCTCTTTGTGGTAGTCGTTGCCGTTACTTTGCATCGTGATGTGGTTGCATTGTCTGCACTCATCCAAATACTGGGCAGGTCGAGCGAGCACAACAAAGAAGTGTCTTTCTGTGCAGGCCTACGACAAACTCTTTTTTTTACCTCGCCTTGGCACCTAAGCTATTAACATGTGGCGGTCAAGCAGAGAGCTGACGTGTTGCAGTTAAATAAATGCTTGCCCAATATTGCTTACTTGTGCCACTTCGCTATCTAATCCTCAACGAGGCGTATCGGTTCCACTGAATAATTAACGATTGTTTACTCATCTTCCCAGCGTCTGGTAAACGTAAACACAACAGGTTGGTCTCTCGAGCGACCAGCTGTTGCCTGTGTTGAGGATCATGATTCAGCCCATAAGTTATGGGTCGATGGGGAACTCATCTTATCTCATGAGATCGCGTCAAGAGATCCCTGGGTTCTGCCATGCCAATCTCTCGAGCTTTTTATAGGATTTGTCTGTCTTTTGCTCTCCACATCGAATGCACGGTTGATACGGAGCAGGGAATACTGCGGTGGTAATTCGACACCGTGATGAATCCCGGGGATATCTAATCTCTTGTTACGATAAATCACAACCTCCAATTTGTTGTTTACGAACGCTTTGATATACGATCCACTTTGTCCTGGGGATATGGGGATACTGAAGTGTCGGTCAAGATCTAACAAACCTACGGCATATGGATGCTGGAGGCCAAGAAACCAATGTACTATTGAGGCCTCCATGGAAAAGTAATGCATGAAGTTTGTTGTCGGGACATTGGCAATAGTGCTTCGTCGTCCGAACATTGAAAACTGATATATATGGTACAGGGTAGGCGGGGTGACACGGGCGAAACCCAGACAGTCAGCGACAACAAATGTGGCAGTGTTGCTAAAGTACTACCTGTATATATGTATTTTATTCTTATTGTATCCGACGATATATATACATTCCTAGAACCTACGTGGATTTCTTACGCGTTACTGCATTGCTGATACCACTCACAAAGCCGGTGATACTGCTTGAAACCAACCTTCTGGACTGACCATCACAACCAGCCAGCAGCAGATCAGCCGACGATTAAAATAGATACCGCAGCAACGTAGCAAGTCTCCAGAGTTCAGGTGGACTAATACCATGATCGACGCCGGGGTAATTGCCAATCATCATATATACAGAGGCGCCAGCGTTGGGAAATGAAACGAGATACCAGGGGATGGATGATTACAAGCGCGCGCTTGTTATTTCCGTCCATGGACTTTGTAAACATCAACAAAGCTATGCATGTTTGGGGTTGATTATGCCATGCCAGTAAGGAGTAGTAAGTAAAGATTCCCTAATTCTGAATTATTGTTGACTTACGAATCGTTGCCGTTGTAAAGGCTTGGACGATCCTAGGGTAAAGTTAAACGCCAACAACGGCTGGCTCTGGAGTTTTAATGGGGCCCCGCTCAATAACGGAGTCTGACCAGGCGTTGAGAATGGACTCACTTTGATATGCGGAAACGAAACGTCATGTATCTCAGCGTCGAATGTCTCTAATGGTATCTACCAGGTCTGTGGATACATTAGTACCTAGGTAGTCATACTCCGTGAGTCGGTAGTTCATTATCGCAGTCCCAGATTGGGATGATAATGCGAGACGCGGCGGAATGATGACCCGTCATTCCGCCCGGTTTATGAGGGATCAACTGCTACTACAGCGAATGATAGAACAACAGGTTCAGTTAGTTGTGGCAGAGTTCAAGCCACTTGATGGGATCATCCACTACCGAGCTTCTACACGTGATGATGTGAGTAGCTGATTCGCTCGTGCTGCTTTGAGGAAGCTGTCAAGAACTTGATAACTTGCAGTTCTCTTGACATGCTTCTAAACCTTCAAACCTGACACATTGAATATATAAGACGAACTCGACAAGGGAGGACAAACAATAGCTGTCGAATAAACGTACTATTTTGTCGCATTCACTCATACTTCAAGCAAAGAACCAAAGCTGCAAGAACCTGTGGGGATACAGCTCCCTCACTGCTACGATGGATATGACACAAGACTTCTCAGCAGGAATGCTATCATTCATCGACCAGCCCGAGTTCGACTACAGTGCGTTTCTCCAAACTGACGATATCAACTTTGGCGAGAGCGCTCAGAGCCAACTCCAAGCACCCTCAGATTCCTCGGGAAAATATACCCCGCCAAGCTCAACGTCAGGCTCAGGCGGCGAAGTAGCTGTCCGGTCTTCAGCTCAGAAACAAAGACTTGAGCGGAAAGGTCACACCAAGAGTCGACGAGGATGCTACAACTGTAAAAGAAGACGTATCAAGGTATGCAGTCCGCTCGAGACATTATCCGATTGAGTGTCCAACATATGAGAAGTGCCAGGAGACTCTCCCTGCGTGTGGACACTGCACCAAGACGGGCCTCAAGTGCGAGTATCCGTCTACGCCTCAGATAACACACCAGGTATGTGTTATGAAGAGCATAAGATTCGCAAAGCTGACCAACATGGCTTCAGCCACATCACCAGGTTCCTCTCTTTAGTTTACAGGACATGCGCTTCTTTCAACACTTTTTAACACAATGCTATCCCCATCACCCACTGAAACAGGAAGATATCTGGACTCACGAGATTCCCTGTATTGCACAAAACGTAGGTTATAGAACATTCACTGAAAACCCATTAAACATTCAATCAACTTATCTTTTTAGCATGAATATCTCATGCATGCAATCCTTGGCTTCTCAGCATCCGAACTCATGAGGAACGACGCCAGTGTCATATCATCAGCCATGAACCACCGCATCAAGGCAATTAGAGCCATCAAGAAACGCCTAGCAGAGACTACTAGAACATCGATGGAATACGAGGAAGCAAATGCCATGATTGCCACCTGTTACGCTCTAACCTTTCAATCGGTGAGTCTCGAGGACGGACTGGCCGAATACTTGACGTTTATCCGAGGCATCATGATTGTGGGAATGCAGATGATGTTCCGTGGCATCAAGCCGATATTTGAAAACATGATGGAGCAGGACCAATCTGCTCTTCTTGAGCCTCTGATGCAGGGCCTCCCGCTCATACCAAAGGGCTTGACTGATTCCGCTATGGAAGCTCTCACGAAACTCAAGCCATTGTGTACAGCACCGGTCGAGGTTGAATATCACCAGCACCTTCTCAACATAGTGGAGAAGCTCTACGTCAACTCCTGGGATGGTGAGTTGCTGCAGCCTTTGACAAGTCACTAATACCCATCTAACTCGATATTTCAGCATATAAAGCATACACAGCCCAGTACGGCTGGTGGATGCTTCTCCCGCACGACACATTCCAAGCTCTCATCGACCCAGACAACCAAGTCATGATGCTACTCCACGCGCACTGGGTCGCTATAAACGAGGTGATGTCACCTATCAGTAAACAGGAGCGGCACGTGTCAGAGAAGCCCCCCCGTGATCGAGAGGGAAAGCCGGACCTCGACCCTGGCTTTGCGCGGTGGTTGAAGCACCTCAACGCCAACCTTGACCTCGAGCATCAGAGGTATAACCAATGGCCGATGTGGGTGGAAAAGCAGCTAGATGATGATATGTCTTTCTTTGGAAGGATTTAGTGAGTAAAATGACTAAACAGCCTTGATGTATCGGGAAATTGAGCGTGATGCGTTGGGGAGTGATATGGGTTATGTGTATGAGGATATACCAAGATTGGGATGAGCCTTGTTTTACCTCTAGACACAATTGAACACCCTACTGATTCTACAAATACCATATCAACCATATTTTAAGCAATCCAACCAATAACCAATAATTATTCCATCTCATAATAATCGGGCAACGCCATGGTCCTGTACCGTTATTCATGTGATTTCATCCATTGGACACTGCCTCAGTGAACCCCACTAATTGAATCTCGCATTCATCGTATTCCACGCATTCCCGCCTTTGTGGGGAGCCGATCATTGCATGAGCCAATCACATATAATACCGTCCTTCAACCACAGCCCAAGGCGTCTTTCAGCTTGAGAACATGTGTGCCGTATTCTTCGGATTTGATGCAGATCTAATTGAGACTATGATAACAGGGAGGAAAATATGATGAGACTGCTAGTATATATAGCTTGTCATGTCGTGAACGATGCGAATGATTAAACACTCAATCAACTCTATTGAATTCCACTTACACAACTTACACCACGACTTACACCACGATTTCAACATATTTTCCAAGATATCACAATAACTTACTCTTTTTATCATCCAAAAACAAAAAAATGTCCACCAAAGTCGGAACCATCTCGACTTCCCTCTCTGACCTCCGTCGTCGTTCCTCTAGACGCTCAACCCTACCTCCCGACTACGAGACCACCCAAGACATAGAGCTATCACACCTCTCACCAGCATCGTCATCTACAAACACTCTCCCAGAGTACACAACTCTGTATACCAACGATGTAGCGTCAGGTTCCTCAACATCCGATTTCTACCCTACGAGACAACTTCAGATTCAAGCGCAAGGATTTCCACTCATCTGTCTCCCTCTGCCGCCGCAGCCAGATCCTATTTACGTGTTCAATATCTCACCAGGAGGAGAACTCGATGAAGCTGAATATGTATCTATCCGGCCAGCTCGTAATTCTGGTTCATGCTTCCTAGCTCGGGCTAGTGATGCTACACAAGCAGCGCTCTGCACGACGACATATCGCTTTGGACCAGGCAAACCTCCCAAGATGCGTTTGGTTGGTGATGAACTCTCTCAGGCCATGGATCCAGAGGAGATTGAAATCAGCTGCAAAGGTATTTTGACCCGCAGTGTACTCATGCGTACTCATCTTGGCACATTTGAGTGGCGATATAGCTCCCGCGCCGAACGCCACGCCTTACAAGCCTCTATCGGTGAAGAAGTCAACTGCCTCCTCATCTTAGAGCAGGTCATGAAGGTTGCCGTTGTAGGTGGGAAACAAGAAGAGCGAAGACGCAAGATCGGACAGTTTGTGCGTAGCAGCGGACTGCGTACTCAGGGTTCTAGGAGGAGCGCTGCAGGAAATGGTGGGCGATTGATGCTTGATCTACGAGAATGGACGGATAGGAAGAATGAGGTTGTTGAGATGGAGATCCTCGCTATAGCGAGCTGTGTGTCTATGATGAAGAAAGAAGTAGATAGGAGGAGGATGCATCAGATCGCAGCGATGAGTGGGGGTGGTTCTTAGAATGTTGCATTGAATGTTGACGCGAGATTGATATGACAACAAGATAATTGCGCTGCTGTGTTTGAGATAGGATGATAAAGTTTGATTTCATTAAACACCGAACTGGCCAGATGCGATATAATAGATAAATGACCAAAACAACCAAGACCGTATCCGTTATAAAGTCCCCCATCAGTTTTGCACATCAGCAACCGCAGTTTTCTCTCTCGGCCCTAACTCGAGTACTTCGGTTGAAGGAATCTGTTGCTTCTCATCCAAATTCGCCTTCTCAAGATCCTTCTTACTGCACTTGCATTTGTACCGCACAGAACATCCCTGTTTCTCACCAATGAAGGGGTCATTGCGGCACGATTTACCAAACAAGTCCAGCAGCAATACCCACAAGGTGAGAGCCAGCGTGATGGAAATGAGATTCAGAGAATTGAGGCTCTTGGCTACCGGTAGGCAAAATAAAATGATACAGACAAGTAGGCGGTTTGCCAATCGAGTCTTTTTGGACAAGCGCCGAGTTGCTGGGTGGCGGTGATTATGAGTTGCTGAAATGACCCCCATAAAGAGAAGAGCAATAGCGAGTCCATGGCAGTAGAAATAACGGATACCATCGGCGATTTCGGGCTCCGCACGTTCGATATAGTGGTCCGTCAAGTGCTCAGGATTAGCGTTCGGAGTATCAGCCGTGAGGACAAGCTTAGACAACCCAGCAGACGCAAGAATGTAACCCATGATGAATGGAAGATGAGCGTAATGCCATATGGAAGCTAGAAGTGTCAGCGCTAGGTCACGGGATTGAATGCACTTATGACTTACACGATATCACGGAGCGCCGAATAGCATGTATGTCAATATTGCTGCCATCCACATCAAAATAGATCCAGTTAAAGACAAATGCTTGACAAAGCCCAAGAACAGCCTTGCCTAGGAAGACATCGACAGTATAACCTCCGTGGCTTTGAAACATAGGCCCCATGACAGAGTATCCGAACACCAAAGACACAAACGCATTGGTTCGCTCTACTCTATGTTCAATGTTGATGGCAGGGAAGAACTCAAAAACGCCGGTGAGGAACTTGGAAAGCCTTTTGCTATGTCTAGCTGTTCGACCATATTGGAATAGGCCAGTCAGGATGCTCTGACCGCATATGTCCAAGACGATGGCGATCCATATGAGTGCCAGGCGAGATGGCATCTGTGCATGAATACTGGCGATCCATATAGCTGCAGGAATTAAAGTATTCAGAGCTTGACAGAACATGACGCCTCGGACCATGGGTAGAAGGTAACCGGTTGTCAGGAAATGAACAACACCTCTGAATCGAGCAGCAAGATAGAACGACACAAGCATTGTGTAAGTGTTGTGCTCGCCCTCGTAAAACGCATATGTCATGTTGGTGGAGAACCTATAAAGTCAGACAAATGGCTTTCGTTTCCTGTTACCAACGTACCCTAATAGACATGCAATCTCAAACAGAATCTCTAGTCGTGTCAAGACATCGTCGGTCTCAAACCAACTCAAGGTCAGGGTGATATCGGACCAAATCTTCCAGGACATGATGAACGTGACTGCAAAACGTAGTAGCTCCTTACCAGTGGGCTCTGCCCAAACATGTTCACCGTTGACGTGGATTATACCGACTATTCTTTCATTAAGAGGATGTTTGATGTAACATAGTGGACTTCTTACCATAGAGAAGATCAAAGAAGAGCTCAATGGCCATGATCTCAGTGTTTTCTGAAGCACGCCACAGCAGGCCTTTATGGAACCATTGCTTCACAACTGGCTTCTTGAAGAGCTTGATAGTTTCGCCCAGTCGAGGCTGACCCACGCTGGAACCAATTGATAAAGTATCAGCCGTGGACATGCTGGAAGGATCGGCGTCAGGTGAAGGGTCATCATCGTCGTAAGTCCGCAAATCAGCACCATAGCCAAACTTATCGAAATTGGCATTCAAGGCGCTTGAGTTGGTAGAGAGTCGCTCTAGATGACTGTTGACTAGATCGAGTTGACTTTTTGTGTCTTCCCACTCTTCAAAGGCAGGACCGTGGTGTTGTCGAAAATGAGCACGGCGACTTTCATGGTGATCTCGGGTCTCTTTGAGATAGTCGCAATGCTCTGGCGATCCATGAATAACGACTTCTACTTGAACACCACTCCGATTGCCATGTTGTTCACGAAGCGAGTCGATATCTTCGGGTAGGGAAGCAATCACCTTTTTGCCATTTGGCAGGGTAAATTCCTGCGGCCTTCGGCGTCGCGTAGAGGGAATGAACGACATCAGTAGAACAATTGAGCTTGTAACATCAATAAGGAGAACAGATTAAACAGGGTTTATATGAGGAGGAGCTGAAAAAGCAGCAAGATAAGCACCAGGCCAACGGGTTCAGCCCATTGGGCGGCCGCCTTTGTAGAGCCCCTGCTAATTTGATGCCGCTATCATTGGCTTTTGATGATGTGTCTCACGCCTAGACGGCTTATTTGACAATTCCCCGCAGGTGTAGCTTCACAACCCATGGCAGGGCAATCTTGGGATAGATAGGTAAGCATAACTGTTTCATTTTAAGCTTAACAAGACGGGAGTCATCATGACTAAGCGATTGAAAATAACGGTGTTTATTGATGAGAATAGTGTTATGAAGGTGTATGGAGGAACAAAAAAAGAGGATCATAGACTTATGAGAGGAATTAGTTAATAGAATGGAAGGGCCTTTCTCTTACTTCAATCCTTCCCTCACTAACACCATGCCATCACGTGACAGATCATCATCTTCCGGCTGTTTCCCGGCTCTAGCGGTACATCCTGCCTCAGGCTACCAATACTAGCTCTGCCGTCGTCCGGTAATTCGGAGCAAAGATTCAGCCATCACCAACTACTCAAAACCAATCCCTCCCATTTCAACCTCCAACACCGCCAATATGCCTGCTGCGTGGAGAGCCGCTGGTCTTACGTACGTCAATTGAACCCCCGGGGCACCTACGATTCCATCGCCGTCCCCCATGCGACCGCATCCGAGCACCGAAGAAGCTAACAGTTCCTTTTTCCGACAGCTACAACCGCTACCTGGCCGTCGCTGCCCGCGTTGTCCGCCGCAGCTTGAAGGAGGACAAGAGACTTATTGCCGAGCGCCGAGGCGAGATGGACCTGCGATTTTCCAAGTGGCAGGTAAGGCGACACGAGACCCGAAGAGACAAGAGAGCGACAGAAGACTAACAGGTTAATTACCTCAACAGAACGGCAAGCAGGGCGAGGCCCAGAACCTGGCCACTGCCAACGCCGCCAGTGCTACCGAGAACGCCGCTTAAGCAGATCGACTACGAAGCTGATTGCGCGTGGGATAATGGGAGCGTGGCACACGAAGGGGGTCGCTTGGTTCAGACAAGATGGACTTGTTCATGAAGAGCCGCCAACTGCATGCGCCTAGTGCCACTGTATCATAACGATTGCTGCAATGTATCAATCAACCCAAAACTACGACCGTAATTAATGGGCAAGAAAGAATTGCTGGTGATCAATTGGATATTGTGCTGTAAATGAACCGTACCATGATTATCGCGGCGGGACGCACCTCAACTTTCTGCCACCCGGCTACTGCCGAGATATTGACGGCTCTCCACAAAAGCCTTGTATCAAGAACACATTCCCAGTTTACTTTGCCAGAGTAAATTATGCCCTGGGTCTTAGTCAATAATGTAATTATGAGGTCAAGTACATAGACGTGAACGACGATTTTGAACATAATTGGTGATATATCATTAAGTCACTGCACGTTGTAGTGGATCCAGCGCCAACGTTGGAGATATTGGGCCATCTCTCTTCTTACAACCACCTTCCATCAACATCTACTAATACTGTACTTTCGGCGCATTCAACTAACGCACACCCGACAGCTGCATCACCCTATTAATCTTAATGCGATAGACAATTACGTTGCTTGGTTGATATGGCCGACTTCAGTAGCGGGATCCCAGATGGTGGGTACCCAACTATGCCTTACTTTCAATTGTGTGATGTCGTCAAAGTCTGACCTCGAGGATTGCAGATATCGCGAGGTTATCGCTGGATCAGCAATATGAGCCTCCACCTCCGCCTCCGCCTGGTACCAGCTCCGCGGGAATCGTCGCTATAGATATTACAGACAAATTTTCAGAAGCTGTGAAGAGTATGTCTTCTTCTGTTACTTTCTTCATGACCCCGCCATTAACTCATTCTCGCCAGCTCTCGCACCCGGTCAGCTTGTTAAAGATGACTTCTTTACTTTGTTTGAGTCCGTTGCGGCTCTTGAGGTAAACTAACTATATCAGTATTATCAGAACAGAGGTTAACAATCCCAGATCATGGATCCCAAGATGGACAGTGGTTGTGTCGAATCACCAGACGACCTCGAGGAGCTTTATGATGTTACGCAGCCATTACTCCCAGAAGAGGTATTGGGAATCATAGATCAACTTCTATGCCATGAGGTAAGTGTTCTTCTGTATGATCAAGTACATAAGCTGAACCTTCTGTCTAGATGGCATGGCATCAAGGATATCCCCTTTCACAGACACTATTCACCAGCGTCTACGCTGAGGCACTCTTGACTCCTACACCACGCACTGTGGAAGATGCTCGCTTCAATCGAAATACACCAACTGGTTCTTCTGGCTCATCTGATATGTTGGAAATCTTGAGGGCCTACTGTCTTGGCCTGCTGAAAGCTTGTGGCTATGTAAACGAACGAATAAGATCCGAGCATTATTATGAGGTGAGTGCGAATGGGTTCATTGTAGTTCACACGGATCTAGCTAACAATGAGATCGAAGGAAGAAGATTTTGTTACCAACACTTACAACCGCACCCTGCTTGCAGAGATACAACCTCAATTAATCCATCAGACTATACAAGAAGCGAGGGATCTACTCAGCAGGCAGAGCAACGAAATAAGCTATGAGATTCGTGAGGCACTCGACCAGCGGTTGCAGCTGAGATCGGTCTTTTTAGAAGCGACAGAATGTCCTAAGCACGTCAAGGAGCCTAATGTTGCACGCAAACCATGGCTAGATGGCCTTGAGATTCTCCCACGCATCAAGTCATCCCATGACTTGGGCCGGCCTGTTGACGACGCCTTCAGTGCTAAACTTCAACGGAAGCTTGCCAGCACTATGCCTCCAAGACCCATTGTGCAGTTGGATTTCGACGATGCCTTTGTACACTTGACAAGGCTGTTCGAAGACGGTGCTGAACTGATTGATGTGCTGAACTATACCGACTCACAGTGTTTACTAGTAAGAAAGGGAACTCTTATGGAAACACCTAATGCTAATAATGACTAGACCTTCGTATCGAACTTCCAAGCCAAGAAGCCTCAGCCGCTGGTCTTCGTACGAACACTGCTCCAGACATTCCTCTTCAACGAGATGGAGGTTTTGGGCTCGATGAGCATCCGCATGATACTAGACGATGACTTTTCCATCGTATCTATGCCTGCTAGTCTTCAACTTGACCGCAACAATGATGAGATCGAATTTCCCCAGGATCCACGATTCATCGTTGCTCAACAAATGGAACTATTTCGACAAAGAGCAGCACAGCCATTCCTGGACATCTTCAGGACATTCTGCCAGAATCGGTGTCGCGTAAGGCGCACACTCTGTCATCTCATCAGGGACTGGGAAACTCTTCAGGTGGATGCCGAAGATCTCGACCAGAGTATGCAAGTCACATTAAACGAAAAGCCTATGAAGCAATCAGCAAGTGCAACCGTCGAGACCTGGTCCCTCCCACTGTCATCCTGGACGTACCTATACAAGATTCGCCAGATGGAATGGATCGTGCAGCTTGGGTTTGAGCTGGAGGTTTACCAGCCCGATGAGCTTGCCGGAATGTATTGGTACCTTAACTACCTTGCCAAATGGAGGGTGCAGCACACAGAAAGGATCAAGTCTTTCATTATTCGGAAAGTTGAGGAGTCGCGCGGGTCCTCCCGGCCTCGGGACCCTACCGTTGATCGCCAACTTGAGCGATCTCTTGCATTTGTTCGGCTAATGCTTCTCGATGCCGCTATCACATGGGAATTGTCAGATGCGCTATCCTGTCTCTATGCGTCTCTCATGCGACTCAAACTGGTCAAGGTTCCTCCGAGACCGTACAGTAATGATGAGTTACGCTTTGATCTACGCATGAGGCCGTTCATGGCGATTGGTCTGCCGCCTCTTCCAAGCTTCCAAGAATTCACAATGGGAACCACGCAGCCAGAATCATCCACTATGGATGTTCTTCGATACGCAGAGCGAGCCCTTAAGGGTGCAAAGCAGGGCCTCGAGGGTTTAAGCAAGTTGCCTGCCGAGCAAGCATTTTCAGTTGGTTCTCATGACAAGTGGCTCACTTCCAAGAAGAATGCGCTCAAAGCGTGCATTGCAACAGGACTCGCCATCACAACAGTGCAGAAGGCATCCCAGGGAGACGTGAACGATCTAAAGATCAAAGCGGAGGTGCCAACACCTGACAAATGTTATCATGACTGGTGGATTGTACCCCGTGTGGTTCCTGTCTAAGAGCTGCTGCAGAATAGTCAATGGGATAGGACAAAAATGAGCTAAAATTCAGTATGTGTATTCCATAGCTACAGTAATACATTTGGGTATCCAAATGAGAGTCCCATCCTCCTCAAGCCATTATTAGCCTTGACTTGACCAAAACATATCGCCAAGACTACAAAATACAACGCCATTTCCAATGTGACAATTTCCAATACAGATCGAATGCATTCTCACCGCAAATGCTCTTCGACAATCAGTCCAGAACATTAAACCGATTTAAGGTCTTACATGCTGGGCCTGACAAAAAGGCAGATTTAGACTGATCAGCGCTTGAGTCAAAGATAGCTTAAGCGGCGACGCGTCGTCGAGCGGCTTGGGCCATGCGAAGACGAACGGTCTGCTCATAAAGCGCGTCCTTGAAGGCGAAGAGAAGAGCTGCAGTGAGCACGCTTTGGGTGATCTTGGGACCGATCCCTATTGATTGCGATTAGCACATTGTCAAGTCTACGGGCAGTAATTTGGCAGTAATTTGGCACTTACCTCGGTAGAGACCAGCGTAACCACGCTCGCGCACAATGCGAGCGAGGGCGGCCAAAGAGCCCTCCTTGTTACCCTCATTCTGAACATGCATCTGAGACTTGACGGTGATATAAGGGTAAGTGATGGCGGTAGCAAACAACTTGCCCAGGGCGCCGAGGAGGAAGGCGACAACGGGAGTCACCTTGCGTCGCTTCTCGACCGTATTCTTGAGCTGCTCAAACAGAGTGTACTGAAGAATGGGGTTGATGACGAGAACAAGAGCTGGGATGACACCAGCGAAAAGAGCCTGAGGACCCTCGTTCTTCAGGAGAAGAAGCAGAGTGCCGATGGTGCTGGGAGCCTTGGCAGGCTGAGAAGACTCGCCGGCCTCGACATCCTTCGTCTTCTCCTGCTGGCGAGTGGTAACGCGGGTGTTGACAACCCAGATGGGGTTGGTGATGATGACGGTAGCTGAGCCAGCAATAGCACCGGCGATCATGGACTCGACGGTGGTGAGCTTCGAGCCAGCGCGACCAGCCTTGGCAGCGGCCTTCTCAAAGAAGGCGCGGGTCCATTCGTACCAGTAGTAGTAAACAAAGTTGGTGATGCTGATGCCGAAGAGGGCCGAGTTAATGCCGGAGTAGAGGCCCGAGATACCTTCACGGGCGATGATGTTGCCAACGGCCTCGCTGAACTTGCTCTCGGCCTTCTTGGACTCGACCTGGGCGCGTGTAGAGAGGGTGATGAGAGGGTAACTTTGGAGATTTTGTAAGCATTTTACAGTGCGTCATTGGGGTATCTACAAGACTTACGTCAAGATCATGGACAAGAGACCACCTCCAGCGCCAGCAAGCGCGTGAGCGACATTGTCGTTCTGGGGAAGAGCAGGAGTTTCAGGCGCCTTGTTGATCTCAATCTTGGTAGGCGTGATCTCGACTTTTGTGACAGGCGAGTCGACCTGAGGAGTGGTCTCCTTATCGATGTTGTCTGACATGATGTCGGTCGAAGGTGGATGAATGTATGTAATAGTATTTAGCTTAGGTTTAAGCGAGAAGCGGACCGGTAAAACCGTTACTATAATGAATTGGATTGAATTGAATCGAGATGGGGATTGTAGGTAGATGATAAATGGAAAAAGCAATTGTACAGTATCGATAAAACCTGGGGAAAGTAAACCTAAGGTAGAGTAGATTCGCGCGGGGCCGTGCTCGATGATAGATATTTAAGGCTTGAGCTTGCTGGTGTCTACTCCGTACAGGAGCCTTTTTAGCTCTATCAGTAGGTAGATTCAAGACAATCCAGTCCCGAGATAAAGGGAAGATGCCTAGGAACCCCCCGGCCCCTCCCCTAAACATACCGAGGCTTGCTGGTAGGTAGGTCGGTACGGAGACCAATACCGAGCCAAACGTCCCTAAAAGTCGGCCACTGTTCCGCATCTGAAAATGAGGTCACTTCCCTGCATGTGACGTGGGGAAGGAAATAAAGCGATCTTTACCGTGTTGACGCTAGACCTGATCAAGGCAATATTTAGAGAGTGAAGATTTCGAGATGTAAGCCTCGGGTTCAAGGAGAAACAAAGATGCGGGCCCAGTGCTCGGCGCTAGACTATATCGGGACTTAAGTAAACAACCGCCACGCTCATCCTTGTCAGGACCCAACGCACACCGCGGGTTGGGTTTTGTATCGGCAGCGTACATACGTTCTGAGTGCGCGCATGCAGTTGCATCCCATGAATGAATAACAAAAACACCCGTCGTCAATGCGAAAGCGCAAGAGTTTAGGCGCTGAACCCGACCCTTTCTCTGTTCGCTGGCACTCAGTGGCCGATATGAACACGCCCAGCGCGGATATTATGTCGTCGCCTGATCCAATAAGCGAAACTGTCGAACAAAGTGTCATGCCCTCGTCCACGCGCCGCGTCGTCCGCAGCAGTCAACGATCCAGTAGATTTTCCTCCATGGGAATGGGAATGGGAACATCGCCTAGGAAACAAACTTTCGAACTCGAGGTTGGAGATAACAAAGCGCCCCAGAGATTACTAGTTACCGTCGAGACGGAGGAACCGATCGTGACTGCGGGACCAAGTAGCGCGCGACGAAAATTATTCCAGGACAGTCCTTACTTGCCTGTAGCACGACGCAGAGACATGGCGACAACAACGACGACTGTGCCTTTGAAAGGCGCGATTGATGACCAGACGAACGATCCTAACGCGACTCCGAGAAGACGAGGTCGACCGCGAAAAACGAATGGTACACCGTTGCCTAGCGCAGGAACAAAGAGAAAAGGAACGCCAATAAGCGGAACCCCTCGACAACGGCAACGTACATCAAAAGATACAGATACAGCAGATAAAACAACAGAAAATAATGCACAACCCACGCCGGGAACAAAGAAACGGGGTCGACCGCGAAAGAACCCTTTAGTTGAACCGCCCGGTGATTTCGGAAACGAGCCAGATCAAGCAATTACTTCGACTACAGAAGATATCCAGAAACAGCAGGCCTTTGCGCCCGAAGCATTTGATGACACAACGGACCTTCCCTCTCTTCGCGCCGACGACTCCCAAGTCGATAACGATGTGACTTTGGTGTTCACGCCTTCAGAAGCTGAGGCAAACCAGTTGCGCGCACATCGAACCGCGAACAATACTGCGACTGCTCTGCAATCAGAACCCGATTCGGACATCTGGATGGCAACGTTGGATGACGAACCAACTCCACGGCCTGCAAGTCGCGCAACACAAGCTGCCCCCGCACCCTCAAGCCCGGATCATGGACAGGCCGATGGTTCATCAGATTTTGGAGATTATGGATACGGACCTGGTGGAAGCGACGTCTCTTCTGCCGATGATCCTCAAAGCGATATTCGTCCTGGAGTCGAGGACACCGCAGCGGGCGAAGACTTCAGCATGATTTTCATGGACTCGCTCCCCTCATTACAGGCAAGCTTACGCAGCTCTGTACAAGAAATAACCGAAAACGACATCGGCGAAGAAACAAGTATGATCATCAATAATACCTTAGAGTCCTTGCGCCAATCTTTGCAGGACCGCGACAGACCCAATACGGATGAAGGAACCGCTAAGCAAGGAGAGAAGTCCCAGCAATCTAAGGGACCTGGGCCGGCCGAACCTCAAGAACAGCTTCGACAATCTACGATTCGCCCACCTATGAGCTTTTCACCTGGCCGAAGCCTATCTGCCAGATGGCTTCAGAGCCCTCGAAGAATGGGCTCCCCTTTGCGACATGAAGTACTTAAGTCGAGTGTGCGGGAAAGCTCCGATGCTCCCGAATATCGCGGATCTCCTCTCGCATCTCAGAGACAGGATTCATCACGCCTTGAAAACGAAGAATCAAACCTGTATGATGATTCTTTCTCGGAGATTCCTGATGTGGTACTTGAAGCAGCTACTCCTCGCCGTCCTCGAGCTGCTGTGAAAGATCTGCTATCGGAGAGCAATGATGTTGAGATGGAAGACGCACAGCTTATTCAACTTGAGGAAGAGCCTGAAGAACCAGAACCACAGGAAGACCAGGAAGAACGCGAAGAGCAAGCAGAACAAGAAGAGGAGGAAGTCGACCCACCAGCAGCCTCCAATGTAAGCGCAGTCTCTCGTTCTGATGCAGGGCGTCTTCCTACCCCTGACGACACACCTCCGAATATTGAAGTTGGAAGTGACAATGTTCAGAAGTCTACGGGTGTGTCGCAGAGCTCTGCTAGGTCTGCCTCGTCTAGGGGTTCGTCTCTCAAGAACTCCTCGCCTGCACCACAAACTCAAGCTCAAATAGAGCCAGAGGTCATTAAAAAGGCTCCGGAGACAGTGGACGACGAGCCGGTCAATGAAGATGACGAGCTTATGATGGATGATGGCGTTTCTTTACAGGAACCCGACGATCATTCTGATCTTGAGGACCATATCTTGGAGGAGACTTTTATAGAACACCCTGAAGAGGAGCATGGGCAAGAAGAAAGACAAGAAGAAGATCACGAAGAAGAGGAAGCGCTGTCTGAAGCCCCCGCGCCCCAGAAAGCCCGCTTGTCTTTAGAGACCGAGACCCAGCAGGCAGAGGTGACGCCACTAAATCAGCTCACATCGCCTATTCAAGAACATATTACCTTACCAGAAATGGTGTCCGAGAGGGCGTCACGACCTACCTTGTCTCCAATCGTCAGGGCCGGACGTGCTTTACAGAGCGTCACCTCGGACCCCCCTTCACCTGAAGCTCACGACCATCATCTGCGAAGCCCTTTCAGGCGCTCTGCTACTAGGGAGTTGGGTCCAAGGGAGACTCAGTCTAATCGACGTACGAGTGCTAGCCCCGGGAAGTCGCGTGCTTTCCCGGACGCCGGCCAGATCCCTCAAGACAATGAGCTTTATGAGCATGATCCCTTTGGAACTCACACTAGGCACACAGGTCAATCCAGCTTTATGGAAGCTCTGGAGAGAAGTAGTCGTGGTTCCTCGCCACGCCATCGCCGGACGGCATCCAGGGAATCCATGGCAAGCTCAATACGCTTCCAAGCTCCCAGTGAGGGAGGTTTGAGCTGGGTGGATAACGAAGGCCCTATCAGTGATAACCTCCGTGGAGATGTACCCCTTGAGGCCTTTGCACGATCAACAGCCAGGCATCCGAAGAGCCCCTCTATTTCTCATGGTCAAATGGACGGGACAGTAGATGATGCAGACGATGAGACCGAGGACGCAGGTGATGACATGGACTTGTGGGAGTTCGAAGCGGAAAGATCAATCTCCCAACCAACACGGCAGCCTCCCACAGAGAGAAAACCCGAGTCGCCGGTTCATAGACGGAGCAACATACCGAGTTCCTGGAGGAGACAGCCTACCAGGGAAACCCAACCTGCCGCAAGCGTTGAGCACCAGACCCGGAGAGAGATAGAAGAGGCTGAGGAGTCTGCGGATGAAGAGATTGCACATCAAGCCGAGCCTATGGAAACGACGCATGAGGAGCCATCCCAAGCAGTAGAGTATTCTTTGGTCACTAACAAAGAGACCGGTCGAGAAGCCAACAAGGCTCCCGCATCCGCCAAACCGACTCGCTTTGACCTATCGACCTTCTTCTCCTCACCAGCAGCGTTCCCAGGAATGCTGGCAGAGAAGCTATCACCTCTAAAGAAGATGTCCGGCTTCGGAACACGGCCTGCTGACCCTGAGCCTGTGGAAGTGGAACAGACACTACCAACAAGTTCCATGTTCCCACAGGTGCCGCAACATGAGCTTGCACCTCGAGCGCAGCCTAGGGCCGGTTTCTTCTCTCCTATTCGTTCTGTTCAATCGGTGCTGAGACGAGAGGTGTCTGAAGAGTCAGAACGAGAGTTGCGTTCTCGATCAAACTCAAGGTCTCATAAGACATCGTCTAGTGGACGTTCTGAGGTGTCAGTAAGACAGGAAGAGCATGACGTCTCTGTGCAAGAGATGTCTGAGCAGCAACAAGAGAGTGAGCAGCAGGAAGACACCGAACAGGAGGAGCCAGATGAGTTAGATGAGGCAGAGGAAGTAGAAGAACCTGAGGAGATTGAAGATCTTGAAGAAGCTCAGGCTGCTGAGTCACTACCTTCGGTTCCCCAGAAGGTGAACTTTACGCCCCAACGCAGACAACCTCGCCAATCCTTCTTCAAGACCTCAACTCAGGCTGCTGCCCCAGCTCCTATCCCTGCTACGGGTGAACCCACTCCACCACGGATGCAGCTCACCCACGCCGATATTCAAAAATGGCAGCAGCAAACCTCCAATGGTAGTGATGATTCCCCTGAACGCCCCTCTGCCCGTCCTATTCTCCGACCACTACCTCATAAAAACGCCTCCCCTTACAAGTCGAGTTTGCGCTCTCCGCTCAAGCCACATACCCCTGGCCGGGTAGTTGAGTTTACCAGCAGTGTCCTTTCCCCCGTGGAGCAGGCCAAGATTAGACACCAACGTCGATTATCCAACTCCTCAGCGGCATCTCAATCCAGTGCCGGCGTTCAGCGGCCGCGTTTAGGCCCGCCACCTCGTCAAACTGCGAACAAGGAGAATAACACTCTCCATGAAGTCCCCATGTCGAAGATTGGACTACCTATTAAACAACCACGTCCTGAACCTTTATCACAAACGGTTTGGACCCGAAAGCACTGGCTATTGCTAGATGATCTCCTACAACAGCGCCGTCAAGGCCCTTTCAGACTCAATTACGAACGTTACTCGGACAGGTTTCTTGGAAAGACGGTCACGAGCCACGGTGAAGCCATGACGCTGGAGCGCTGGCATTTGGACTGCGTTGACGCGTTCAAAACCCAAGTTGGTGGTTGGGATGAGGCCGCATTGGCCAAGAGGCTATTCGCGCTGATTATTGGTGAGCAGAGGAGGAATCAAGAAGGTGTTGCTAAACCTGCTCGAGTTATGTTCCATTGAACGATTTGAAGGATTCCTCCCTTATACGATGTTTTCTTTTTTGCATCAAAATTACGAAGTATGGCATAGTTAGCATTCATGAGGCGTTCTGTTTCATGAGTTGGTTGTTTGTTGTTGGAGATACCAGATACGATCATTGTGTCCTTTATGCATTGCATACAAACTCATACCCCCTGCATCATCTATTTCGTTTGATTATAGTCACAGACATGGTAGTATAAGACATACGAACAAATGCAAGCGTTGATCAACATAGACTGTTCTGTTCCCTCTTGAAACGCCTAGTCTAAAGTACTGTGATATATTACATACAACAACTGATGGGTTTCTCTTTGCTAGTTTATTCCAGCATGGATGCCTGGTTCGTGTACAATACATCCACGACGCTGCTCAACTTCTCGATAGTCGCCAGAGCCGCATCGTACGACTCATCTCGGTGAGTCTCGTCGAAGATGATAAGGCAGCCAGCGCCCTGGTCTAAAACGCCGATGATGACCTTGTCCAGGATCATCTGCGACAATTTTCGCTCAACCTGCTGGGTGTCGAGGCCAACCATCTTAGCGATGTGGTCAATCTCCACGCGCGAGAAAGGCTCGATGACCTTGATGAGATTCTGCTCAAGCATAGCATCATATAGACGCCGGAGGTGGTTACGGATAAAAGCATCGCTGCCCAGCTCATATCTATAAGAAGAAAGAGCTCGCTCGTACTCCTCTAGTGATCGGTTTGAGTGCGCACGAGCAATAGCCTTCATAGCCTCTAGGTTCTTGCCAGCATACTTGAGGGCTTGCTTTGAGGTCATGAGGTTGTTGACATCGTCAACTAGGTTGAGCATGATCTTGCAGAGAAGCATGTATTGAAGGGCAGCTTGGGCCCTGGAGTTCTCATCTTGGGAGTGGTAGCCATCGAGAGCCTCGATGAAGTACGAGAAAGCGGTGTTGAAGTCCTTGTCCTCAGCATGGAGCATACCACTTTGCATGTCGAGGTTCGCCTGTAGCATCGGGGGAGTGTATACGCTGGCAGCGCTTGTTCGCGCGCTGGTAAGGGCGGCACGGGACTTGGGGATGTTGCCAAGAGCATGGTAAACTCTGGACTCGAGGAGCTGAACTTCGACGAGGCGGAGCTTGTCGTCGAGGCGCTTGAGCTCGCGGAGGAGGTTGTTGATGAGACCGAGAGCTTCGTAGTAAGATTGCTTAGCCATCTGAAGAACAACAAGGCGGACCTCGAGGTCTTGTCTCTGGAAAGCGCGGCGCTCGGCGGTGGCCCATTCTATACAGTCTTTGGTGACGGAGATTTCGACATCGGTGCTATCGGGGATTTCCTTGATGAGGTCGAGCAGTTGGCGAACTACGTCACTGTATTAGCAAGCTGTGATGGGACGGCGCAAGATGATGGGAGTTTGAGAGCGTACCGAGCTTTGCTGACTTGGCCTTTGCAAAGGAAGAGAATACTGTCCGGCTCTCCTTGACTAGGTTCACCAACTCTTGCGTCTTCCTATTGTAATCGTTAGTGGGGCACAAGAGAAGCGGTATTGAAGCAGTGCGCACTTCTCGTCTCGGTACAGCTCTCCTAGGCTGATCAGAGCAGTCTCATACTCGCGAGTAGCGGCATCAGATGTGGTGCTGGGAGCCTTGGAGATGATGTCCTTGTAGATGGCCTCAGCCTTTCGAGGGTCGGACTTGGCGAGCTTCTGCGCTTCCTGGATCCTTGCCGATTCGGCCGCCGCCATTATAAATGATGTTTTTGCGCGTGTCTGTAAAGAAGCTCGTATATGGTAGAGCAAGGCGCTATCGAGACGGAGTTAGGACGTTAAGGCGTTGGGGGAGCGGTAGTCGTTATGATGAAGTTGTTTGGGTTAGCGGGAGGTAAACTGTAGCAATAGCAATGGCTGTAGCTACCTTACCTTAGCCTCCAGGTTGCCAGAGCACGACGTAGACCAGTGGAAGAGTGGGTCCCTTACAGCCTCAAGCAAACATCAATTGGGTTGATGATACCGATACTCCGTACAACGACGGGCTTTAGTTGATCCGCAGCTACCCTACGTCGCGCGTTGTGTCTGTAGGTACATGCCCTTTAAAGTGGCTCTTGCCATTGGATTTCCATTGTTGAATGGAAGCTTCCCGTCCCCGGAAGAGTAGCCGGCGCGACCCTTCTAAATGCGAACTTAGCGAATCATGCCGACAGCAAAATTTCAGTCCTAACTCGGAGCTCCAAACTTCCTGATAGTCTACCTACCACAAGCCACTCACTGCACAGTTACTTAAGTGCACCAGCCTCTCCGCATTAAATCTTGCTCGTCATATACTCACATCCTCTTTAATCCTCTCTAATATACCTCCCCATATACTTTACAATGTTCCGCCAGGCCATTGCCACCTCGTCCCGCGCACTGCGGGCTGCTCCCAAGGCCGCCGCCACCCGACCTTTCATACAGTCGCAATTCAAGGCCGCGCCCGCCTTCACCTTCAGATCTGCCCAGCCTGCCGTGTCGAGATGGTACAGCGACGCTAAGGAGGCCGAAGCCAAGCCTGCCGAGGAGGCCAAATCGGAGGACAAGGACAAGGCCAAGTCGGAAGAGAAGGCTGCTGAGAACGAAAATGATCCCCTCGCCCAGGCCAAGAAGGATCTCGCTGCCAAGGAAGCCGAAGTCAAGGACTGGAAGGTTTGTGACCACTTGAAAACAAAATCTTCCTAAATAATACTGACTCTTCTCAAGGACAAGTGCCTGCGCACCGTCGCTGATTTCCGCAACCTCCAGGAGCGAACCACCCGTGAGGTTAAGTCTGCGAAAGACTTTGCAATCCAGAAGTTCGCCAAGGACCTCGTCGACAGCGTTGACAACCTCGACCGCGCCCTTGGAATGGTCCCCCAGGAGAAGCTCAATGCTAAGGACCGACCCGAGCACCTTCAGGATCTCGCCAACCTGTATGAGGGCCTCAAGATGACAGAGGATATTCTCATGAACACCCTCAAGAAGCACGGCCTCGAGCGCCTCAGCCCCGAGGGCGAGAAGTTCAACCCCAACGAGCAGGAGGCTACTTTCATGACTCCCCAGCCTGACAAGGAAGACGGCACAGTCTTCTTCGTCCAACAAAAGGGCTTCAAGCTCAACGGTCGAGTGCTGCGCGCCGCCAAGGTTGGTGTTGTCAAGAACAAATAAACACACCCCTCTACTATAATGCCGGAGGTCATGTGCCGTTCACATCACTTTCCACAAGAATTCGCAAGTTGCGTGTAATATTAAACGAGGTTTTTGGTTGGCGTTGGCTCAGTGTATAATGCTCCCCTCATGATGGTCATTTTTCAATTGTATGATGGTTACAGATGCTTGGACAGGAGAAAAGTTTCAAAAGAGTTGGGACATTTGTACATTAAAAACAAGACGTGGGTGTATAACAACGGAGGCGAGCGGAAGGCCTGGTGCTGACCGAAGGTGGTCACGATCTCGAGGAGCTCCAGGGTAAAGATAAATACCGAAGCTAGTAGCTCAGCTATGATGATGAATTAAGCGAGACAGACTTCCAAGTCCATGACGATTCAGTATATTTTTGTGATGATGAGAGAGAAGCTATCTTATACCTGCTGTTACATAGTGCACATCACAGTAATACCCGCAACTCTATAGGTAGCGTTTCGACCTTTCCTTCACACAGTGGGGAAAATGATGAATTTCACGCATCGATAATCTACGAGGCACAACATTTGATACTGGGTATTTTGTAAATATTTATTTTAACAATCCTATCAACTCAGAAGAAACATGCTAAAAACACTAACAAAAGGAGAGCCATCAGAACACCTGGCACCTCGATTCTCTGATGCCGATGGGAGGGCACATAAAAAAAAAGCCTGTAATTCTGGTTGCTCCCCTATCTTATAAGTCACCTCCAAAATCAAATGTGCACGCTTCCTCCAATGCCATGCCATACTTTCAGTCCCAAAACTATGTCCCCTATTCCGCAGAGATACAACTCCTAGGTATAGAGGAAGGGGGGGAGCTTTTCCCAGCAACGCCCGCGAAGTCCGCTCATCGGCTTGTTGCCTACCACAAGTTCCTGACAGTGTTAAAACAGCAGTGAAGGTAAAGAAATAACGTAAATGTGAATCGTTATAAGAAACAATATTCATGCGATGGTCATTACAACTCTTTTAACTGGCCCACCAGGATGCCTTTCCTCTATACCTCCCGATCTCCTCTCCCCAGGAGAGGATTGCAGAGGCTGGAAGGCAATGATGAGTGGGAAAGTTCCTCGATCCAAGAAATCAATTATTCATCCATCCATCTCCTGTCGTGAGCGCCTTAGAGGATCGGACACCTTCTCTTCTTCCTCTTAATCTGTCCCACCCCAGGTGTTGATGATGATGATGACTTGCCTTCCTTAGAAGAACCTGATGCTGCTGCTGCTTCAATGGTTTTCCGGTCATTAGCGACGACAGTGTTGATAGCCTGCTCAAAAATCTCGTCGACTCCTGTCATCTCTTTACTACTGCACTCCATGTACTGGGCGCTCATCTTCTTCGCAACAGTCATGCCCTGCTCCGTAGTGACTGGCGTAAGACCCTGTGTCTTGAGCATATCAATACAGGCCCTCTTGTAGCGAAGATCTGACTTGAGGCCGACAAGGACTAGAGGAGTGTAGGGGCAGAAGTGGAGAACCTCGGGATACCACTGTTGGGACATGGTCAGCAAGTTGCGAGATTTAGGAAGAGGGTGCGATCATACCTTATCAAGGACATTGTCTAGGGAGTTCGGGCAGTCGATAGCAAAGCATACAAAGATCAAGTCGGTCTCTGGGTATGAGAGCGGTCGGAGACGGTCATATTCCTCTTGGCCTGCAGTATCCCACAATGCAAGCTCCACAGTCTTACCGGTGGGTGAATGGATAGGATAGGTGATGTAGTTCTCAAACACGGTAGGTACATATTTCTGCGCGTGTTGTTAGCATAGAGAGGAGGAGTGGAGGAGGACAGTCACTTACCTCTGGGAAGTAACCTTGGCTGTAACTGATGAGCAGACAGGTCTTGCCACAGCCACCATCGCCAACAACAACAATCTTCTTGGAAAAGGTTGGTGCTTCTGTAACGTGAGTCGCTGCCGACTCGCGGCCCGTCGACGAGCTCATAGTGGTGCTGACGGTACCCTCGCTGGAGCGAGTGCGCTGTTGACGACGGGATTGCTCAGTAGTGTCAAAGTACGAGTTGCGATACTGATGCGATGATGCCATGCTTGGGCGCAAGGCTGTGCTGTTGAGTCGTGGAATGCAGGCTCAGGCGCGAGTCTTGGCCTTTGGTGTAGTAAGTCGGATGGCCTTGTCTAAAATGCGATGCGCTTATGTGTCGGACGTAAAGTGTTTGCGATAGTGATGCGGGGTGGAGAGAAGATAACGTGGTCGAGCGTCTGATGCGATGGAGTAAACGCAGAGAAGAGCGAGATATCTGGAGGACAAGATAAGAGGCAAAGCAAAGGGGGAAAGTATGTGGCGGCCTCGAAATTGAGTTGAGATGCAGGAGCTAAAGAGGAAGAGGAAGAGGTCCAATATGATTCAAAGGTTATGTCTTGACTTGTGTGTTGTGCTGTGTTGAGTTGAGTTATGTTGTTTGCAGCAAGTTTAAACTACTCGCTCAAGTCCGACAAGTGGAAGGACTATGGGGAGTCAAGTCCAACTGTGGCTTTGTTGCACCACCAAGTTACCCGAGTAAACATGTTGACAGGGCAACTGGCAACTAGTCTAGCAACTGCAATCGGGGGGTAACTTGCATAGAGTCAATCGGAGCTGAAAATGACGGAGATAATTGGCCCGTGCACGTGCTCACGAGAAAATTTCCTTGGTCTTTCCCGGTCCGTTTCTCTGCTGGCGCGCGACAGGTCCTAGCGAGTTTCCACGTCTCCATACATTCTCTTGCCTATTTCTTTCAACTTTCTCAACAAATTGCGCGGTCTTCCTTTTCTTTCCACTTCAGCACAATAACAACACCACAGCCACAACACACTTATTCAGCCTGTCAGCATAAGCTTCTTGTAGAGACAGAGACTTTCGGAAGCAATGGATGTCCAGGCACCTAGCAAATACGTTACTCTCGTCTCTGGCGATGGCTTCGAGTTTGTCGTCCTCCGTGACGCTGCTCTTGTCAGCCCGATCATCAAGGGCATGCTCGACCTGAGAAGTCAATTTGCTGAAGCTAAAGAAGCTCGTTGTGTTTTCCAGGAGATGAGGTAGGTTGATATCACCACCACGCTGTCACCAGCAGAGATGGCTTGCTCTGTGGATTGATGACAATTCACGATGCTTTCTTGACAGAACAACCGGGTCTTCTTGGTTGGGCTGCATGATTCCTCACTACACTTGACCTGACCACACGCACACCTGATTTGGTCGTACACAGCTTTGCTGGAACAATCTCATACTTGGAGGAACTTGACGCTGATGATGATGAATCAACAGCGCCATGGTCCTGGACAAGGTTGTCGAATACTTTCACTACTGGTACCGCTACCGCAACAGCGAGGATGTTCCCGACATGGAGATTCCGGTCGAGCTCTGCCTCGAGTTGCTGGCCGCAGCAGACTATCTGGGCCTGGACCAGTATGCAGCCCAGCCACGCATTGCTACAAACAAATCCTTTGACACTAATATCATCTAGGGCGAACATGAGTATGAAGTGAAGCGCTTGTCAAGGTCGTCGAGTCCGACTGAACTGCACTCAACACTTGAGTGTACAATGATCTTTTATGATGGCGTTCTGGAGCTAGTACGGTAAGGATGCAGGCAAGTTTGCTGCAGCTCTGGCGAGTCTTCTCAGCATTGTTTTTGTTTTTGCCAATATCATAATCAGCTCATACAACTGGTTGACACACGTCAAACCCGAACATGATATAATTCTGTCATTAGGATTTACAACATAGGTACTCACCCGTGATTGTCACCATTTCAGCATATGCGTTCTTCTCTTCACTCCTCCGTGGGTCGAACGTCTATTAGAGATGGAAGATTAAAGTAACCCTCTCACTCTGCGTTCCTCAGTTGATGCATTGAGATTTCGCTTTTTCTGAAGGGCAACATTTCTTTATCTATTATAGACACAATTTATTCATTATTCCCGCATGGTCATAATTTCCTGTCGCCATTCATACCGTTGTTGAAACCGTGATAGCGAAGAACGCATCGGTACATGGCTGGGCCAACAATTCCCCAGCCACTCAAACTGAACATGCAATATCTTCTACCTATGCAATAACAGCGTGACTCAGAAATCGTTCTGGATAAGAAAGAGGCTGGTCCAGGTTCACCTAGAGGTAAGCTATGGATCCAGCGCTCACTCAGTGACCCGCCTTCTATATCGCTGGAGGACTAAGCCAAGACAGTGCCTAAATGCCATACCGGAAATCCTAGTTGCAATGACTCTAAGCCTTGCCTGTAGAATAGAACTGCGGTATGATTTGACTATCTGAGTCATATTTTTTAGGCAGAGAAAAGAGCATCAGATTGGTATTGGTCTAGTGCTTGGTGTATCGCGGCCAGTAAATTAGTTGCATGCCTATAAGGAAGCAACTTCTGCTTGTGAACCCACTCAGCCTCAACTTCCCAACTACAACCACACGATAGAACACAAAATGGCTACCAGCACATTCGAGACGCAAGGCGTCCGGGTTGCCATTGAAGGATGTGTCAGTCTCCCAAATCTTCAACAATTTCAGGCTTGTGTTAACAATTGCAGGGTCATGGTACACTAGATGCAATCTACGCTGCTGTAGACGAGTCTTGTAAGCAACGCGGCTGGGATGGTGTTGATATCCTCATCATTGGTGGTGACTTTCAGGTATTTCATCCTTTTTTCGAAATCAATTTCTTTTGGCTTCTGGGCTATGCTCACATCATGTCATAGTCAGTTCGAAATGCTGCAGATTTGAGTATCATGTCTTGCCCTGTCAAGTACCGTCACTTGGGAGATTTTCCAAAGTATTACTCTGGCGAACAAAAAGCACCATATCTCACCATATTCATTGCTGGTAATCACGAAGCCAGCTCACATCTATGGGAGCTCTACTATGGTGGTTGGGTCGCACCCAACATATATTATATGGGCGCTGCCAACATCCTGCGCTTCGGCCCGCTCCGCATCGCTGGACTGTCTGGAATCTGGAAAGGGTTTGACTACCGCAAGCCCCACCACGAGAGGCTACCTTTTAGCAGTGACGATGTCAAGTCATGGTACCACGTTCGAGAATTCGATGTCCGCAAGCTCCTTCAAGTGCAGACACAGGTGGACGTTGGCCTCAGCCATGACTGGCCACGCGCTGTTGAGTGGCATGGTGATCACGCATGGCTCTTCCAGAAGAAGCGTGCATTTGAACAGGAGTCCAAAGATGGCACACTTGGAAGCGTAGCTGCTGAGTATGTCATGGACCGTCTGCGGCCCCCCTACTGGTTCTCAGCCCATATGCATATCAAGTTTGCTGCGGTCAAGGTATACAATGACCCTGAACCTACTGTGGAGGAAAGTAAAGATAAAGCCGACTCTACCGATGCGCCAGCTCCAGCTACTGAGACGAACCCCGATGAAATTGATTTGGATATGGATGACGATGATGTTGAGGATGGCACAAAGGCTGATCCTAGCCTAGATGTCAAGAAGAGTGAGACTGACACCAAGAAGGCTCCGGAAGAGTCAAATGCTGTTTCAGAAGAACTGAGGGCACAGCTTCCTGCATCGTTCGCTCGTCCACAGCCCAAGAAGACGCCAGGTCAGCCAGTACCGCCTGGGATCACGAACAAAGAGGTTCGGTTCCTTGCTCTCGACAAATGTTTGCCAGGCAAACACTTCCTACAGCTCTGCGAAATTCAGCCCTTTAAGCCCGAGAAAAGCTCGGAGTATCCTCCATCTCAGGAGTCACCTCGTTGGCGATTACAGTACGACCCAGAATGGCTTGCGATTACTCGCGTCTTCCACGATTCTTTAGTCGTTGGTGATCGGGAGATCCAAGCCCCTCCCGATCTAGGCGAAGAGCATTACCAGCCCCTCATCGAGAAGGAAAGGGCATGGGTCGAAGAAAACGTCGTCAAGACCGAAAAGTTAGACGTACCATACAACTTCGAAATCACAGCGCCACCTCACGTTCCTGGCACCCCTGAGATCGTCAGCGAACAACCGGAGGAGTACACAAATCCTCAGACCGCAACTTTCTGTGAACTCATGGAGCTTTCTAATATCTGGGATGCGACCGAGCAAGAGAGGCAACAAAGGAAAGCACAGGGACCACCGAAAACAGATCAGCGGTTCTCTGGTGGGGGAAGAGGCCGTGGAGGTCGTGGAGGAGGGCGAGGACGAGGTAGAGGGCAAGGTAGGGGTTGGGGAGGAAGATGGTAACGGTGAAGCCATTACTCTACCAATTGTGTCTTGTAAAATTACAGGGGAAACACTTATCCTCTGAGTACCCTATGGGTTCTGTAGCAGGGAGAGATTTGACGTCAACAAAATATTAGAGCTTGTTAAGACCTCTGGTGCTCTCGTTAAGAGTTTCGTAGATGCGGTTATGAAAGTTTTTATTCTCTTTTGATCAGTTCCGTCTGTATACGGTGACCAACTAACATCCCGCAGAGATGGTCTATACTAAGAAGCAAAATTTCAAGAATTATCCAATGTAGTGGAGAATCTCAATTGGAGTTCAAAGCACAGGCTTGAAGCTTACAGTTAAAGTTGATGGTGGGGTTGATTAACTCCGTAGCAACCAATCCAATCAGGAAATAGAGTAAACAGTGCAGCGGTCCTACGCCATCGCCTTGCGCTACAACTCTACATCAGTTTACCTTGTTGAACCTTGAACCTATCAACCTCAACAACAAGGTTTAATCGCATCCTCATTACCAAAACACTACGCAAAACCACCGACCTAGCATTGGTATTCGACAATAAACAACTTTTACGTCTTCGCGCTCGAGATTAGGAGTCGCTGTCTCATCTAACTGTCTCGTTTGTCTCCCCTCAGATACTCCCTATCACGTATTGATTGCCCCGCATCTCGACCTCTTTGAAACCTCGTCGATATCGCCGTTCACCATGGCTCAAGCCTTCTTGACCACCGTGTTAGTCTCCTTATTATCCCCTTAAGCAAAGAAGCCATGGAGTTCCCACGCCCGCCGCACACCGCCACCATGTTTCGATACCTGAGCCCCAAGTCGCTCTTGACGATGCATCATATGGACATGACCATCATACCCATATCCCTCTCCGCGGAGCCTATGCCTATTTTTGATGAAGTGGCGTTTGCTGACTTGCAACCTGTGGTGGATAGTAACCAACGGACGAGAAACCAGTTTCGCCCTCGCGTGGGCAAGGGTGGATCAGCCAGCTATCAGCTGCGACAGTATGCCGAGGTGACACTTGGCGGTGGCAGCCTACGAAAGGTTGTAAAGCTCCCAGAAGGCGAGGATGAGAACGAGTGGTTGGCTGTCAACAGTAAGTCTACAACAATTGCGCCACGCAGGTCAACGAGCTAATCGATGGCTTCCAGTGGTGGACTTCTACAACCAGATCAACCTTCTATACGGAGCCATCACCGAGTTCTGTTCACCACAGTCATGTCCCGAGATGAAGGCCACGGATGAGTATGGTCCCCGACAATAGAGAAATGTGGTTCGAACTGACAGGAGTTAGGTTTGAGTATCTCTGGCAAGATAGCGAGAACTACAAGCGTCCTACCAAGATGCCTGCGCCAGCATACATTGAACAGCTCATGTCATGGGTGCAGGCAAACATTGATAACGAACAAGTTTTGCCCAGCAAGATTGGTAGGTGCCACATCATCCTCATGTCCCCAAGGACGAGCATCTAACAGTCAATAGGCGTTCCATTCCCCAAATCATTCCCGGCGCTGGTCCGCCAGATCTTCAAGCGCATGTACCGCGTCTACGCACACATTTACTGCCACCACTACCCCGTGATCCGTGAGCTCGGCCTCGAGCCACATCTGAACACAAGCTTCAAGCAGTACGTTCTGTTTGTTGACGAGCACAGCTTGGCGAGTGGAAGGGATTACTGGGGTCCCCTGGGCGATTTAGTAGACAGCATGCTCAAGAGCGACTAGGAGAAGCTCGATAGCGATGGTACTAGTACTGAGACTTAGTAATGAGGTGTTTTGGGCGTTTGAGGGAAATGGCTTTAGAGGGTTAGCAGCAAGCTTTTCGATTGTATGACCATAATGATAGGGAGCAGCTGGTTAGGTAGCTGTTCTGCACGATTGAGCTTCGTGCACTATAGGAACGACAGCTACATGGGCAATCGGATGCAACAAGTCTTTAAGAAATCAACAAGTTGTTTGAGTACTCGCTGAATTGATTCAAATTTGTCTATATGTCAAACTGATTAAATGGCTGCAGTATGGAACATTGCTATGAGTGAGTGAATGAGTTATGTAATCACAAAGTGGATGCCTTAGCGGATGTCAGGCATCGAACGCCCGAAAATTGCCGAGAGCCCAGGCTAGCAACAACCTCCAAGTTAATCGAAGCCGAACATCATCACACCCGCCCTTGCTCTTGTCTTCGACTTCGTCTTCTCCTCCATCTCCCTTCTTTTCTCACCAGCAGTCGCCCGTCATGTTCTCACGACAGGTTCTCCGCGCCGCCCGCGTCGCCGCTCCCCAGCGAGCCCTCGCCTTCCGAGCCGCCCCCGTCCGATCCTTTGCCGCCGCTGCCTCGCCCGAAGTCAAGCCCCCGATTTCCGTCTTCGGTGTTGATGGCACCTATGCCACTGCTCTGGTAATACACCACCTCCAATGACAAAAATACACACACACGTCTACGCACCTTGTCTTTCGACTCCTCCATGTGTTCAATTGGCTCTTCGCAAGTCAATCCAATGCCGCCCGCCAGAAAAACCTCAAATTGGAATCGCGTCGTCGCTGACAGGCAATTTTTTCTTTTGCGTCAATTTAGTACACTGCCGCCGTCAAGACCTCAGGCATCGATACCGCTGCCGACGCCCTCACCAAGCTCGGCGCTCTCCTCGAGAAGGACCCCAAGCTCGTTGCTATCCTGAGAGCCCCCACCCTGACCGTCGAGGACAAGAAGGCTATCGTCCAGGAGCTCGAGAAGCAGATTGGCAACAAGGACGAGACCGTCAAGAACTTCCTCGCCACCCTTGCCGAGAACAACCGACTTGGCCTCATCCCCGGTGTTGTTGAGAAGTTCTCTACCATCATCTCTGCCGCCCGTGGTGAGATCGAGCTTACTGTTACCAGCGCTCAGGTACGTTTGGAGATATTGCAGATGGGCAAGGATTTGGGGCAGGAGCTACGTCACAGCTAGTCATACCTGGGAATGATACGACGAAGAAGAAGGATGTTGTGAAGAGGGGACAATGGACTGATATTATTGTCTAGGCTCTCGACAAGCGAACCCTCAACCGGTTGGAGACTGCTGTCTCCAAGTCCTCCTACGTCGGCCAGGGCAAGAAGCTCAAGGTCACCAACGAGGTACGTCTCGCCCCAATAACCCAACGTCACAGCCCCTAACACTCCCTCCCCTAGGTTGACCCCGAGATCGTTGGTGGACTCGTCGTCAACATTGGCGACCGAACCATCGACCTGAGCGTTGCTTCCCGCATCGCCAAGATGAACAAGCTCCTCACGGACACTCTGTAAAACCATCATAGTATACAAACTCTATTTAGTGTCTCCTTTGCCTTGTCTCGCGGGGCTTGTCACCTCGCATAACTACCTCTAAGCGAGTGGCTCGCCGGCTTCTGGGGCTTCTCCTCCCCCTTTCTTTTTTCATTTTTGTTAAAAACTCCCTCGAAACCAACTGTTGTTGTATTCCCGGTCCAAGGGGAGAAGGAAGGGGAGAGTGTCGATGGAAAGAATAGTGTAGGAGGGTGTGAACACGGCTTGCAATAGATGCAGTTCCACAATTGAATTCTTTCGTTCCCCAGTGTGATGGCTTTCAACTTGGATTGCTTGGTTTGCGGCATCTCAGTCATGTCGGACATAGCGGAAGTACGAGCTTCTACGAAGCAGATATTCACACTTCTACCCAAGCCAAAGAACTATATCAGTAGTGCCATAATGACCAAAAGATCAAAAGTGTTGATAGGCACTTTGTTATTATTAGGCTAGTCACGAAATTGGGCAAAACGACCTGAGATGATGCATTTCTATTGTATCATAACCCCTGCGAATGAATGATGCGATATGTTTAAGCTCGTAAACTCAGGATACCCTACTGTTCTACAACACAACATGGCGAAAAGTTCTTGCTTTTCATAACGCCTTATTACCCCTTCTCTTAGTAGCTCTCAGCTATTCTTTCATGAACTGGCTATCCAAGTCGCCTATGCCTTGGTCTCAAACTCTTCGTCATTCGCATAGTTTGCCCCCTGTTTCTCATCCCTGTATCTCTCAAGCTGGTCGGAGACGTAGCTGTGCATGTGAGCATCGGCTTCAGTGCGTTCCCTGGATCGATCAACGTCGTCATGGTGGACAGAACCTGTTGCAGAACGGGCATCATCATCAAAGTCACTGCGCGCACCAATGGAACGAGCAGTAGATGATCGTCTGATACGAGGCTTGCCCGAGTGAGAATCTCCCGGTCCGACATTTCGATGGAAGATATCATCGAAATAATGACCCATGGCAATTGAGGGTGTGCGCGGGGTATGGGGAAGACGGCAGTTGACACTGTATAGTTGTTAGCAATTAGGCGCATCATTAATAAGAAGTTGTTGACATACCCAGTATCATGAATCATGCGAGCAATCAGTCCTGTCCATCCACACTGGTGGGTAGCGCCCAAACCGCGGCCACTGTCGCCATCAAAGAACTCGTGGAACCAAAGGTAATCTTTCCAGTGTTCGTCAAAGTCGAGGCGATCATCACCACCATTGATGCTACGTCTTCCGTCATCGGTACGGGCGAAAAGATGCTGCAAGCGGTGCTGAATTTCTTCAGACACCTTGCCCAGATGCATGTAGTCGCCGCTACCGGTCGGGCACTCAACTTGGAAGTCTGGTCCATAGAAAAGGAAGAATCGCTGTAAGGATTCAACAAGAAGAAAGTTGACGCAGAGCCAGATGGGTCCTCTCCAGTTACTGTTGCCGCCAAACATACCACTATCCGAGTCTCCCGGCACGTATTCAACACAGAATTTCTGCCCATTGACATCCATGGAAAATGGGTTCTTCTTGTGGAACTTGGAGAGTGAGCGGATTCCATGATCACTGAAGAACTCGTCTTCGTCGAGCATGCGCTTGAGAATCTTCTCCAGTCGATCTTTGCTCACGATGGACAACAGGATACGATTGCCCTTTCCTCGCTTTCGGATACTGGCCATGTTTCTCTCAGCCAGATCGCATCGGTTCTCAATGAACCAGTCAACTCTCTTCTTGAACGAAGGCAGCCGGTTGATCAACTCTGGTTCCAGAGTGATGGTCGCGTAAAGAGGGATCAAGCCCACAAGCGACCGCACGGGCAGCTGCTGGATCCAGGGGCCGCCCCAGGAGATGGCATCATAGTAGAAGCCATCGTCTTCGTTCCAAAGAGACTTCTCCTCTGTTTGACCAGTTCGAAAGGTCATTGCATCACTAATGAAGATGAAGTGCTCAAAGAACTTGGATGCGATATCCTCGTAAATGCGACGATGCTTAGCCAGCTCAAGGGCAATGTTGAGCATGGACAGACAGTAGAAAGCCATCCATCCTGTGCTATCTGCCTGCTCTAGGACACCTCCGGTGGGCAAAGGCTCAGAGCGGTTGAACAAACCAATGTTGTCAAGACCCAAGAAACCTCCCTCGAAAACGTTCTTGCCATCGGCATCCTTGCGGTTTACCCACCAGGTGAAGTTGATGAGGAGCTTTTGGAATACACGCTCAAGGAAATCTAAATCCTGACGACCATACATCTTGCGCTCAATCTTGAACGTCCTAAAGGTCGCCCAGGCATGAACTGGGGGATTCACGTCACCAAAGTTCCACTCGTAACTACAGAATGTTAGCACTGGATTTTGAGGATTGAGGGCGAGCTAAGTACTTACGCTGGGAGCTGTCCATTGGGATGACAGTACCACTCTCGTGTGAACAAGTCAAGTTGCTTTTTGGCAAAGTCTGGGTCAATCATCGCCAACGGGATGCAGTGGAAGGCACTATCCCAAGCTGCAAAGAAAGGATACTCCCATGAGTCGGGCATGGATAGGATGTCGTCGCAGTGCATGTGTTTCCACGCCGAATTTCGAATGTCTTTCCTTGAAGCTGGGGGAGGTGGCATAGTAGGGTCACCGTTCGCCCAGTGGTCCCAGATGAAGTGATAATGTTGTTTGGTCCACATCATGCCAGAGAAAGCTTGTCGCTGGATATTGCGCAGGTCATCTGCCATGGGAAGAGGGCTGAGTCTGTAGTAGAACTCATCTGCCTCCTCCTTGCGGCTCTCAATAACATCATCGAAATCTTCTTCGTCGAGGTAGCTGTCGTCTCTTCGAGTAAAGCGGAAACGAACGACTAGACCATAAATTAGATAAATATTTAAGAGCCAAGGAAATAGAATACTCACCGGCACATTCGCCAGGGTTAACACCACCATCTTCATTAAAGTTGAACCATGCAGCACACTTCGTGCCGGTCTTGGCAGGGTTGACAGCATCCTTATCTCCGTCGACAATGTAGCGATGGAACGCATCCTTGACATATGGCTGCGCATTCTTTTGGTCGTACAGGGCCTTAAAGTTGGTGTCGTTCTCTGTAAACATGAACTCGGGCATCACATCGTCGCCGCTGGAACCTACACCGGGTGAGGGTGAGCACAAGAAGTGGCGCTCTCCCAAGTTCCAGTGGTCGGATTTGGCCACATTCTCGTCGACGTATTTAATGGAAGGCTTCTTCTCCTCTGGCTCTCGACCCCAGCTCCAGGTATTGCGGAACCAAACCTGGGGAATGATGTGGAGAGGTGCAGGGTCAGGGCCTCGGTTCCAAGCAGTGACTCGGAAGAGGATCTCATCTGGGTCATCGGTCTCTTTCGCGGTCTCAATAAAGATATCCCAATATCTGTTGTCGTCAAAGGCATCGGTGTCTGTAATCTGGTATTCCTTATCTTCCTTTCCTCGTCGGGCGTTCTCGTCAATGAGATCTTTGTAAGGGAACTTCTTCTGTGGATACTTGTAAAGGAATTTCATGTATGAGTGCTATCATGGCCAGTTAGCATAGAGTGGATTCGGAGTCTTGGGGTGAATTACAGTCTAATGAGATTGTTAGCACATGTCAGACCAAAATTGATTTTGGAGACAGGAATGTTACTGACTGGAGTGTTGTCGACGTGGAAATGAGCCTCTTTGACACTTTCACCATGGTTACCCTGGGGATTTGAGAGACCAAAAAGACGCTCCTTGAGGAACTCGCTGTATGGAAGTCAGTAATTATGTTTCGTATTCAATTGCAGCATTGCACGGACTCTTCCTCGTTCCAGAAACTGAAGCCAATGTTTTGGTAACCGTGAGTGTCACAGACACCGGCGATACCGTCTTCGCCCCATCGGAATGCGCGCGATCGGGCGTGGTCGTGAGGGAAGTCTGACGTAACTTGTTAGTGCGTGGGACAAGATGCGCCATTAAAAAAGAATACTTACGACTCCAGGCATCTCCATCGTGACTGTAATCCTCTCGGACTGTGCGTTGGTTAGCAATTGAGTCCTCATGAGTGGCCGCTGATATTGGCAGACCATGACGGGAATCACATGCCTGTAGCCCACTGTCTCTCGGAGACATAAGGACCCCATTTCTTCCAGTACTTGGTACGATCGCGATCCTCCTTGAGACGTCTTTCTTCCTCGGTGAGGTATTCGTGGCCGTCGTGAACAACCATGGCTCAGAATCAATGCTCAACAAGAGCTCAACGAGGGGCGGAGAGCACGGGCGACGATCGACGAGGGGTAGCAGCGGCTGCTCTGGTGGGGGAAGATATGGTCAATTGGAGCGTGTGGGGAAGCGGAGAGGAGGGGAAAACAACGAAGTCGAGATGTAAAGGATGATGGCCAGGAACTGGAGGTTTCTTTAGGTGATGCTCCTCTGGTAAAGAGAAGATAAGAGGAAAGGGGAGGAAGGGGAGAGAGGAGGTGAAGGTGAAGGTGAGAAGTGAAGGATAGGTAGAAAGAAAAGAGCTCAGAGAAAAACAGCTTCCGCTCCCGCTCCCGCTCTCTCAAGCTTAGTCTACTACGTATCTACCAAAAGGGCGAAACACACACACGCGGGATCGACGATGGTGGGTAGGATCAAAGAATAACAATCGCGGTTGTGCCTGAGGCTTGGGCTAGCTCTGGTCTCAGGTCTCTGTCTCGTAGCTTCCTCCTATGGACGGGAGGTAACTTGTTGTTGAGGCTCCTGGTTTCCCCCCAAAACAACCAGTAACTGATAGCACATGGTTATTAGCGAGCACAACCGGACATCTCTAGCCAACCGATTGTATCAGCGGCCGCTGCATCTCCTCCGCTACAGGCGGATGTTTGTCTATGAATGGGTACTCCGTACTAGACCTATCGTTTCTTGATTAGAGTGACATTGAACTCTCACCTTATTTAGCAACACGCGGCTAGCCATGGCCATGGCCCATGGGCAGGCATGAACATGGGCATGGCTCTTTAACTCCACCAGGAACACTATCATCGGCCACCGCTCGGCGAGCCTGCAGTAGAGATAGTGCCATTGAAGGCTTGTCTTGGACGAAGATGCCATATCAATAGCGGAAGACGCTCTGGATGAGCGTAGAACACAATGTACTACTGTCACGGTAGGTATTGCAATCAATTATATAACAGTCATGAAGCGTTCATATTCACTACAGAGACAGCTTTTGCATACCGGTGAAGCTTGAATCATGGTGGACGGATTGTGGCGTTTCATAGCACCTAATCTGCCACGCTAAAAAGTTTCTTGAGTTTTTTTTCTTACTCAGTGCAGCAATGACGTCTTTCGGCTTGTGGAGGGAAAAGCTGGACGCTGGGTGCTGCAATCAAGGTTCTGAACCATGCCGTCTCGAAATATGTCGGGAATACGACCAATCACACAACACTCTCAGATTCACTCTCCCTCAAATCTTGGGGAAAACAAAGAGGAAGAGAAAAGATATCTGGCAGCTCGATGGTGCTTCTCGGATTACCCAGTTGGGACGAGCATAACTGGGGAAGTTGAGAATTCCATCATGTCTTACCCATGTCTTCTCCAACTTGTGCTCCATATCCGTACATATCTGCCCATTGCCAACTACACAATGCGGGATGTTGGAGATGAACGGAGTTTGAGCCCTGTTACTGATAAGCAATTTGGATGCGGAGAGAGAATAAACTTATTAACCCAATATCTACGGATATATTTGATAGGTATACATTTTTCTTACACTTAAGAAGCAGACTACATCTCACAGTGTTGATACACTGCCATCATAATTTCGACTCGGAGATAACTTCGATCCTCTGCTACCCTGCACTATCGAGGTTGTACAATATTTCCAGCTATGATGATGTTACTCGGCTCCGCAAATGCTACAGAGTATCGAAGAGATCAAGTAGACACGGTTATCATCGTTATCTAAATGTACGATATGAATATGAATATCAATTATGGCCGGTTGGCCGGTGATTAAACATGGCCACTGTGTAACACCGGCTTCGAGGTCTGAAGTCAATGCTGTCTAAAAAACATTACGACCCGGATCACTGGCTCAAGGAAAAAGGTCAATCACATGAAAATACTCGACTCCAGAAGAACACCGAATATTCGCTAAATATCCATTCCCACTAACACGACATCTCATGATCGATCCCCTGTTAGGGGCTTACATTAAACCAACTCATGATACACTCGCCGATAGACCCGATCTTGCTAAAGCTTGCAATACGTCCAATTGGCAAACCTCTTCTTTGGTACTGAGCAGCAAGTGTTCTGCCGAGCCAGCTGTGTCGTTATAATATGAGCAATTGATCGACTGTTCCTAAAATAACGTTAAGCCACCTGTGTCGAGCGAGGCCATCTTTAGACCAGGCACATCCTTGCGGTACCTAAAAGCTCCCGTAGTACCTAACTCGTCGGTTGGTCCGTCCGTACAGGGACTTCAGGCACAAAAAGCTGAGGTGCCCTCAATCCTGCTTAAACACGCCAAGCTTGTGCCAACCTACGCCTCGCCTCAACAAGCCTCATCCCCATCGTCAGATGTCTACTCCGCCACCATAGTTTTCGTGGCTGGCTTGTCAATTTGTCGTCACCCTCGTTATTCGCCTTCCGACCATCACTTTTTACTTATCAAATACTAAATATCTTTTACAATTCGACGCCTTTAATGCATTGTTCCAATCCTAACTTTCCGACGTCTCGATATTCGCCTATCCGACTGTATTAAGCTAGCGAGCGTTACTGCTGCCGATAACACGTTCACTATTTCGTCCGACTATTTTAATTTTATCGTCTGCTTCAAATCTTACACCGAACACACACAAACACACAATCACGCAATGTCTGACGCTATATCATCCTTTCTTCGGAGGGTTATCGTCGAGTCTCCTCCCGGAGAATGGGCTGTGCGCCAGCTTCGCGAGCTTCTCATCGGCGCCCTTAAGCAAGGCCCTATTCCTCAACATGTATCCTTCGAGATGGACGGTAACCGACGATATGCTCGAAACCACCGAATGGAGACCGTGGAAGGCCATCACCGAGGATTCGAGGCATTGGCTAGGGTACGTTCCCTATAACCCGACAAAAATGCGACGTGCTGACATGTCATCAACAGATTATGGAAATCTGCTACAAATCTGGGGTCAAGGTCGTGACAGTATACGCCTTCAGTATCGAGAACTTCAACCGGCCCAAATACGAGGTCGAGGGTCTGATGGAGCTGGCCAAGACTAAGCTGGAGCAACTGACCAAGTATGGTCACGTTCTTGACCGTTACGGTGCCTGTGTGCGCGTCTTGGGCCAGCGCGAGATGATTCGAAGCGATGTCCTCGAAGTGGTCGATAAGGCTGTCGCAAGAACCAAACACAACAACAAGTTAGTCCATCATGTCTTGAAGTAGAAAGCAAAAGCTAACGCGCATCAAGGGCTGTTCTGAACATTTGCTTCCCATACACTTCACGAGCCGAGATAACGACCGCGGTGAAATCAACAGTTCAGGAATTTCTTGCTCCCACTCCTCCTCGAGCCACCCCCTTCTCCCCGTCGCGAATTCGACAGAAGATTCTCTCACGCCAGCTGAATGGCCACGAGGGACTACCTACGATTCCCGATACACTCCCCGAAGAGACCGAACCACTCGATGATGAGGACGCCAAGAAGGACAGCGATGGTGACTCCTCATCGCCTACACTGCTTCCCGATTCTCCTCCGCCCCGCCTGCGCGCAAGGAATAGCGCTGCCAGCCTTTCAGGGCTGCCAAATCCCGAAACAATCACAGCCGAGACACTGGACAAGCACATGTACACCGCCAAAGACCCGCCCCTGGACATTTTTGTGCGAACCAGTGGAGTGGAACGTCTCAGCGACTTCATGCTTTGGCAGTGCCATCAGGATACGCAGATCTTCTTCATCGATACTCTGTGGCCCGACTTCGATCTCAAAGACTTCATCTGGATCTTGCTGGAGTGGCAGTGGAGACAGAAACAGAAGGATCGCGAAGATGCGCCAGTTCGACCTACTTCTGTTACGGCGTGATGTGATTCTAGCGCCGGTGATACCCTGTTTTTGATTAGAAAATCCAAATTGGAGTTATTTATGGTTGACAGTTTGGTGGTTTAGAAAGACATGTGGAATGTCAAGATTACATTAGTTGGTGTTAATTCCTGTGTGGCTTAACGAGTGACAGTCCTTGACACACTCGTGATGGAACACTTTAAGCAGCTTGTGCAACGATGCGATCTTCCCTCGTGATTCGATATGCGATTCTGAAGCTGCGACAAGGTCAAAATGAGACAACCTGAGTTGCGAAAGACGCCGCGAGATGCTGATCATGAGATGCATGAGCATTGGTCAGATAATTTCCAACTTGGACTTGAACTCTACAGAAGCTCATGCTGTTATGTACTTTATGTCAATTGGTAAATGCTGATCTCCCAGTACTTTGTAATCAATTTGCTTCTGATCATGCGTGGCTGTTGGGATGGGTTATGACGAAATAGCCATTCACGCGCAACGCCCCACGCAGTATACAGCATTCCATATTGCAATATACTACCTAACTGGAATCGCGTTGACGAATTGGTGTGAAGGCAGAATACCACCTCCATTTTAATGCGGAATAAATGCAGATTATCACTGGATTTGATACGAATCCGCCGTCACGAGAGACTGATATCCAAAGTCAACATTGCTTCAAGTCTCATGCGCTCTTATCAGATAAGAAATCCTCCGTCATCGGGGTGTGGTTTCTCCGAGTTTGCGGGTCCGCGTGAGTCGCTGGTAGGCGGTAGGTTGGGGGTCACAGGCCTATAGGTCTGAGTTGTAGCAGCTGTAGTAGTATTCGCAGCGCTCCAGGTCATTCTCCAAATTCAATGGGAAAACAGCCGAACCTTGGCCATCTGCCATCCCATCCCGCTTCTTTCTGCTCCCTCCTACGCGTGCGCTCTCTTCTCCCCTCCTCATTATTTACGGAAATTCCTCAACTAATACGGCACCAGGACGCAAAATGACCTAGCCTTTGTTTCTTACCTGGTCTATTTCGCTGCTAGTTGCTCATTTACTTCCTTTTTCCATACCATCTTTCATTCAATCTTTCTGTCGCCAGCTTCGTTCCGCCGTCCAACATTGAGCTGATCGACCGAGTCGCCCCAATCCTCTCTCTCACCTTTCGCGTCTTTCACGATGAAGTCCGCCAAGACGCCCGCAACGGAGAACTCGTCGCACCGCCGGTCGCAGCCAGTTCGCCAGACTCGCACGAATCCTCCGCGAAGCACTGCGAATATGGGCCGCTCTGGTGCCGGCAGAGACTCGATCGGCGGTACCGACCAGCCCATCGACATTTTCCCTGCGATTACACACTTCGCCGATGCTATTACTGCGCTCCCCAAAGAGCTTGTTCGACACTTCACGCTTCTCAAGGAGGTCGATGCCAAACTTTTCACTCCCGAAGATCAGCTCTTCCGACTCGTCGAAGCTGCCACCAATGCTCCCGTCTCCGAGGCACGTCCGAACAACGAGACATCGAGCGCCATCGTTCCTGGCTCGGCGCCCATGAGCGCGCAGAATAGCTCGGCCGGTACTGCTTTGAACAACAGCGCCCAAAGTGCGCCCTCGGTCGATGAATCCAACAGAGACCTCGTTTTCGATCCATCCAATCTACCTCGCCGTCACCTCTTTCGACAAACCGCGCTTAAAATCCAAGAGATGCTCGTGTCGCTTGAAGAGAAGAACCACGTCATTTCGACGGCGAATGAAGCACTCCAAGCACAACTTACCCGCATTGAAGATGTTTGGCCGCATCTAGAGAACGAGTTTAGCGATGAGGCTAAATGGGGAAGCACCACACACTGGGCGTACCCAGAAAATCGGTTTTCTAAAGCATCACAAGTCGATCGGACACGGCGCGACGGCGCCGCAGCTATCTCTGCAGCAGCACAGGCCCTTGCCGACGAGGCAGCCGCTAGAAGCGATGCTCGGAAGCAGGCCGTTCAGGCGAAGAAAGCTTCGAGAAATAACAACAACAATCACAACAATGCTAATGCCCATAACCATGAGTCAGAAGGAGACGACCATGATGGCAAACCCAAGCCCGAAGCTCCCAAGAAGACTACAAAGTCGCGGAAGACAGCAGCGGAAACTGTCAATGTCGGACTGGGCATTTCTACTGCTGCGACGAATAATGGCAACCCACCACAGAAGCGACGCAAGGTAGAAAAGCCGACCAACGGTGCCACGGTGGCAACAGAACGTGCCATGAGCTCTGTTTTTGGGAATGCCGCGCCGAAAGCGAAGACGACAAGCCCACGAGCAACTCCCGCTCCTGAGGCGCCTAAGAAGAGGAAGGCCCTTCCTTCAGGGAGCGGCCAGTCTAAGAAAAGGTATGTTTTGCAAACCGTCCCAGATGCTCTCATGAAAGACTCTAACATGTTAATTTGTGTTAGAAACGGCGTCACTGGCTTATCCACATCCGTTAATTCGTCGCCTGTTATCACTGAGCTCCCCGAACCAAAGCTCCCCCCCGTTCGTGCATCGCCAGTACCAGTTCCTACGCCAAGCATAGTTCCGACTCGTTCGCGACAAAACTCGATACAGACTGTGACTGTAGAGAACAATAAGGCACCGCCGACAATATTGGCACCCAGCAAGCCCAATGGCAGCGCAGCCAACACGCCAGTCATTGGACCTCCAATAAATAACACACTCCGTAACGGCACTGAACCTAAACTTCCCAAAGAAGCGAGTTTACCGATCAAGACGGAAAACCCAAAGAAGGAAGTCGAGAGAACAGAAGCTGCATCTGCTCCTCCAACCACTGTCATCAGCACTATTACCCCCGCTATCACGAACAGTAGCAAGAAGGATCCTAAGAAGCCTGAAGAGAACGACCGCAAGAGTGAATCGTTACCTCCGGCTCCACAGATATCCACAGTCACGACCAAGAGCGGGCGAGCCAGCAAACCTTCAACGCCAGCGCTGGCAACCTTTCAAGAGGCGGTGCAACCGCGGTCACGTTCTTCGAGGAACAACGAGGGAGCTAGTGCTGGGAAGAAGAACCAGAAGAAACTTGGTCCCACTATTCATGCAGCTGTTGCTCAGTTGGCAGATGAAGATACGAATAGTAGCATGCAGGGCGACGAAGACGATGGCGACATTGACGCAGACGAGCCGACGTACTGTTACTGCAACGGCGTCAGTTACGGCGAGATGGTTGCTTGCGATGCCGATGAGTGTCCGCGCGAATGGTTCCATCTGGAGTGCGTTGGGCTCAAGGTAGCGCCAACATCCAAAGGTGAGTTATCGTGAGAACGATGGATTTGGTGAGCATTGAACGCTAACTGGGTATAGCAAAATGGTATTGCGAAGACTGCAAAGAACGCCTCAAAATGGGAGGCAAGAAGTCTAATGTCCGATAGTTGACATGTCAGACGATATGCTGTGACATGGTCACAGGCCACTCACGATGGCCTCATGTTGAAATCGACGATTGGTTCTGGTGCGAATTGCACTGCCCATAGCGTGGGCTCATGTATACGAAAAAACACACATACGGCGTTTCCTTTGTTTCTTGGGATGTGACAGACGCGGTCATACAGCACCCGTTTTTTTATTTGGTGTTTTAACCGGTTGAAGGAAAGAGTGTTTGAGCGGAGGTCAATGTCATCAAAGTTCTCACCTAGCAGTTAGCAGGTTCGGTATAGCGGAAAGGACTATGCGTCCGATGGTGATTGTTTGTTCTATAGAAAGCGACATGGCGCAGTATGCGAGTATGTGAACATGGGTCTCAGATCAGAGGAACCCAGGGGCAAAATGCGGGGGAATTTGAGGGGTGGCCAGCCATTGAGAGAGCATATTAACGTGGATAGGTTACTATTAACGGAATGAATATACCGTTGGATTTGACCAATGGAAGCACTTGCTTAAACCGTATTAGTGATGACCGGATGAGGAGAAGAGAAGAGAAGAGAAAAAAAAGTCACGATGCTTAAGCTCGAGTTGATGGTGGTTAGATGGCCAAGATTAGCAATACTCGCGGCCACCCCCAGCCTAAGCCCGAGCCTGACACGGAAGGTCGAGAGGTGGTCCAGGCAGTGTCACGAGGGGCCAAGATGCAGACCGCTAAGGGCAAAGTGTTAGGTAATTGATTTCTGAGCCCGCCGCAGCGCAAGGGGGAGAGGGAGCTTTGAGGGCATTGACCAACGGCAGAAGCTCCCTGGTCGGTTGTTGTTATTCTGGTGCAGGTGGTGGTTTTGTGTGTGAGGCTTGCAAGTGCTTCCTAGTAGCCTAGTTTCACGGTAGCCGGGCTAGGATCTGCAACTTTGTTGAGAAGCAACCGGCTAGACTATGTCAGGAAAGTAATGGGAGAGTCTAGAGAAGAGGAAGAGCAGAGAAGCGTTTAGCGAACAAGCTGCGGCGGGACCTGGAGGTGCTACTGTCACACGGAGATGGAGAGATTCCGGGGTTCGGCAAGATTGCGGTTGGGGAATTCTGGAGCAAAAGAGAGTCAAGTGATTGATGCGTTGGAACAGTGATGGAATGGAAAACGCCCAAAGCTGGGGGTCATGACGTTTAGGAAAATCCGGGGTAAATGTGTCCTTCTCAATGGTCAATGGTCAATGGTCAATGGTCAAGGCTCTCTCTCCCCTTACCCTTCCAGTCTCCTCTCCCTTCGCCTTCGGTAATAGGGTCCGGGGTGTGCGGGTGCGGTAGCCAGGCGCCTACAAGAATCCCGGCCGCGCTCCGGGCGGAGCGGAAAGATCACGTTACAGAGTCAGTCCTACATGTCGATAGGCTGATAATTACCTAACCTTATAAAACAGACGTAGAAAGTTATAGCATTGGCCTATACCCAATTTCCAACATCCCTTTTCGAGGATAGAAGTAGCACAATGTGTAGCATAGTGATGTCGTTTAAGCCCCCTTTTCACATTCATCCTCAGCTGGTCACGATGGCACCATGTCTGTTATTATTGAACTGTTCTACAGGGGCCGGGAGAGTAGGTATGTTGAATGAGGCGGTGTCTATGCCATGTGATCTGATGTAGGAACCGATATAGGTTAATTTCACGATATTCCGGGGAGAAGCTGGGCAATCTAATCTAAGCCAGACACTATGAGGCACGTGCTGCATACTGAATCGCATGTTGCCCAGGATGCGACTCGTACTATGTGATGTCTATCGTGAGATCTTCAGGGACGGCCTATGTCTTTTGGCTGGAGACAGTTGTCTGTGCATACTACACTCGGGGGGCTATCCGGTGATTTTAAGGCTTGCCAATATTATCAGCGCGAGATTGTTGCGGGAGAGCAACTCCCCATACCGCAGCTTCAATGTTAGCGGAGCGGTGTTTGGCTGTCAACGACCTTCTTGTCTCTTGTCTCTCTTCCCTCGGCGGCTTCAGTCGGTGGTGTTCTCCGTGTGTCGGTCTCGGCCTGGGGGGTTCGAGCTACGACTAGGGCCGGAGCATACGGGGTGCCGGTAGCAACGATGCCCACCACAGAAGGTAATGTTTTTACTTGAGAAGAACCCTTCTTTCCACAGAAGTTGGAAATTAGGGGACCGGCAAAAAGAAGCCGGTTCTCGAAGGAAATGCCTCTCTTTTTACGTATTGCATATTATATTCCGTATTCCATATTCCACTCGGTTTAATTTGTTTTCACTGTCGTCTCGGGCGGCTACTCGAGTATTGGTCACTCATTGGTGATGAAAGGGAATTCGGCACCGCGGCGGAGCGGTAATAAGCCGGCGGTGCAACGAAGGGTAAGGTATTCAATGCAAGGTACTTTTTCAGTGTCTGGCTCTGAGTTTGGTGCATGCATATTCGCCCCAAACTCTCCTGTAAGTAAGGTTGTCCTTGGGATGTGACTGGCCGTTATCCGTAAGGTGTAACTAAGCTTCCATTCGGGGGGATCGAGAAGGACATTGAGAGAAGCCATTGCCGAATGATCTGGGGACAGGCTTCCATAAAGCTAACATTCCAATTCTTGTGAAACGAAGGCGGGGTTATTGTTATTTCTATTACTCTACACATGCAGCCATCCATCCATTGAAAGAATGTCATTATCATTACGTTTTGCTACGTTGCGTTTGGCTGTTGTGCGTAGAATCCACTGGGTTCATTTACAAAGGGTTGTGTTCCACGAAGGATGGTTTATCCGCGGAGCAGGCAGGCTTTGTATGAGCAGGTAGGTAGGTATCAATGTAAGCATATAGCATCATAGGGTCAAAATACATGCATACGTCAAAAGAGTACATGAATACGCAATTCCCTGGGATGATCAATGCCAGCTGTACATAGACAGCAAAACCGTCTGATCGTCAGTGAGATGATGGATGAATTTGGTGGGATGGACCTAACAGAACGCCAAGACAAAAGGGTTTGACAAAATTAGTCGACGGTCCAGTGTCCAGGTGCTAGACAGGGCAGAGGATTTTTTCTTTTACCTGCTCATGTCAGTCGAGTCTTGGCTTCTCAGCGACGTCGTTCTCATTACCCAATCTCGACTTGTTTCATCCAATCGAGTGGCACACCTTTTTTGCAGAGGCCGACCCGGCGCCAGCGGCTATTATTATTGCGAAATTCTTTTCTTTGTTTGGACGTCTGGAGTTTGGAGTTGGAGAGCGGCAACGGCTTTTGGTTACTTTTGGCGACTTTTGGTAACTCATTACTCGCTAATAATTCGTCATTGGATACCGAGACCTTCTCATCCATGTTGACCTGACTGACCGAATTTTTCTTTCTTTCCATGATGGATGGATGACCATGACTATGACTATGACTGTGACTGTGCCTTTCTGGCTCTGGCTGGCTTTTTCCTAGGATCCATCGAGTCCGTGTTGGGAACCAGCCATTTCGCCCATGGTGTCGTGTCGCTCGCCAGGCTTGCTCACCTGACGTCTCCGGACCCGAGAAGTCCATCCAGTCCTCGATTTCTATTACTCAATATTGTGCGATCCCGAGCTAAACAGATGCCCCGTGCATGGCATTGGGATGCCAAACACCATCGTCTGGGAGGAAGTCCCTGGCCTGTCTGGTCCTTTGAGCCAGCCTCCAGTGGCGCCGCTCCCTAGCTTTACTCCCCCATCGTTCGGCTTTCGCCTTGATTGGAAATGCCTTGGGCCTTGGATCTCCGTTTCTTGGTGTTTGGTGTTTGGACCCTCCGGTCCCCGTCATGAGGTCCCGTCCCTAGTCCTTAGTCCCTAGTCCTGGTCCCTAGTCCTGGTCCCTAGTTTCCTATTCCTGGTCGTTCGTAAACTTGTACTAACCTCAAGAGACTCGCCCTCGTGGAGTCGTTTGTTCGTTTATAAGTCATCCACGCCCCCAGCCCAGATGCGTGAACCCGTCCTCGTTTCTTCCTTTTGAATTCCAGACCTTTTCACGATATTATCAAAAAACGATTTATTGAACTTCAAAGGTTCAATCACCCATTAACCTCTCCAGACTCTTCTCCGGCATCGCGGACTCTGTCGTCATCGCATCGCTTCTCGCCGCCCTCTATCGGCCTAACTAGATAACCTCCGGATCCGGTGGCTCACATCAACGCCACTGCTCTTCCGTGAAGATCATTTCTTAAGAATTTGGACTTTTTGCCAACCGTTGGGTTGGCAGTCCCATTCCTAGCTTTTCGCTCTTTTTCTCCCTCTTCAATTGAATGGCCCTCCCTCTCAGCCCCACGCACCACGCGGTGCCTCAGTTTGACCTTTCTGCTCTGCTCAAGGCCAAAATGTCCCGCCCCGTCTCCCCCAACAGCAACGGCGACAAGACGGCCCGCTCGTCCTTCTCGTCTGTCCGAGAGAACGACGATGGCCTAGCTCAGACTTTCACGCGTTCCAAGATTTCCTCCTACACTCAAGGGACGGAAGAGGTATTCGATGAATCACCCTCACCCTCCGTTGAGATTCAACAGCCGTCCTTTGGGGCTCCTCTGACGCAGCCTCACAGTCGGCTTCATGGCTTCTGGTTCCCAGCGGATAGCTTTCGAGGCTGGAAGCAGATCCCCATCAAGGGCAAGTCTGCCAGCCGCAGCTGCGAGGATCTTCACAAGCTGTCCATGACATGGAGTTCCCCAGCATCTCCCGCTGTCGAAGAGAAGGCATTCCCCGAAACCTATCAGACCGGAACATCTCCCCTCGAGCGACTCCCCAGCGAAGTTTTGGGTACGTAAACTTGCGAGAGGGACAGAAGGGTAGAAGGGTCTTCCAACCGTAAACCCTGCTAGACCCCTGTCACAATCATATGACATGTCAATGTGCTAACTTGTCGATCATAGGTGCCATCATCGACCTTCTCGTCATCGAGATTCCCCCGAATGGCCTTACGCCGCGAAATGCCGACCTTATGGCTCTTCTTTTGACTTCGCGATCCATCCATGCCGCGACGCTCAACACCCTCTATCGCCATATTACGATTCCTCACTCTCGAATCTTCCGAAAGTTCCTCGGAACAATTACCGAGTACCCCGCCCTGGCTTCAATTGTGCGAAGGCTCGACTTCAGCCACTTCAACCCCTCCACCATCTTCTCCACTGCGAGCGAGAGAGCTCAGACTCGAAACTTGACTTCCGAGACCCTTTACAGATGTCTCGAGCTAACCCCATACCTGCAGGAGTTTTTGGCCCAAGAGCATATCGATGAGGATCTGGGACCCGATGTGATTAAGAAGCTCTTTTTCGACATGCCCCGGCTCCGGGCCATCGACTTTTGCGGTTGCTCCTCTCCTTTTTTCAAAAACTCTTTCACGAGCCTCCTCCAGGCGCAGTGGCCCGAAACACTGACCCTTACTCGTGTCTCGTTCCACAAGTGCCTGAACTTGCCAGGTTCCGTATTCGAGGCCATTCTACCTCGACTCGAAAGAGCCACCCACCTGGATCTCGCAGGAACCAGAGTCACCGACAAGGCGTTGCAGAGCTTGCCTGAGACGGCGAGACTTACTCACCTGAACTTGGCCAAGTGCCGAGAGTTGACCTCTGAAGTGGTTGTCAAGTTTGTCACCACGCATCCTGCGATCACTCACACCATCACTGTCCTGAGCCTTGCTACCAACGCTAGCAGCCACCTCCTGCTGGGTAAGGCTGATATTGATGCTATTCTACCTCGATTGCCACATACACTTCGATCGCTGAGTCTCAAGGGAAGCAGAATGGACCCTTCCCAGCTTCCTCTGCTCACCCCTCTGGTCCAGCACCTTGAGGAGCTTGCTATCGGCCGAGGCCTCGATCTCCGTGACATCCACCAGCTCCTGTACCAAGCCCAGGAGTGGGTTCCACACACCCTCCGATACCTTGATATCTCCGACCTGGACACTATCATCGGTAGTGCCAGCGCACTTCTTACCCCCGCCTCTGCTCCACTGCAGGTTATCGAGCTCGAGGAGCGTGCATACGAGCGAGCGGCCAAGGCGAAGAAGAACCTTGAGCGCGCGGGATGGACTCCGAAGGAGTTCGGCAGCCGATACTGGCTAGTCCGCATGAACACCGACGTAACTGCTACTCTTGACTGCGGCGCCCGGTGGTGGAAGCTGGGCGCTGAGAGCTGGGGTATGAGGAAGATCCCGGTTGCGGAGGCCGACGTCGGCGGAATGTATGGCACATTCATGTTCGGCCGAAGGCTGTAAAATACCAATCTCCGAGGCCAGCCGTGCCTCAAGGATGGATCTCTCTACTCTCATATCATTTTTGGGTGTTTCTGGTTTTTTTGTTCTTTTTTTGCAAAGTTAGAATTGGGTTGCATCTTGATCAGATATCCCGGCGTACAGCGTTGAAAGAAAATTAGCGAAAAGTAAAGTCATTTTGATGGAAAAGCGTTCTGAAGCATGAACATGACGAAGGGGAAAAACGTGTAGATAATCAATAATGACTTTGATGAAATAATTAATTGCGAGACTTGAAATAATTGTGAAAGACGGATCGATTTAGTCGTAACCATTGTAGGTTGAATCTTGCGAAAGTGTTTGAGGTTGGTTAGTCACTTGTATGTAAATCGCTAGGCCATTGTACGGCCTATCAGAAACAAGAATAGGCTGGCTCAACTTTCTAAGACTATGCATTTTATGACACGGTATTTGCCATAGATGAGGTAGCTCTACACACGGGCAAGGACACGGTCGATATCGATAAACTCCTCCTATCAATGTCGGTGCGCTTTGAGGCATGCGGCATGGAGCTTGAAAGGTGGCGCTTGGTGGCTGGTTCGGCGCACGTGATACAGGCAGCGGATCAATTTGGCCCCGTGGCAAATGCAGCCTCTTGCGACGTAACCGCGCCGAAGCGTGCCTTGCTCCTTGAATCAGCTCCAACTCCAACGATTATACAGCTTTGGTGCTCAACGGCGTCATGGCTCCCAAACCAGATACTCCTTTCCGCTCTGCGGACATGAGCATGGTTCAGCTCTATGTCTCCAATGAAATCGGTCGTGAAGTTGTTACGGCGCTCGGTGAGCTTGGCCTTTGCCAATTCCGCGATGTAGGCAGCGATTCATCCATCATTTCCATCCCCAACTCTAGCTAATCCATCATTTCGCTATACAGCTCAACAAGAATGTCAGCGCTTTCCAGCGCACTTTCACCCAGGAGATTCGACGTCTTGATAATGTTGAGCGACAGCTGCGTACGTCATCTATAGGTATCCACCAAAACACGAGTCTAACAGTAAGCAGGATACTTTTACGCTCAGATGGACAAGATTGGTATCCCGCTCAGGAAGCTGGACCTCGACGTTGAGAGACTTGCATCGCCATCGACTTCCGAAATCGACGAGCTTGCCGAGCGAAGCCAGAAGCTGGAACAGCGTGTCTCTGCCCTGAACGAGAGTTACGAGACTCTGAAGAAGCGCGAGGGCGACTTGACCGAGTGGCGATGGGTTCTTCGCGAGGCCGGCAGTTTCTTCGACCGCGCCCATGGAAACGTTGAGGAGATTCGCGCTTCTACTGATAACGACGATGCACCTCTGCTGTCCGACATCGAGAACAACCACAGTGCCCCTGACGCCGAGCGCTCATTCTCTGGCATGAACATTGGCTTTGTCGCTGGAGTTATTGCTAGAGACAGAGTCGCTTCATTCGAGCGTATCCTTTGGCGAACCCTTCGTGGTAACCTTTACATGAACCAGTCTGAGATCCCTGAGCCTTTGATTGATCCTACCAACAACGAATCGATTCACAAGAACGTTTTCGTCATCTTTGCTCACGGCAAGGAGATTCTCAACAAGATCCGCAAGATCTCGGAGTCCATGGGCGCTGATGTCTACAACGTCGATGAGAACAGCGACCTTCGACGTGACCAGATCCACGAGGTCAACAACCGTCTGGAGGATGTCCAGAACGTCCTTCAGAACACCCAGGCCACTCTCCAGGCAGAGCTCAACCAGATCTCCCAGTCGCTTTCGGCCTGGATGGTCCTCGTCGCCAAGGAGAAGGCTGTATATGACGCGCTCAACAACTTTTCTTACGATAGCGCTCGACGAACCCTCATTGCCGAGGCCTGGGTTCCTACCAATGATCTTCCCTTGATCAGGACAACCCTTCAGGACGTTACTAACAGAGCTGGTCTCTCCGTCCCTTCCATCATCAATAAGATCCAAACCAACAAGACTCCGCCAACTTACCTGAAGACCAACAAGATTACTGAAGGTTTCCAGACCATTGTTAATGCTTACGGAACCGCTACATACCAGGAAGTCAACCCGGCCATCCCTGTCTTTGTTACTTTCCCTTTCCTTTTTGCTGTCATGTTCGGTGATTTTGGCCACGCCATTATCATGCTTTCGGCAGCCCTCGCTATGATCTACTGGGAGAAGTCGCTGAAGAAGGTTAGCTTTGAGCTTTTCGCCATGATCTTCTACGGTCGATACATCGCCCTTGTCATGGCCGTCTTCTCCGTCTTCACTGGTCTCGTCTACAACGATGTTTTCTCTATGTCTATGACTCTCTTCGAGAGTGCATGGGAGTTCAAGAAGCCTGACGGATACACCAACACCACTTCCATCACCGCTACCTTGAACGAGGATGGTTACCGCTACCCCTTTGGTCTGGATTATGCTTGGCACGGTAGTGAGAACGATCTTCTCTTCAGCAACAGTTTGAAGATGAAGATGAGTATCATCCTGGGTTGGGCTCACATGACCTACTCGCTCTGCTTCGCTTACATCAATGCTCGTCACTTCAAGAAGCCCATCGATATCTGGGGTAACTTTGTCCCTGGCATGATCTTCTTCCAGTCTATCTTCGGTTACCTCGTTGGATGTATCATCTACAAGTGGTCCGTCGATTGGATGGGTACTGGCCGCCAGCCTCCTGGTCTGCTGAACATGCTCATCTACATGTTCCTCCAGCCTGGAACCATTCCCGATGGCGAACAGCTCTACCCTGGACAGTCAGTTGTTCAAGTTATCCTGTTGCTCTTGGCTTTCGCCCAGGTCCCCATTCTTCTGCTCCTCAAGCCTCTCTACCTTCGATGGGAGAACAACCGAGCACGTGCGAAGGGTTACCGTAGTATAGGTGAAACTTCCCGAGTTAGTGCTTTGGATGGCGATGATGATGATGCTGCCAATGGTCATGGCAACAGCTTTGACGAAGATGGCGAGGGAGTTGCTATGATCTCTCAGAACATTGATGAGGAGCATGAGGAGTTTGAGTTTAGTGAGGTTATGATTCACCAAGTCATTCACACTATTGGTAAGTTGTTCATATGCAATCAATCTTCTAATGCTAACAAAGGTCAGAATTCTGTCTTAACTGTGTTTCCCACACTGCTTCCTACCTCCGTCTCTGGGCCCTGTCCCTTGCTCATCAACAGCTGAGCATTGTGCTCTGGTCCATGACCATGGCCCCTGCACTCACAACCCCTGGTGTCCTCGGTGTCGCTATGATTGTGGTCTGTTTCACCATGTGGTTCTTCTTGAGTAAGCCCAACCCAATTTCCTTACCATTCTATCCACTGACTAACAATCTCCAGCCATTGCTATTCTCGTGTGTATGGAGGGTACCAGTGCCATGTTGCACTCCCTTCGTCTCGCTTGGGTCGAGTCGTTCTCCAAGTTCGCTGAGTTTGCGGGTTGGCCTTTTGCGCCTTTCTCGTTCAACACTCTGCTGGAAGAGTCGGAAGAGCTCAAGGATTACTTGGGTTAATTAGGATGGATCGCGTAGTCGTTGCATTTTGTTATAATAGTAGTAGTAGACATTGGTATTTTTATTGTATCATCACTAGCATAGTGCGATCTTAGAAACATTGGGCTCTTGCCAAATTTGTTCGACCTTTTAAGACTCAATCCTTATTTCCCCTTGGTAAATGTGCAACTCAAACCCAGATATAAATGACTTCAACCCCAAAGAGGCGCCGTCACCTCGACAGCCCTTTCCACGACAGCCCTCACTCTGTCCGCAAACACCTTGTTGTTAGACTCAACCTCAAGATCTTCCAACCACACTGTAGCAGTCATCCTGTCTACTTTGATTGACACTCCCGGCACAGGAATGCCAATCTTGTGTAACCGCTCAATCTCCTTAGCCTGTCTCTCTTGTAGCTGCGCATCCTCACCATCTTCTTCCGTCTTCATGGCATCATCATCCTCGCCGTCCTTCTTTATCTGGTCGTAGGTCTCCTCCAGAGGGGGAAGCTTAGGGGTCGTGACTGGAGCAACGTTGTCCTGGCCGAACTGAGCCTCGAGGAACCACAGAAGGCGCTCGAGGCGTTCTTCGGGAGAAGCAGAGTGGTGGGGGTTCACATCGGGCAGTTCGTGTGAGTGTGAGTGTTTGGCGGAAGAGCGCTTGACGGCAGCAGGGGAGCTCTCCACGGAGAAGAGAACAGCCATGACGGAGTCGGCGATGCCATCGTTGAGCATGTTGCCCTCCCATTCAAGCTCAACTTCACCGCTAGTGCGATACCGAACCGAGACACAACCCATGACAAGATAAGCTGCAACGAGGCTGGCGACCTCTTCATCCGCATCCTCCTGCTTCATCTCGACATCATCCGTGATCATCTTGTCAGCATGTCCGTTGCTCTGGCCATTCTTTCCACGACGCATTTCGGGCAGTTCTTCAATGTTGCCAAATGTGCCCTCCAAAGCCCACTTGACAAGGTCGACACCTGCAGCGCTGAGGGTGAGACGCTGTTTGCAGGTAATAGTAGTAGTATTAAGACCTGCATACTCGCGTAAATCTTCAGGCGCCATGAGAGAGAGCTTGAAGTCGTTTTGTACGAGAACACCAGTGACGAGATGAGGCGCAACGGCTTGGTCAGAGTGAATGCTCTGTGGTGGTTGGATAGAAGCGAGCTTTCCTACGACCTTGGCAGTCTTGTCGGCTTTGAAGGGGATGCGAAGCTCTTCGCAGTTGCGGGGAGAGTATACCTTAACCTTTGCTGTTTTGTTTGCATTGAGGGAAAGGAGTTTGGACTTGAGACGCATCATGTTGTGCTGCTCGCCATGAACAAGAATCTGTACAAAATTAATTTATCACTTCGTGGTACGTAGAATAGGGTAAAGCAAACGTACAACTACAGGCGCTGCAACTTCTTCGATAAACTCGCGGTTCTCAACACCATCGACGTGGGCAGCGAAGGAATATTCTGCAACACTGCATCGTCGAGGAATGAGCACCTTCTCGCCATCGCCACCAGGCATACGCCGAGCACCGCCCATGCTTCGAGACATGACAGCCTGAATCTGGTCGGGTTCTTGCATGATCTGCTTAGCCATGGTGCCCTCGACACTGTAACCCGTGATGATGACTCCGTTCTTTTCGCTGGGCGCCCATCGCTCGAGGAGCTCACGACTAACACCATTTTGCAGCATACCAGGGCTAGCAAGCATGACGCAGCCGCCTACATCGTCAAACCTGTCCAGGTTCTTGAGCGAGCGGATATACTTGAAATCCCATGGTCCTCCCTTACCAGCTCCATCACCAGATGCCTCGGCCTCGGCCATGCGCTCACGGAAGAGACGTTTGATATTATCATTCATGGCACCAACGTAGGTTTGGTAGATGAGCATACACTTCCTTGCTAGATTACTAGCATAGTAGATAGGATACTTCTGGAAATCAGAATGCTTGCCCCAGTACTCATCAAGAATCAAGAGAAGCTCTTGGGCTCGTCCTAGAGCAAAGACGGGCATGAGTACACGGCCTCCTCGGTTGAGGATACTTGTGATGGACTTCATGAGGGCTTGTTCTCTTTCCAGACGAGGGACGTGAGAGGCAATGCCATAAGTGGACTCGGTGATGAGAACATCGATTTTGACACCCTTGGGGACTTCTGCAGAGACAAGATGTCGATCTTGTTCGCGAGAGTAGTCACCTGTGAAGAATATGTTGAGACCAGCGATCTCAATAAGGAACATGGCGGCACCAAGAACATGGCCAGCAGGGTAAGGGGTAATTCTGATGGAGGAGATGGTGTGAGTGGTGTGGTAGTCGATAGCCTCGATCTGAGGAAAGGTGTTTAGATGGTCTTGCTCAGTATAGACCGGCTGTGTAGTCGGATTCGATGAAGTATTGCCCACCCGGACACTGTCCTGGATAAGCCACTTGTAGATAGCCTTTGTGGGATGGGTCATGAACACACGGCCCCTGAAGTTCGTCTTTGCAAGAACGTATGGTAATGATGCCGCATGGTCGATATGGAAACTATGGCTGATTAGCTGGGTTCCACAGATGGCATCTGGCTAGGTATGAGGTTGGCGACTGGCGATTTAGGACAGGACGGCATCACAATGACGAATCGCAGGGGCGTAAGGTAAGGGAAACGGGCGAAGACTGTATTGTATTGATCTGGCATACAAAGAAGCAAAGTCATGGATATCAACATCACGCGAACAAAATACTGGTCGCGACAGCACTGCACTGTCCGCCCTGTCACATTACATTATATCAAGATGTTGTCCCTCGCCCTGTCCAGCCTAGGTATATCGTCGCGGGAGTAGAAGGGAGGGGTCGCTTACTGGCTGATAAGAAGCACGTCGACAGTGCTGAGATCGAAATCGTCGTAGAATGGGAGTGCAGCAAGACCGTCGTATGCGGGATGTTGACCAGCATCAAGCTGACCAAAGGGTATTAGACCAATGTGTGCTAGTGATAGACTTATCAACAACTTACCATGACTGTTTTCCCCTTGTATTGGATAATGTGACATGACCTGCCGACTTCGTTGCCTCCTCCTAGACAGAGAAACATGAGCTCGTCCGAAGGGTCTACTGGTTCCTCTGTTACGGCCGCATTCATAGCGGAAGCCTTTCGTTTCGAAGTCATTGTTGGAGATGCGCCGAGCGATGGTCCAGCTCACATTCGACGTGGGTAGTTTCTATATAGTCAGTAGAGGAGACCCTAAGCCACGAGCACACTCAGATAAAGGCCGTGAAGTCACGGATTGCGATTGTAACAACTAGTTGCAGCCAGACAGAGTTGCGGATGGATGAATGAACGAAATAGGCGGGCAGCACGGGCAAAAAGGCAGACGCGTTAAACAATCAGCGGATAAAAGCCGGAGTTTGATCTAAAGTCAAGTTAAGCTGAGAGCTCCAGTGGCCGGAATTACGGGGTACCGTATTTTAGGAGGGAGGCTCTGCGCACGTGACCTCAAAACTACGCGACCTCCGTTTTACAGGCAGAGCTCCCTCCTTCATAGCCACCCCCAGCGAATTACTACCTTCGCCCAACGACGATAATCAACACCTCCATCTCGAAGCGCTGCTGCTGCGCCATCTAATCGCCAAGGTCTCACCCAGCGAGCTTTTTTCACAACTTTCCGACGGCCCCGACGAGATTCAGCGCGTCGGATGGGAGGCGTCGCGATTGATTTGCCAGGCTCATTCGCCTGCTGAGCTAACACACTCACGCACGCTCGCATTCACTCATAGCTCTTCACTCTTCGACCGACACTACCGTCGCAACTATCCTACTTCACCATGGCTCAACCTCAGCAGCAGATGCAGGTGCAGGTGCCGCCTCGCGCGTTCTCTCCGCCGCAGCACTCCCCCTCGCCCGCCGCGTCGCAGTCGAGCTTCGCCCTCCCACCACAGAAACGAATTCGAACCGACGGTCCCTCGTCCCAGCCCGAGTCGCCGTACGCAACTTCCCCCTACGCTGCCAGTCCAGGTGCTGTAGCTACGCCGCCTGCGACGACAGGATCTCCTGCATATGCGCAAAGTCCTGCTCTGCCCCAGCCGTATGCTACACCCTACACCAACGGACACACGACGCCTGGCCTGAATCTTCCAGATGTGCGACCGAACTCGACACCTCCAATTCAACACCCTCAACAACATCAACAGCCCGTACCCCAATATACCAACGCAACTATGACACCTGTCCCTGTGCCTACGCCTGGCCAGTTGATGCCTCCAACTCCAGGTCCTGGCGTCATGGGTCCTCCGCAAAGACCAGCAGAACGGCCGACCAAAGACTACGAATACGATGTAACAGATTCGCTTGCTGGCACCGGTATCGATCTTCGAGCTGAGGAACAGTATATGAACGACCTTTACGCGACCGGGTTCGACGAAGCACGGACAGGGTTTGCCCATCAGCAGCCAGGATCCAAGTCGAGCTTTTATGGAGCGGGACCAGCGAACCAACCAGCGCAATCTGTCCAAGACCAGCAGCAGGAGCAATTTGCTGCGCAGCAAGCGGAGAGGGCCTGGTCGGAGTCTTCAATGCGGCTTGCTCTTCAGCGAACGCAGGAAATAAGCGATCCATTTTTGCTTGTTGCCATGCTGCATCGACGTGCGGATAAAATCGCACGTGAACACCACTTGGCGCTCAACCTGGATTTGAAGAACAACAGTCAGACGATGGGAAAGATGCGACTTCCGGAACAGTTCCCGGCGCCAAAAGTGACTGTGAAAGTGACACCAGGCCCGGACTCGACGATGGTTCATACGACAGGTTCCTACATTCCACACGACGCTTTTCTGGTAGACCAATTGGCATTAATGTCCATTGCCACGAAGCAACGACTGCGAGAATTGGTGGAAGATGCACACGTGGTAGCATCAAACCGGCAAAAGACATCACATGGTGACATACCTGAAGACTGGCTACCAGCGGCCGCCCCCATGAATGTCGAGCCATTGGAACCGATTGAGAAGCCGGCGGAGACGGTTAGCAATGTCGATGAAGCTCCTGTGGACGGCGCGGACGGGGATAGCACGAATCCGCTGAAGCGTAAGTTGAACCAAGTTTATGTTTTCATTTTTATACTCACAACCTACAGGCTCTACTGATGCAGCTGGGCTGACTAACGGCGCACCTCCTGCTAAGCTACCTAAAGTGTCGTCATATATGACAATCACGATGCGAGATCTGGCAAGACAGGAGCGTGATTGGGAAGAGGCACGGCTTCGCAAGCGTCAACAGCGCAAGGACGGAATACCAGACTCGGGAACCACGACGTCGCGTGCTGGCAGTGTGGCACCGGGTACTCCTGGTGCTGCCGCGCCGGAAGCTCCTAAAGCCATGACCAAGAAGGAGATGAAGAAGAACCAACAAATCAAGGCAGCGGAAATCGACAGCCATCAGAGCCAAAACACTACCAGTAGCATCTTCGCCGGTCTGGGAGGCAAAGGTGGTCTTTTTGGTAAAAAGAAGACGGGCAAGACCTACGACTGGATGAACGTCGGACGCGGAGGCAGTGGGGCTAGCACCCCGACCAGAAACGCCCCGGGAGCCGGAAAGGGCTCCGGAGGTGCGGGAGCGGCGCCGTCGCCGGCCAGCATGGCCATGACCACGGAAGGACGTAACCGGCTCGGCACGTGGCGAGAAGACAAAGAGAAAGGTCGAAATATCCAACTGCGTGACTGGGCGGCAGTACTAGAGAGGGATGGACGAGAAGGCAAGGCACTCCAAAGAGCTTACTTGCACTTGGACGCGTCAAACCCCAAGTAACTAAAAAAAAATACGGCGAGGTAATGGAAGCAGGGAGGGGAAAGTGGACAACCGAGACGACACTCAGCCAAGGCTAGCCATGAGACTTGGTGGAAGATACCATGGCTTGTGATATTACTTAGCATGGCGTTTATTATTATTATTTTTAGTAGGTAAAGAAAGGCATGACTTAGGGAAAGGCAGTATTTGGGCATGCACTGCAGGAAACAAGACAAGATAAGATGAGAAGAGGCCTTATATCATGAGGGTTAGGGATGTTTTTATTAAGACAGCTGGAAGACGGCATTTCTTGCTGCTTGGGGGTGCACACCAGAGGGAGATAAGATAGGTGCGCCATGTATTTCTTGGGCCTTCATTTTCCATGAGGCTATTCCTACCCTACACAATGCGCTGAAGCCAGCCAAAGAAGCTGCACCTGGACAGCAAAAGGGAGGATTTACTGCTGGGGGAGGGAAGGAGAAAGAAATGGAAAACGAGAGAAAGGAACAAAACCAAAACCCTACGAACTTTGACTTTTTGAGTTGAATTTTGGCTTTGTGATGGTCTGTTATGTTGGCGCTGGTGATGAGACCATTCCTTATCATGCATGAATGAGTCAAGGGAGGAGTGAGCTTGCGATAGTACCTACAGCAGGTTACTACCTAACGTGAATAGTCAATGACAAATGCTTCTTGCTCTCAAGTAGAAAAGTGGGACTATAAACTATGGCGACATCACCTCCTTCTCCCCTCCCTTTATCAAAGAGTTGAAGAGTCTCAAGAGTCTCACTTGATTTTGTTTGTTTGTTGGGTCTGCAAGGTCAATTAAGAGCCCAGATCGCCTCGACACAAAGAAAATAGCCAGCAAAAGACAAAGACACGGTCTAGTCTTTTAAGTTCGTGGGCTTCGAGACAACACTCCCTCGCCTCTGTAAGTGCTTCCAGATTCAGCCCATTCAAGGGAGGATGAGAGACTAATTGGGCTTTTAAACTCTAGATCTCATCCCCGTTCTCAACTAGAGAATCCATATTCTTGGCGATACGGCAGTGCTCACAATGGCAATTGCGGTTGGTTCCCCTCTCATCCAGTCGCTTTACACTATTCTCCTCATCTGGGGAAGCATGAACCAGATATCCCCGCCCCTTGCTTCCACTCTGGTATGAGGAAACTAAACCATTTGTGCTTAGGCAATCGGTCAGATCTGCTCGACGGCGTCGATCAAGGGAAATCTGGATCAATGTGTTAAACTAGTAGCGAGCGCAGCGCGGGGACAAGCAAAGGTCAGTTTCTTGTTGGGTTTGTGACTGGTCGTTAGATATCGAAGGGACATAGACAAGTGTCTAGCCTTGAGGAATCTCCATATCCCTCGATCGAGATGTGAAGAAACGACTTGTCAGATGCCATTGAGAAACACATGATTTGCGCCCAAAGGGGCCTCTGTCGGTTCGTTGAACCGTGAGACATGCTCAAGGGTTGAGTTTGTGAGACCTCTTTACGCGCCTCGTCATGTCTTACTATCTTTCTCAAAACGGCGGTACTTGTTGCCTTTGAGGCTCTGACCTCTTCTCACACGGTATACTTACACTCAACAATGGTAGGTACTTTTCCTCCCTGAGGCGGCCGATTATATCGCTCCGGACGGCAAAGCATCGCTGGAACTCGCAGAGCCCCAGGCAACGTCCACTTTCGTGAAGGGTCTTCGAGACGCAGCTCGTGAACACGGCGTTGCTATTCACGTAGGTATTCATCATCGCGATGAAGCCGACGTGGGAAAGGAGCAGTCCAAGAGGATTCGCAACCGGACTGTGTACATCACGGCTGATGGTGATATTGACGATGAGACAACTTACAATAAGCTCCATGCGTTTGATCACGGGAAACTCAGGGAGAGCGAAACGGTTCAACCTGGTGCCAGCCTGATAGCGCCGTACGATTCACCCATAGGCCGCATTGGAAGCCTCATATGCTTCGATCTTCGCTTCCCCGAGGTAGCCCTCGCGCTCGCACAGCCAGGACCTCACAGCGCGTGGAAGAACCGCCCGGCGCAGATACTGACGTACCCCAGCGCCTTCACGCTCAAGACAGGCCCCCCGCATTGGGAGACACTCCTCCGGGCTCGGGCGATCGAGACACAGAGCTACGTCATTGCATCAGCGCAGGTTGGAAGACATAACGAGAAGAGGGCCAGTTGGGGCCAGAGCATCGTCGCTGATCCGTGGGGAGAAGTCGTGCTCAAGCTCAAGGGCGTGAAGGAAGGGGAGGAGCCCGAGGGAACGGCGGAGGATGGCGCGGAGGGGGAGATTGGGTTTGTAGAGATTGACCTTGAGAAGTTGGAGAGAGTCCGAGAGGAGATGCCTCTTCACAGGAGAACGTGAGTTATTCCAAAGATCAAGCGGGGTTCTTTTTGCTAACACTGATAGGGACGTTTATCCCGAGCTGACTTCTAACAAGGTGTAGAGATGCTTACTATACGGTTTCTGGTCATGCAGCGATATAGATACATGCTTAGAATGTCAAATGCGAGAGTGTTTGCGTAAGCTGTCGAACGTTGAGCAATTTTTTGAGAAGTTGGTTCGGAATCGAGCATTGCTATGTTTTCGTAGAAAGGAGCTACGATCAAGCGTGTAGTCGATATAGAGTCACTCTTAATCAAATGTCGGACGACCACCTTGATAGACCAATCATATGGATCAATTCATGTACGGATACTTCACGAATATCTAACCGAGTGAGTGATATCTACTTTGGCATTATTAACATATCATTGTGTTTGAGGGCAGGATAACCGGTGTAAGACAATTGGTGGAAGCAGCAAATGGGATATCTTCAAGTGACAAGTGATACTCTAACTTCCAAAATATGGCAACAGGTTACCTCCAAAGGCCTACAAAACCAACATCTCTAAATGTACGTAGTACATGCCTAGGCTGTCCACGATGCGAAAATTCATGCTGCTTGTTCCAACACCCGCCACATTGTAAATCGTTTGTACTCTGCAAGTCAACACCAGTGACTCAACTTGAACCTGAAATCTAATCTGCCTCGGTAAGGACTACATCAGATCCTGATAGATGTGAGACAAGTATGATCAAGATTTTCCGCCGAGGTGAGCCATTGCGGTATAGCACAAAGGAAGTTCAACGTTCATTCCGCGTTTCCCCCTTGGCCCGTTGAACCACCACCTGAGGCTCATCAACATCAATATCAGCATCCTTTCATCTTGCACCCCTCCCCAACAATCAGTCTACGGCAGTCAAAACGCTCGGGGAATCGCATCCCAAGCTCCCGCCAACGAAGAAAGAGAGAGCCCGCAACCGACAGAACGGCTCGGTACAGGTTCCATGGTCCCGGGTGGCTGGGACGCGGCAAACAAGGGGTTCTGCTTCCGAGAGACAACACCAGAATGAAGCTGTCGTAGGCGAACCGGTAGAACGACCAGGTCAGGGGGACCTTACAAGTGAACGGTACTGTACAGCAGGCAACAGGCTGAAATAAACGCCCGACTTGGGTTTTCCCTTTCCAAAACGCTGTGACAAAGGGTTTTAGAGTTTTATGATTCTTCTTTCCAGGGTGAAGGGCTATAGCTGTAACATGTGAGAACAACACGAATCAGGCAATCCAGTGCCGAGATGAAGATCTGTCAAAATCCCCCATCGTGGGCCATGACATCCACTCTTTGACCCTGGGGATGATATGTGCACTGATCGCGCAGTACCGCAACCGTTGCCTCGGTTCATTAGCTAGACTCCATAGAAGAAAAAGAAGTTTTCTTCTTCTTCTTTCGCTTTCTCTTAGAAACGAGGCTAGGGAGTGTTGTTCCCAACTCCCCGGATGGAGATGCAGCCTCCCCCGGCACTTGTTGGTGTTTTGTTTAGTGCTGCGACGTTGCAGCATGGGTTCCAAGGTACTGGGTCTGGGTTTGGATATGACAAGGGAGAGGAAAGAAGGAAAGAAAAACTTTTCTCTTTTCAGCCTCGTCATGAAACGGTCATTTATGTTATGTCATATGAGGGAGGGAGGGCTACGGTTACGGGCTATTCTTCCGTAGAAGGGTGACACATATACAAGGTTCAGGTCCTGCATACATGATATGTGCACATATTATATACAGACTACCTAACCACTAACCCTCACGTATGTGTTGATCCGGTTCAACGGGCTACAGTAGGTATCACAGTCGTTGCTGCCCAATGTAGTTGTTACGGAGGCTTGTATCTGTACCGAGCCTCAGCACTAAGGTATTGACCTAATCTCGCCTTTGAATGTAACAGATATCGTATTTGCCAGCCTTGTCTCTCTTTTCTCGCTTGTTTTTTCCTTCTTTTTTTCTTTTCTTCTTCCATGGTCCGTGGCCCCTGGCCCATCGACGTTTGAATGTTGCAGCCTTGTCAGCCATATAAAGGCGCTATGATCATATGTATATCCGTATCCACTTGATTGATACCATCGCGATGAGGATGCGCGTACTGTGCATATTACACACACACACCCCTCCCATCAACAATACACCCTTGTCGTTATTCCATGTCTTCATCCCATGTCCTTAACCTTGTCCATGCAAGATTCCCGTCTCGCCTCTTTGATTAATCAAATATTTCCTTCCATTTTCACTTTCCTTTTCCTTTTCCCTTCTTCTCGCATCCATCACTCCTCCCATCGGTTTTTCCTGGTTGTCTCACCCCCTCCCCCCGGCCCTTGCTCTTACCTTCCATTCCCTTGACGCCTCTTTTTTTTCTTCCACCTGCACCTGCCTGAAGAACATGTCTCCACTTTCCCTCCCTCCCCGGGTCCCAACGCTTCGGACCCGGAGTCAGGCTGCATGAAGCCGGTGTCGCACCATGATCAAAACAGTCAAGACTGACGGAAAGTATCTTCGGTACGTACCGGTACCTGCAGCAGACTTGCCTTAGACAGCCCAGGCAGCCCTCCACTTTGGGGAGAGGAAGGAAGGAGGGTCATCATCATCCATCATCCTGACTTTCCTGCACCCCAGCTTCAAGGAACCCCAACTCCGATCCCAAAGGAGGAAGCTGTCAATGTCATCTTGCATTAGCCGATATCTGCACTCTCAGGGGTCATTAAAAGTCTGAGGTCTCCAACTGTCCAGTTGATTGTTTAATATTAGGGAGGCACTCCTGGCACTCAGACTGAAAAGTTACCTAGGTAGGTAACCAGGCCCAGGCTCGGGACCTCGCAAGCTACGACTAGAAGGAAAAGACGTGAAAAAGAAAATAAACGTCTTTTCTTCTTACTGCTTCTGGCGTCGCTCCAGAAGATTGCTTTTCTTGTCTCGGTTTGTTCCATCAGATGCACTCACTTAATTAATTAGTAGACACATCACTTTTATCTCTTTTCTCAATCAAGCCTCGCCTCATGCACCCACTTTATGCAAGGTGCCGTAATTAGTCTTGTCATTGTCTTGTCTCGTCTCTTGTTAGACATATTTGTTTTTTTAATCGTTCGTTTGCCTGGGTTTGTCTGTTTGTCTTGGAGGAGGAAAACAGTTTGATGGCTTTGTTCTCTCACCTAACTTTGCTTCTTTTCCTACTTGTATCCGTGAACCCTATAAACAATGAAGTTTTTTTTGTGTCTCCCTTCTCATGGTGAGATCTGATATGTTACTCTATTATTGTCTCACGCGCAAACCTTTCTGGTAGTGGCGACCAATCAAGCACGAAACCTCTCTCAGACTCAGGCATGATCCAATTGTTCGTCACAGCCTCTCTTTTCAGTTGCTTCTTTTGATCTCCTGTCGCGACACTTGTCTCTTTCGTATCTGTGCCCTGTGCCTTGGTCTGTCTGCTATTCCAGACTCAAATTGGACTTACCGAGACAAGAATAATTGATTGTGAGACGGGTGTCACTGGACGCGGAACCAACCTCGGCTGACGACCTGCTCGTGTCACCGAAGCATATTAATCGTGACGACTCGGTAAGTATATTGTATATTCACAGGTACAGAGCAGGACGGATAGGTAGTGGCATGTTATTCAGCCTCTATTAGCCCACCTTTCCATCTGAACTGCTCGATCTTATCTTACCAGTCTACTCCGTACCCATGTCCAAACATCAGATAGATCAATTGTATTCGTTTTCGTGTCTCGATCCCATCAGTGCCATCACAAACTCTCAGCTCAGCTCAGTTCAGCTCAGTCTAGACCAACTGATATAATCTCAAACCAGGCCATAAACATTTCATTCTACGAATACTCTACTACTACACGGCTATGAAACGGGCGGGCATTCAGACGCCTCCACCACCCCCCCCCCCCCCCCCCCCCCCCCCCCCCCAACTTTTTTCACTGTAACCACACACACACACACACGCAACGCAAAACTTACTCGCCATCATCCAACTTTCTTTCCCATAACCACCATGATCGTGATAACGATCATGATCATAATGACAGCCAAATACTCTATTCTTCCCTACCCCTTCCCTCCTTCTTTCTGTAAAGGCTGCCAATAGTTACAGAGACTATTTATTGTGTCTTTTGACTTTTCTTTTCCTTCTGAACCTTTTAAACCCTTTAAGCTTTCCGGATCGGCCTTCCGGGTTTGATACTCGTCATCATCATCATGGTTGAATCATTTCTACGGATGTCGTTACATCCAATGTTAAAGCGGCCCCTGAAAGTTAAAAAGTCAATTACTGCCAACCAACGTTAGCTGTCCCCCGGATACAGTACCTACCATTGTCACTGCCACTATCACTATCACTCACTACCACTAGGTAGCACCAGTACCGCCACCGATCTTTGCTACATATCCAAGCGTCGAAACTCAAGGTCTGACCTTGTTTCAGCAGAAAAGTATTTTTGGGTTAGTACTAAGTTTGTTTACCCCCAATGACTCGCTATAATAGATGTGATGATATACGGGATCGATACAACACAGTCCAGTGTCTATAGTACTGCCTAAGTTGGTCCAGCGTAGTAACTTGGATCAATGCTGGCCCCTTGTTACTCTCGCTGTCATAATCTCGCACGAGGCGCGTCTATGCTAAATTGCCTTTAGACCATTTACCCAACAACGCTCTACCTTGTTGCGCAGCAATTCAATTACATTTTTAATTACTCGACCTGGGCAGGCCGTGTATTTTCCTCTCCTCACAATAGACAAGACAAGACATGACAAGGGAGTCCCAGGTCTCTCATTCTGTCTGTTTGTCTCTTTTGAAAAGTGATAGTTTTGTTTCCTCTCTCCGAGCTCCCTTGCAAGACAACAGACCCAAAAAAGGACAGTCTCATTCCAACCAACTTATACGCGCGCGTTTTTACCCCAACCAATCTCTTGTACAGAGTACTACCTACCAAAGCAGGGTATCGCTGTTACGTAGCTGCTACCTACCAAACGTTTCTCTTCCCCCCAAATCTTCGAGTTCCTCTCTCGTTCGTCATCTCGTCACCCACTGTCACACAAACTGCGGCTCCAAGCATAATATGCCATGTAGCAAA